CTGATGAGTCGTCTTTTGTGGACGACGCCCCTTGTTTTCCAATTATACTCAATTATTGACACAGTCATTAGGCAGACAATTGATGAAACGACTGACTCCCTCCCTCCTGCAGCTTTAACAACAACAATTGAAAATGTGAAATCTTTAAGCCAGCGGGAGATCAACACGCGCTCAGACTTCGGGCTCCGATTTGGATTTCAACGCGAACAAGGGTTGCAATTGCAGTTAATTAAAGCAATTCGCATAGTCAGCAAATGGAGAGAGAATGTGTAGAAACAACTCAATCAGCGGCTGCATTCTTTTCTTGACAACTTGCAAAGCAGCTGAAGAATGTTTTCTTGCTATATTGAAGAAAAAGTGGCCTTATCTTATCAACAGCAGTGTGTGGTGCCTGGAGTGCCTTTTAATCAATGCCGATAAAGAAGTCAAGCAAAGCCCAACAATAAAGTTGATAATTTGTTGCCTGAAGAGAGCGCCCAAGAAGGCATCATTCACAATATGTTGTACTTTAGTATATTATCAAATTTAGACTACATTTATGTGTAGTTGACAGATCTGCCCAATAAAAACCAAGAATAACGAATTTTTTTGTTTATGAGCGGTATATAAAAAAGATTCTAATGAGACAGCCTGTCAAATTGAATGTTTTGTTTGAAGTGTTGTGGACAATTTAAACTTTTCTGCAGGGTTAAAATGAGATAGTTAAATGTCTGTTAATTAAATAAAGAAGCTGGCTACGTTAAAAATCCCCACAGTCTAAACGCCTTGAAGTATGCACGTAAACTGAGTTCAAAAATTTGCAACCAAACCAAGCCACACTTGCGATTCTGGCGGAGCTGGATTTTTGGTCTGCCCCAGCGTTAATTGAATTACACACAAGCCAATTTTATTGCTGCTACCATCTATGAGGCAAATGAGGGTGTGCTGCATACAAAAAAAAGTTGCACTTAATTAGCATAAAAACGTACGCCAAAAAAACACAGCAAAAACAAACAAACAACACACACACTCAAGCACACACACACATTAACAAATTTAGTCACAAGCCATATGCGGGTGGTAATCGGCAAACGGGCAGAGTAAAACTCCAGCTGGTCGCATAAACGCATTAAATGGCGAGGCGGCGCCACAGAAACGGGTCAAAATTCGCGTGACCATCATAACAAATGTGCAGAGGGCGCTGGGCGCTGTCGTTGACTACCCCCCCAAAAAAAAATAGAGGGAGCACCCGCAGAAACAACAACAACATCGACATAAGTTTGCAGCTGAATGTGCACTTGCTTTGTTTGCATGCTTAGAACACAAAAACTGACATTTCTTGAATTGCACTCGTTAATTCTCTGTTTTAATTATGGTTAACTTACAGAATTGCGTGAAAATACAGGTGCGAAGATAGTTAAAAACGTATAAATAAAACAACACAATAAAACAGGGCGATAGAGTGAGTCGCGCTTATCGATACTTGCAGTGCAACACTGTCATGCTATCGAAACTCATATATTGCTTGTGGAGGCGATAGGCAGGTATACGATATTTCGATAGTTGCGCATGACTGATGGCGCAGGTGTGTAGCGGGCGGTAAATTTAAACTTTTGCAGCAATTTCCTATTAAAAATTTCAGTCTTAAAGACAATGTGTAAAAAGTCAGACACACACAACGGCATGATTAATGATATCTTCAAGACGATTGTGCGCACCCCCACAAGTCTGTTTGATAAATTTGTCTGCCTTTCCTGATTTTGCCCGCCAGCGATCAGCACTTCCGGCGTGATTCTGTGCTTTTGACTGCCGGGCGCAAATATTCAACCCCAAGAAACAAACTCGCTGCTGTTTGCCAAAAACAAAAACTAAATTCTTGGCCAGCACAAATGCACATGTAATAGAAATCATAAAAATAAAAGAAAATTCATGACTTTGGCGAAAACTCAGCGGACCGCATATCGTGCGACATTTATAGTTGGAATGGGAAAAACTTGACTTGACTAAGCGCTTAGCTCTGTTTATGCTTCTCTCTTATTGGGGTTGTAAGGCAGCTCAACGAAATAAAAATAAATTTAATGTTTCTGTTTTTCGACAACGACAACGGCAACGTGGTTTTTCCACCCATATCATATGCGTAATTTATGCTACAGAAACAGCTCGACCATAAACAGGAAGAGATGTCCACGGTCCTCCCAAGACAAGTTGTTGTTGCTGTTTTTGTTGTTGTTGTTCTGGTTGTCGCAAATTCAATTAATTTCAATCGAACGCCTGTCGTTTTGCACATCCGGCATTGATGCCCGATTTCGATCCCTTTTCATTGATGTTACAAATAGATAGAAATATCCGTGCCGACCAACGTTCGCGCCTATAAATCTATAAATCTCGGTCCATGCATACGCTCTTTGTTATGACGCGAGAAACCCATCGTGTTGAGACTTGTACATATATGAGAAGTCCTGCTGCGTCATTGCTTTAGTTCCGGTTGAGTTTCTGGCGGCGCACGAAAGATTTATGTCACTTTGTTGGCACAACAACAAAATCCTTTCTTTTCCTGCATGTGTGTGTATGTGTGTGGACTTCAAGTGACCCACTTGGGACTAGTATTCGGATTCGTATTCGGATTAGTTTGCTGACCAGCAGCAGCACTAATTGAGCGATCTTCCGGTTGGCTAATGGGTTAAAAGTGCTCGGATTTGTGGCCATATATCTTCTACATAGCTGCGATAATTTCGGCATTTTATCAACCAAAATTTAAGGGTTTTTCCTCTTCATGCTTGTAAAGATTTATTGGCTTCTAATTCTGAGCCTGCTTTTCAAGTTTCCAATTGCCAATTGAGTTCTCGAATGGGACTTGAGAGACGCATTAAAATGTTAATTTTGAAATGAATATCAGATTTAACAGAAATAATAGTAATTAAAGAGTAAAGTAATTATAAGTTTTGGCGTCTATTCTGTAGCTAGAATGCTAGAATAACATATCTTGTTTAAAATTCACATAGAAATTGGGCTTGTACAAATTAAATGAATTTTTATGATTTCATTTTCAAATTACAATTGCTAATCCAAATAGAATTTTCTTAGATGTATAGCATGATTTGTAGATTTTTGTATTTAGTTTGTCAAATTTTATATTTAGTTTGTCAAATTTTATATGATTTCATTTTTATAGATATGTTTTCTATTATTGAAACGCCTGTTTATTCTTTCCCAAAAACTATCAAAATCTCCGGCAAGTAGTAAACTGACTGTGCGACAAATTTTTGAGCATTTCAGACGGCATTTGCATATATAGAATTATATTGAAGACAATAAAAATTTATGAAAAGCCATTAAGTGGCGTTGGAAAAACAAGCAAACGACTACAAATTGCTGGCAGCCGTCTGCCTCTCAGGCATACTTAACTTATCCCTTACCCCTTAACCACGTTTGTCGAAAGTGAAATTGTAAGGGTTCGGGCCACAAATTATTTTTATAGCTGCCAACGATCCCAGGTCAGAGGAGAAGCGTTCAGTTATGCGCATTATGATGGCGATGATGATGGTGATGGGTGCACTTCATAACTTAAACTTAAACCCTCGACAGTGCCCGGATAGACGTCTGGGTCGTAAACTGGGCAACAAAAAGTGAAATGAATCCAAAACTTATGCAATGTCACTGTCGTCTGGATCATGGTCACGGAAGAGTACAATTTTAATTGATGACAATTTCATTAAAATACATAACTAAGGGCGGCAGTCCTGAAAATTTAAATCTGAGGGAGGCAAATACACAAAAAAAGCAAGTAAACAAGTGAGGACGCGTGGGCGAAAGATATCCTTCCTGGAGTGCAGGCTACGATGCGTGAAGGATGCAAAAAGTTAATCGCTCAGGCGGTCGGACAAACAAGCAACACTTTGTATCGGGATCTGGACAGATGTGTTAAAGTGCCCGACGACGGCACACAACATTTTTGAGCAGGGGTATTTTTTATTACCCAAGCCAAACAGAATTCTCTTTCAGAGTCTGTGCACTTGCCAAACTCGAGCGCAATAAGTAAATTGCGTAAATTTATAGCTGCGTAAATTGTTTAATGACTCAACAGTCTATTTATCCGGCCCGTGCCATGCACGGACATGGCCTAATGGGTGTTTGAGGTCGAGCAATTGCGACTCGGATTTTGTGGCGGGGCAAATACAAAACTAGAGCTGGGCATGCGAAAAATGTGGCACTTGAGGCATAGATCGGTGGTTAAATTAGATGAGAAATCAGAGAGCAACATCTTCCAAAGATGCATTGTAGACTACTGTCTGTTCTCAATTTGTAGAAGATTTGGTTTGAGGTAGAGCAATTGCGGCTCTGATATAAAGCAAAATTCCATCAAAGATTAAAACGTAGAGTTCTTTCCAAGAAAAACCAATTAAACACAAATAGATCGCCAAGAGAGTAGTGAAAATCTGATACTTTTTCTCAATCAAAAAGTAATCACTTTATAGAACCATTTTTGAAATTTTGCGAACCGTTTCACTTCGATTGCTGAGGTTTTTTACTCAATCTGAAAATCTGTCAGTTTTTATTCTGAGATTAAAAGATTCTCCTATTCATAATTTGCAAGCCAAATGTTCAACCAAATATGCTATCTCCTGGTCATTTATCTCTGGGGCCCACTCTTGGCTCGAACAGCAATTAAGCAAGCATTTAACATGTAACTGCTCGCAACGCCCCAGAGATGAGCGGAGACAATGACTAACATGTAGTCATACACAAAAAGATAACTTCCATTACCTTAGGGGGGTTGACTGACAGTCAGGCAGGCAGGCAGGCAGACAGGAGGACAGACAGGCAGGCAGGCAGGCAGTTTCCGATTCGCTGACTTGTCGCACCCAGTCAAAAAGCCCTCAACGATAAACGTCGCTGATAGCACAGCATTTATCAAGGAACAACAACTTGTAACAACAACGACAACAACATACAGCTCTCAAGCTCAATTGAGTTTCAAATTGATGTCACCATTATCGGGAGCTGTCATCTAAAATTGCGTCTGGAGTTGGGTGGAGATGCGAGTTGCGGATGCTGTGTATCGCGTGTATTTATTCTTAATTTTTTCATCATTTATCAGCGGGAGTTTGGGCCCAAAAACATTTTCACATGCCCGCAATTGCATATTTATGTAGATGTGTGCATTGTGCAATTTTAGTTTGCGTTTCGATTTAAGTGCTCGTAAATAAAAATCCAGTCAAGCAACCCCCGACTGCGTTTGCAGCACCCCTCGACCCACCACCCCCGTGGCAGGGCTGAGTTTTGCTGAGGCTGTCAAAAAGGCAACGGGGAAAAGTTTGCAAACAAAACTAATGCCGACATGGGTGTTGATAAAGTTCTCCAAGTCACCGCCATCCGCTTATTGAATTGCACTACACGCTTGATTGCCCGCTAAACGGATGTAAGAGCCAGAGTCGAAGCCGGAGGATGGGCATGGATTGGCAATCGGGGGCAATTCGACTCATATGCGAGCCCTGATCTGAGCAGAGCAGAGCAGAGCAGTGTGACATGTGGATTCGTCATACCAAAAAGCGCAAAATATTATCCAGTCTGGAGTTTTTGTTCTGATTTTTCGCAAACATCACAAAGGGTGCTCCCAAATGGTGGTAAGAGTCGACAGTTTTCATTCCCATCTAATGGGCTATCCTTTGTCATCTATTCTGCGACCAAATGGCATGAGAAACATTAAACATGTGCCGGGTTTTCCAATGCTTCATCGTAAAATGTGAGAGACTTCTTCATTAACATTTTAAGGCAATTTCAAGCACTAAACAAAAATATTTTCTGATTATTTAACTTACTAGTAGAAGCAGCTATCCTCGCGAAATGGTAATTTTTTAAAATACAGTGTGGAAAAATTTAACCCGACCCTACATACATTTTTGGGGTATAATTCTTACATGAATTTTAAGCCAAATCACTGTTTCAAGTTTGAGTGTAGTATTAAACTAAATGTCGAAACCATTATCAAAACGCACTGGTTTTTACAAACCAGATCAGTTTCAACCAAGTGACGGCTGTGGCAAGTTTTAACGCAGTTTTAGGCTATAATTCTGACATTTTCAGAATGAGAATCACGTTATTAACTTTAAATGTAGTAAACATTTAGACATCGAACCATGACTAAAAAGCTCTGGTTTTTCAAAATCTGATCATATTTGACAAAGTTGCGGCTGTAGAATGTTTTTAAAGTCCCTAAAAGCATTATTTAAGGTCTAATATTTAACTAATGAGTGCGACCAAATCGAGTTTTCAATTCCAACAAGATATTAGCTAATTACAAAACCAAATCACTTTAACAAATTGCAACAATGGTTAATCCGGTTGCTTTGCGATTCCTCCTGGGATCCTTTGACAGTTATGGAAATTTATGATTCATTAGGATAGATTTAAGCTGCGTTAACTGGAACTGCCACATCCTGGTCATGCATAGATATATCCATCCCGTTGCAACATTATCCATTTGTTTGCGCAACATTTGTCACGCTGCCTCGGCTATTGTGGCCAAAGGATGCAGGATATGGAGGAGAATGGAGAATCACTCAGCGAAGCATTCCACCCCGTAACATTGTAATAACTTTGACTTTGATTTCGTTTCCCTTTTTCCACTAATGTTGCGAAAATGTCAACGATGGGTACTTTTGGGTGGGGATTTATGAATTTCATTTACTAATGGATTGTGGTGAGCAAAAAAAATCCACAGATGTGCAAATATGCGCTATGGATTATTAAAGTTATGCTCAACAACAAACTATGTATAATTTAAAGGAGTGCAATTGCAATATTAATGCTTATGGATGACTGAGCAATAACAAAAGAAAGAAAGAAATAGTTATAAACGATCATTGTATGAGGACCCGTCTTAGATTTGTATAAAAAATCGTAAGAGAGGATTATCATTGATTTCAAAGGTTTATAAGTTAAAATATATTTAATTTTTGTACAAAATAATAAAGAAAAGATATTGAATCTATGATGACAGACAAAAACACTGTATTCGTTTTAGTTTGTTGTAGGATAAAGAACATTGTTGGGATTAAATGCAGTATTTTTAATTTTTCGTAGTTTTTCTACATTTTAAATATGAAACTGCCATCCATTACTACAACTACAACTACTATAAGAGATAGTTTGGGAAGCACTCACATACGAGAAACGTAGCCATTTTGTACGCCTGTCTGTCTGCCCCACGCCGATTGGCTGTTTTAAGACCGAACAGCCTTTCAATTCCCCAAACCATTCAGTTTACTGGTCCTGCGCATTGGACGTACATAATATGCGTAAAGCTTACATAAGCGTTGGCTATATACATATACAATGTGCTATAGAACAAACAGACGCAGCTTTCATCCAACCGAACCAGACTCCAGCCCAAACCCGTGGGACGAAGGGAAAAAGACAAATTATAACTTTACCACTGACTGCTGTTGGCTTCTGTCCATTTATCTTTTTGGCTGGGGTTTTTTCGCTCGATTGGGGAGGACCTCAAGCCTCGGAATTGCCAGTCCACAATGCCACCAATGGCAGTAACATTTTATGGGCAAAGTTTTTTTTTATGCTCACCCCATCTGCCTCAGTTGGGCTGCAATGTCGCCAAAGTGGCGCCATTTTTGCCGCATTGTCGGTAAAAACTATGAAATTTTACTATTTCTGTGCAAATTATGTCGAAAAGTTATTTCTTCATTTGATTATAAAGTTTGCAAGTTGTATAGAGATATACTTTAATTATCTTATTTTTATTATTTTAAACATTGAGACTGGAATGGAACATATACAGATCTGTAAAATAAAATAAAAACACGTTTCTCATTTTGTATTTTAATGTATAATTATTATATAATATACAGTATATAAAACACATATGCGAAAAAAACCAAATCGTTATATGAGATATCCATCACTTTGATTAATGTTCATGCTAATAACAAAAGCTGAGAAACTTGATTTATCGCATCGCATCTATTATTGTACAGCGCATGAAATGGAAACTGAAGAATGGAGATATTCTCGAAGAGCTCGATGCCAATTCAATTTAAAGACTCAGACGCTCTAGCTCAAGTAACGTAGTATAAAAATCATAAAGTATTTATTTGCTAAATTTACGGAATTCATTATGTATTATTATTAATAAGTTTTCGTTTTCGTTTTTCATTCTTTTTTTTTGTTTGAATTTTTGTTTTACATTTTTATATTTTGAAATGCAGAGTTCACGACTGTACACAAGTGATATGCACAGTTTGAAGAGTAGACCAAAACTTTCGATTTTTGACTAAAACAGATTTATGACAAACACAATGTTATAGGGATGGGGTTGATTTGGGATCTACCAGTGAACTGAAGACTGCTTATTTATTGTAAATTTTGTCTTGTGGCTTTTGTCATGAGGCTTCATCATTGTTCTAGTTGCTTGATCGCATTCATTTCAATTTTTCGGGACCAGACGTTCTACAAAAATCAATTAGGTCTAAGTAAAAAAACAATTATACAATATTGTAGAGCAATCTACGCTGAAGTCTTAAGTATTTCATTTCAACTAAATTTAGTTGCCGCCTAGTCAGGTGTGTGTATATGTGTGTGTGTATGGGTGTGTGTGTGTAGATGTGTGTGTTGTTTTATTTGCTGATTGGGTAACTAAACAGAATGCCTAGTAGAATTTTTTCGCTTGCGCCTCGCTTCGGTTCCTGAAAAAAAAATTAAAAGTACTTTAGATAATGCAAACTATTTAAAGACAAATTTTTGGCTCATTTACTTGAACATGTTGTAGATAAAGACTAGCAGCAGTTGCACAACGGTAACGCTTAGGAACAACGTGACACCCACGCAGTTTCCGGTGGGACAAGGTGCCATCTGTGCCGCGCCCTGTGGCATGCCCAATCTGCAAAGCACAAGACAAATTAGTTGAATAAAATGTACAAAGTATTAGATTAAAGGGGGAAACTAACCTCTGGCCCACATGCGAGATGCCCTGCTTGACCTGATTCATGCCGTCGCGCATCTCGGCTATCAATGTTTGAACATCGTAGCCCGAGGATTGAATTTGCGCTGTGGGCGCGTTCTTCTGATTTATTTGTATGTTATCAGTACGCACATTGATATCGCCGGCAAGTTGCCGTATTTCACGTATGGTGCTCAGCAGAATGTTCTGATTGGCAATCAGCAGGTCCACATCTTGCCTGGTGACACCGATACCACCGGCCAACTGCTGGACGGGTGCACTACCAGCAGCTGGCGGTGGCAATGCCTGTCCAGCATTGGCAGCCATGCCACGTGAGACCAACGACAACGTATTCTCCTGCCGGCCAAGAATCTCGTCAGCCTTGCGCGACAGCTCACGCAGATGCTCTGCGATTTGACTCTGTCCCTGCCAGATTTGACGGAGTTCGCGTTGATTCTCCGACTCGTAGAACTCCTCCCAGTCCTCCTCGTTGTCTTTGTGCTGTAATTGAGAATTAAAGAAGATAAGTCAGTTAAATTCAGATAACATGCTATCAGAAAACACAAAATAAACTGCCCACGTGGATTAGACAACAGTTATAATCACAATTGATATGGGCAACTGAATGACGACTGGCCCACTTACCGCTTCATCTGGATGTTCCTTTTTGTATTCTTGTTTTTGCTTCTCTAACTTGTCCTGATACTCCTTGTACTCTGCCGTCAACTTCTCCTGATTGTCCACCTTTTGTGGCTCCTGAAGTTGGCCGGCAGCATGCAGCGATGTGGTCAAAAAGTGGAACACATCGTGATCATCGGCCAAGCCACCAGTTGCCGCTGAAATGCCAAAGTAACCGTGTTTGGGCAGTTGGACTCCATCGGCGCGCATACACATCTCGTAGTCATCGTTGTTGTTCGACATGCCATTGTGGATGAGGACGGTGAGTACATTATTATAGTACTCGATGCGTGCACGGGTGGGGAACGGCTTATTACGGAAATCGCGCAGACAGCCGCTAAGCATCTGCGTGGTGCCATCGTTGGCATGATCGTACATCTTGGTGCCATCGTTGAGCACAGCACTAATGTACGGATTGTTGTGCTTATTGTCGTTGTCGAACGAATCAAAGATGATGGCCAGACCATTCCAGCGATCCGATGAACCAAACACGGCACCATTATAATCACCCTTCTCCGTCGTATACCAGAAGGCCAAGCCATCGGCACCAATCCGGCCACGTCCTGTTACACGGAAAACGATCTCCACATCCCACCAATCGAAGTTTGTTTGTTGTTTCGTCCAGATGGCGCCTTTTTGTGAGCGCAACGAGGGCGCCACACGCACACTTTCCGCACTGGCGATTGCATCTGTAAGGGATCAACAACAGGTGGCGTTTTAATTAATGTGCAAATGTGTGTTTTCAAATTGAAACAAAGTGCCTGCGTGTACACTTTGCTTGCTCGATGGTTCGTCAATGCTGATGCTGGCTGCTTGCCATCTCGCTTGCACACATGGCGCTGGCTCGAAGACGGCCCAAAACAACTGACGTGGAGCTGCCATCCCCCCTTTCCCGTCTACTCACTTCCCCCGTATTCCCAAAAGGGTACGGTGCCATCTTTTTGTGCCAAATATGGTGGCTTGAACGAGTATTTGTACTCGAAGCGTCGATGCACACTGATGGCGCTGGGATTCACGTTTGCCGCCACATTGTTTTGTGCAATAATTATGCAGAAAATGGCCAGAAATTTGCGAATCGTTGGCAGCAGTAATTTCGACCCGGTCGCTTGCATCTTTCTCGATTTGACAGCGCCACTATTGTTGGCCCGTTCTAACAATAACACACATAGAGTTGCCAAGCTGCCCGACAGCTTAAGCAATTTATCTTTCGTTATCGAAACTTATCGATTGCAACAGTGGCGGAGTGGCACAAGCGCACACTATTTCAAAAAGAAGAGAAAATTATCGTGATTTTGTATGATGTGGAAAACATTTATTTTGAAGTTTTAAAGTGTTTATCATTTCAAGGTAAAAAATAATCTAACTAAAATATCAAAAATACTCGTCTTTGTGAAAGTGCACACTAGAACATTGAATACTCCTAAATATTTGTCGATCTGAATGAATTAGATTTAGGCTCTAGCACATATATAGTCTTAACTTTATATTATTATACTCGTATATATTTATTTCGTTTCAATTGCCTTTTGCTTGATATCACCAAAGTAGTTATTCTTTTCAAAAATTGTTTTTTTTTTGTTATCGTAGTATATATGTAGTTATGTATTGTTTAGTTTTGAGCTTACATCTATATTATTATTGGTTTTACTGCTTCGTTAGCATTTTAGTGTGGGCTTTATAACAGATTGTTAGTTTTTTTTTTGCTCAGCTAATAAGGGTGATACTTAGTGTGGTGTAAATGTGTCTCATCCGCGTCCTTTTCGCAGGCTCTCGCAGAATCATTTTACAAATGTTAGTTTTAGTTACTCAATTTCAATCACAATCACTTACATTTAGTTGTGTGCGCATCGTGGAAAGATAATAATAAAAAAAGGAATAAAACACAAAAGCAATCATAGCAAAAAACATAAGTATAAAGTATATTTAAACCCTGTTTATTACAAAAAACATAAATAAACGTAGGTGCCAAGAAATAGGTGTTATGAGCATGCCCTAATGGTTCGTACTACAGTATAAATAAATTAAGTTTAAATAATTTCGTAGATACATTGAATTCCTTAAGTACTGCCAAAAATATAATATATTGGTAAATATAAAAATATTGCAGTGGGGCTTACATCGTTTTTTTTTTTTTTTGCTGCTCTTTAGAATGTGATTCGTTGAACTGGTGTGAAATAAACATAAGCGTGCGCACCGTACAGACTACAAAATACAAATTAATTATATGTATATATAATTTATGCCCTTATACACGCTACATATACAATATTAAATCGCAAATCGTAAATGTATAGATTGGTGTTTTTAGTGTACATAAGATTAGACTTTGAGACACGTTCCGAATGATCTCCTTAGTTCTATTCATATTCATCAGTGCATGCAGTGTGTATCAATTATCAATTCAAATTATTGTTTCTCTTCTTGTTCTTCAATATTTTCCATCTATTATCTTTTTAAAGCAAATTCACCTTTTTTGCTTTTTTCGATTTTGTTTTTTTTTTTTTTAAATTCATAATCACTTTATAGCTTATGCACATTGAAAGTTTCTTACATTAAGTATGTGTTTGAGTTTGAGTTTTTTTTTTGTATGTAAATCAATTCAAACTTATTCGAAAACGAACGCAAATTGGATGTGGTGACATTTAGGAACAAAATCAATTTGCTGACAGCGTTTTAGTGGCAGTTAACAAACATGTGTGGTAAATGTGTGTGTTTCAAAAACTGATTAACAAATGCGAAATCTTATTGATGTCTATTACTTAATGACTTGCTATGTCTCTGTGTGTATGTGTGTGTGTTAGTGTGTCTAAGGTAAATAACATAACTACTACAATTATACAAAATTTAAAAAAACCTATACTTTGAAAAAATACACATAATACGCTACAAAATTCTCTGCGTGGCTTTTCAGTGAATTCTCCGTTCTTTTTTTTTAGTGCACATGGTGATGATGCGTCGGCGATGTGCCGAATGCGTTCATCAATTGACCCTCGTACAATGCAATTAAGAGCATAATGACCACACCGCTCAGCAGGCCAAGAATCTGCAGCATAAACTGCCACAGCGATTTGTGAGAAGCAGAAATCTCCGGCATCTGCAATGGAAAAACATATTAGTTAAAATCTGACTCAATTCGAGTCAGCCGCACCCGGCACTCACCATATCGACCAGCGCAATATAGATGAAGAGACCCGCCGCTACGGCAAACATCCATTGGGCCACATCCTGTGACTGGCCAAACACAATGCCAAATATCATGCCAATGAAACTGAGCACGCCAGTTAACAGATTATAGTACACAGCCGATTTCACCGACATACCGGCCTTCATCAGTATAGCAAAGTCGCCCAACTCATGCGGCAGCTCGTGACAAAAGACGGCCAGCGAGGTGGAGAAACCACCGGCAATATTCTCGGCGAATGCAGCACCAATGGCCATGCCGTCGGTGAAATTATGTAGACCATCGCCCATGATGATCATCCAGGCAACGGCGCTCAGCGTCTCTGGTGGCGAGTGGACGTGTCCATGTCGATGGCTGTGGCCGTGATGCGACGATTCATGCTCCCGCAAGATGACAGTCACATGATCGTTCTTGTCCTTGCCTCCATTTGTCGTTGCCGAGTTACTCTCGAGGTCAGTGGTCGCCGTATTATTGCTGTCCTGTGGCTGTTGATGATTGTTGTGACTGTGGCCATGATTGTGATTGTGATGATGGTGGTTATTCATTTCGGCATAGTTGTTGAGGGAGGTGGAGAGCAGCGATTGTGCGGCCGCTTCACTGGATCCTTCGACTTCCGTCCTGTCACAGCGCCGATTGCTGCACTCACCACCAGTGGATGCATCGCCGCCAGCTCCAGCAATTGCTGGCACTACAGCGACTGCATCCTCATCGGGCAAATGCATCCAAACGTCTTGCTTGTTGTTCATCGCGATCTCGTCATAGCAGTACGGATAAGAGCTGTACTTTTGCTTGCACATCCTGTCACCAGCCACCGAATTGTTTACCGATGAGTCCGGATCACGCATGACCTTGGCGCGTGACGGTCTCTTAGTTTCCTTCTTTTCGACGCTCTTGCGCCACTCCGATATCATGGTCAACGCATGCTCCGTCACATAGAAGAAGATGATGCCGCCCAGACAACCCAATCCCTTCATAATCATGCCGTGCTCACTCTGGCCAGCCAGCGACTAAAAGCAATTAGTGAAATATGATTAAAGTCTTTTCGAACAAATCCGTTTAATCAGTTACTTACATGCGGCAGTAAATGTAAGAGTGCATCTCCGGTCATGGTGCCCACGGCCAGCGACACCAGATATTGAATAATGTATTTGTAATAGCGAGAGTCCATGAATGGTATAATGGCCACGCCCATCAGGCCCAAAATGCCACAGGCAAACACCGAAATGAACGAATAAATCCACACTGAACAAACAGATAAATACGCACGTTAGTCAAAAGTTATATGCAAAAGATATATGTTGCCTACCATGCACAATATTATTTTTCTGTTGCATTTCGTAGTTGTCAATCTCAGCAAGGACAGAGGGTTGGATGCAGCCACCGCTGCTAGTTGCCAGCTCATGTAACAGCACTGGACACAGATGCAGCAAATCCCGTTCGCTGAGCTCATAGTTTCTATGATGATGATCTGGCGGCGCTGGTGTGCTGTCTAGTGACGCGCAGGCTTTGCTTGTGCCATTAATGCTATTGGGGGAGAGCGAGCAGTTGCTCAACAGCAGCTGCTGTTCCACGCCATGTTGCCCATGATGGCTGAGATCATGCGGCTGCACATGATGCACCAGTCGTTCAACGGTTATACACTGTAAATGCATAAAATAATTTAATTAGTTATGCATTTAGGAATTCATTTAATTGTACTTACGCTATCATTGCTGACAAGCTGTAGAAGGTAGGCAAAAGGTTAGAATTAATAATGCATTTGTGAATTCATTTAGTTGCACTTACGCTCTCATTGCTGTTGACAAGCTGCTGCAGTCCAATTTGTTGGATCAGACTTTGAAAACTGGTGGCATTTAGCGTCTGCTGTTGCATCAATTGCTGCAGAAAGTATTGAGTGATCTGCGGGACATGCTGTTGCTGTGGCGATCCGTGCGCGTGCTCGTGCTCATGCTCGTGCTCGTGACTTGCACGACGCTTGTGACTCCTGTAGGGCGGACTTGTGCTATAATTTTGGGTATCATCCTCATGCGCTAGCTGCCGCTGATCGGTGGTTGTTGTTTTTTCAGTGGAGGGACTAAGATTTCCATTGACTAATCGCGCATTTAACGCCACCTCATCGCGCTGTGTGGCCAGTGCGTCCTCCAGATGATCCTGACAGTGGAGCCGCTGGGCGCACAGCAGGCACACCACACACACGGCCATTATGTGCCGTGCCATTTTGTTGGGCACACAGTATCTAATGCTAGTTCTACCTGATCCGCTGCTGCGGCTGCTGGTGCTGCTTCTGTTGATTTGTGTCTCGTTTAGTGTAATGGGTTTTGGCCCGTTCTGCTCATTATATATTCATCAATTTGCACGCTTAGTTCGGATCTGCAATGGAATGAGCAAAATGAAATTAGCAAACGTTTTGGTCGGCTCAGTGAAGCGTGTTGGACGACTCTGAATAACCACACACTCATTACGCAAATCTATATATATACATATAGATATATATGTTGATCGCAATTACAAAGACCATTGCTTAACTAAACAATAATAGCGGTAACAACAACGAGCGGAAGTTCAAGTTCGTTTGGCGGCCACTTGGTTGACACCAAATATGGCCAACAGTGTGTTATGCCACACAGAGCACAGACACACAGACACACATACTCATAACACACACGCACAGTTGCTAGTCAGTTTTTGAGTTGAGTTGCAGCCATAAATGGAGTAGAGCAGTGTAGCTGCATTTCTTGTTAGCGATCTCAAAGAGACATTTTGGCCAATCAATCAATCCGAAGTAGGTGTGAAACGGTTCAAAACCCGTTTCATAATCGCATCTAGTATGCGGTTTTAGCTTTACGTAGGCGCCGGCAGTAAATTTATAAGCGGCTTTGCGTGTTAGACAAATGTGGTTTGTTCTATAAGAAACTAAGCCGAGTTTCTTCACTTTAATGGTAATAACAAAGTAATTTTAAATATAATTTCGAAAAAAAAATCAATGAAATCGAAAACTATTCTTAATAATAGTTTGTACAAATTTTTTTTAAAATATTTTTTTCACTTCACTCAATGCTTGAGGAACTTTACTTGAAGCCTTGCGTTTTTCGATTCACAATTGCAATTGGCAAAACAGTCGTGATGACAAGAAGTTAATCAGCGTGGCAAAGATTACATAAAGAGTAGGAGTAGCAGTATAAAAAATAGATATATGGTATATATACACCGGTACACCGACAAACGACGTCACCAGTTGCCACTGCAACTGCCGTGGAGGAAACCGCAAATGGCGCGTGGCAAAAGTGAAAGACGCACACAGATAGAAAAGCAGCAATACTAAAAAGTTACTTAAAACGATAATACAATGACTGCAAATTGCTTTGTTATTGTTGCAGTTGCAGTTGTTTCTATTGTTGTTGTTGTTGCTGCTGCTGCTGCTGCTATTGTGATTTGAACAATTTTGCTATTGCGCACTGAGCGGCCTACCGGGCAATTAGTTGCCAATTCCTGCAGCGGGCAAGCAAGCCAATTATTGATAAAACTTTTGCCCGCCCAGCCAAAAAAAAGAAATAGATGGGCTACAATTGTTAGCATAGCGTAGGGTTCCTCGTGGGTGGTTCGCAAAGTGGGCGCCTACGCAATACCCGCCCAAAACTTATCATCGACCTAATAAAAGCGAGACGTCATCGTTGTGATTGATATTACTCGCTCGTGGCTGCATAAAGTTGGGCGCGTGAAGGTCACAACATACAACAGGAGGTGGCGGAAGGAAGTGGGCGGTGCCACCTGGCATTGGCATTGCATTTTGGCATGGCATTGGCAAGGACAAAAACACACGCTGAAGGTGAAAGGTTGACCCAAGCGAGCACTTGTTGCCAAAATTGATCAAAACGGAACTATGCAGAAAGCTGCCGCCTGCTCCGATTCGATTCAATTAAGCACAACTTGATTATATGGCAATAAAATAAAGAATCAATCAAGCATATGCAAATTGTCAAGCGCATCAAATTCTTTTAAAGTCGCAGCCCAAACAAATTTACTGAACACACAGCAGACGTCTTTTTTGGTTTATTTAAAATTTGCTTTCGCTTTTTTTTTTGATTAATTTTTTTGGTTTTTGCAATTTGTCAATTTGTCGTTTCCAATCAAGTCGGAGTACTCAGTCAATTGGTCAAGTGCAGACCGCCAATCGTTTCTTTTTTCTGTTTTTTTTTTGTATTTGCCTTTTGTTTTTGTTGTAATCAAGCCTCATTTAAATTCAGTTTGCATGCTTTTCATGAAATACAATACACTGAGCGCAATTACGGTAGGCATTTTAAATTACTTCAATGCTAAACGTAGCTTATCGCTATTATATAGTAACACAATTCTGTATCAAAACAGACACCTTTGTTTTTGGGGGGCTTTACTCGCATGCGCAACGCTTTATCTCTCTAATGAGTTTTACATTTGGAATAATTACACCACACACACACGCACACACATACACTTACACAACACTCGCACACACTCATCGAACACCCACCAGCTTTGGAGGAGAACTGGACGCGCTTTCCACCGCAACTGAACTGAGCAGCGCGCGTCGCTTTCGGCTGGTTTTATAGTCAACTTTACTGTGTTTTATTATTTTGATGTAGTAGCTAGCTGAGCTGTAGCCATGTGTGTGAGTCTCGTCTCTCTGTCAATCTTTTTATAATATTACAATAAAGTCGCGCCCAGTTCCGACTGGTAATCTCGGAGCACTTGTTTCGCAATGGGAACGAGACGTGTTTTGCTCGGAACCATGTGTAAAATCACCTTGCCCACTTGTACAATCCTAAAAGTCTTCAATCTTAGTATCACAATTGTCAAAACTGATTAGATTTTCAAATGCAAGCACTTTTTTGATTATGTATCTATCTCAATTTGGTTATTACTACTTGTTAAAAGTTAAACAGATTTTAATTCAAAGCACTGTCAAATATTTGGCGATTTTCATAAGTAACCCTTTTTTGATCTTATCGTTTACAATTGGAAAAAGTTCAAAAGTCCAAAATGACAACGGTAAATACACCTCAGATTGATAGGACCAAAGATATGTGTGTTTGTACACGTTCTAATATATCAAAGTTTTCTAAGCCCCAAATTTCCTGATCGTTTTGCTGTGCTGGCGAAATTCTTCAATTTATTTTTCCACAAAGTGACACGGTGCCAATAAACTTCAATGCTGACTCATGTGCTTCTTTTTATCGTTGAATCTCCACTTTTAGCAGTTTTTTTAAAACTGAAATTTCATACTGAAAGCCTCAACATAAAGATAGCATAGGTAAAAACACACACACACATACAAAACTGGAATTTCATTAGAATTGGACTCGATTTACTTAACGTTATCTCCACTCGCCAACAAGAACGTTCTGGTCGAATGAGGTCGACTAGCAGATACCCTGACATCAGCTGTTAAATATAGATTGTAGTCTCATTGTGTAGAGTATTTATGCAAGTAATGTCATTTCTAATAATAGTTTGTTTCGGTTGACAAAGTCTGTGTTTCTCATACGATCCTAATGAAAATTATATTGTCGATCAATATTATGTCAATTAAGATTATTGTATGTACGGATGTAGTTGTTATTTGGTGTATTTTCTTGCTTTCTCAATATCGATTCTAATCGATATTGAGAAAATGGGGATAGTCATCGATAAACTTATGGAATAGGAGAACTTATATTGAAGACTTTAGCTCTTAGTGGAGTCGGAATTGATTCCTTCTACTGTCGCACACTTTCATTATATACCCTTTTTATACACTGGCAATGCGTACAGGGCATTAAGCATAAAATATCGCCGACACGCCAAATTGCATGGAGTCGCTCGTCTGGAACTGGCTCAAAGAGCTCAACGTGAAATTGAAGCTAAGGAAACATTTTAAAGATCAAAGAAAACAAAAAGCGATAAGAACTTCAGGCTTGAAGATCTACAAATATGCTTAACCTGCCACTCACGTCGCCGTCAACCCCTCTCTGCCCTTACCCTTACCCCTCTCTACCTCTACTACGGGTGGGTTCAATGCTGACCGACCTTCTCATGTCCGTTGACTACGCCGCGCTCATAGTAAATAGTAAGTTCGACGGTCTAAGTTTGATATGCAATTGCCAAACTACTTTTATATTATTTATTCACCTGCATGTACTCTACTAATGTACTTATAAACAGATATTATATCGAAGGGCTCGCAATTACGATAAATAATTCATTGCTGATCTGTATCAACAAGTCGGCGGTGTTCTAGCAGAGAGTGTACTCCACTTGGAAATACCCTGTAAGCAGCAACGAATTACTTAATACATTTTTGACATTGCTGAAAAATTTAACGCATTTAGCTCAAAATGAATATATTATTCTTAATATACTTGAGTCTACATTCCATCAAAGATAAGACGAATATATCTGCTGCCGTTACATACATTTTGACAATTTTAATATGCCTTCTTTTTAGAAACTTTTTATGTGTACAGGGTATCGAAAGTCATGCGGTAATTGCCTTGTAATGTCTGCCGCCTTCCTCATGAATGGAGCAGTTGAGGGGGGGAGGAAGGCGTGGGAGGTTTGTGCATTTTGAGTGCATAGCATGGAATAATTGATTTTCGTTGCACCCACATTAAATTTATGTATTACTGTTGTTACTAAGTGCCCCATAAACAACCAATGTCAATTGATGAACTGTTTCCAACTATATCATTGTGCCATATAAAAATTTAATTATTCTAAAAAAAAAACTCAAATACATATGTTGATACAAATACATATTATGTATTATATGTGTCATTGCCGATAAACGTATGTGCCCCATATATTGAAATACATATATGCATACTAACACTTAGATACAGCCGTATTATATTAAACACCCACGCACCAAAAGTACTACCCAAATTAGACAAGTAATCTATGATAAGATACAACAAAATACGCACAGTTAGAGACAATTCTGTTATCTGTGTTGGCCTCAAAAGTTGAAAATTGTATATAATTATTTAGAACGAACACCAAATTAGCATTCAAAATTTCAAATATCGAAAAATACTTATAGATATATATATAAGAAAATACACACACACACACACACACGCAAATCCATCGCACATGGATTGTTGCTATAAATACATGAATAAAGGTGGTGGCGGGGGCGGGAGCGGGGGATGCTGATTGGAGTGGCAACTGCTGCTGCTGCCGCTGCACACACAGTTGTCATCTGTTGTGTGAATAGCGCAAGAGAGAATCACACAAACCTAATTTAACCAAAGGAGCAAATCAAATCTTGGTTCAACACCACATATCAACAAGCATTCACACGGCACGCACACAAAACACACACACATACACATATATATATATATGATTGCAGAAAAATGCGGTCGCTTTAACTCACCTGTCTACAGACAAATGTCTATATCTTTAGCTATAGCTGATTATTGTCTGCAAATATATATTTATATATATATAAACATATAAATATATATTTATATATCAATTCCAAATAGAATTGTTAATCGATGCTGTTTTTAGAGCACATCGATTGACTGCATTCGTGGGGGAAGAGGGTTGTGCACTGTAGCAAGATAACGACAAGTGTTGATTGCACTCCGATTGACACAAAAGTAGCAAGGGGCAGCTCCAGCTTGCGGCGTCGTCGTCGACGGCAGCGGCAATGTGGTTGATTGGTGGCAAATGGAGAGATGAAGGGCAATACGAAAATAGCACCAATAGCACGTTGTCGTCGACAATTTAACACAGTGCGCACGCACACACGCACAGATTAATTGATGGCGATATAATATATTTAAATAAATGCCGATTTACAACATTGCACGCATTGCGCTCCCACAAAAATTCGCAATTAAAAAATATGACTGCTTCTTCTTATATAATGCCATTCACATGACAAATGAAAAGTGAGTGAGAAAGAGAGCTCTCTCCTATGTTATGCCACTGTTATGTTAACTTACGTGACACTGAACTGTAACAGACTGGTAAAATGTGCGCCAAATTATGAACAATTTACATTCATTTTATTTTTACTAGCATAACAATTGAAATAATATTGAACACAAATTAAGTATAGAATGTTTGATTTTTTTTCCAGTTACAAAGTGTATTTCAAGTTTGGTATTTTTTTTTTATTTCATTTTTAGTTTATGTGTGTAGGGCAACACTGGCAATGCCAAACAAAGGAAAAACAAATGTTATTTTTTATGTTGTATGTTAATTAATATTCTGTGTCCAAAATGAGCTCCTGGCGTGACAGTATCAATAGTCTACCGGGCGCTGTTGCCCAATTTGTCAACGAGAGTGCATCCACAGCCACAAGCTATCTGCACTCTCAGTCGAGCGCCTCCGAGGAGAGTGCTCCACAGCACACCGACTACAAGGCGTTGCCGATTCCCGCGTCCCTGGTGAAGGAACAGTGGCGCCTGATCTTCACCTCCGATGCCAATATCCAGGACTTGCAGGCGGCCATTGCGCACTGTCGCGATCTCGTCCTGCTGAGCGACGAGTGCAGCGAGGAGCGACGCTGGCTGGTGCGTCATCTGGTGGACTTGCGCTACTCCCTGCAGGAGCTGGAGCAGGCACAGGCTGCTTCCAGCGATTATGTGATGCTGATGAATGCCATCAAGTCGGTGGTGGGCCATCACTTTGTGCCCCATCAGCCGAGTGCACGCAACCGGCTGGCGTTAGCTAAGCGCTACTATTGCGACCACTGCACGGGCATCATCTGGCGGCTGGTGCAGGCCGCCTACATCTGCAGCGACTGCAGCTATCTGGTGCATCAGAAGTGCATTGACAGTGTGCAGCGGGTGTGTGCCCATGTTCTTGCCTCGGAGCGACAGTATCCCATCTCCGATATCTGCCCAGAGATTGGCTTGGCCGCGCAGCGCTACAAGTGCGCCGAATGCGCTACGCTGATCAATTTCAGTAAGTTGCTGTCCACTTTATGTACAACAAGCAACTCACTTTAAATGTTTGCAGAGAACTCGTGGATTGAGCCACGCCTATGTGATTATCGTGGTCTCTACTATTGTCCGTCATGTCACTGGAATGATCGGTTCATTGTGCCGGCGCGAATTGTCCACAATTGGGATTTTACGCCGCAACGTGTGTCGCGCACAGCTCTGCAGGAGATTCGGTTGTTTTTGGAGAAGCCACTCATACGGCTGGAAGAGGAGAATCCCAAGTTGTTTGTCTTCCTCGAGAAACTGTGCACCGTCAAGAAATTGAGACAGAATCTGGTGCATATGCGTCACTATCTCGCTGCCTGTAAGGTGGCCGTGGAGCAGAAGCTCGTCGATCAACAGCTGGGCAGGCGTCGCCATTTGGCGCAGTCCAATGAGTTTTACTCGCTGAGCGATCTCGTTCAGGTGGAATCGGGCGCCTTGTCGGAATTTCTGCAAGGCGTCTTCAAGGTGTTCGGCACACACATCCGTGCCTGCAGCATGTGCCTTGCCAAGGCGTACATCTGTGAGATTTGCAGCAACAACGAGGTGATCTTTCCCTTCGACGACGGCTGCATCAAGTGCGACCAATGCAACTCCATTTACCATCGCGTCTGCTTGACCCGCAAGAATATGATCTGCCCCAAGTGTATGCGCATCCAGGAGCGTCGCCTGCAGCTGGACCAACAGCAGGCGGACAAGGAAAGTGCCAACAGTGATAACGAGGCATCCGATGCACTGCAGCCGGTGGATAACGCAACGTAACCCGTGCACATAAAATGTTGTTTTTATCTCGTATCTGTGTAACATTGTTTTTAATACATATACATATGCATATGTATTTACAATAAGTCTACTAAACCTGTTTAAAATAATATAATATATCCAAGACATTTATCGGAATCGGTTTACTGTTGCTTTTTGCCATACTTCTGCCGATTGTGAAACTTGCGCGGATTAATACCGTAAGCCTTGAGCCGATCGTCGCTGATGCCATTCGGATTGGAATTGTTTCCCTTGCTGTGTGGCTTAAAATCGCGCTTTGAACGTGGATTTAAGCCAGCACCACCTTGTCGACGTGGTTCATCCGCATTATTGCTTGTTCTCTTGAAGGGATTCGCTCCTGATGTGCGTCCAACTGGCGCCCGTTTTTCAAAACGATTTGCAGCTGGTTTACTACCCTCAGCTTTGTTTGCAAACTGTTTTTTAGCAAATGGATTTTTCGAGTTGGTTTTTTCAGTTTCCTGTTTCGCTTTTTGTGGCTTTACTTTCTCAATCTTTGTCTTCTTCGCCGGCGTTGCCATCGCTGGCTTTGTCGTCTCTTTCTGTTGGTTCCCTTTTGGTTTAGCTGACTTGAGCTCCTCATTTACATTGCTTGTTGCAGCTGTTGCACTTGATGCGGCAGAGGTTGCTGCTGCCGCCTTGCGTTTTAGACGTTTTCGCTTGGACTTTGAGAGGCTCTCTGTGGGTTGCGTTGCTGCAACTGGTGCTCCGGGCTGCTCAGTGGATTCATCTTGTGGCGTCGACTGTGCTTCAACTAGTTGCCCCGTCTCCTCTTCATCATCAGATCTACAAGTGCGACATGCAAACTCTAAAATGCATGGCCAATAGATTATATTATCTGCACTTACCCATCACCATACAAGCTTTTGAATATCTTTCGCTTGAGATCCTCGTTCTTTGCTTTCATTTTGTACAGGCGTTGCTCTTTTTTCTCCACATAATCTGGTCGGTTCTGAACTGCCTTCTTCAAACTAGCCCATTGGTTTAGCTCCTTATTCTTAGCCAGCAAGATCTGTAAGTGAAATAGGATTTGTAATTGACTAAAAAAAATAAATGGATAATGTTTAGCAACCTCTTCGATTGTTAAGCCAAAATCATTTGGCGTCGTTTCCACATATTTGAAGCGACACGGCTGATCGCCCACAATATCCTCATAGTCCAATTGGTAGTATTCATTGATATATTCATCATAGGTCTGCTCATCGTCCGGATTAAAAGCTGGTTTGTCCGCCTGGATCATTTCCATGAATCGATTGCGTCGCCCTTTGCGACCCTTGCGACTGCGAGTATTTTCAATCAGTTCTTGCTGCAGCTTCTGCTTGGACGTGGATGGATCGTAGTCGCAATCCATATTGAAATCATCATCATCACAATGTGCATCCTGATCGGCGCCATAGCTCTTTTTTGGGTCATAGTTGTCCCAGTCCTCAATGGCCAATTCTTCGATATCCGATGGGCATTCGGGTTTCTCCTCTCCTTCGTCCACGTTGTAGTACTCATCGTTAAACAGTTCCTGCATGCGTCTGTCATGTGCCTCTGGATCGAAGTCCTCTTCGAGTTCTTCATCTCTGAAGCCCAATTCATCGTTGCCCGTGACGGCTTTTAGCTTTCGGATCTTCTCCTCAATTTCCTTTTGTTTCATTTCCTTGATTAGATCCAACTCCTTCATCTTTTGCTGCTTCTCTTGCTCTTTGCGCTCCTTTGTCTCCTTGCGTTTGTCCTTGCGCTTATCGTCAGTGCGCCGAATCGATTGCTCAATTGTACGTGGATAGCGCTTGATAAAATCCGCGTCGGGTTCTTCGAAACGAAAGTTGTACTTCTGTTCGAACTCCGCTTGCTTCTCCAGCTCCTGTTCGTCATCCGAGAGCGGCGCACTCTCGCCCACGATCTCATCATAGGTGGGTATTTCGGATGCATTCGTATTCGCATAGCCCTTGTTCAATATGTAGTCGCGCAAAAAACTCTCGCCTTGTGTTAGTTTGCCGCTGCTCCAGTATTGCTTGAGTGGAGCCAACTGTTGCTTTGCACTGGCATCAATCTCTGCATCCGCCTGCTTGCCAGCTAGCCATTTGGCAAAGTCTGCCTCCTCAGCCTCGGTTTGCGCCTTTGTCTTTGTGCGTTTCTTAAAGATGCCACCGAATTCTTCATCTTCTCCGTCGTCCTCCTGGTTCATTACATTCCTAAACTCGGCCTTCAAGCGACGTTCTTCTTCCACTGCCGTTGGCGATTGGGCACGTTCAAATTGCTCGTCCGTCTCCTTCTCATCTTCAGAGCTCTCAAATTTGCCATTATGCTCCAAGATAACTTTTCGTTCGTAGTCCTTCAACGTGACCGGCTTGTTCTTGCTGGGTTTCTTTTTGGGTGAGCCCTCTTCCTCGCTGCTCTCACTGTCTCCAGATTCGTTCTTTGCGAAGAATCTTGTCTCCTTGTCGTAAATTCGAGGATCTTTGCTTTTCAGCGATGCCAGTGTTTTAAAAAACTCCTGATCAAATTTCACATCCACTTCCTCCTCATCCGACGAGTCACTGTCACTGTCCAGTTCCGACTCCGAGATCTCTAGACCACGATCCTTATCTGCAAAAAACAAGTTATTACTAATCTGAGGCTTGAATCAAAAATGTATCGTACATTTCTGCAGCAGCTCCTTTTTGCGTAGAACATTGTAGGATTTTGCATAGTCCTGGTTAGTGGATAGCTGGAGATCATCCGCTTCATCGTCTGAAACATCAAATAAATTGTTATTCATAATAAAAAAAAAGTTATTTCCTTCAGCTTTATTGATAATCAAACTGCACGTGTTGAGTTCGTTCAATAAAACTGGTTCCAGTTTCATACAATCGAGTCTGGTGAACTATTATTGAAACAATGTAGTTCCACTCGCAGCCCTGGCTAACAACTGCAATAAAGGTTGCTGATTATTTACAAACTTACCGTAAATAGTGTATTTGACAACATTCCAATATTATGACGGACACGGAGGAGGCACAAGCGACCGCTTCAACGTCGACCACAACCACAACACCCACCGAAAAGGACGCAGCGAAAAGTAAGATTCCAGTTTCAACAAGCTGCACATTTCTTGATTTGTTCTTATCACTTGCAGTTTGCGTTTTGCTCAATGCAACTGGCAATGTTCCGATTATTAAAAAACGTACTTGGACCGTGGATCCCAACAAGACTGTTAGCTGGATACAAAAGTTTATACACAAATTCCTCAAGCTGGACGCCAATGAACAAATTGTATGTGTCGCGTGACTAATCATTTGTATATTTACAAATAATTTGTCCTTTCATTTGCAGTTTCTATATGTAAATCAGACTTTTGCACCTGCGCCGGATCAGATAATTAAAAACCTGTACGAATGCCATGGTACAAATGGCAAGTTGGTTCTCTATTACTGCAAGAATCAGGCATGGGGCTAAATCGATGCGCACCAGTCTAATTCTAAGTATTTATTTGTCTACCGTTAAAAGTTTTATGTTATTTAATTTGTATGAGTTGACGCTGCTAAAACCTTTTAAATTTCATATTTTATTTGCCCTCCCTCATTCGAGAGGATTTAAATTACGTCTATTAAAGAACCACATTTGAAAACAAGTTATTTGAAATCAATAGAGTTAAGAGATGGCAGCTTAGTCGCCGCGCAGTGCCTCCAGCTCATCGGCAGCCTCCTTGGATACTCTGTGATACTTGGCTACTGTGGGTCGGTAATAGTAGGCTTGATAATCGTTGCGCTCGGACATCTTACGGCGAATATTCTCTTCGAGTAGGCTGCAAGCAGAGTTTGCGGTAATCCCATTGTTCGTGAATATTTTGAAGCATTATTCAGGAAGCTTACCGAATCTGCGCCTTCTCGTTCTCCTCGAAAAGATTGTGACACGCCTTCTCGTACTCCTGCTGCTGTGAGTTTAACATATAGCGCGCAATAAACCGGGAAACGGGGTGCTAAAAAAATAATAAAATAATATCAGTAAGCATATGAGAAGGGAATTGTTCGTTTCCATGGCACCTTCTCGTATTCCCAGTGCTTGGGCTCGTAGCCCTCGGGTATTTCGGAGAGCTGCGAGGGTCCCACAAATATGTTGGAGTAGAGAACCAGTGCAGTGATCGGCAGAATACCGATCATTACGTAAAAGTGCATCAGATCCTTGAATTTGTCCCATTGGAAACGGGATGGCTTGACGGTCATGTGATGGTGTCCATGATCACCGCTCATTTGACGCAGTTGCTGTTGCAGTGCTGAAATTGGATGTCAGTTTGGTGAGCATACTGGTTGTGGTTGCGTAATGTGCGCTGTGTTTACGTCTCTTTTTGAAAATGGCCAATTACTCTTACCATTGCGAGTGGTGGGTGTTAGCAGCACAGCATGATTCTTGGCGAATTGTGCCGCTGGCAACAGCAAACGGCTCCAACCAACCATATTCTTTTAGCTAATTTCACCCCAAAATAATGTGAGCACTTCGGTCGGTCAAATAAGGGCTGCCGAAACTGTTATGATTTGCTTCATCTAAATGTTCGATTGTTTTCGGTTAGCGTCATCGATAAAATCGATAGTTCACAATAACAATAGTAACAATAACAAGAGTAATTATATTGTATTTTACTATTAGCAATTCCCTTACTTAGTAATGGCATATGTTAAATAAGGAATTGAATACATATCTTTAAATTCAGTAATAATAACTACAACTGCAGCCCTGTAATAAATATTACTGCAGCCCAGACGCAAAAGTTAAAGCCAACCCTGTTCGAGCGCAGAGCTAAACATACAAAGTTTTTCTTCTGGACACAACAATTATTTTATTTATTCTTGTGCTACGCAAAAGACTACAAAATATTTAGGTAAATATACAAACGGCATACATCAAACATGAAGAGTGCAAACCGGACAGACATCAAAATACAAAGTTTATAATAACTTCGACGCATTTGCATAAGCTTGCCATTTGCACTGCTGCTGATAAAAGCTCATTAACAAAAAAAGTAAATAATACTGTTTGTGTGTCTCTGCGACTGTGCTAAGAGTAAGTGCGCAGTTCTATGATGATTACGATTTTTTCGCTGTTGACATCTCGTTGTTTTTCAATTTCTGCTGCAGCCTGCAAATTCTTGTGTATGTATGTATGTGTGTGTGTGTGTGTAACGTACATAGTGTAATCTTACATACACACACAGTTACGCAGAAAATTGTACGGTTTGAGCTTTCAATAAATAGTTAAAGATATTTGTAAATTGGCATATATACTTAAAAAATTAATCACCATCGAAATCGTTTTTCTTTGGCCAACAATTTGGTTGTCACTCAAGCAACTATTACATATGTGTATGTGTATGTAGGGTTGTACTTGCGTGTGTGTGTGCTGAGTGTGTGTGTATTTATGTACATGCAAATACTGTAGTTCGTCTTGGTGGTGATGGTGGTGGAGGTGGGCGTAGGCGTTGCCGTCGCCATTCTCCCTACACTCGCCTCCACTTTGGCTTTGCGTGCAAGTGCTGCTTGCTGCTTAGCTTTGGCCTCGGCTTGGCTCGGCTCGATTTGACTTGAACTTTACCAATTGCCGTGTGTTTTGCCTGCTAGCCAGCCAGCAAGAAACAACCTATTGCCATTCAACGCAAATCAATCGTTGTATTTGTTTTTGTTTGCTGTTGTTGTTGGCGATAAAGTTGAATATGAATCAGCGCTCAACGTAATTATTATCATCATTATCATCATCAGCAGCAGCTCTTATCAAGCAACAACCAGCTTGTTGGTTGTTGTCGAAGTTTGGCCGCAGCTGTGACGTCATCGAAGAACTAGTTTTTGTTTTTGTCACACACAATTTTGACTAATGTATTGGCCATGTATTATTTTTCAGCTGTCGTCGCTCTTTTTGTAATAAGCGAAATTTGCAACAACTCGGCGCGTCTCTGGGGCAATGGATGTCAATTCACGTTTACCCGTTCGATTACCAGGTAAGAGCCGTCGTTGTCTGCAAGTCTAAATAGGCCGCAATTTTTAGTGTGTTTTAGTGCCATACATAAAGATATATTATGTTTACAGTTTATTTTTGCTAACCAAAGCCTCGAATGCGTTCGCTTAAGATTTAAACGTTTAAACTGTTACTGTAACTAAAAATGTAAAAAATAATAACAGTAATTAATGCCTTGCTTTTGACTAACTTTTTAACTCCCCCAACTTTGTTTGTGCTACTAATCCAAATCAAAAATCATGCCATTTTAGGCGGTTTCTCACTGTATATGTAAATATATATAGATTACATACATACAATTAAAATACACATACAAATAGAGATGCATAATCGTAAATTATACTTGAATGTTTTGTATAATTTTTGCGGTAGCTGCTATTGTTGCTATTGTTTGTTGTTTAACTTTTGCGTGTGTGTGTGTGTGTCTGTTGTTGTTTGGCTTAGAAAAATCCCTCTCTATCTCTTTCTCTTGCTCTTTATCTCTACTTTTTTGAAAATCTCTTTGTAAATAATTAAATTCGATACGAAACAACGAACCGTTTAAGCCCGATAACTCATCAAATTCTTTCTGATTCATGTTTATTCACTTACTCAATACACAAATCCGAACTAACTTGTTGCCTAAGGCCGTCAAAATACTTAAGTGAAAAGCATTACTTGTAAGATTACATTTTTGAAATTCTCACCACTCCGTTGGAAAAGCTAAGAGATTAATAAATTATTTTTCTCCTACTCATGTCACATGCTAAATCGAATAATCATCGCACAATGAAGGGCCCGCCATCAGCTCAATCGTGGGTAACTCGGAGGAGCCGCTCTCCAGCCTATCCGATCCCCATGACTACGAACCAAAGCTGGAGTTTGATGATACAGAGCTATTGACGCCAGCGCCACTCGAGAGTAAGATCGATTACAGAGTGTGCGCGACAAGCGATGCGATAATATTGGACATCAATGCGCTATAAAGCCAACAAAATTGAAACTTAAAAGTTGTCAAAGTGAGAGCGAAGAAATTCATCTCTTTCAGCTCTACTTGCAATGAGTGTGACAACTACTTGTCTTTGTATCTAACACTCGCGCTGATGTTGCACTTGAAACCACAAATTCTTCGTTCAAATTCATTACGCTCGAATTGTCTTTAATAACTGAAAGTAAACAACTCTTCGCTCAGAGATTTTACTCTGTCATCTTATCGCTTATCGCGTAGCATCGCATATCGCGCACATTCTAAGCATTATTTGCATTGCTCGAACTTAACATGATTAAACACTTGATTCATTGACAGAAGATGTTATGATCGGTGATTTTGTGCTAGCCGATGGTGAGTAAAGAAGAGTGCAAAGCGGTTTAAATAGTCAGTGACTAAAACATTCAAATGCCTTACAGATCCCGAGCTTGAGAACGAAGAAATTGTGAATCCCTTGGAGGACGATTTCGAGGATCAGCTGCGCGAGCAGTCGGAGAACTTTCAAGCTCAAAAAAACAAATGCGATTTTCTGGGCACGGATAAGCAAGGACGTCACATTTTTGGCATTTATGCCTCTCGCTTTCCCGAAAAGTCGCAGCTCGAGGGATTTGTGCGGTATGTTTTGCAAATGTTGTTGCCATTGGATTCTTTTAAAAACTGTCACATCTTGCAGCCAAGTCATCAAAGAGATTGAACCCTTTGTGGAGAACGATTATATACTCGTTTACTTTCATCAGGGCCTAAAGGAGGATAATAAGCCGTCGGCGCAGTTCCTGTGGAACTCGTACAAAGAGCTGGATCGCAATTTCCGAAAGAATTTAAAGACGCTGTATGTGGTGCATCCGACGTGGTTTATACGCGTCATCTGGAACTTCTTTAGCCCATTCATCAGCGACAAGTTTCGCAAAAAGCTAGTGTACATCTCCAGCCTCGATGAGCTACGTCAGGCGCTGGGCCTGAACAAGCTCAAGCTGCCCGACACCATTTGTGAATTTGACGACAAACTGAACCCAAGTCGCAGCCGTGTATCGCAGCCAGCAAACCCCAATGGGCGGCCGACGATGCAGTTTGGCGTGACCTTGAAATTCATTGTTATGCACAGTCCATGTCTCAACTCAATACCGCCCATTGTGCGCAAGTGTGTGGACTCGCTCTCAATCACGGGCGTCATCGATACAGAGGGTATATTTCGGCGATCGGGCAATCATGGCGAGATTATGGCTATCAAGGAGCGTGTCAATCGTGGCGAGGATGTTGATCTCAGCACAGTCAATGTGCATGTAATCGCCGGTTTGCTGAAGAGTTTTCTGCGAGATCTGGCCGAGCCACTGTTGACCTTTGAGTTGTACGATGATGTGACCAAGTTCCTAGACTGGCCAAAGGAGGAGCGTTCGCGGAACGTTACCCAGCTGATACGTGAAAAACTGCCCGAGGAGAACTATGAGCTGTTCAAATACATTGTTGATTTTCTTGTGCGTGTCGTTGACTGTGCGGATCTCAACAAAATGACCTCCTCCAACCTAGCGATTGTGTTCGGTCCGAACTTCTTGTGGTCCGGTCGCACAAACACTTCGTTGGAGGAGATTGCACCTATTAATGCATTTGTTGACTTTGTGCTGCAAAATCACAAAGCGATTTATCTGATTGATGTTAATCAGCGCACTGTAAGCGTAGATTAGCGGCACCGCTGTACACCACCACACACCACACCACCAACCCCCACACACACAAAGTCCGTAATTTGTAAATTGTTTCATTAAGTGTTAGCGTTAAGAGCCCGTTTTGGGGAGCACAGTGAAAAGCGCAAGCGTTTTTTCGTGTATAAAGTGTGTTGTAATTTTAAGTTGAAAATTTTCTTTTAACCTTGTAAACTGTGCTTGTAAAGGTTCTCTCTGCAACTACTATTTTAACTAACTTGTTGCCACCTCTCTCAACAGTATATTCCTCCTACTATTTTAACCAACTTGTTGCCACCTCTCTCAACAGTATATTCGTGCTCTCCTCTCCTCTCCAATCCCTTTAATAATAATGTAATACATTCAAATCACGAATAGTTAATTTACCAAAGAAATTTGTACGGTGTTTTATAAAACAGGAAACGGAGTTACGAATTACGCAAAAATATATATAATTTAAAATCAATGCGCACATTCCGAGCTAAAAACTAAGCTGCTGAATTTTGCAAAAAATGCAAGCAACTGGCAGAGCAATCTGTTGGAAGTGTAGAAAATTCAAAAAACGTAATAAGTGTAGATTATTGAATTTCCTTATTAGTAATATAAATTTTATATAACAAAACGGTATTGTTAACAAATAAAGTAAATGTTAATATCTTAATACATCCCTTGTGTGTGTTTGTTTCCCCTCTGTTTGAAATCTATTTCCCGTAAACAGCAAATTAAGAATTGTGGTTGCTTCTAAATGATGTCCATTTCGAATTTTTGAGACCTCTCGCTGCGTCTCTGCGCATCTTTTGTTTTTATTGATACCAAAACAAAAAAAAATAGAGTCCAAATTGGAATTTTAAATAAGTTGTTTACGAACGTTTACAGTGTACTTGGTTTATGTGCTTAAATATTGATGTTCTTTAGCTTGCGATTCAGATCATTGAACTTCATTATCTTACGCACAAAGAAATCGCCATATCGATGTGAGACCTTGGTGTCGGCAATATGAATCATGTCATCGTCAATGTAGAAATCAAGCTGCAAATGATCGTAAACAAATTTTACTTCTATTTCAATTTAAATGCGGTTGCACAACTCACCTCAGAGCCAGACTTGAAGGTGCCCTCGAGGCCACTGGGACCCTTGCTCCAGACCAAATTGCGCATCTTGTGCTTGAAGCAGAGCAAACGTATCAGCAGCTTGGACACATCATCTTCGTTGGCATTGGGATCGATGAAGGAGGCCAGTTTGGTCAGCGGCAATGTGGTGTAGAGCTTTAGATACGAGCGGGTTGTTGGCAAATCCTTCTGTTGGCGCACCTCATCCATGAACACAAGCAGCTGGTGCTCCATCGGATCCTTGACGTAGTCTTCCAGGGGCGCATCGGCGACGGGCGGACAAGGGCTAACAAATCTAGGGCATGCAAAGACAAAGAATGACTTGAAGACCTCCAGATCGCCGCACTGCATCTTGAACATGGCATCGTGATAGTTCTTCTCGCGCAACACCTGCTGAATGGACTCATCAATGCACTGCGGATGCAGTACCAGGCAAATGGCTAGCAAATGATACATCTGCTCGGCCTGTTTGTTGATCTGGTCGTTCTGATAGGAGCGCGTACTGTACAGCTGCTTGGTGCGCTGAATATACAGCAGGATGTCGGAGAAGGTGCGAATGGCATCCGCATAGCGACGCATCATCATGTAAGCGAATCCCACGTAGTACGATGTCGATATCTGACAAGCGGGTATGTGCGAATAGGCCGATTTCTTGTGAATCTCGATGGGCTCCAGCACCTTAATGGCCTGGTAGTAGTCACCCAGCAGCGAGTGGACGCGTAGCAGACCGACCAGCGAGAAGTAGCCGAGCATCTTGTAAAAGGCTAATTTGCCAAAATCGCCAGCCACGGTCTGCGGATCAATGCCCTGCGAGATGGCCTCCAGCTGCTTCTTGATGTTCGAGATATCGACCAGCGAATGGAGCACGTTCAGAATGCACAGAATACTCCACACATTGCTGTGATTCACGCATAGCTGCTGAATCTCATCCTGCGACTTGTCCGTCAAGCGTGCACTGTGCAAAGATTTAATATGATTTACAATAACAATTCCAAGACAATTGCTACTTACCGATATTGTGCAAAGTTCTGGAACTGATAGACAAACTCATCCACCAACTCCCATAACCAGATGTCGGGCAATTCGAGAAGCACCGGATTCTGGGCCGAAATGATTAGATTGAAGAAATCGCAGTAGTTGAAGAACGAGTTAATGCGCTGATCCAGCTTGGGACCACCAGGGATGCGAGCATGGATGTGGCGATAGTACAGCTCCTTATATAGAATCAGAAACACTTTGTCATTGTCCACAATGGCGCCCACCTCCTGCTCCTCGGGCCAGGCACTCTTGTCGAAGTGGTGATCGCTGATCTGTGGGAATGTGTTCTCATACATATTCTGTATATCGTAGAGATTCCCCTCCTTGATCGCCTGACAGAAGTTAATGAGAAAGTACTTGACATTCTCCGGCATGCGGTTGGCGTAGTAATTGCGCTCATACTCCAAATCAAGCGCTGGATCGCCGGTGTGCGCATAATCATCATAAAAGTCCTGCTGCTGATTAACAAGAAACAAAACAAAAGTTTATAGTTTTAATTGTGTATTGTTGACGGTGGCGGAGCCACAAAAGTTGGGTTATGTTTTGTTTGCCCCCCGTTAAATGGCAATTTGTGTAAGTGCAGTGTATGCTGTTGGCTGTGATTGGCAAATGCTTACCGTGTTATTAAAGTCTTCACCGCCGTACATTTTTGCTGTTTTACTATCTGTTCCTTGGCACAAAAACCGAATTACTTCGCAACGTCTGACAAACACGCCAACAAATTTTTCTGGCGTAGCAGAAAGGGATCGAAACGTAAGTGCGAATCGCCAAACGTAACGCAAAGCGGAGCTGTCTAGCGCAAAAATGCTCAAGGCAGTGCTGGAAAAGAGCTGAAAACGTAGTCCACAAAAATCGATAAGAGTATCGAAAAGTCCAAAGCATACTCGTGTATCGATAATATTAAATAATTGTAAGCGTAGCGAGACGTGTGTGTGTCATCTACTCGCAGCGTTAATTATTTTCTAATCAAACGTCGATGCTCCGTGAACGTTGGGCTGGGCGCACCGAACATATTTCAGTTTAAGCTCGCGTTTAAAAAAATAAAACATCAGTGAAATCACATAGAAGTAAATAAGGCGTCACATTGTGTTTATTGGCGAAAAGTGTTCACGTTGACGACGCCAGCACCGCGGGGTTGGGAAAACAACAACTTGTCCCGCTGGCCTGTGTCTGCTGGAACTGGCTGCACCAAAAGTGCATTTGACTGTGCATCGCATCTGTGGAGTCATTACAAATAATTTAAGCATAAATGTGTCATTAAGTCATTTGGCCTGATTTGCTAGTACAAAAAGCCAATATGAGGCAACAAAGTTCGTCACAAAGTACGGCAACAATTTCCATTTGCTCCTGCCTTCTGCTGCTGTGCAGCAACAGCGTGGGAATTGCACTAGCAGGTAAAATATGTTCATTAAAAGTATTGTTGTTGTATCGGAAATAATTCAATTTTTGTGTGCAAAAGGAAAAAATATTGAATTCTTGTAAGCCAAGTTTTGGGCGTGTTCCCCAAGCGCAGAAGACTCGTCATTTTTAATTTTGCTTTTGGTTTGTGATTCGCTTTTTAACACGCTCTTTGAAAAGATCGTGCGCCCTCTCTCTCTCTCTCGCTGCGCTCTCTGGCGCTCACGAGATCCAAAACGCTGCTTACGAACAGCGCTGGCAAAACAAAAACCAACAAGCAACGCCTTTTTTTTTAATTCGATGCTTATTGGAATCGTTTTTAATGTCGGTTTGGTTGCATTTTGTTGCCGGCATTTTTTGCATTGCGGCCATTGTTGCCGCTGCTGCACTGCGCATGCCACAATAAAAAGAAGAAAAACAAAAAAATATAATCTAATGATTAATTATATTACATTATATGTATTATATAATAGATACGCTGACCAAAAATAAACATTTTAAGTTCATATGCAAACATTTGATGACTAAAAATAAACAATTCCTCACTCTCAAGCATCAACCATGCACCCCGAGAGAAGCAAACAGACAGACAAACACTTTACTAATTTATTGCGATGCTTATAATTATTTCTTGCCCCTCCGGCCAAGGCGAACATCATCCACACTTCCCAAAAAAAATTCAGCAGGCGGAAATTAGTTTTCGATATCGGTCACGTCATATTTATTTCATTGAGAACATTAGCCAGATTTCTATTCTTTTTTTTTATTATGCATGTTGTGATTACATTGAAAATAAGCACATATACGATTAATTGGAATCATAATAGAAATACTTGAACTACTTGAGAATCGCATGTAGTATGTCAATCATATAAAAAGTAAGCCATTGCGTTTCTTCGGCTTAGTCAAGCGATAAAAACGAAAACTAGTTCAGATTTGTTGCCTTTAGCTCTCTATTGATTATTTTTCTAAAAATGTGCGTGTTTTCAATTGTTTGTGAAGGGGGCAAATCATACGGTGCCTGTCACTCAGGTATCCTCCTCCTCCTCCTCCAAGATCCCTATTCTAGTGGGTAGGGCATTCTTTTAAGTAAACATATGTATATAAATGTTAGTGTGCGTATTCTTGTGTGCATATATATCAAGATTGACTTTAGCTAATCTGCTGCAAGGCTCTGCTTTTGCCCCCTTCTCCTATCCAAGGGCACATGAACTCTGTTAGCCTCGTGGCAGACGGCTGACGGCTAAGGGCTAAGGGTTGATTTTTGTGTTTACACACACAGGAACTGCACCCACAAAAGGCGACGCCAACTTGGGGGTTGTCGTCTGAGACACACATCGACAGACGGAAAGACGGAAGTCGACTCTATGATATCCTGGCCCTGTTATCACGCCTGCTGAACTGTCTAAGTGGGCACTTTTCAATATTGCTGCAGGCACAAGGGGACAATGTCATGGAAACCAAATATTTACACCACATATAGAGAGATAAGACGGTGCAACAGCAAATTGCACTGCAATAAAGCAATAAATAAATACTGTGTTTATTTACACTTTCTGTTCATCAATGTGGTATGGCCATATTTATGGCTCATGAAAATGAGTACTAAAAAGCCGGAAAGGATCCAAATGATTGTTTAAATTATATACAAACTCAAGAAAATTGGCGACAGTCCAAGCGTATTACTTTTCATTCTGTTTCTGTCATTTTTCAATTTTTATTTACGCCAGTGACATTTTACATATATACACATATCATATATATCTCTGCGGCAAATAACTGGGTCATACAATTACTTCTTACCACACAAAAAAAGAAAATCTATAATTATTGTCGTTTTCTTGGCATTGCATTGCAGATTCCTTCAGTGATTATTTTTCCGACTATGAATGTAATCAACCTTTATTGGAAAATTCGGTCTTGACGGCCACATCATCGTTGACTGAACGTGGCCCGGATAAGGCGCGTCTAAATGGTAAGTCCAATCTGTAGATGTAATTACATTTGATTTCAGTTGTCTTTAGTAATTGCTTATTAGTTGCGTTTGTTATTTGTTTATTTTGACCTGATTAGTTTTACGCTTCTCAGTATTTGTTGTCTTTAGTTGATATTTAGCCGCCAAACATTTTAAATAAATAGTCCCCCTCTCCACAATTGGCGCTCGTTGACAACTCTACTCGCTGCACAGCGATGCTAACTCGTTGCATGCGTGTGTCGTCGTATTTACTGAATTCCACCAGTTAAGAAGAAGCAGCGCATTAGCAAATTAGTTGATTAAGTAAAGGAAAAAGAAAAAGGAAATTTGTCGAAATGTTTTGCAGTTTAATGAAATAAAATACAATTGCAAACATATTTGCAACGGCAATCCAATGAACAAACACATCTGCACACGATGGGCGTTCGATTTGAGCACATGGACGCCGACGTTACCGCAGCTGACGCATGCTGTTGCCGTCATCCAGCCCGAGGAGCGAACGCGTCTGATGAAGTTTCACTTTATCGATGACTTTCTATCCTCGCTAATTGGCCGCCTATTAATGCGCAAATTTGTGAGCACGTGCAGCGGGCAGCCCTATCATAAAGTGCAATTCACACGCGACACACGCGGCAAGCCCCACTGGGTGCAGCAGGCACAAGACGAGGCACAAAAGAGGAACGTCGCCCTCAGTTTCAATGTGTCGCATCAGGGCAAAATGGTAATACTGGCGGGCATCAGAGGCAATAAAGATGATGCCGAATTTGGCATTGGTGCGGATGTCATGAAAATCGAACACAATGGCGGCAAATCCCTCGCTGATTTCTTTCGCCTCATGCAGACCAAATTCTCGCCACAGGAGTGGAGCTACATTGGCAGGCCGCAGCATAATGAGCGGGCACAGCTCAAGGCCTTTATGCGGCACTGGTGCTTGAAAGAGGCCTATGTCAAGGAGCTGGGCGTTGGCATAACCGTTGATCTGCAAAAGATCAGCTTCTCGATGGACACCACACATCCGCTGGAGGAGGCAGCCTCACCGCTCTGTGGCACCACGCTGCGCTGCAATGGCACCCCGATGACGCAGTGGCACTTTGAAGAGCATTTACTATCACCCAAGTACTGTGCCGCAATCGCATTCCGCAATTGTCTGCCACACGAGCATGCGAGATTTGAATTTCTTCCATTCGAGAATCTTATTGAGCGCAGCGCAGCCGCCGAGCAACCAGATGTGGTTGCCTACTGCAAGGAGGCGCTACTCAAGCCACAGAAGCGCCATCAGTAGGCGCTAACGATACAAAAACATTAGCTTAGTTTGTGATTTTGAAATAAATGTAATTTTATTTTTGATAGCACACTCATACTTCATACTCCAAACATTTTAGGCGAGCGTTTGATTGGCGTGCCAAACAGCTGTCCACAAATTCCAGCTCTCTGCCAACAATAACAAAAACACAAATGAAATCAGACGTAAGCCGGAAATATGCTTAAAAGGCAATAAACCCAAATGTAGGCACTCTCTCCTGCTTGATTCGCTTGTCGTAATGGGCCCCAGACATGTTCCAGACAACGTTGTTTGCTAAATGTATGCACAAACAGAACGGGACACGGAACACCACAGTCTCGACAAAAGGGTAGCGACCTGGTAGTTAGGTTCACTGAGTTTATTTTATTTTTGTATATACCCTGTGCCCATTAAATGCGTGTGGAAAGGGTATAAGGAAGTTGCGGAAATGTATGTAACAAGCTCATGTTGATATCTACAACCTTATACAGTATAAATATTAATATTTGCAGTCAGCTAAATATAGAATTGTTCGTCCACAAGTTTACAAGTTGATGCATCTTTGTGGCTAGAGTTGATAAACAGTTGTAAGTAAAAAGTTGAGATCTGCAAGGGTATTTAAACTTCGTCACCCTAGCATAAATGCCTATTTTGTTTGTAGTTCCTTTTATGTTTTTTTTGGCATTCCAGAATTGTTGAGCAAAGTTTTATCGATGGCAAACTTTAATGCGGCATTGAAACTGAACTCAACACTACTTGAGCGCCATTTGCTTTCTATGAGCATAATCCCTGGCGATCGGATGCATATACACTGCTTGTTCACACAGTCTTTGGTCACGCCGGGCGCATTAAAACAAAAGCAGAATCCTCGGACGGGCTCTGAATTGTTTATGCTCAGTCCGCCTGCCATGTCCATTTAGTGTTAACACCAGCACTTGGGTTCACCCCTGTTGTTTCCCGCTGTTTGCTGCTGCAAGCTGCAGTTGCGAATTTATTTTTATGCCAGGGGTTTGCTGCTCTCTCTCTCACCCTTGCTTTTGTTAAGGACCTTTTGCTGGTAACGAGTCGGGTCGGGTCGGATTGGGCCACTTGCAGCTGTCAAGCGAAATCGCCTTAAATTATGGCCTCTTAATTGGCAACGATGGCCAACGTTTTGTCTGTAACTAATCGATCCACCTCCACCCTCCCTCCTCCCATTTGGGTTCACAATTGATTTTGTTTTTATTTTTATTTTCATTTTTAAATTACCAATTAATTTTTAACTGCCCTCCACCACCACCACACCAAAGCTGGCACATCCTGGTCAGCGAAGAGTTCGGACTTTGATCAGCGTCTGATCATTGATTTGGGTGTGGTGAAGAATGTTACGCACATTGCGCTGCAAGGACGCCCGCACAGCAATGAATATGTGACAGAGTATACCATTAGCTATGGCATCACAGATCTCGAGTTTGCCGACTATAAAGAGCCCGGTGGCAACATCAAGGTAAGCGCGCAACAACCAACCAACCAACCACCCGCTTCAAATCTCATCCTAATCCAATCAATGTGCTCGGGTTTTTATGGTGGTGGCTGGCACAGAGACATCAACCCGGATATGCAAGCTAACTAAAACAGCTGCACAAAATTCTACATATTTTCATAAATATTTAACGCTTTATTTGCATTTGTGCTTGTCTTTGTCTATTTGTATTTGTATTCATTTGTTTGCATGGCTTTCATTTTATGTGGTGTAGTTTTTATGTAGTTTTTTTTTTTTTGTAGTTTCACACTTTGCTTTCTAATAATGTGCTGACTCACTTAATCTGACATAATCTTAACCCCTGAATTGCACCCGGTGCAGGTAACTCTGCTTGGACGCCCGTCGAGAATACGTATAACCACTTTCTAACACTCGATCTGGGCGGGGCGCGTATGGTGCGCAAGATTGCCACCATGGGACGCATGCACACCGATGAGTTCGTCACGGAGTACATTGTCCAGTACTCGGATGATGGCGAGTATTGGCGCTCGTACGTAAATCCCACAAGCGAGCCGCAGGTAACCAGTGACTAACACTAGCCTAAGTCTAAATCTAAATCTAACTTAATCTTAAACTTGACTAAACAAAACTGAAAATTGTTGTATGGTGCAAGGCTCTTTCTATGTTTGATTTTATTATATTAATATCACAACTACTTTTGCGAAACAGATGTTCAAAGGCAATTCCGATGGCAATTCCATACACTATAATGTCTTTGAGGTGCCCATCATTGCACAGTGGGTGCGCGTTAATCCCACACGCTGGCACGATCGCATCTCCATGCGTGTCGAGCTCTACGGCTGTGAATACAGTGAGTGTAATAAAAATAATACCCATTTCATCAGTTATTAATGCTTATTTTCACAGTTTCGGAGAATCTGTATTTTAATGGCACTGGACTGGTGCGTTACGATTTGCGTCGTGAGCCCGTTGCCTCCGCCCAGGAGTCGATACGCTTTCGTTTCAAGACTGCCTTTGCAAATGGCGTCATGATGTACTCCCGTGGTACTCAAGGCGATTATTATGCCCTGCAGCTGAAGGACAACAAAATGGTGCTGAATCTTGATCTTGGTTCGGGCATTATGACCTCGCTCTCCGTCGGCAGTTTGCTGGATGATAATGTATGGCACGATGTCGTTATCTCGCGTAATCGGCGTGACATCATCTTCTCCGTGGATCGAGTTATTGTGCGTGGTCGCATTCAGGGCGAGTTTAGTCGCTTGAATCTGAATCGGGAGCTGTATTTGGGTGGTGTTCCCAATGTGCAGGAGGGCCTCATTGTACAGCAGAACTTTTCGGGCTGTCTCGAAAACATTTATCTAAACTCTACCAACTTTATAAAGACCATGAAGGATAGCTATGAGTTGGGCGAGGCCTATCTCTACATGAAAGTGAACACGATATATGCCTGCCCCTCGCCTCCGATTTATCCAGTTACCTTCACGACGCGCGGTTCGTTTGTGCGACTGAAGGGTTATGAGAACTCGCAGCGTTTGAATGTGTCGTTCTATTTCCGCACCTACGAGGAGACAGGCGTCATGCTGCATCACGACTTTTATTCGGGTGGATACATAAAAGTGTTCCTAGATTTTGGCAAAGTGAAGATCGATCTAATGGCTAAGGATAAGCCGCGCATCATTCTGGACAACTATGACGAGCAGTTCAACGATGGCAAATGGCATTCGTTTGTGCTTTCCATCGAGCGTAATCGTCTCATTCTCAACATTGATCAACGGCCAATGACAACGACCAAGAATCTACAGATAGCCACAGGACACACGTACTACATAGCTGGTGGCAAGGATAAGAATGGCTTTGTTGGCTGTATGCGACTCATCTCGGTGGATGGTAACTACAAGTTGCCACAGGACTGGGTGCAGGGCGAGGAAGTATGTTGCGGCGACGAGGTTGTTGTCGATGCCTGCCAAATGATTGATCGCTGCAATCCAAATCCCTGCCAGCACAAGGGCGTCTGTCATCAGAACAGCATGGAGTTCTTCTGCGAATGTGCCCATACTGGCTATGCTGGAGCTGTATGCCATACCTGTAAGTGGCAAAGACTAATATTATATCTCTGCTCGCTATCATTCGCTCTCCTTCTTTGTTTAGCCAACAATCCTCTGTCCTGTCAGGCCTTGAAGAATGTGCAGCATGTGCAGCAACGTGTTAACTTGAATATCGATGTGGATGGCAGCGGTCCGCTGGAGCCTTTCCCGGTTACCTGCGAGTTTTACTGTAAGTGCTTTTACTTTTTTATTGATGGCACTAAATCTAATCAAATCTTTTTGTGTAGCCGATGGTCGAGTTATAACCACACTGGGTCACAGTCAGGAGCACACAACGACGGTGGATGGCTTCCAGGAGCCCGGCTCTTTTGAGCAGAGTATCATGTATGATGCCAATAAACTGCAAATCGAGGCACTGCTGAATCGCTCACACAGCTGCTGGCAGCGACTGAGCTACTCATGTCGTTCGTCGCGTCTCTTCAATTCACCATGTAAATATTTATATTTCAAATCATCATTTTTATTGAATATTCACATTATATTTTTTTTTAAAGCTGAAGCTGGTAACTTCCGTCCCTTCTCCTGGTGGATCTCGCGCAACAATCAGCCCATGGATTACTGGGCAGGCGCTTTGCCTGGTTCACGCAAATGCGAGTGCGGCATCCTGGGCAAGTGTCATGACCCCACCAAGTGGTGCAACTGTGATTCCAACACCTTAGAGTGGGCTGAAGATGGCGGTGATATTCGTGAAAAGGAGCATCTGCCTGTGCGTGCTGTGAAGTTTGGTGACACTGGCACGCCATTGGATGAGAAGCAGGGCCGCTACACGCTGGGACCGATGCGTTGCGAGGGCGACGATCTGTTCAGTAATGTGGTGACTTTCCGCATCGCTGATGCTTCCATTAACTTGCCACCATTCGATATGGGACATTCGGGTGATATTTATCTGGAGTTCCGCACCACACAGGAAAACTCAGTGCTGTTCCATGCCACTGGCCCCACAGACTACATCAAGTTGAGTCTGATTGGCGGCAATAAGTTGCAGTTCCAGTACCAGGCCGGCAGCGGTCCGTTGGGTGTTAATGTGGGCACCAGCTACCATCTAAACGACAACAACTGGCACACGGTGAGCGTGGAGCGTAATCGCAAGGAGGCGCGTCTGGTTGTCGATGGCTCCATTAAGGCAGAAGTGCGCGAACCACCAGGTCCAGTGCGTGCTCTCCATCTGACATCCGATTTGGTTATTGGCTCTACGACGGAATACCGAGATGGCTATGTAGGCTGCATCCGAGCTCTATTGCTAAACGGAAAGATGGTGGATTTGAAGGAACACTCCATGCGTGGCATTTATGGCATCAGTACCGGCTGCGTAGGTCGTTGCGAATCGAGTCCTTGTCTGAATAACGGCACCTGCATTGAGCGCTACGATGGCTACGGTTGCGATTGCCGCTGGAGCGCCTTTAAGGGACCCATTTGCGCGGATGGTAGGCAAAATGAATATTAATGTTTAGCTTCTTTTACGAACTGTCTGATTTTGCTTGCAGAGATTGGCGTCAATTTGCGTTCCAGTTCCATTATACGCTATGAGTTCGAGGGCTCTTTCCGTTCCACCATTGCGGAGAATATTCGAGTGGGTTTCACAACGACAATACCCAAAGGTTTCCTGCTCGGCTTCTCATCGAATCTGACTGGCGAATATCTGACCATACAAATTTCCAATTCAGGTGACTTTACATACTCTTTTGTTGCATAGAATAGGTTATAATTGGTTCCTTGGCAGGTCACTTGCGGTGTGTCTTTGACTTTGGCTTTGAGCGACAGGAAATTATATTCCCCAAGAAGCATTTCGGTCTGGGACAGTATCACGATGTGCGCTTTATGCGTAAGAATAGCGGTTCAACGGTGGTGCTGCATGTGGATAACTACGAGCCCGTCGAATATAACTTTGATATCAAGGCGTCGGCGGATGCGCAGTTCAACAATATTCAGTACATGTACATTGGCAAGAACACCTCAATGTCCGACGGTTTTGTTGGTTGTGTTTCACGTGTGCAGTTCGATGATATTTATCCACTTAAGCTGATGTTTCAACAGAATCCACCCAATAATGTCAAATCTCTCGGCTGTAAGTTTCACATTGCTTACTTACTTAAAAGATTTGGTTACATTTGTCATCTCTTTGCTAGCTCAATTGACTGAAGACTTTTGCGGCGTTGAACCCGTAACGCATCCGCCTATTGAAATTGAGACTAGGCCGCCTCCACTGGTGGATGAGGAGAAGCTGCGAAAGGCTTACAATGAAGTTAACTCTGTGCTGCTGGCATGTAAGTTAAATCATTAGACCCAAACAAAATGCATTGTAATTAATCACGTCTGTTTTATAGTCCTGCTTGCCATACTCTTCCTGCTGCTTTTATTAATGTTCTTCCTAATTGGCCGCTATTTGCATCGTCACAAGGGCGACTATTTGACGCATGAGGATCATGGCGCCGATGGTGCCGATGATCCGGATGACGCTGTATTACACTCGACCACCGGCCACCAGGTCCGAAAGCGTACAGAGATTTTCATCTAAATAAACAAGTGCAGCAATGACAAGAAGACACGCAAACTGTTGAAAATTAATCGCCTTAAACACAAAATCAGCAACACACACAAACTGAGCGACGACTCAACCACTAAATATATATATAAAAACACAAAATCAAATCAACTAGGAAACGAATATGATAAATTATCATTCAGAGAACTTAAGGCATTTTCTACACTGCCAATTATTTTTAGCAAGTTTTTTGCTTTTAATTTGGTTAACTATTGGTTGCTGATTACTTACACTGTCGTTTTGTAAACGTTTCGCTTCTGTTGTTTAATGGCATTTAATTTGTAATTTTTATTTTACTTTGTACTTTGAACAACTCAATAGTCATCGAAGACCGTCCATTTTTGTTTAGTTGACTTTTATACACATTTTGTTTACCAAAATTAAGTTACCAATTGTACTTTAAGTTGCTACACGCTGTGCAGCCCGTCAACCAGCCAATTACATTTATGTATTGTACTAGTATTTATGCATACATATACGAATACACAAAAACCCACGACATTCCATTATATTTAATACGTTTTTCCCTCTATATTATTATTATGTAAATCATTTCAAATGTCTTCTAATTTACACAAAACGAAAAAAAAAAAACAAAAGTGAATCATTTTTTGTATTTAAACAAAATGCTAAGTTTTAAACATTTAGTAACGAAATAATAAAAGCGAATTGTATTTTTGGAAAATGCAATTGCATATTTGAAATATACCTTAGCATATGTATATATGGATGGAACTATATACACTGTGTTTACATTGACATATAAATTTTTCAAATTTCAATAAAATTAATTATATACAACAAAAATCGTTTTGTTTGTGAACTTACCGGCTCCCAGTGGAAACTATGGAAACTATGGAAACTAATTGATTTGCCAGTTTTCAGTCTCTTAATGTTTATTTAATATAATGTTGTATACTAAAAATATATGTTTGTATGTAAATGTTTTGTGTGTTTGTATGTGTGTGTGGTTGTATGTGTGTGTGTATTTTTGGGTGTTTACATATTTATAGGCTATTCCAGTTTTCATATTATCTCAAATATTTATAACAATATCGTTAAACGCTATTTTTGATTACTACGGGGTTTTCAAATTTGTAATTGTTTTTTGTTTGTTGTTATTATTTGTATTTGTTCAACTACAGTATTGGAATATTTCGAGGTGTATATATAATAATGCTATATGTATTATCCAACAACAGTCTAAATCGCATCTAAAGCTAAGATAGAATAACACTGGGTGGGTATATATTGAATACTTGGCAATAAAATTGTATGTTGAGGTTGTCACTAATCGTTCCAGTCCAGTAACAGTTAATGCCTTTCCAGAGCTTATGCTAATTATTCGTTCGTTGTATCTAATCATAATGGGTTTAATTGGTTTTGTTACCCAACCAGCGTTCGTTCGGTTCGATAATTTCTCTAGTTGTGCCTAGTGCATTTGTGTATGGGGTATGTATTTGTATATGTAGATATGTTTCAACAGAGCATCGGCCAACATTTCTAAAAAATGGAAGTCAACAGTTTGCCGTATTGATTATGTTTGGTTGGTTGTTGATAAGTGGTATTCGATAAATACTCGTATATATGTCTCGATATCTTTTGCCCCCCTCCCAAAAAACATAAAAAATGAACGCATTACAAAAAACTATCACAAATCGTTAATGACAAAACATAAATTGTACGTAACTACAAGCACAAGGGCGTGGCTGCGCCCACACACTTACGGGCAAGTGCAGCAGCAGCATATTGTCCACAGTTCGTTCCGGCACAGTTCGTCCAGCCAGCTTCTAGTTATGCACATTGTTGTTGGCCAACATGCGGTAACGATTCAGCAGCAAAACGGCTGCATCCTGAGCAGGCTTTACCTTGCCGTGCGCCTCCTCGTAGGCGCCAAATAGGATTCGTTCTCACAAAATCGTACAGAGCACAAAGAGCATGGACACCAGGCACAGCATGGCCACAATATCTCTATGCAGCTTCCGGTCCCGATAGAAGGGACGCGTCGAAAAGTTCTCACTCCTCGCCCGGCGCAACAGCCAAATCGGTATGACAAAGTGCAACAGATCGGGCAACATGAATCCTATGTCGCGTACTACCTGATGGGCTGCTCCCTCGCCCCGCACCACATTCATGAAGAATTGATCGAAACTCCCGGCGAGGATGTGCAGCAGTGCAATGCCCACAATGCAGAACACCTTCTTGGGCTTAACCACATTCGTGGTGTTGGCCAAGTGCATTACCAGCACTGTGGAGAATAGCTCCGTTACCTATAAGAAAAGTTAGAATAAAAGTTACGATTAAAATTCGTGTTTTCAACTTTAAATGCAGTATTCAAAAAATTCCTGTTTTTTTTTTTTTTAATTGCTTCAGCCCCGTCACTAAAAGCACTTTTTAGGGATTCATTTTAACATGCATTTTTTAGCAAGAGTCGCGTTTTCAACTTTGAATGTAAAATTCTTTTTGAGGCCGAGCAATGATGAAATTTGGTGATTTTTGACAAAGTTTGATGATTTTAGACAGCTTTTACCCATCACAAGCATTTTTTGTGGAATTTCGAAAGAGGGTCGCGTTTCCAGTTTTGAATGTAGTCTTAAACTAGGTGTTAAATAATGATGAAAAGCCGCATCTTTTTAGATCTATTCACTTTTTACAAATGTAATGGCAGTTTAAAATTTTTAGCCATGCTTTTTTTGTATTCTTTTAATCACTTTGCCAAAGTTTATAGTTTATTTGTCTATCCCTGCTCATAAATCATGGGCGTTAGTGAAAGTTCAGATTGTGGAATGGAAAAACTGCAACTGATTGAAGTGATTGACGAGTCTAATTAAATTTTAAACAGGCTTTTAAAATGAGAAGTTCTGCTTTAAAGTATTTGTTGCGTTTCCCTTTCCGACTTGTTGCCCTTGGGATTGACAGTAAGTGCACTTGTTTCGATTGCCTGATTGGCAATGCTCATTAACGTTGGCTAACTATGAAAGTTGCACTTGGGACTTGAAAACTTTTTAGCTTGGCCATTTAACAAATTTATACTCGCCTTAAATTTCTAGCTAGAGCAGAGGTCGGGCATAACTTTAGAAGTGGACGAACGTGAAGAACGTGAATGGATGCAAAGTTGAGGTCAACGCGAGCAGAGAGCGCATATTGTGTGCAAGTTTTGCGCATTGGAATTTTTAGCTTAACTTTACTAATAAATTATAGATAACCACGGGGCACGGAGCAGTGGCCGGTCACCACTTGAGCAGACACAGTGCAAATAAATATGCACTTGGTCATAAGTTTGTGAAGAGGCTTTTGAGCTCACCGTGAAGAACAGTTGGTGATTCCATTGATTGTAGTAGTCGTCGTTGTAATAGTTGATGTACGCCCACCAGGCATAATAGTGCGAGAAGATGGACAGCAGGAACAGTAGCAGCATTGAGTAGCGCACTCTCTGCTGCAGGATTAGGGCGATGAGCCGCTTGATACACTCGTAAAGTGCAATTACGGCAAAGACCGTCAATATCCACATCTTGAAGCTATTGGGCGTCGCATTGAAGTACATGTGCTTGTAGGCGGCCACTCCCGATTCGTAGGGACCCTTGAACACCGTATCCCAGCAGGAGCACGTGCAGAAGTGCCGGTCCACGTAGCGTGCATAATTCTCCCAGAAGTACCACAATACAACGATGTGAGCCGGTGGTATCAGTGCCGGTGCCAAGGAGCCACAAGCGGTGGGCAGCCAGGTAACATCAAACATTGCACTTGATGATGCCAATCCTCTTAAGCTCCTGAATATCTCCGGTTGTGCAGCTTAAGTGACCGACTGGCCTGACTGGTTGGCTACTTGCTTGGCTGGCTTACCTACTTAATTCCCGGCAGTTCCGCTTACTCCATTGTTCAACTCTTAAACTGCAAGAAGACAATGAAAATGTTTTTTCTTTTTTGTTATTGCAACTGCTCAATTTCTGATGAAAAGCAAATATTTGAAGAATTTGATTTCAAGGCATGCAATATCCAAGACGAGAGTTAATCCCTTAATGTTATTATGTTTTCTAGAGCTAAGAAATGCGAAAATTTATATTACATTTTCTATCTTTTAATTTTACTTCCTGCTATTCACATTTATAATAAATAAATATTTTTGTTGTTGCTTAAACTTAATATTCGATATCTGAAGTCATTTAAATTTTGCTAGAAATGCTTTAAGTTAATTCATATGTTGTTTATATGTTCATATGGCAAATATTTGTTCTAGTTATGAAAATAAACACAAACGCGCCAATATTACCAGTCGGCAATATTTCGATTGACGAAGGATGAATATACAGTGTCTCGCAGTTCAACTGGAACAGCGCCTAGCAAAAAAGTTAATTGCCTGCCATAAACAAATTATTCAATATTTTTCAAAAATTCCAAAGAACTATGGCAGGTACATATATTGACTACCTATATGACTATATGACCCCCATAAACTGGGGTTTTCCCACCGGCTAGGTCGGGTTATGTAAAAAAGTACCTTAATTTGTGGTCACATATTATGTGGAACAATGGCGTTATGGACACCTGGGTGCCATAAAACCCTGATTTTTTACGTCAGGTTGATTATTTTTGGTATAAATAGACCAATCCTTCGTAGTCAGATTAGTTATATCCTGCATCTCGAGTGCAACCAGCCAACAAGGACTATGTGCAAGCGGACTACCATTGAACAACGGAAACTGATCCTGGAACACTTCAGGATTGGATATTCATATCGCCAAATAGCTAAAATGGTAAATCTGAGTACCACAACTGTATTCAATATCATTCGGCGCTTCGTCGACGAAAATCGGATAGAGGACAAGGGCAGAAAGGCACCACACAAGATTTTCACCGAACAGGAGGAGCGGAGGATCATCAGGAAAATAAGGGAAAATCCCAAGCTATCGGCTCCAAAACTGACTGAACAGGTGCAGGATGAAATGGGGAAAAAGTGCAGTGTGGAGACTGTGCGCCGGGTTCTGCGCAAACATGACTTTAATGCCCGAGTACCACGGAAGAAGCCCTTTATAAGCGCAAAAAATAAAGGGACTAGGATGGCATTCGTCAAAACCCACTTGGACAAGGATTTGGAATTCTGGAACACATTCATATTTGAAGATGATCCCAAATTAAACATTTTTGGCTCAGACGGACAAAATTATGTGTGGCGACAGTCCATTACTGAGCTGAGTCCCAAAATCCTAAAGGCAACAGTCAAGCACGACGGAGGAAGTGTCATGGTATGGGCATGTATCTCGGCAGCCGGCGTCGGGAATTTGGTGTTTTTTGAAACAACAATGGACAAGAGTGTGTATTTCAATATATTAAAGGAAAATTTACTCCAAAGTGCCGAGAAGCTAGGAATCCGGAGTACTTTCCAGATCTACCACGACAACGACCAGGACAACAGCCAAGCATAAGTCCGGATTAGTACGGTCTTGGCATATCTGGAACTGCCTCCACATGATAATTCCACAGGCCCAGTCTCCAGATTTAAATGTTATTTAAAATTTGTGGGCTCTGCTCGAAAATAACATCCGGAATCACAGATCCGATCTCAAGAATGCTCTGCTGGATGAGTGGAGCAAACTCAGTCCAGAAACGACCCGGAAGCTGGTATCTTCCATGAATAATAGGTTAGGGGACTTTATTAGGGCTAAAGGATATCATACTAAGTATTAACATCCTTATTTAAGTTTTTATACGCCTAATATGTTACTTTTCCAAGACTGTTCCAAAAAAACTGTAACATGTATTTTGGATATGTTTTAAGTTTTGACTAATTTCAGTTAATTAATTAATATTTTAATAAAAACTGAAGTTTCCTTTTCAAACGTGATATAACATAAAACAAATTGGCATTTAAACATTTTGCGTTTATTGTTTTGTTTAAAAGTTATAGCACTTTAAATATTTTGCTAGGCGCTGTTCCAGTTGAACTGCGAGACACTGTAGGTGTGCACACATAAACATAAACAACCCACTTGCAGAAAGATACAGATCGGCAGAGCGAGAGAGAGAGAGGGTCAATTTTGGCACATTGCATTACAAGTTGAAAGTGTAGTAGGGAGAGGCAAAGGCACAAATGAAATGAAGCAATTATGAATTCATACGTTTGCCAGAGCAGGGCAGAGATGATGGACCAGCCACGTAGAGGCAACTGCAGCCCAGATTTGAAATGCAACCTTCTGGCATGGCTGCCAAAAAAACAAAAACGAGCGGTCATTAGTGCCGCACAGCGTGCAACCGGGTGTGGAGAGTGTGGAGGGATTGTTGCGGAAGGGTGCAGAGCACAACAATTTTGTGGCATAAATATGTGGAAAAAAAAAGAGTACATTCTTCTGTTGTGCCGGGCATCGGTTTAATTAATGTCGATGGCATTGCCGCTATATCTGAATCTGAAACGGAATTCGCAGCTGCCAGTGAAAAAATATTTCGATTTGTTGATTTTTTCTCATCTCCGTTGTTACGCCACTGTTTAATAAAAACAAAAACAAACGCAACCTGCACATTGACGTCATAGTTCTTCAATGTTAAAGCTGTTTTTTGTGTTTAAGTTGTGGAATCGGAGAGTGCAGAGCACAAATTGCTGGAAATTGAAATTCGACATTTGAGTACAAAAACGCAGCCGAGCATCGGAGTGAAAAAACATTCAAATCTAATTAAATTAGTTACCATTAAATTTTGATTTCGCATAGTATATGAATACGAACTGCAGTTTAAATTGCGAAATCATTTAAAATCTGTTCGTTGTATTTATGAAATAACTAATTGGTATTCTCAAGAAACAATAGCTGAACACTTGCACAATTCTCGATAAGGATAAGTTAAGTTTGGGATTGGTGAATGGTATTATAGTATTATTTAAGTGTAATCTCATAAAAGATCAGCTTAAATCCGATGCAGAACATGTTTAGGCAAAATAGGTCACAGTTTGCATTAATAAGGGTTTGTTTTATAATCACTACATCGCGCCAAGAGACAACGCGATGGGGTTCTCGAAAGGCTCGTCAGCTATCACCGTTGAGTGGTTTTGCTCGCGCTTGTTTGTCAAGCCATCAAATTAAGCCTTGTGCTACTTACAAAATGCACATAAAATCAAATGTCTGGAGACACTAATTCCGACCAGCATACCCGCCCACTGAAAATCGCGTGCGAAATGTCTGAGTTCCTCGCAGACTTCATGCAAACAAACACCTACTCCAACAGCAGCAGCAGCAGCAACAGCAACAGCAACAGCAACAACAGCAACAACAACAACAAAAACTACAACAGTAATAATTATAGCAGTGACAGTAAAACCGTCAACAGTCATCGCGCCTTCACTTGACTTGCATTGTGGCACAAGCAACACTAACATCAGCAACAACAGCTGCCGGCGATGGCAAGCGCGTCGTATGTGTAATGCGAGGGTAACACTCGGCAGTCCTGGGGTGTTATTGTTATTGTTGTTGTTGTTGTCGTTGCTTGTCTGGGGTGTGTCAGTCTTCTTTGGCCATTGAGTTGTGTTCCTTGCATGCTCATTTGTGTCTCCTTCAATTGTCGTTGCCAGCTGTTGATGTTGTTGTTGTTATTTTTGTTTTTGTTGCTGTTGTCGTTTGCTTGAAGTGGGGCAGACGCTTTGTTTTAGCGCCGCCGGCTTGTTGCTATTTACATTCGCTGTTGGAAGCCATAAAAGTGTTTTTGATATACATGCATATGCAACGTGGAAGGGCGCCATTAAAGTGTTTTCAATATAAAATACAAAGATTACGCATACGACGTGTGTGTCTAACAAAAACAGATTTTTGGGGAATGCATTGATTAATAAGCTCTGAGCACGACAACTGAAGCGTATATTTGCCAAAACAACCCCTAACACACACACACACATATGTTCAACAACAGGCATATTTATATATAATTATATACAAATTATGCCCATATTTATATGTAACTGTTTGGATGACGTTTGCATTGAGATAAATCGCTGCTAGAAATTTATTGCCATTGCCTATAAATGACGTTTGTTTGGTCAATATTTATTTTAGCTTTGAGCACACGATACACATGCACACACACATACCCACTCACACCCACATACACCCCCATATCATCTACAAGCAATAACAACAACAAAAACTACAATTGGCTTGATGTTGTTGACTGCAAATCGCTTTCAGCTGCTCGGAGCGAGCATTGGCGCTGCACAGGGATGCGCGCAAGTACAATGAACCAGCCGAGGAGTCGTTTGCTGTGTGGAGGAGACGCAGACAGCTACGTCGACAGAGCCGGTTAACTGCCTAGTAAGTACAGCAAGCAGCAGCAAGCAGCAAACAGCAGCAGCAAACAGCAGCAGCAGCAGCAGCTGGCAACAAAATGCGGGTACATACAAACAGTGAAAAATCGAAAGAAAATTAACTGGCCAAAATACTTAGTTTCGGACTAAGGCATCCACACCCACACACATACACACATACACACACACGCACACACACATACAGCCATAGCACACGCGGGATTTACCAGCATAATCCTTGAATGGGATGCTGAAGCACACGCACACGCACACACAGCGTTTCATAATGACTTACACTTTATGCTGTGTTCGACGCCGGCATTAACTTTATCAAGTGTATCATGGTTTTTTTTTATTATATATCTCTTTTTTTCTTGGGTTTTTTCACAATATTCTTAGAAAAAATAAATGAATTTTACTATTGAATGCACTTGAATTTGCTGTTTGAAACAAACAACCGCGGGCGCGTCGTGAAAAAGCCGACTGAAATTTTTATTATGCTGGCTGCGTTTAAATTCTCTGCTTCGATGCTTCGATGGCGACGGCGACGGCGACTGAGACGACGATGGCGTTGGCGATGACGAGGAGACCATCGGCATAACTGGCGCCGGCGCCGGCGTCGTTGTAGTTGTCTGGCCAATGATTTCCAACAACAAAATACGGGGACGCAGCTCTCAGCTGTTGGCCACCCTTGCCATATTACTCTCGCGAGCGAAAATACTGGGAATTTTATGAACGGGAAATGCATGCGGCTAGATTAAGTATACGCACTGTTGCTGCCGGTCAATAAAAGATGCCGACAGACTTATACTGTTTATCCTTACCCCCCCAATCTACACGTACGAACAGATATATATATATCTATATATATATATATGTTTGTCCTTGTGGAGCCATTTAGCAACTATCATCTTTTATTTGCCTGTGCACCTGTTGAGGCAGCACCACAGGGGTTTGACTTGTGTGCTTTGTCCGTCGGTTTGCAGTTCAATTAAAATACGTTGAATGCCTTTAGGGATGAGTCCGTTAGCGTATTTTTCTAAGTTGCTTAACCGTAACAAGGAGACAGATTCATTTTTACATTTTTATTCGTTTAGATCTTTACAAACATACAAGTTACACGTATATGTTAAGTTTTAAATACAAATTAGTTTGCATCAAGTCAAATAAAAAAAACTGAAGTTGTAATTGGGCTCGGGCACATACCTGTCCGAGTCCATTTTAAATATGCTAATTGGATTTTTTTGTTTTATTTTTATTTTTTTGTTTTAGCTACATCTGCTTTGTTTAGCTTTGTCGTTTTTGGCGACAGCTCTAGCAAATATTCGATGTAGCTCTTTCATTCCATTGTTCTCTGTAGTCCATTTATCCACAAGCAGGCTAACAAAAGTAAATACTCTCACTGCCATAACAATGGTTTTAATATAAGGATTTTGCATTGTTCTTGCAGATGGTAAGTTAATGCTTACGGATGTAAGTTAAAAATTAGAAAATAACATACTTTTTTCTGTAAGCTTGCATACAAATTTTGCTCAAATATAAAAACAATAATGGATTATAAAAACAGTAATTGCAATATATGCATCTCTAAATAGACATCTTTAAGGGTATTTAGACATCGACTAATATCTAGTTTGGCTTTACTCCTGTAATTGCAGTGTTTCATAGGTCTCTTTTAGCATGTTTTACTTTTGATACTTTTGTTTTATTTGTGTCACTGCTTTACATGCACACGAGTTCAAGGGCGTACCCAGTTTTTCGCAAAGGGTTCAATTATCTTTTTCGTTTTTTACTTATTTTTTACTATAAGCCATTGTACCAAGGGGAACCCGTTAAATTTTGGACACAGGCTATTCGAAAAAAAAAATATTGCTATGAAGATAAAGTTACGTTTGTAAAAATCATTAAATAATAAAGTTTTTTTCAAAGTAATTATGGGTAGGCTGAGAAACCTCAGATAGGGTACATCGGTTTAAAATAAAAAATATGTTGCTTTGATGACAAAGACTCTTGAAATGATTAAAGGGGATGGAGGAGGCAGAATTATATTTTTATTATTTTTTTTTTTAATCTAAACCACGTTTTTTATATTTTAATCAACGATTTTTTTTGACACCCACCCTTGTCTAAAGTTACCCTTTCCCCTTGCGTACACCCTAACAATAATATCTTATACTATTTTTTGTACTTACATAAAACACTTAAATAGTATAAATTCGTATTATATTGCCGCTAAAAGTAATAATTTTCATTGCCTTAGTTCAAATGGTGTATCTTTGGGTTGTATTTGATTTTGTTATTGTTTCTGTAGGTACAAGTACTCATTCGGGCTTGGTTAGGGCCTTATATTTTAGTCCAAATATCGCTTAATATTTACTTCAATATATAAAAGACAAAAGCTTACGTTATTCAACAATGTGGACGAGAGAAACAAATCAACATGATAGAATAACAATGCAACCATTAAAAATAAATATGCATATAAATGAAATGTGCTAAATTATCGTACTACAAAGTTTCAATAAAACAAATGATTTAATATTGATTTTATGCAAATTCGATTGAATACGTTTTGGGACGTTTCAAATTACGAAATTAATTGGCATAATTCTGATTACATTTTAATGGAATCAATATGATATTGAGACACAATTTCCGTTTGATACAAATACATTCAAGTATCCACAAGATACATTTCTAATTGTATCAATGTTCCAGCAGCTTATTTTGAGCGACATTATTACTATATTACTTGAGACTAAATGCTTAGAATTATTACAAATACAAGCCAATTGTGCATAAGTATTTGCCATATATACTAAAGTATATTTTACCCTCAAACATTTGCGTTAAGCTCTTTGAACATGTTCTCCTTCACTTCGTCGCTATGGTCATGCAATCCCTGTTCTATTTATGAAATACGAGTGGGTATCATTGTATCTATATATCTATAAGTTGGCTATAATTGCGGTGAAAGTAATGGAACTGAGCAGAGGCACACGACAAGAACGAAGGCAGAAATTTATTAAAAAGAATACAATGGCTGGGTTTCTAATTACGGCTTTCATTTTAATTGTGCCGCCTAAAAGAAAGCGACTTTTGATGCATTAAAAAAAAAGTGGATTAACTTAGGGTATATTTGAAAAAACTAAATGAAACTGATGCACGATTTTTTATTCAAGCAATTTAAATTCTAAGTTTTTGGAAGTAAACTTCTGAGTCTCATACAGTTTTTCAACATATAGGTGAATTTAATATTTGCTACTGAAAATTCATTTAAATAAATAAGATAAATTTAAATATTAAAAAATATGCAATAATTTCAGATTTTCTTTCTTTTTGCTGTTGATTTTTCGAGCTCAATTAAGTGAAATAATTCGAGTGTTTATGCATATATAATCTCTCTGGTACATTTCATATCACGATTTGTTTACTCCCCCTACTGACATCGTTCTTTAATTATCTACCTTTCTTTTGTGCTCAACATGAGTAGTAGTAGTAAAATATTCTATAGCTTTCTCTCTCTCTCTCTCTCCCAAATAAATTACCCAGATATATAAACATAAAAGAGGACAACCAGTTGATATGCTAAGCTGCAAAACTTAGCTGATTAGCAGCTCTAAAACTTACTCTGTTCCATATCTATGGAAATGGAATTATTGATTTCAGCAACAACAATGATCTCCTCGTTCTCATCGGTTTCCTCGGGAACGATCATTAGGTTGTTGTTCATCTTGTAGGACTCAGCGCGGTTATCGCCTTCATTGGAAGATGACCGCACTCGATGATTGAAGGAGGAACGCGAACGGGTCATATATGAGGAGCGAGTGGTGGAGACGCGTCTCAGCACACCGCGACCAAAGAAGATCATTCGAACCTCGACACGAAATCTGGGATGTGTGGCTGCATATAAATAGGGATCCACACAGGCGGCCGTCTTGCAGAAAAGTGCGGGTATCATTGAACCCAATGGAGTGATATGTTGTTCCAGCCCGAAGACACCCATCATGGCAACAATTGCGTAAGGCGACCAGGCAATGAACCACAGCCCAATGATGGCGGCCACTATGAATGTGAGTTTCTGCTCGGTCTTTGCCTTATCCTTGCTCGACTGTATCCGATTGGCCGTGAAAACCACTTTGAGTATATAGAAATATGAGTAAACAATGCAGGTCAATGGTATGCAGTAGGCGGCCACAAAGAAGAGTGCCATGAATATCCTTGCTGGCGTATCCTTGTTGAGGTAGTCAAAGCTGCAGGTCGTTAGATAACCCTCCGGCACATAGACAGACAGCCCCACATCAAGCGCAGGTGTGACAGCGAACACAAAACTGTAGCACCAGATGAGAAAGATGATGAAATAGGATCGCAGGCGGGAGAAACGTCGCAATGGTTGCAACGGATGCACCACAACATTATAACGATCCAGAGCAATGGCCGTCAGCGTTCCAATAGCACAGGTGCCACTTAGTCCACCCACAAATCCATAGAGGCGACAGGCTGCGGAGGAGCAGCTTGTAGAAATTTGTTGTAATTCACAATTTCCATTCACTTACCTGCATCGCCCAATGCTGGTCCCTCATTGATATTGTTGTAAATTGCAATCGGGCATTTGACCAGCATCAGGAAATCACAAATGGCCAGGTTCATGACCAGTATATTCGCTGGGGTGCGCAGAGATTTTCGGCTTACAAACATGAAGATGACGAATGCATTGCCAAAACAGCCCACCACAGAGATGAGACAGTAGAGTCCAGCCATCATGTAAAAGGTGCTCGTATCAGGTGGTTCAAACTGTAGCCAGAATGGGTTCACCTTGGCTATGTAGGTCAGGTCGTATTTATCGCGATAATGTATATAGCCGGGATATGAGCTGCATCGAAATAAACAATGAGCAATTAAAGTCGATGCCATGGAACTGGGTTAACTATTCTCAGCATTTATATCAATTTATATCTAGCGAGCTTTAATGTCGTTTCTTATTTCAATAAGACTGCCTATTAGTATCATGAGCGTTCCATAACACACAAAGTTAACATTTATTTAAAGCATTTAATTACGCAAACAGTTATTTAAATTTCCCATAGCAAATCGAACGAGATATATTTATTTTTTATTGCAGTTAGTCTGTCTGTGAAAGTCGTGAGCTTGCAAAGTAAAGACAGATTTAAAATTCATTTTCATCACATTAGTGTCAAAGTCTGACTTTTTAGATTATTTACATACATATGACATTATACATATTACCGAATATGTCAACAAATGTGTCTGCTATTGCTTTAGGCATCTGTCAAACTTTGAGGGTATCGATTCGGTAACGAGGTACGCAGAGACTTACGTGAGATCTGTGTCGCTGTCATTCACCGTATGAAGATGCTTGTCATCAACTTTGCTAACGTTCACTGCCGTTGTGGCAGTTGCAACAGCCGTTGCAGCGGCAAGCGTTGCATTTTGTGCAGCGCCACGACCATCACTGCTGGCAAGGACTTCAGAGAGGGCGCTAGTTAACCACTGACTGCCATCGTCCGCTGCCAGCGTTGGTAATGTCGACATGATGGTCTCCATGTCGTGCTTTTCCGTCTCTTTGTTTACTGCTGTTGTTGCAGCTGCTGTTCTTGCTATTGTTGTTGTTTGCCCTTTAGGGTAAACTTGCGGGCATTTCTACGGGTTACTGAATATTTCATGTGTCACGCTGCGAATGCTTGATGTGTGTCCTTGACTTGACTTGGCTAAAGGCCGTCTTTGTCTCTTGCAGGTATATCCGCTTATTTAGTTGCAATTAGCTCAATTACCGGAATCGGCAATGCTGCCCAGTGACCCAACATCCACATGATTCCATTTGTGCTGCTCAGCATCCCACGCACGGCGTCAATGAGTTGATTTCAATTAATTGCAATGGGACAGCAGTACTGAAAGTATACGGATAAATTGCATTTACGGGTTAACGAGTTTTCTCTGATTTGATTGTCAGTGTTTCGTATACGCTACTAAAAAGCCATTTAAGTCCTGAGGATTTTATATTTAAGCCGATCTTAAGCAGCAATCTGGGTTTCCAATAATAGCCAATCACTTGGTATTTGCCAAGAGCGCTCATTAACCTTGACTTCTAAATAGCTATTTAAAATCTTTTTTTCAGCTGCAAGCTTCAACTCAACTTTCTAATCAATACAGCTTAAATTCTAATGCCCAACCAACTGATTTGTTACACGGGTTGTCAACCAACTGATTTGTTACACGGGTTGTCATTAAAACTTTACATTTTTTCATGTTTGATAATACGTATCACATATAGACATAAACATGCTTATACTTAACTCTTCTTTAAACTTTTCCTTCTTTTGTTTATATTGCTTCCTCCTACTACCTATTTGTAGTATATTCAGCTAATAGGTAAAGTTTGGCAAGAGCAGCGTGAATATAATAAGATAAGTAAGTGCAATTCCAGTGTAAGGGAAAATATGACTTTAATCCAGTCCTGCTCATTTCCCTATTTAAAGTGAATACCTCGTTATAAATGGCAAAGTGATGCAGCTGCCAAAATATGCGCAAAATAAGTCAGTTCGGATGAAGTTCTATAAAGTGGACTTATCATGATAAGTCAGAAAGAGAAACGCAAAGGTGTTCCAATTTATACATAAATCAAAATCAACAAAAAATTTATTATTTATTGTCATGATTGTCGCTCAAATCGTGTCAGCATCTTATTGGGCTTATGCATCATTAATCTCCCATGTTACCTTGGCACATCAACATGTAAATCTCGATATGTAAATTTGGGGAAAACACTTAAGCATCGCTGGCGTGAAAATCAAAATCAATTAACGGCTCTGCGTAACCTTGAGGTTGGTTTATTCAACAACAATTTCCATCCATTTGGCAGCTGTTGTTCGGGCACGTGTCATAAAAACAAGGGGCCAGCTCTGGGCTTAAGTAAATCACAAGCAAGGATTTAATTAAATCAACCTAATTGCTTCTTAAATAATGTGATGCCAGATAGCATCAGTTTCTCTAGATCTACAAAGCACAAATATTTACAAAGCCACAAACAGCAACTTAAACAACTAAGCAGCTCTTCAAGTTACTGCTGGCAGGCATGGCAACTTCTAAGAATGTAAGAACCATCGGAGCTACCACAGCAGCAGCAGTCGCGAAAACTTTCTTAAGCAACAACTTTGGGGCCAGATCAACAATTGCAGCAAGAACAAGCAATTTGCCGGGGGCCATTCTTCAGTCGCGACATTAAATTTTGTATTTTTATTTACAACTCTCAGTTGGGACTTGTGCTGCTGGCTGCCTTTGCTTGCTGGTTGGTGCGTTGTTTGACTATTTCTGGTCTGTACTAATGACTGGACTGGCAATGGGGCCTGTTTAGCGGCATATAATTGGCACTAATTGGCCGATAGCAATTTGCCTCTCTCAATGGCCAAACAACATACAAGCGAACATACTGAAAAGCGCTATTTGCATTTTACATTCGGTTCGCTTTTGGTCCGTCAGCAATGCAAAATTCATTTACCGCCTGGACAAATGCCTTTGTACTCTTTGTGTCCACTGTAAAGGGCTGCAATTTAATACTCTCTCTCTCTGTCAATGGAATTGGCCAATTAATAATTGTTTGGCTGTGATGTGACAAATGGCTGATGTGTGTGGCTTACTGAGACCATAAATAGCTGCAGAAAAGTCTTAATTGGCACAATACTCTCTGAACATTTTGTATTTAGTTTCAGTAGCTTCAGTAGAAATGATATAAAAGTTAATTTTCAATTGTAAATCAATTCAATTTTGACAAGGTTTAAAGTCTTAAGTTCAACTTTTAAGTCGTTAAAGGGCATTTCTAGCGACTTCCTATAGAATTGAAAGGCAAGCTTTTCTCGGGTGTAAACTTTAAGTAATGGAACCAATGTAACACCAATTTGAAAACAAATTCATTGAAGAAGTCTCTAATGATAGTATTTTTTTGTGAACAAAGGCTAATTGTTGCAATTGTTTACCATCTGCTCTACCCTTAATGCCCATCAATAATGTTCATCGCAATTGTTAGCTGCAACAATTGTTTTCTTGTTAGCTGAGAGAGCCTTAGCCAGCTGCTCCTATTGAGCGTGACTGTTACATGGATAATGCATTTTTTAGTGAAATGTTCAGCGTGTACTCTGTGACTAGATTTTCGATTGGCTTTCTCGGCCATCTCATTGGCACCCTTCAAGTCCAATTTCTGTTAAAGCCATTGTTACTTCGTCTGTTGTGTCCCATTTGCTTCTCACCCAATTATCAGATGGCCCACTTATTTTGAATTCGCATTCAGCTGATGAAAGCTACGAATAGTATGAAATCTATTGTGTTTTAGTATTGATATTCAAAAGCAACACACAAACAAGTATATGCTTCAGTTATCATATATTGTATTATGCATGTAATTTGGCATTTAAATAGATTTGAATTATACAAAACATTCTGTTCACGGCTTGTCCTAACCAATAATTGCCGAGGAATATAGTCTTAATTACAAAGAAGGAAATGGTTTATTTGTCAGCACGGACAACTGATTATGACTCGAGCGAGGGAGGAGAGCGCGTAGCTTGTGCCAAATGCATTTTCCTGGTTGCTGCAACAGTAAAGCGCTGCTCCAACAAAACAGCAACGGAAATTTCAGAATTTGCGCCTAAAAGCATGCAACAATTATAAGTTTTTTGTTTTCTGCAACGTTTCCATTAGTTTTTGCCATTGCACATGTTTTTGTAACGGGTTTTTATTCCTTGCAGAGTAAGTGAAATGTCAAATTGCAATTTAATTTGTCACAAAAAGTGATTCTCATAACAGCTGACAGTTAAATGAGAATTCACATAATTTATTTGGTCTGTTTAACTTGACTGTCGTGAAAATAAACTTTGACGTAAGCCTGGACAATTTATCAGATTTGTGGTTGCTTTCACCAAAATCATCTGTGAAATTTGTGTAAATCCTTTTGACTACATTAACAATATAATAACTCAAAAGGAATTCATTGCTTTGCAAGTAATTCTGTCTGCTTTCTACCTCAGGCGTACTTAGGTTTACTATGGCACAAAACACACTCTGTTATATAAGTTAAAGGACTGCAAAGATGTCTAACATATTATATTTTTTTTTTACGCATTCCTTTGCACATATGTGTGCTTTTGTTTCCTTGTAGAGAGTCTGAATTTGTTGAATTTTGACATAAGGCCTGTATAGCATATATCCAACATAGGAGCAATCGTTCTACTTGCAGAACCCCAAATTATTTATGACAGGACTTGCAATAGCTCGTATAGCTATAACGTAGACTAACTTTTTTATTTCGTTAAAGAAGAAACCATTATTTAATATGTATGGAACGTGTGCTCAAATTCATTTTCATCAAATTATTTTGTAGGTAGGTGACACGAGCATGATTACACGAGTGTGAATAGTTGGGCGGTTGCGGTGTGTGTATTCGTGTGTGAAGTGAGTTGTGACGAGCTGAGACCTATTCTAAAGGCTTGTCGTAAGTATTACATTGCCACATTTCTGATGTATCGCCGCCACAGACGACCGAGCCTCGATAGCTTAATACATGCTTATATTGATTTATGCTCGTCCGCCCAGTTTTCATTACACTACTTTTCGCTTATGTTCAGCAATTTTGTGCAGTCATCAGCCATCAAGGAAAAGGTTCTGGCCCCGATGCGCCAGCGATAAATGAAATATTTTTGCAGTACACTCGAATGTGTAGCCCAAGGCTGACTGGCATTTAGAAAATTTTGTATGCCGCCATCAACTGGCACTTGAATGCTTAAATGCAGCAAATTGAGCGATATCTGCAGGCGAACCTTTTAATTTACTGTGCTTTAATAGTAGCTTGTCTGGCGATTTAAGACATAAAGGTGAGCTATATGTGATACAACCCCAGTGCAGTTGTCGCATCTCAAGTGTCGTCTTGTTCTGCATACGCTGGACAAGTGTACCCCAGAAGTGAGATTCCTTTCTGCTAGCGGGCGAGTGCCTGAAGGTCAAATGCTTGAGTGTCTCAACTCATGTCCTGCCACTACAATGTTCACAGAGCTGCCTGGCGGGTCACCATATGCAGTTCGTTTGACAGGCGACGCGAGGACTTGTTTTTCGAGAGCTGGAAAAAATGCAACAAAGCTAGACATCCACTCAGGTGTGTCAAGTAAATAAAAAGCAATTGCTGCCAAGTTTCTTTTGGAAAAGTCCAGATATGATTAGTTTGCTGTACAACTTATGCAGCTCAGCACAGGAAGCTATCCTTTGAAGGTCAACTGTTATCATGCGTAAATCATATGTCAAAGTTTGACGATAAATAAAAAAGTATATTTTTGTTATCTTTTGAAATTACGGAAAATGGTTTATTGGCGATGAATGTTATCTGATTGACCATAACATAAATGGTCACAAGTTTTATACACATATAAAATTAAGCCCTTTTCAGCAAAACTGTGTTGGATAAATACTAACCAAAAATAAATTTGATTTACTCAAAGGTCAATAGTAAATTTATAAATATTTATAACAGCAATTTGGTATTCAATTATTTTGTTGCGGATATAATTATCTGCACAATTTTCGTTGAAATTCATAAATATTTATCCAGAGTAGGGTTCAAATATATACTTATTTTGCCAACCTTCAAAGGATTCTATTAAAACTATTAGCACGAAGGAAAAGTTTTGTTTAGCTCTCATTTTTCAAAGTTTGAAACTATATAAAATATTACAATAACTTTGATAATGACCAAAATTGAAGCCAAAATCAGAAAGAAATCAAAAGAAAAAAAATCGTGCAAAATAAAGTTTTCCATTTTTCTGCTTACCTCTCTTTAAATTTGTTGGTAGTGATTCTTTGGTTTTTCTGTGCTGTTTTTAAGTTTTGGATGCTTGTTGAAATTTTGTTGTTTTCTTTTATATGACCTTAGCTCAAAAGTTACTCAACTTATTTTGTAAAGTGGCGACAGTTGGTCGGCCTTAACTTTTATCACATTGCAGTGCACTAAAATATTATTGCGAATTATGCGCGTTTGATGAAACTTTTTCAATTTCTTTTCTATTTATTTACAATTCTTGTTCCACGCGGCGTATACGGAATATAAATTTCAAAATTAAACGTTTCGCACATGCAGGAAAAGATTCTCGTTTGAAATAACGTCCGCTTAGAATTTGTTTTGTTCTCGATTCGTTGTGGCGCCCAAAATACGTATATTGTTTGTGGCCACTGACACTCGGCACTGGCTGACTGAATGCTCGCCTACGACTGAACTACAGGACACAGATGCCAGCATTTTTATCAATGAAAATTGTTGCGCGACAGAGGCGTGCAGTCTGCCAGCTTCTTTGCAGCTGCTGTAAGAGAGAGAGAAAGTAACTGCGACTTTCTCTGCTCTCCGGCATCTGCTCTTAAATGGTAGTCGTTGGTCTTGTTAATATTTGTAGCTTGTTTTATATTATTCTTCCACGGAACAAATCTCAGCTGAACTGTGTGAAGTTGATAGGCTGACAGTCGACCTTATCAAACGCATCCACTAAATTCATTGAAAATGTGTGGAAAAACAATACATTTTTGAAGTAAATATGGAAGATACCTCACACAATTGTTGACAATTTAAAAGGTAGTCTTCAGAGTATACTTTACATTCAAATGTTCATCAATATTGAACTAGTTTCCACTTTCTGGGCTCTAAAGTATAAGCAATTTAAATTTAAAATTTAATTAGAGGGCAAGCCATGATTAACAAAAAGTTGTAATAATATTTACTTTAATGCTGTATTCAGGGTATCATTTAGGTCAGAGCTTGTTTATTTTATTGCCTGATTTGCTCAGAACTTTCCTGGCGATGCACTTGAACTTGAGTAATTGCCGAACGAACGCCGCAAGGTGGCTCATTCCGGGTTCGCTGATAGTATGACTGGTTTGTTAGGTCACAGAAACTTAGGAAACTTTTATTTTAGGTTTTTTTCTTGCTTGCTCCAATTTACATTTTAAAATTTGACATTATAACACTTATTAGGCACGCGCACGTGTTACACATGTGTTTCCATAGTGTGTGCACTTTGAATTATTTATATCCGGACGTTAAAGCATTACGTCTATCGGCGGAAACCTCTAAAGTTATTCTGATTTGTGCTTCTATATCGGCTTAAATTGAGCAAAGCTTGCCGCAATCAATGGCAGCTGCACCTCAATTAAAGACCAATAAAAATATCAATAATGCAAGTGATCGACTGAAAGATATCCAGTAACCAGTTTTCGGTGACATATTATTAAATGTTGCAGAAAATAGTAAAATTATTTCCTTTTGAAAATTACACATCTAATTTCAACTGTGACAGCACTCACAGAGTGCACATTTTCTAAGAATCATTTCTTACCTAGTCATTTATGTTTACTTTTTCAAAGTTTATACTTGCCTATTATCACATTTAAATAATTGATTTTAATAATACGAGTGCAGGGCTCACAAAGACACACAAACACACACGATGTAAATCACAACTGTTATTTTGATGACTCCTATCTCTTTTCAAACCAAATGTACCCAAATATATAAGAAACTTAGGACAATAAGTATAAGCCCTGATGACAATTTTATATGTTATATAGAGACTGTGCTTATGCGTTACTAGTGCTGTAATTCTTTCTGTTTGCTCTAACGTTCAATTCACAGCAGTGAGAAAAGCACTTACTATTCCACGTTGCCATTGCCATTAACCGCACAAAGTAATTGGTGGCTTGAGCAACATGAAAATTAAGAAAGAGCCCTCTGCCTGTACAAGACATATAAGTTTAAGTGCTTTTCTGGCAAAGAGATTCACAAAAAAAAATAATAATAATAAAAAAAAAATAGTACGTTTTAAGGGGATCGACAGACACCAAATATGTAGACAATTATGCGACTGTTTTGGAAGTTAGCATACAATACGTAAGCCACTGTGTAAATAAAAGTGTCTCAATTGAAAATTTTCCATAGCCAAATCGTCTTCAGATTGTGAATCACTGGTTTAAATGACGTCAATTTGTTGACATGATTCATTTATTTTGAAACTCTTAACAAATTCAAACTATTTAAAGAGAAGTTCTCATCACCTCTGTTGATTCTGATTCCCATTCCCATTAGTTTATATAACTTGTACTTACCCAAGCAAGGAGCAACTATTGTCCAAGTTTTTAATGGTAATGCATATTGACTGGCACAATGACAAACCCCAAAGTCACTTGACATGTTCATTTTTAACACCCCAATCGAATCGTTGGGGGATAAATGCTTTCGTAAATAACGCAAAATGTGGAATAATAAAACAAAATGTTAAACAGTAGTACGGAAAAACTCGATGCAATTAAATACAAGTTAACCGACTGAGCAAAAAAAAAAATAACAATTTCTTAATTGCAATGCAATTTGCTGCAGTGTTGTAAGCGACAAATGGGCAACATATAATCAACGTAAGTATCTCAGTAATACTGATGGTTAGCTAAGATAACCACACACATTGGCATCAGATTGATTGGTCCACAGAGACACACTTACGTATGGAAGTACTGAACCTGAAATGGTCGCACCACTTGTTTGAAATGTTCACTCACTCAGTAAAAGTCAGCCAATCAACTCCGATTTCCAACACGCACACAATTACACAATTCAAAAACTGTCAATATAAATGCTTAAGTAAACACTTGTCATAGAGATGCGCAAGCTGTCACTCAAAGTGATTTTTCACGGTTTTTTTTTTTTTGAAGTCACTTGATACTTTTAACTTTCAGCTTAACAAGTGAAATTTGTACAGAAACTCAGATAAATTCGCAGTGAAAATTCACTGCTTGACTCAGCTCTAGTATTTTTTTGTTAATTTGAATACATATGGGCATGTGGAAAATAGTTTCTGACACCTGACTAACCATTCAAAAGTTTGGCTGAATTTAGTACGCGTTGCCATCGGGAACAAAGGCCAATGTTGCTTGCGTTGGCGATGACCAGTTTCGGAGTCGGGTGCGGGCTGGTAAAAACCTCAATAACAACAACAACAGCCATCAGCTACCTTTGGCATGTTGATATAAGTTTCTATGGCATTCGAGCCCTGACCGCAGTTGCGCGACCGCATTTGGCGGGTGAGCACCCATAGACCGGCTGACAAGCAGATAGGCAGATAGGCAGATATACTGACATAAAGTCAAAGTGAAAGAATTGTGTGTCGGTGCTTGTGACTTGAGGGCTTAAGTTCTTAGTTGTTACGCAAAAAGTTTCAGTGAACAAAAATTCAGTGATATGTGGAAGCTCCGATTTGTGGCTGGTGTGATTTTGACTTGCGGTGAGCAATAATTAAACTAAAATAGGTGTGAACAATTAAGTTGAAAGTGGTTTGACAATGACAATGCTAGGTACTAATTAATTACTTTCCGTATATAATGAATTTGCCACTTGCTTTTTGTTGTACATATTTCTAAAGAATTTTACAAGTAAGTTAGAAAAATTAGTGATCTACTGAGAAACTTTATCTCACTTTATCTTAAATAGAGATGAGCTTGACTTAAACTGTAACTCAGTCATTTATATATAATTCAAAGTATCTTTCATTTAAATAACTAAGTAATATTCGCTCCAAAACTATGTTCTTTATCTTCATAGTCTATTGGATTGCCTATTTTAATTGAACCTCCATTGTGTTAGAGCATTTAGTTACTTAATTATTTAAACTATGTCATAAAAAGTAGACAGTAGCCCTTTATTATACATAATAGAGTATCTATTTGCGTTGCAATAGAAATCGTTTTGCCTTTTGCTACTTATCCAATTTTGTTGAAAAAAACACTATTCATAAATGAAAAATTACCTAAACACACATGAAATTACGTATTTTGCGTGTTTAGATTATTCAGAATTTTGTTTAACTAATTTTTTGTTGGCGCAAACTATTGCTCATAATAATTTTAAATTTACGGTGTTTGTATTGGCGTAAATTAGCTCATCTTATTAATTGTAATACGTTGAAAAACAAAATAAATCTGTTAGCAAAACTGTTTGAGCCGCACCTAATTGCGAAAATTTGTTTATATCACACTAGGGTAAAATCAGTTTAACGCTTGACAAGACAATTAAGGTATCTGTGCTTTTAGCTATTACGTTAAAACTGTTCAGGGAACTGCATTTGGCTTTGAAAGTAGCCGTAGTAGTAGTAAACTTTACTATCCGATAATTGATACTTAATCAATGCTAATTGGAAGATCAATTACGCCTTAATCAATATATATATATATATGTGCAAGTGGTCTGTGGTTGGTTGGCCTTTGGCCGTTATTAAGGCCAATTATTCTCACCTCTACTCGAACAGCAGACAGCACAGACAGACTCAGATTTATTATTTGACATATTTGGCATTTTATTGAAATAGAAATTAGTGATATTTTCTTGAACTCAGTAAGTAGTGAAGTTTGTTCATTTTTGAACTGATTATTAAATATGAATTATAATAAGTCCACATTTACTTAACTAATAATAAATTCATTTTGACTAGGGTGTGCTAATTTGACCAAATAAAAGTGAAATCAAAATTAATAAAATACACACGGAAAACTTAATTTATTTGCGGCAGAGATTGAGGGCAAAAATCGGTTATTTTTAGCTATAGGTGCTAAAAATAGTTAGCAAATTAATTGTACAATTCTTGAAATGTTTGCTCTTGGTGTCGATGTCAACGCCAGACACCATTTATTAATCAACGTTTGCACAATCAATTAGCAAGTTTTGAGATAGATCTTTATCAGACCAAAGATTGTTTCCATTGTTACAGTTGCCGTTGTCTCGGCCCAAGACTTTGGCTATGGTGGAGTGCATGGACCGGATCATTGGCGTGACGATTACAAATACTGCAGCGGAAAGTATCAGAGTCCGATTAACATTGATGTGTTAAATGTGACGATGAAAGAGTATCCCGTTCTGGAATATCTCAATTTTGACGAAATACCCAAAGATGTGCACGTTACCAACAATGGTCATACAGTGTTGGTTACCATGGACTTTAAGAAGGGCAAGGAGCCGCGTATTAGGGGTGGGCCACTCGAACGCAAGACCTACTACCAGTTCGAACAGTTCCATTTCCATTGGGGAGAGAATGACACTATTGGCAGTGAGGATCTGATTAACAATCGAGCCTTTCCCGCAGAGCTGCATTGCGTTTTTCGCAGTCTGGACTATCCAAACTTTGCAAGTGCCTTGGGCAAGGATCATGGTGTTGCCGTCCTGGCATATTTTTTCAAGGTAACCAAATCAATCATAATTTACATGGACGCAAACTAAATCTGAATCTTCTGTAGATTGACGAGGAATACAACTATGATTATGGAGAGTTTACGGAGCTTCTGAAGACTATAAGCAGTAAAGGGAAATCTTCAACCTTGGCGCAACGACTTCCCCTAATGAAGTTTCTCGGAATGGACTCGATTAACTATTTCAGCTACATCGGTTCGTTGACAACGCCGCCATGCGCTGAGGAAGTGGTCTGGGTTGACTACTCTGAGCCCATAACCATATCGAAGTCTCAGGTAAGCCCTTATCAATATCCTATGGAATAACGATATCTGTTTTTATCTTCCAATTATATATTTATATTTATCAATAACTTTTACAGCTGAATCACTTTCGCGAATTGACCAGCAATGATGAACACTTGAAGAACAATTTCCGTCCAACACAACCGCTAAATAATCGTATCGTTTACAAGAACGATCCACCCGTATTCGAAATTGCCAAGCAGGGTTGGGGTGCGATTCCCTTTGTGAATGCCGCAAATGCAGCGGACAGCATTGCTGGCTGCTGGGGGGCATGGCGGATGAGTGTCCTGTTTGGATTCAGCTTGCTGGCGATGCTGCTGCTGAAGGGCTACGATTTAGTGGCTTTTAATTAAAGAGCGATGCGATGCGATGCAAGGCCCTAATCCAGACCGCAACGCGAATATTTGTGTGTGTGTTTTTGTTTTACAAACATCACTCTCACGCTCAACATTTTAATTAAGCCTTGTAATTTACGTACCTGTATCACACACTGGCTTTGTTTGCTCGTTTGCCGCATGGTTTGAGGACGTGTCCCGGCAATTCAGATTTGGCAGCAGGGGCTTTATGACTTGACCCAATATGGCATGCATAAAGCAGACGCACACTTATTTAATAATAAAATAAGCACGTCAACAAAGTTTATGTTGAACTAAGAGTCAACGTGGCAAGCTATTCATAATTTATGCAACACATGGCACCGTGACTATTTATTTGATTTAATATTTATGCACTTACTCTCTCGCACACTAAAGTATTATGTCTGTGTCAAGCATTAGTAAAACTATACCTATTTATGGTCGCCATTCAATTTTAATACCCATACACTTGATACACTTGTGATTTACGCTATAAGTAAGATCTTGATATTGTTATCAATAAAAATACATATTTAAACCAGTGTAGCTCTATCTCGTCTATTATTTATATATGGTGCGGGAATTTAATTGGATCTTTACTCCGATTAGATATATTGTGTTTATATAACAAACGTTGCATAACTCGTATACGTGCTGCATGGGGAGTAGTTGCCATTTTGCACATAAAAAATTGCATGATTGATTAAGAGAAACGATGATTGATGACTCTGGAAAGAAGAAAGGAGCAACAAACCGAATGCCATTCAGCAGGATATGTCTTTTGTGAATGTCTTAACTCATTTAATATGAACACAAGTGCTTGAGAATTAGCGAATTATTACCAGGTTGACTTGTACGCCATTAATCATCCTCACGCGCTTGGGGGAAAAAAGTGATTTCGCAGAATGTGATTAATAAAGAATCAAAAAGTTGTTTCTATTTGTGTTGCTCTTTAATCAAATAAACGTTGCTTGGATTTGTAACTAATGTAACTAATTTTATTTTGCTTTACTTAGTTTTTACAGGTTTTTAATAATTTATTTTGTATTATCATTATCATCGAATTGTGTATATGCTTTTGTGTGAAATATATATGTATATATATATTATATATATATAGCATATGCATTTATAGCTGCATGTGTTTTTCATTTTGTATATGTATATATAAATATGTATGCCTGGATTTTCACTTTACAATCTTAAACGATAACTGTGCCAAATGATGTGGCTCATTTTTGTTATTTGTTTTGTTTTGTGTGCTTGGTTTTCAGCTTTTGTTTTATTTTATTTTATTTTTTTAAATATGCTCGCAAAATTCTACATTTAACGCTGTATATGTATATATTTATATATATATAAGTTTATGTATAAGTTCAATATACTATAATAATTCAATGTGTATATTCAAAATGTGAAATAAAAAATTGTATTTAAAAATATGTAATTTTTTATAGTATAATGCACACATTAATTTTAGTGTTTGTATGTATGTTTGTGTGTGGTCTGTGTTTTTTGTTGGTCTTAATTTAATATAAATCTTATGTTTTTTTTTTGTATTATTGAAATATAGATTTATTTATTTGTTATAATGCATGTTTCTCGTGTAATTAATATATTTATATATATTGTGTATAAATTACTAATTATATAAATTAAGCACTCGAAATATTGCAGCTGCTACAAATGCACGAGCCGCTCTATAAATATATATAGTACACGGATTGCAATTGGGGGGCTTCAAGCAGTTGCTTTTCTTGAAAACCGCATTAATAATTCACATACATTAATTTAATACCTATGTTCTAAGTGGTTTTGTTTTGTTTTGTTAAGCACTTTATACAAACACGTTTTTGTTGCTTTCCTTCTCTCTTTTTTTTTTGTTTTTCTTTTTTGATAATATAATACTCTAGTTTATAGAAAAAATAATAAATTAATGAGTAGTAAGTAAGCAAAGCTAGCCGACACAAGAAAACGAGAGACTAAAATCAAATTAAGCTGCAAGCGTACTATCATTAAAAAATACAGAGTTCAATTGTGGCTGGAAGTACATTAACTTTTAAATGACATTTACACATTTATTCTTGGCATATGCGATGTCAAAATAGTTGCAGGAAGCGACAGTTTAGATATCGAAGAAGCCCTTTTCTTTGTACAATACATTCAATATACTGGCATTGGTTGGTCTGCAAGAAGCACATGTTGCCATCTCCCAAGTGCTCGGAAGTGATAGCATCGAACTCTACCTATGTCAATATCAAATACATATACTATACTAAAGATGCTTGTTTGTAATTTTTTATTTTTTATTTTGTGTTTGTTTTGGTTTTGCTCCGTTGTTTCATCTAATTGCAAGTGTCTAGTTAAATTAATTTGAATAGAGCTTAGTTAGTATTTAGTCATAGGTATTATCAAAGTGGGGCTACAATCAGAAATGTTTTACACATTATGCAGTATTGAAAACCTTAAAAATTTGTGTTCTAAGTTTGTTTTGTTGTTGTTGTTGTTGTTGGTTTGTTCCATTTGCCTTAATCAATTCTCGTAAGCTTAAACGATAATTAACACGCTTCCCAATTTTTGTTTAGAATTTTAACACTATACACTATAAAGACGATACTTAAAATATTGCGACCATCATGTTTTCTTTGCTTGTTACGACTGTTGCGTTTCTTTTGATTCTGTATGCGATTCCTTGTCCATAATTGGATATCAGCTGCACAGTTTTGATTACCACACGGCTCTCTCTCTCATTTAACGTAGCTGATTTCTGTGAACAACAAATGCCAATAAGTATGCAAATATTTAAGTAATTGTAGGCAATACTTGTGTGTTTAGTGCAGAGAATGTGGATGAGAAACAAAAGTGTACTAACTTTTTACATAAAAACTGGACAAAGCGTTGCACAACTTAAAGTTGCTAGTTATATAGCCTGGATACACGATATACATATTGGACCGTTGACGTTGTTGTTGTTGTTGTGTGTGTGTTGTTGTTTGTGAGTGTATTTTGATAAATATATATATATATATTGTTTTTTTTTTGTTCTTGTTGTTTGTTGTGGTTGTTGAAAAGCAAAATGTAAACGTTTGAACACAAAAATCACACAAAGCATTTTCCTCATGGCCAACAGGTACGGCGTTGGCCGAGAGTATTTTCTTTGTTCAGTTGCTTGGGATTCTACAATTATTGCTGCCTGCCTGTCTGTCTCAAGCACTCGCTAGTCCATTTATCTGGGCCGTTGTCTGTTTTGGGGGAAGAGAGAGTGGGCGTGATACAGATGCAAAATACAACAGGAAATGATAACAATAAACAATAACAAAAGTCACAAAGTCAAAATACAGATGAGCAACAAATGAGCCAGATTGATGACTGTTTTTTGATGACTGTTGTTTTTTTATTTTTTTTTGGGATTTTGGGACCCATTGACTCACCTGAAGTATTGATCGTGCAGCGATTGACGTTGAAATTCGGCGGCCTGTAAATACTGTATATATGTAATTAATCAGTTAAGATATTTGCTAGGGGATTTGGGAAACCTGTAGTTGATCCGCATACGACATGCGCAGCAAAACGTCCGAGTGCGGCTCCCTAGGTATAAGCATATTTGGGCGCGGATATTGGCCAACATTCGCTATATTCAGATTCAGCAAAAAGAAGTGTGGAGAGATAAACAGAAAGAGAGAGAGAGAATTGGAGAGGAAAGAGAGAGATAGAAAGTGTGCAAGAGATATGCATATCAGTGTTATTTGCTGTTGTCTTAGCACAATGGGTATACAAACTCACGTGGCAGTTGGAAACCGGCCTCCGGTGGTTGCGGCTGTGGATGCAAAGGCAAATGTAAATGAGTATGAGAGTGTGCATGATATTCTCTCGTCAATCGTATCTGAAAATTATTGAATATCGTTGATAGTTTCAAAAGAGCCAGTGCTGCCTGAGGATTATGGAGCCTGCTTGCTTGCGCAAAGCGACACATTTTGTAAGTGGTTTTTTGGGTAGGAGAAATGCATTGGTTGAGTTGAATTTGTGGATAATGCGTGTTAGAAATGGCAAAACGAACGAACGAGCACCGACTGAATGGCTTACAAATGTTGGGGGTTAGACAACCCGTCTCCCCAGATGTGGTTGGGAATACGAGGCATTTTACAATACAATAGCAGGATTGTTGTTAGCACACGTGCTTGGAGGACATGGACAAATGATATAATTTGCAATTTACAGCTTTGATTTTTTTTTTTTTTGATTTTTGTTGGTTATTCATTATTTAAGCTGACAAATGTGGACAAAGTGATTTGTGCTGATGTTTTGATTTTCGTTTGGTTTGTTGCAGTTTGAATTGTTTTTTCCAAATACGATTGATTTTGTGAATATGAGTTGGAGTTTCGATTTTGGTGTACAATGAAAAGATATGATCATGCAATAAGTATACGCACCATATGCTCGCCCGGATCCATGCCAACATGGTGCGGTGGCGGAATGCCCAAACGCTCGCGTTCCATCTGTGAAATCGCCGGATTCGCGTAAATTGGAAACTGTGAGGGATGTATGCCACTGAAAGATAAACAGAGAAAACTCAGTTACAGGTGGACTGAAAATTGATTCGAGAACTTGACTTGACTTACCGCCTGTAGTATTCCATCCAATGCGGATCTATTCGCGATTGACTCGCTGCAGCCGCTTGTGCGTTCTTTATCTCTTCCAATTCCCTGCAATTAGTCAAGGGTTGATGCATGAGTAACGGCCTATAATTTGTACAAGACACAATGGGTTCATTATTCTGTCGAGGATTTGTGGTAATGGGCAAGCAAATAAGCAGCAAGTTGGAGAGTTAAAAACTAAAGCATTAATTTTGGACGTGCGTGTAATTAATCAAATTCGCATTTAGAAACAACAAAATAAGAAACTGTAGGTTAGTTTGGCATAGGATCTCGGATATCAGTATGCATGTGTGTGTGTGTGTGTGTGTGTGTGTAAGTTTGTGTGAGTGTGTGTTTCTGTGTGTGTCTGTGTGCATTGAGATGAGGATTTGGCAGGCTTGTACTAGGTACTGTACCTCTCTCTGCTGTACATTGGGCCCATTGGATGATGATAAGGCACCATCTGCTCAACAGGACTGAAATCGAAATGGAAATTATTACAATACAAACGCGATAATCGGCGACTATTACAAAAAATACAAACTACAACAATAACAATGACTACAAATCAAATAATAATTCATAAACAATAAGTCTCAACATTATTAGGTATCTCAAAAGTATTTCGTCGCTCACCTGAAGGCGACATGTGGACGCGCATATTCCGACAGCTGACGCAGCGCTGGCGTATCCGCATACGGTGGCTTCAGATCCGCCTTCATCTTGGCCTGCTGCGCAGCCTGTTGGGCGGCAGCTGCCTGCTGCTGTTGTTGTTGCTGCTGCTGCTGTTGTTGTTGCTATTGTTGTGGCAAAAGAAGAGTTTAGTTTTAAGTAAATTTGTAATATTTAATATCGTGCAATTGCTCACCTGTCGTCGCTCTCGCTCCTTCTCGGCCAGTTTGCGGTCGCGTTCCTCGCGCTTGCGCGCCAACTTTGAATCGGTCACCGGCTTGAAGATCAAATCCGTTCGCGTGCACGAATTATAGTCGCCGCGATCGATGTGACGCACAAAGCTGCAAGAAAATTAATTGAATTGAATGTGAGCATTTCCCTCGACCTCAATTTAAAACATTGCACAGAAAAAACCCGTATATAACGAATCAATTCCCTAACTCTGATCAAACTAAGTTTGCTACTTACATGGCCGACTGCGAGCGATGGCATTCGGTGTCGTCGGGCTTCGCCTCAGGACTTGGACCGCGCTGTATGTTGTGAGTGGGGCTGGGTATCTCTGGTTCCGGATCAGGCTCAATTTCAATGGGCACTGCAAGTTAATAAAAAAGTGCAAATCAGTAAGCAGTAACAAGTGAGCAAATGTTCGCATTTTAAACACTCACATGGCTCTGTCGGATGATGGGGACCACCCATGCCAGCCGAGTTGGCCGAGTGCGCATGCGCCCGCAATGCATCCATGTGGGAGATCGTTGGCTTCATGCCGTGCGGCTGTCCATCCTGCGGCGCAAAAGGCGAGGAATGCGGCGGTGGTGGGTAGCCAGGCATGTGCGAGCCGGGATACGCACCAGGCGGCAATCCTGTTGGCGTACCCGGTCCACCCATGCCGACACCCACAACACCCGGTCCTTGCGGCGTCTTTGGCGTTGGCGGCTTGTTCTGTGGCGGGCCTCCAGGCTGTTGTTGTTGTTGTTGCTGCTGCTGCTGTTGTTGTTGTTGCTGCTGCTGTTGTTGTTGTTGCTGTTGTTGTTGCTGTTGTTGCTGCTGCTGCTGCTGTTGTTGCTGCTGTTGTTGTTGCTGCTGCTGTTGCTGCTGGGGCGTCTTGTGTTGTTGCTGCTGCTGCTGTTGTTGTTGTTGCTGAGCAGCAGCTGCTGCCGCTGCTGCAGCCGCCGCATGCTGATGCTTCTCGGCGGCCACTGCTGCTGCAGCAGCTGCATTCTGCTCATCCTGACGCACTTGCGGCGGCGGACCTGGCAGGCCGTGGTGGGCGGCCATCACAGCGGCGGGATCGAGTGGACCGGCCGGGGGCGGGGGCTTCATGTAGGCAGGGAAGCCGGGTCCGTAGGGCGCATAGCCGTAGGGCGAGTTGAAGGGATTGTGATGGTGCGGCGAATAGAAGACCGACGGATGCAGCAACGGATGCGGATATGGCGACTGGCCGGGATGCACACCAATCTGCGCCATGCCGCCGCCCGGAGCAATCAGTGGCAAAGGCAGCGGCATCTGTGGATGCCGTATGACCGGCGGCGATGCGCCCGGCCTCAAGTGAGGCGGCGGCGATGTGCCCAGTCCCCGTTGGCCCGGCTGCGGTGCATACATCTTGCTGAGCGGACTGGCCATCAGGCCGGAAGCGCTGGACACAGGCGGCGGCGTCATGTGCGGCGACTGTTGACGCATCAGCGCATGGCGATCCCGTTCGGCAACGGCCGCTGCGGCGGCAGACAGTGCCGACGACGAGGGATGGTGACTCAGCGGCGACTGCGGCACCGGATGCAGCGGACTCTGCCGGCTCAGGCTGCCCACACTGGACGCCGGCGAGGCGGCGCGATGGGCAGCGGCTGCGGCGGCAGCTGCCGAGGAATTGGTCGGCGTGCCACTGTTGCTGCTGTTGCCACCAGGGCCACCAGGTGGAGCGGCACCGCTCGAAAGTTGCACGCTGGGACTGGCGCGACTGAAGGCGGACGATGGCACCGTGTTGGGCGTGGTGGTCAGCGCCATGCTCGTCGAGATGGCCGCCGCTGAATGTGGCGTCGATGGCGCTGACGAGGCGTGCGGATGCGACAGATGGCTGGGCGGTGTCCGGCGACTTAGCGCCGACTCGGGTAAACCGCCCAGACCACCGGGACCCGCCAGGAGCGCAATGGGACCGCCGCCGTGACTCAAGCCCGCTATCGAATGCGAGAGCAGATGATGGCCGGGATGCGCCAGAGCTGCGTGCGCCGGATGACCGGGAGGCAGGTGCGCCAAGTGTGGGTGTATGGGCATCGGATGGCCAAGGAGACCAGCCGGATGAGCCAGACCCGGCAGCGGCGATGTGCGATGCGTATGCGGTGACTGATGCGGCATTGGTCCCGGTCCCTGGCCTGGCCCACCACCAACACCACTACTCATACCAGCACTCGTTGGCGCCGTCGATGTATGCGAGGAGGGTGGCTCCCGTGATATGGGCATCTGATCGTGGAGGCTACGCGGTGGCTGCTGCTGCTGTGCCGGCGATGGTGTGCGCACTGTGCCCGCGGGACCAGGTCCAGGTCCAGGCTGCTGCTGTTGTGCGTGGGCGGGTGCCAATGGATGGGCGTGGCTGTGCGGCGGAGGCGGACCCGGCGCCTGCAATGACATCGGCATCGGGGCATGCGGATGCATGGATGGCGGCAGGTCGGGATGCGGTCGATGCATGGCCTGCAGCGATTGCAGATGCGGATGGTGTGGATGCATGTGCGGGTGCATGGGATGCGAGGGCGCCATAGTCGACAGCGTCGGCGCGCCCAGCGACGAGAGACCCGTCAACGACGAGGCGACCGATATTTGTGCGTGTGGTCCACCCGGACCCGGTGGCATGCCATGCTGCAGACTGGGCGGCGGTCCCTGGCCGGGCACTATGCTGCTAATCGGCTGATGCAGCGACGTGGTCGGCTGTGGACCTGGACCGGCAATCGTATTCGGTGGCGGGCCGTGGCTGTGCGGGGAGATGAGATTTTGTGGATGCATGCCGGGTGGTAGGCCACCGCCAGCTGGTGAAGGCATGTGCGGCGAGGGATGTGGCGACTGGAACTGCTGCGGCTGCGAGGATGGTGGCTGCGAATTGCTGTTGCTATTGCTGCCCTGACTATCCTGGCCGGGCGTGGAGCGTGCCGACGCATCAATGGGACTCTCTGGCGGCGGCCCGTACGGCGAGGATTTGATCAGATTTTCACCGCTAGCAGCGGATACGGGCGGCATCGGATACTTGAGATCCTGCGGCTGCTGCGGCCCATATTTGGCGGCCAGGGGATCACCATACTTGAGCATGAGGCCAGTGGGCTCAAAGGGTCGACCCAGTGGCGGCGTCTGCACATCGTGTTGATAATGCGGCTTGGGCATGGCTATGCCTGGTGGCGGTGTCGCACCCGGCGGCTGTTGATCTAGTGGTGGACCTGGTCCTTGGCCACCCGGCGCATACTTATGCGGACCGGGTCCATCCATCGAGGAGCCAATGTTGTGTGGTAGATGGGCAAAGCCCGGTTTGACATCGGGTATCTTGAGTGCCTCCTGATAGCCGGGTTTAGGTGGCGCCAGTTCCACAGGATACTTGCCCTGCTGTTCGATCATATACTTCATGTCGTATTTACCAACAGCTGCCGCCGCAGCTGCTGCTGCCTGCATCTCCTGACTGTACTTCAAGGCGTCCAGCGGTGGCGGCACCGGATACTTCAGCTCCTGTGGCGCAAATTTGCCGCTGTTCGGCTCGAATTTGACGGCCGCCTCGTTGTACTTCATTTCCATGTCGCCCGGATATTTTTGTGGCACTGTCGGCGGCGCACCGCTGCCTAGATCACTGTGCAACTGTGGCGGAGGCTGCGGTGGCGGCTGTCCAGGCGGTCCATACTTCAGCTGCCCATCGATTAGATAGCCGGCTGGCGCCTGCGGCGTGGGTCCATGTTGCATATGGTGCAGATGCATTGGCTCGGGTCCAACACCATCTGCAGCACTGTGATGCATGCCACCCAGTTGGGAATTGGGTGGCGGCGCCACCGAATTCACTACTGGCTGCAAGCCACCGCTGGCACTCAACTTAACATCCTCGTTTTTGATTTCGATTTTGACCTTGAGATCCTGCGGCTCGTTGCTGTTTTGATTGCATGTTGCGTCCATCGAGTCCTCCATGGGCTCCTTCTTGATGTAAACGGCCTCCTGCAGTGGCCCAGGACCAGCTGAAATTGGAGGCACATTTGCTGCCAGCTGCTGTTGTTGTTGTTGCTGCTGTTGTTGTAGCTGCTGCTGCTGCTGGGGTGACACCTCTTGCTTAATGCTGGCCAGCTTCTTGAGTAGCTCGGGATCACGTGCTGCTGCTGCTGCGGCGGCAGCGGCGGCTGCAGCTACCACCTCGTTCTCACACATTTCCATCTTCTCAATGGTCTCCTTGCGATCACGATCAACAGATGCATTCAGCGCCTCCACGGTGGCCACTTTCATGGCAATTGGCGCAACCACCGGAGTTGGTGGTGGTGGCGCCTCCGTGCTGCTGTTCTCCTTCAGCAGACCATCGACATGGGAGGGCTTGAGGCTGAGAGGCTGTATGCTGCTCGGTGCCTGAATGTTGGTCTCCTCGTCCATGTTCTTAATGGTGTCTTTGCTATCTTCTGCGCAGGACGTTTCCGTTTTGATTGATTTCTCAATGAGGTCCGTCGTCTTGGAGTCCTGATCGCCCGTGAGCGTAACAGCGCTCTCCTCCTTGCAGTTAATCTCCTTGCTATCCTTGCTGGACTGCTGCTCCACGGTGCGTCCATCCGTATCCGTTGTATTCGATTCGCCATCGTCCAGAACGGAATCGGGACGACTGTCGGAGTTCATGCTCTCCACAGGGCTGTCCGGACGCTTGCGTTGCTTCTCCTTGATGATGTCCTCGCTGCTGTTGTTCGTCTGCTCACTGCTGCTGTTGTTGGTCTCCGCTTCGGTGCGCTTCTTCTTGTTGGGCGTGTCCTGTTTGCCACCCTTGCGCTTGTTGCCCGATCCCTCGGCCACACTCTTCGTGGGCGTCTTGGGACTGTCGCCAGGAGCGCCTGCAGCAGCAGCAGCAGCGCCGGCATCCGGTGTTTCGGAGCCGCGCTTCGGTCGCTTGCCGTTCGCCACCGCGTTGCTGGTGTTGCTCACTGAGACCGAGGACTGATCCTTCGTCGAGGAGCTTGAGTTGGCAGTGGCGTTAACGGAGGCAGCAGCTGCAGCGGCAGCCGAATTGCCACCGCCACCAGCTGCACTGGCGCTGCTGCTGTTGTTGTTGTTGTTGGTATTGTTATTCTGTTGTTTGTTTCTCGTCCTCATCCTAGAGGGTGATTCATCCCTTTTGTTGGTCAGACTCGAATCACTGTCACACTCGCTGACGTCGTCCTCGGTTAGAGAACTGTTCTCCTCCTTGGAGACAGCGGGCGATGAGCGACTCGCCGTCTCTGCAGCCGACGCCGCCGCCGTCGCCGTCGTCGCAGCTTGTGGTTCCGGGGTGTCCTCCTTTTTGGGAGGTGTGTTGTTGGCTCGCGTGACACGATTGCGACGCAAGGCGCTCTGTCTGCGTCGCCGATGCGGGCGATTGTTGTTGGCGCCGGGTGTTTTCTTCCACAGATAGTAGAATTCGACCAGCTCCGGTGTGTCCTTGTGTGGCAACAGGTCCTTGTGGATCCTGAAGAAATTCTTGCCAAATTGGCGCAGACCCTTGATGAACTTTTTCGTTTCGTCCTCGGTCCACTTCTTATCAATACCCTTCGAAACGGGGCACTTTACGAGCGCTTGTAGAGCTTTGCCTGGATCGTAGCCAGAATCGTGTAGCTATCAAAATAAAAGTGTTTTTGACATTAATATATGAATAGTAAGTAGTATTAGGCAGGCCTTCCTGCAGGCAGGCAGGCACTTACCACGTCTAGTGCGTTAATTGTTGTGTCGTCGCGACTGGCAGCCAAACAACCGTCTTCTAGTCCGCCATCACACATTCCTTGAAATGCAGCCATGGAGCGTGCCGCACGCAGAAACATTAACAAGTCGCCATCGGCCACAACGCCAGGACTCCATCTTGTTTCCTCTAATTCACGTTCATCGGTTTCCTTGTCAACGGGGAAGCTTGAGATTGGATTATAATCGGGCAGTTTTGCCTTCAGTCACAGGACAAGACAAGACAGAAGAAGTTGCGGTATTAGTTAAAAAAAAAAACGGAACGTACGCCAAGAACATCAACTTTCATTTCTTTTTGTTTTTGGATTAGTTACGTCACACACACAAAACAGAGATAGAGAGAAACACAACTGACAACAGACTCAAGACATATCTACAAAAACACATCAAAGCCATACAACAAAGCCATATATATATATATATATATATAGATATATATATATATAAATATATATATGCATATGTGTAGTTTGTCTGGTGTCATATATACACGGTACAACAATATACAACTTAAGGCTAATGCATGAAATGTATGAACAATGCATTGATGTGTGTGTGTGTGTGTGTGTGGGTTTTAGGGGGTTGGGGGTTGGAATCGGATAAGCGCCTGTTTGTGAACACCTTTGGTCATGTAAACGATTTGACCGCAAGCACTTCAGCAATTGACAAGGGAACGTGGGCTGAACGTGTAGAGGGCTAAAAGGGTGGATAGGAAGGGTAGGAAGTGGGCAGGTTAGATACTCTACTCATTAGTTACGCCAATTATGAAATAGACAATTTTGTACACAATTATTTACAGTTGCTTGTTAGTTGTTTTATTTTTTTCATTTTGATAATTGTCAGACTACAAATCAAAGATCGCAATAAGTTGCCCACAACAGAGAACCGATGAATAAAATTGGATGAGTGCGCATTTTGCGAGTCATCATCGAAATATTTTAGTTGTTTATTATTGTTGATTGTATAAGCCATATTGTGAGACTCTTGATATCATATCATATCGCATAAGAAGATTATTATATGGAAAATTAGGATTAGCAGAAGGAAATTAAATTCTTGAAATAGTATCACATATAACTGAGAAAGTAATAGGTTATGAAAGGCTACTAATTGAAGAGCTGAGGACTCCCCAATCAAATTAATCTTCTCACATGGCTGCTAAGCTGCACTCAAGTATTCACTGTGTTAATCGGTCACCAATTGAAAGAAGACAATTGGACACTAAATGGTAATTAAGTAACACACACGGACGACACATTCCATGGTGGCATTGTTCTACCAATCGCTTTGCTGGTATGCGGCGAACTCAGTTGTTGATGGGCAACTTAATAACTGGAATTTTGGAATGCTCGATTAACTCAAGTGCAGAGGAGCATGTGTTGGATAGATTGGATTTGGTATTGGGTGGGTGGTGGAGGTGGGTGTATTGTGTGGTATTTGGGAATACAATTAGAATTTGCAACAGTACGATTACAATACAAAAGAAAAACGTTATTTTTTCTTGCATTTTTTTATTTTGTTACCGTGAGCTGAATTTCTGAATTGTGAGAGTTATGTACGTACATAGACATCGTTTACCTGGTGGCCGGGACCCACTCGTATTTCTCCTTGAGTGGAGGCCGCCATCACCCTTTAAAAACACGCTTCCGGTCCAGTGTTAAGCCTTTTTATGCCCGCTATGATATGAAAATTCAACTGCAATAAAAAAACGAAAAAAGAAAGCGCATCGATTGATTGATTGGAAATGATTAACGGCATTGGATGAAAAACCCCCTCGCACCCCCCACTGACATTACGAATATACAAAAAAAAAAAAAAACAAAAATAATCATTATACATTTCAGTAAATGCGATGAAGTTGTGATGATATCAACATGCATAAATAAATAATCCATAAAAATAATGCCATGTAATGTGCCAGGCCAATCGACTAGACTTAGGGAGGTTTTTCCTCTCTTCTCTTCTCCTATCTGGATTCTTTTTTTATTTTTTTGCTGTCCAAACACTTCATCGTTTGCATATGTTATAATGCGCTCGAGGGGCAGACAGATGACGATGAACGGACAGGGAGGGTGGGTGGGCGGTGCGGTGTGGTACTGATTCAGCAGCTTTATTCATTTTGTGTGAGTGTTGTCGGTGTTTTTTCTTTCTTTTCTTTGGCTGCCTCTCAAGTGTGCGTGCAGCTGTAAACAGATTTTCCGCTCAAGTAACTCGCCGAATAACTGTAACGAGGCGGCGCATTGCCAACTCTCAGTAAGCAGTTGGGGGGAATTATCATTAAATTTGCTTACGAATCAATATCAGTGCCAATACATATATATATATATACACACACACACACGGATACTTTCGCATGTCGGCAGTTGCGGTTGTATGGCAACGGCACACAAATTATGGCAATTAAAATCAATTAATTAAATGCAGCAGCAGCAACAACAACAACAACACCAGCAGCAATGCCACGCAAATAAAAAGCATTACGACTGGGCTCGCCTCGACTCGGCTTTGCCCAGGCGCAAGCTATACAAAGAAGGGGCAAGCGAAAACAAAAAAAAATTATTGTCGACAGATTTACACTCAATAAGGCACGACACGCCGCCTAAATGACTGACGATGAGGCAGGCGTCGGCAGCCCCGGCGGACAACGAATCGGCCACGAAAGTACCTACTTGCACAGTGGTTAGAAAACTATTCAAACTATTCAATTACTATCTAAAAACCAACGACTACTTTTACTTGAAAATCAACTAAGTTTCAGTTTATTTCTCTGTATAAACTCAGCCTTTCCTCGCAGCTATTCACAAGACAATATTTTATATTGCTGATTGTATCATTATTTAAAGAGAGAAAACAATTATTAAAGCTGCTCACGAAATTAATATTGCATGTATTGCGTGTGTTTTATTTATAATATAGCAATTATATACAAAATGTTTACACAAATTGCTTCAAGTAATTTTTTAATTGATCTAGATATAATTTAATTATTCCACAAAACAGGCGAGCAATTAAATACTTAATCCACTGCTAGCTGCCAGGGTTTTCTCATTGAGTCTGGTTATAAAAATCATGTTGAATAAGCCAACTTCTTCGCTAACATATAGCAAACTTCATTTAATACAATTTATCTGTCCTCATGTGCTAAGTCGTTAAGATTATTGGGCTTCTTGCCACTGTGCAGCGCTCGACTGCGTTTGGGGCGAACGCTTATCAGCAACATCAGCAGCAACAGCAACGGCAACAGCAACAGCAACAGCCACAGTCGTAGTCGCAGTCACAACCACATCAACTGGCTGACTTGCTGGTTAGCTTGCCTGGCCTGGTTGGCTAACTGGCTGACTGAATTGCTTGGCTGCTTGGTTAGCAACTTTTTTATGGCCAGTTTGAGGGGGGAATGGGGGAAGTCGTGAGTGGAAAAATTTCATATAAACAGAAGGTGAGCTCCTACTCCTGGCCTCTCTATCTCTTTCTCTCTCGCTGTCTCTATCTGTCGCTCTCTCTCTCTCCCTCTCACTCGCTCTGGGCTCATAGGGCACGCGAGTGGCCCAAGTGGCTGCTGGCGCTTTGGGGAAAAATTGTGTAATAACTGCGAGCAATGTGCTAAGCTGTGTGTGCACAACCGCCACCCTGCCCCCGCTACCCCCTCTACATCCTGTTGCCCTACACACACACACACATATATATATAAAGCGACCCCTCGCGGTCTGGCCGATTGCTGTTTGTTGCTGCTGTTGCTTCTGCGGTGGCTGTTATAAAACAAATGTACTACAAAAAGCGCCGTTGTAACGCACAAAAGCCATAAAATCTAAAAAGGCAAAATGAAAGGCTCTGAAAAATGTTTGCCACCACCGAAAATGCGATGGGCCGCTCTCTGACGCCTTTTGGGATAGAGAGTCCTCCCCAGTCACAGTAAATGTGTGTGTCTGTGTGTGTGTATCTGTGTGAGTGCAAGTGTTTGTATGTATTAATAGCCGTATCATAATGCCCTGCGCTGAGGTTGCGGCACAGCAGCAATGGCAGCAGCAACAACAATGGGCCAAACAGCAACAGCGACAGCAGTTCACAGTAAAAGACCACAAATTATGGCAGCAGCAGCAACCGTTGATGGGGCGTTGGTTTGCTGCTGTTGTTGTTGTGGTTGTTGTTGTTCCTGTAGTTGTTGCTGTTATTATTGTTGCTGCTGCTGTTGCTCTGTACATCGTCGTGGCTACGTGACTGACTGTTAGCCAGCTTCGAGTGCTTTTGCAGTTGTTGTTTTTTTTTTTTTGGGCTTGTGAGTCAGCGGAGCAACCAAATGCGGTCGGATCGAGTCTATGGTCAGTGGTTGTGCTGGTTGGCTTAAAACTGATGGAGAAAACGGGTCTGCTGCGGTCTGCTTGGCTGTGCCGTCGTGCTGACTGCCTATGTGCTGTGGTCTGGGACACAAAATTTAAGGTCAATAACGCTGTCAATTTCAAACGGCGCATTCCCTCCATTAATGTCAACACGCGCTTTATCAACTTACAAAAACACAGACACGCAAGGAGCAAGGGAGTGAGCGAGACAGAGAAAGAGAGAGCGAGAAAGATAGAGAGAGGGAGGGATGGAGATAGACAGATTAACAACTCAGTTGAAAGGGGGGTTCTTGGGGTGGTTGGGTGGTGCGGTGCTGCCGCAAATTGTTTTCTAAACAGCCCATAAACATAAAAAGAAACAAAACGAGAAATGTAAATGAAAATAAAACTTAGCTAGCAGGGGCAGCCAGCAGTTGAGTAGCAAGCAAAGAGGAAATCCAATAAACAATTTGTATCATGAGTAGCGGAAAATTGTGTGTACGCACGCTGCTAAACGACGACGACGACGACGACGATGTCGTGTGAGTGTGTGTGTATTCTGTCTGAGTGTGTGTATGTGTGAGCGTAATTTTTGAAATGGAAAAGCTGTCGGTTGTCGACTGTCGACGACTGCCGACTGTCGAAGCTCCGAGCATTCGTTGTTGCTGCTGCTGCTGCTTGTGTGTGTTGTGTGTTTGTGCTTGTATTTAGCTTGTTTTTCTCTTTGCAATCATCGCTTGCCAATAAGCGACTAATTGACTGACAAATAGGCTACAACAACACCAACAACAACGACGAACGTCAGCAACAGCAGCAGCGGCGATGCGGCGTTAATAAGAGCAGCCAGCAGACAACTTAAAATGCCTCCATCGTGGTAACGACTGCTGTTGCTGCTGGTACTGAATGCGCCGCACAACTGTACATTAGGGTGGTTATTAACTTGATGTTAATAATCTACCAGAGTCTGAGTCTGCAGTTAAGGTCCGATATCCGGGCATGAATACAACGACAGGTAAATCGAGTCTGTGTCTGTATCAGAGCTGAATGAAAGACGAAAACAGCAATGCAAACAACATTACGACCAGTATGCAAATATAGTAATGTTCATTTTAATTATTTTTAACATAGTTTTTCATATATTTAGCTATAATTTGCTGAAATATTTCAAAAATTAATTCCTCTCGGCGATAAAATTCCACAAAGTCTGTGCACATAAAGCGAATACAACTATTTCGAGTATTCGCTTTAGTAAATTAGCTTCGTCATGGACTGACTCTCAGCTCGACTCGACTCGACTCGTATCGAGAGTTTGTAGATGAGCCGCTCAATAGCTTTGGAATGCTGTCTGCTGTCCAGTTGAGTGTGCGCTTAAGTGTATGTGTGTCTGTGTGTGTGTGTGTGTGTCAAGTACGGAAACCCCATTAAATGTTAGTAGGCACATAAAGGTGCTTCGAGGCCAAAATCACACAAACACAAACATTCACATGAGACATGTGTGTGTGTCTGTGTGTGCGCCTCTGTTGTGAAAGCCAAATTTTCACAACAAATCAAAACAATCTCAACGAAAAGTCAAAAAACCTATGAAACGAAACCAAAACCGAAAAAGCACAGAAACCAATTGGTCAACAGCACTGGAGCAGCACTCAGCTCGCTGGCCGTGTGTTTAACCCCAAGCCAAAGCAAAAAAAAAAAAAAATAAATAAAAATAAACAAATAACCAACAAATTTCTCTTTTTTTCCATTGGGGCCCACATGGAAATAGCTGTACCTGTAGATGTGCGTGTGCGTATGTGTGTGCGGCCAAAAGTAAAGATTTGTGAGTGCAGCAGGCAGCTTATAGTTGTTATGCCCATTACTCAACATCAACAAGAACATTATGCCACATTCCCTTCATTCATAGTCGTCGTTCTTCGTTCTCCGTTCCCCCTTTAGCCCCTCTCTTCTATTAAAAAAAAAAAAAAAAACAGAAAAAAAACTCCCATACGCTTTTGCTTCTGCTTCACTTCATTCAACCGAACGATTGAGCATCTATTCAGACACTGATGCGGCGCTCCAAAAAGCCAAACCGAAACCAAATAAACGACCCACAACGACGAGTGCGAGACCAAACGACCTCGTCTCTGCTCCCCGCTCTCCGCTCTCTGTCATTTGGGGGGCTCTCTCTGTTCGTGTGTAGCCGAACTTTGGCTCGTCGTCGTCAACGTCGTCCGTCGTCGTTGTCGTCGTCGTCCCAGTCGTTGTCGTTGTCGTTTATACGATTTGTTGGATTTGCTGCTCATGAAGTTGTTAAACAGATTGTCGGTGTAGATACCTTCATCATTCTCTTCATGTCTGCGTCTGCTTCTTACACACACACACACACACAAACATAGAGCCATCATCCACATACACAATCCATCGGAGCGTCAGTCAGCCAGTCAGCCAGTCATACAGCCAATTTCTCTGCTTTACTATGCTATTTCTCTCACTCTCACTCACGCTGTATATGCGTATGTGTGTGTGTGTGTTTATGTGCGTGTGCTTGTGCGATTAGTTTTATGTAATTTTATCGAGTATTTTAAGGATTTTGCGGCTTATCCGCGCTTCATTTGGAAATTGTTTCGTGTTACTTGTGTCGCCCGAAAACGGAAGGAGGGCTGCTAACGGAGGTAATGTTTAAGGGAAAGGATAGGGTATTGAGGAGACATAAGGGCATGTAAAAGGAGACCGCTTTGGCCTTTCATAGCTCTTGTTATTACCATTGTTGTTGTTGTTGGGCCTGTTCAAGTGTGTTTATGGCAGTTGTTGTTGCTGTTGGTGTTGTTGTTGTGAGTGTCAGAGAATTTGTATATGTATATGACTATATGGAGTGCCTGGAATATTGTAAATGAGCGCTTTGCATGTGAAGTTCGTTTCGTTATTATTGCCCATTCTGCACCTCTCACACTCACTCTCGCTCTCTAGCTATCTCTGTTTATCTCGTATCTGTGTAATTCGATTACAGACAATGCAAAGAGATTTATGTGAACTCATTGTTTATTTTTTTCAAACACGTTTCCACATTATATTCCCATTCGTTCATTGATTTTGAACCGATTAACCTACGCTTAATTGTTTGACTTAATGCATATAGTATATTCGATTTAATAGGCGCTTTTGTGTGTTAATTATATTATCGCTAATGGAGTAGTCGGAGTTGTTTACCATACATATTATATTCGCTAGAATTGTGCACATTTTTATTTGAGATTTATTTGTAATAAAATAAACTGGCTATAGATGAACTGTGCAAAACAGACTTGCGAATTATTGTTCATTGATTTAATTTGTTTGTGTTAACAATTTCATTTTGATCTGATATTGTCTGATGAATATAATTAGCAGTGTATGGAAATACAAATATATATACACTCCGATCATGTGTATATAGTATCTACTGGTTTGGTATATCAAAATCAAAATTCTTGTTATAATGACTAAGTGTGGCAGTATTTTCAACACTTTATGCTTTGATATAAATTTAAGAACGCAAAAGCAAATTTCAGGAAGCAGATTTAAATACGTCGTAATTCAATTCAAATGTTTATTACGAATTCTGTATTCTGCACACTATTCTTTATTGAAATATGTTGCTCTAATAAATAACGATACTATAAAAAAAAGTGTTGCTCTGTTTTTTTTCAAAAGAAATTACCTAATATGAAAGAGTTATAGATATTTATTGAGTGTGTCAAAATATCTGGTGGCTGTTTGACGGCACAATTCTAATCGCTGCCAATAAATCGACACTTGAATACAAGTGTCTTGCTTTTTCAATCAGATAAGCACCAAATTATAAATTAAAAGCACAACAAACAGATTAATAAAACGTAAACTTTAACAGCGCATTATAAATAAGCCAAATGACTAATAATAAAATATGGGGAGCGCACGGAATCGACATCAAAGGCCGTACCCCCACCATCCCCCTTTAACCGCTATCGCCATCACTCTGCTGTTGGCCCCACCAAACCCACCGCACAACCAACATTATCATGAACATCATCATTGGGCACTGAAGAGGCCGCCGAACCACGGAACGGAAAACCACATCAGTGGGCGTGGGCGTAGGCGCATTCCTCCAAAGTTCTTTTTGGTGTTTGTTGTTTTTTTTCGGTTTTTTTTTGCAGTCGAGTTTCCGCTTGGGGCGAGTTTCTGCGCACTGCTTCATCAAGCTTGTTGCTGGCAGCCTTTTGTTTTTATTAAATGCATTATTAGCACGTTATTTATTAATTAAACACTTCAGCTTTTATTCCCTCGTAATCAGGTACAGCCTTTAACATCCGCACCACCAACACCCGCCCCAACCTTCGCTGTGGGGGTCGCGCTGAGCGACGAGATAAGCGCAAGTTTTACTAATGGAAATGTGCCAGCAGCGGTTTTATTCCGGCTGCGATAAGCTCCTCCTCTCTGTGACCGCATTAAGAAATTTCCATGGAACTAACAATTTAAAATACTTTTGTGTGTTTGGATATCTTTCGTGGAATGCAGCAGACAGATTAAGGTGTCAGTTAGTTCTTGGGAAAAATTATTATCTCAAATTGAAGAGTGTTGAATAACATAAATAAATAAGTTTGTCAGAGTAATTGCCCTGCATTTTTCAACTATTATCTAATAATGTATAAGAAGACAATCTATATCTGGCAAAGGAATGTTCTTAATATATATGAGATGATTAATATTTGGAATATAATGCATATTAAGTATATGTCGAACTAATTGACTACTGCTATACAAATAGTATAGTTTATTGTATACTCATTAGGCGCAAACAGATTTGTGTGCATTTTAATTACGCTTAACACCCAATGTTATCGACAAGTCGGCAATTAATCAGTGCGAAAACTAATTGACAGCTAGCTGGCAGATGTTACGCTCCGACAGCTTATGACTTGAGCACCGGAACGTGCAACAACTACAAGTTTTAAACAAGCTACGCAATCACCGTTGCCAAGTGGATGCACAGCTGCATAAACCTGAACCACAGCAGCTGTATCTTTTGTGATTTGAACTGGATAGAGATGAACATTGCTACATGTGTTTTGTTTTGCTCTAGGTCTAATTGGAACTAGATTTAAGCTGCCAATAATTACCATTTTTGTGAATTTAGTTTGGAAATTGTTGTATTCTTTGAACTGCCTCTGAAATCAGAGCATTTTTAAACATAAATTGCTATTCACTGCGAGTATTACAGTATTACAAAATTCGTGCTTTAAGCATTTCAGCAAAAATAAATTTAAAAATCTGTTTTTAATTTTTAGTTAAGATAAAAATAAACCCTGAAACCAAGGCAACTCAGTATATGGAATATCATTATTCTGATTATATCATTTGTTGGTCTAATATGATGTAAATCAAACCAAGGATCGTTTCACAATTCTGTTGCTGCTTTATGATAAATTTATGGCTAATGATGCATGTGTGTGTGTTTCTGTGTATGTGTGTGTGCGTGTGTGGTTGGAGCACTTGAAGCACTTTACCTAATTAGTTTATGATGCAGTGAGTAAGCCTGCCAATTTGCTTGTCTCTCACAGCGGGCAATGCCCCGTTCCCTTCTATATCTATACACACACAAATACACCCATATTATATGTGGTTCAATAGTTCAACCGAAAAGAGAGATTGGAAACGTCCCCCGGGGCAAATGAGAGGATGACACATGAGCCGGCGTCGGCAAATGTTATGTGTGTGTGTGTGTTTTAGGCAAACAAATAATTAAATAATATGTGCCTAGTGCAACAAGAACAGCTGTATGTGGTGGGACACTCACCATGAATCCAGGATGTGTGTGAAGCGCGAGAAGTCCTTCCCCAAAAAGCAACTCAGAACTCGGAACTCGAACCGGGCGCCTGCTGTGTGGCTCCCACTTGGCCAGTTAGGTTAGGAGGATGATATATATCCAACTGGTGATGCTGCCGGGCGGGGCGGGGCGCTAAATGCGACTGCTATTGTTGGTCTTCTGCTTCTTCTTCTTCTTGCTCCAACGATGTGATGAGTGGGGGGTGAGAGGGGGCGGGGTGGGTGGCCAGGCAGCCGGAACTGTATATTTTGGTTAATTTGCACAGGCACAGCTGGAAACGAGAAGCAGAGATGATGACGTAGAGGTAAGTAACAAGAACAAGAACATGAGGACAAGAAAATGAGGACTTTCAGGTAGTAAATTAAAATGAGCATCTTTCCCAATGCAAGCCTATGACAAGTAAAATAGTTGCACTGGTTGCAATCAACCGACCGTAAAATACCCTACGAATTTGTGTGACTTAAAATATTGTTGAAATTATGGATTAACAATTTAGTCAAGCCAAATAAATAAATACCAAGATTGGAGATTCTCTAGTTGTTGTAGAAACTGAACTGAACTAGACTAAATTTGATTTGTGTTCAAGATTTGAAGTGTATACTCTTTTTGCCCATTGCGAATAGAGTATGCAAACAAATACAAAAAAAGGCGCGAGCCACACAACAACTACTCAATTTTTTTAGCCAACGTCAGCGAAAAAGCAACAAAGCAAAGTTAAAGCAGCAGCAGCAGCAGCAGAAACGGACGAGCAGCGGGGGAGCGGGCGAGCAGCTTGTCATGCGGGGGGTGGTCGCAGCCAGCAGCGGCAGCTGCGTTGGTGGTTGTTGAAGCTGACGTCGCTGCTGTTGCTGCTGCTGCGCTTTCTGATTCCTTTTCAGCAAAATTTGTTGAGCCTTTGAGTCGTCGTTGTCGCTGTATTGTTCTACCCCAAAAAAAAGTCCATAATAGAAAACCCCCACTCCGCACCCTCTTCAAGCAAGTCGTCGTCATCGTCGTCTGCGTCTTTTGCCCTGCGCTGCCTGTTTTTCGCTTTGTGTGCAAACACAGTTGCAGCGCCGACGCCGACGAAAACGACGTCGACTGCAGCAGCGACGCTTTAGTACGCTTTTTCACTAATAAATTTTAATGATTTCTACGCTGCGCATTACGAAGGCGACGACGACAACGGCGACGACGTCGACTGCGACTGTGACTGCGAAATGAAATTAGTGACACACTTAAATAATAATTAATTTTTCGCACACTTGTTGTAGTTGTTGTTGCTTACGTTTTAGACTCTTTGTAAATGTTGTCGTTGTTGTTTTTCTTGTTGTTGTTGCTGTGTGTGCGCCGTACAACTTGTCAGTGGCCAACAATACGTTTTTTAATGCTCTTCTGTTTTGTCTTCTTCTTTTTTGCATACACTTTGCGCACACACACACACACCAATGCAAACGCTCGTAATACACATGCACAAGCACTTACACGCGCATACAAACATACGCTCACGTACACACATACACACGCACACACTCGCACACTCACTCACACTTACGCACTTCGCTCGCTTGCTTTGCGTTTTTTTTTTTGCTGCGGAGATTTTTGGAAATATATTTTCGCTGACTTTGAAACGCAATTAGTGTATACTTTCACACGCGTAGAACAGCGACACTGGCACGCAAAAGTTTTCCACTACAATTTTACTAAATATTATAAGCACAAATGCGTGTTTTCTTAGTTCTTAATGGTACAACAAAATTTCTCCGCGTATAGCAGAAGCCACCATTTTGCGACTCTCGATGAACAACAATCAATGCAACTCTGCATACAGTGGTGCGTCTGGCAGCACTGTCTATTCGATAGCCAACGATAAAATACTGAAAATGCAGCCCAACGTACGTAAAGGCGGCTAACGATAACGTCAGCGATGGCTTGTCGTGCAGTGTAGACCCTATCGATATTTCATGCCATGTTGCGCTGGTAATTATACTTAGCCCTGGTCTGGGCACACAGCACTTAGTTTATTCTATTGTTTAGCGTTGTTCGCGTGCGCCTCGCTGTCAATTAAATAACAATTGCAGATCAGCAAATATACGTCTTTCTGGCGAATTTCGTGTGAGAAACCAACACTATTTGTTGACAATCAACGCTTTGCATTTACAAAAATGTCGTCAGATTGCGCCACCGAAGCGGCTGATCAACAATCAGGTAAAGCCAATTTTTTTTTTGTTTACCTTCTACATTTTGGCCCCCAAACCATTTGCACACACATCAATTCAGATTGTTCGGCTGCCGGCTATTTTTAAGCGAAATTTGTATTTAATAGGTGTTCCATTCGTATATAAAAATATTCATGTGTGTGTGGGCGTGTGTGTTGTCGCTTTGTTATGCATTAGACCTCCCTCCTTATCCGCCTTTCCCGCTCTTTTCCTCTTCGCCTTTGGTCGCCTTGACAATTCTCAAGTTGTTGTTATGCATTGTTATTTCTGCACTTATGGCAAACGGGAAATACAAAAATTAAATCAAAATATCGACTGTCTGTCCGTCCATACAGATTTGCCATTAGTTAGTTCCCTTTGTTGTTGTTCTTGGCCTTGTCTTGCCATGTATATTTATATATGTGTATATATGTGTATATTGTATGTGTGCATCTAATATTTGTTCATGGCCAAGTTTAAGCCAATTTTCAATATCCAAGCCAAGCGCTGTTTGTGTGTGTTTTTCTCGAGGGGGATGATTTCAATTATATTACAAGCCACTCACATTTTCCGTGGCCGCTTATCAGTCCCACAATGCTTTTGGACGTCTTATCAATTCGCAAGAAGCTCAACAAGCCCACTGTAAACACTTCATCAAATGTTTGTTAAGGGGAATTGAAACAAAAAATAATAATCTTCAGCTAGTTAAAGTTAGATCGTATCTTTATTGTATTTACCTGTGATTCTTTTGACAATTCACCATAAAAGACGCTTTTAACTCTATCTAAAAATGTATTTTTAAATGGTTAAACATATCACAGTAAAATAGAATAAATATACTATGTATGGCAGATATATAGATATCTTGAAATTAGTGTTATGCACATATATACATCTTATAAAAGCCCATTATTAACCAATTAATTCTTAAATAATTGCAAAATTTGCTAAATTGAAGTGTGGAAAAGTAATGATTTTTGTTTATAGCAGCATTCAAATGTGTAAAGTGTATTATTAAGTTGGGAAATAATCAATTAAATTCAAGCTGTATAAAGTCGCCACTGATTTACAGACAATTTGAATTGCTGTATTTTCTGGCAGCAATTATTTGAATATTTATAAAATACTTTGCATAAGAACAAGTATTACTTTCATGTCAGCTGAATGCTGAATGCATATATGAATAAGTAATCTTGAACTTACGTAAATCAAATGATATATATTAATATTAATTGTGTGTATATTTTATTAACTTATTTATATAAATTTTATCTGCTTTGTACACAAAAGTAGCATAACTTTTTTTATGCCCCTTCATTTAGCTTTCAAATGTCAGTTGAGATTAGTTTATTTATATTTTGATTATAAATGGCAGTAATGAATTTCATGCCATAAACTACAACAAACAACAAGAACAGCTACAAGTATTTATTATAGTACTCAAGCAACCATATAGGTAGCATATATATATATATATTTATGTGTTATATATGGCTGGGAAACTTGAGTAAGTCAATTATCGCCTCGATTTCCCAGCTAAAAACCTTTTAATGGCGCCTGGTTGGTTTTTTAATTAAATTGCACAATGCATGGCTGTCAACAGATGCTTTATTGTTCAACTCAACCCGAGGGTGAATATATACATCTATATATATATATATATATATCTATATGTGTGTGTGTGTATGTGCATAGTCATTTGCCTGCATATGCTGGCCATTAATAGTTGGGGCTGCATTGGGTGGCATGCATATTGTACATTGGTTGCATGTGGCAGCAGCCTTCCCGGTGGAGGGTGTTTTGATTGATAGATGTTCCGCGACACCTTCACAATTGTTTTGATTTGCCAAACACACACACACACACATAGATTTGAATGTGCACAACTCGCAATTGGATTTGCATTCGGATGCGCATTTATTATGCACTTTTGGGTAGTTTTGAGGTTTTGAATTTGGCGACCTCCATACTGGGGCACGTACAAATGCATACATAAATATAAATGTATATATATTCATATATCACGTAAATATGTTTATATATATCACTGTGCCCATTTGTCGTATTTCCAAATTTATATTGCCCATTTAAATGACATCATACAATTTGGAATCCGCTGGACAAAATCACAAATTTTAAAGCAATATGATTGCATATATATGTATATAGACTTGTTGGAATGACTGTATACGCATATTTGTTGATACTTGATCAATTTACACTTTAAATTGAAACTTATATCGTTCATATATGATTTTAAATTTACGAAAACACTGAAGTTTTATTGAGCTTCATTTACGCGAACTTTTCTTCAAGATTGTACAAATTTTTTTTATATAGGTGAAGGCTACAATAGACATGCTATAACACGGCCCCCTCCCAGCTCCTTAAGCTAGATTTTTTCAGTTTATAACTGCAGTTTGTAGTAGCAAATAATAATAATCAACAAGTATTCCTTAAAAAGAATATTAATAATAATTAAAGCTTCACAAATTATTTCACACAGCATTGCTTGGTCATTCCGGATACCCTTGTACAGGGTATTATAATTTTGTCGTGAAGTTTGAAGAAGACGTGTCTTGATCAGATCAGTAGCCATATCGATCTTGTGTACAAAAATAGGTTGTTTATCAAGTTGTCTAAAAGTAAAATTACTTAAAACTTTAGCTATTGTGTTTCTCACATCTCGATAAAAAAAAATGATCAACATCGGACTACTATAACATATAGCTCGTATAGGAAAAATCGGTCGGAAAAGAGTTCTTCAATGGAATACCAATCTCATAAATTAAATATATTCTTGAACAGATTAATAGCCAACGGATGTTGTAAACAAAAATTGGTTGTTTACAAAGTGCATTTGAGAAATTCACAAAAAATGATCAAAATCGGAAAAAATTTTGTGTTTTCTTTTTTGTAATTTATAGTTTAATTCACAAAGGTATTTCATCTTCGAGTTGGCTTTCATTCTTATTGTTATTTAATTACTTGCTTACAATGCCTACATTTTCCACTGTCAATTTCAATCATTTGCAGTTAATACGTGTCCAATTGTAGTTTTTAGTTGCATGGAGAAAATATTAAATTAAACTCGTGCCCCCAATGCTTTGGGCGGGCGTCTTGTCAGCACAATTAACTAAAGTATCCAATGAACAACATGTGACTATCCAACAAAAAAGAAAAAGAAGCAGAAACAGAAAAGAAAAGAAAACAAACAAATAGATTTCATACTCGTTATACGTCAGAGTATACGCGATGACAGCCGAGCGTAACGAGTTGTGAAAATAGAGAACATTTCGAAAGGTTATTACTGTACATCTCCCCCCCCCCCACTACCCGTGCACCCGTTGATTCTTAATTAACCATGGGCCCCACAAGCTGACCAATTGAAATTTGAGTAAAAACGGGTAAGCGTCAATCAATTCCGATCGACGGACAATCTCGCAAGCAAAGTGAGAGAAAGAAAATACATACACTGTCAAAAACTGGACACGGATTAAATTAATTTGCTAATGAAATTTATTACATGTTTAAATATTGATATAAATAATGAAGTAAGCTGAATTTCAGATTTTGCTTATTTTTTAATATTGATATTGATATTTTCAATATTAAATTTACATGTTTGTAGTGTATTAAGGCTGCTGTGATTTGATCTATGCTGATAGGGAAGAATCGCACAGAGCGTGACTTTTCTATTGAAATCTATGAATATGTATAAAAAAAGAATATAAAACGAGGCTCGTTTCGCTTTCAATACACCCTCTCCCACAACCCCCACCCAACTACCAAGGGGGGGGGGGTGGCTGGGGTAACATTGTAATAACATTTTCCAGAGTTCCTTAACCATTGACTCGCGTTCAGGCAGATTTTGCTGGATTACTGCAAATTGTGCTTGCTTACACAACACATTTGTTGTTGTTGCTATTGTTGTTTTTGCTGTTGTTGAAATTTTCTGAAATCGCTTCAATTTTACATTAGGCAGCAGAAAAATTGTTGCTGAATGTGTCGCATTGTTGGCTTTTCCGGTAAATTATACAAATTAAAGTCGCATTAAATACGTATAAAATTCAATCTAGGCGAACTTCTTTAATATATGTATATCTATATATATATATATATATGTATATATATAAATACATGTGTCGTCTTTGCTGAGCGGGCGATCGGCCAAAAGAATCGTTGGGCGCAGACATTCCTCATTCCTCATTCGGTGGGGACAACTGAAAATATATGTTTATATTCGTACATACAGAACAAAAAGAAAAGTCATATATAAATCCATATATATGTTACTATGTTGTACATGTTTATGCGCGACGATTATCATGATAAACTAGGCAGCTGAATGTAATAAAAAGATACGTAAAAGTCACAAACTTAAAGCTGTCAATTTAATTGTTATTATTTTTATTCGTCTAAACATATTTTTCATATTTTCATATTCTTCAATTGATCAATTTTGGCTTTTATATTTTACAATTTCACTTCCCTTTTATTGTTAATAATTTCCACATTATATAATTAAAATCTTGCCATTATTCATTTATTTGTGTGTCGCAAAAACTATATGTGGAAATATGTGGCACAATTAGCCGCACGAGAAACTCTTCTTGTTGTTCTTTACTATTGGATTTGGGTATTTAAGTATTGCCAACAGACAAATGCTGGCTATTTATAGCCAAATTCTGACTATTTCCTTAGGTACTAAAATACTTATTTACTTTCCATTTAGATGCGTTTAGCATCTTCGAAACTTGTGAATGAGACGACGAGTTTTAGATACTAGATAAATTTCATAATGCTCGTAAAGTGTTTGATAATTGAATTGTAAAACGAAGCATCTTTTAACTGATGCTAATGAAACTGCTAAATCTAAAGTTAATTTCGCCGGTGCTTAAAAAAAATAAATACCAATAAGCTTTTCATGCTTGTTTTTATTTTTATGAATTGTAATCAGCGAACACACAAAATCACAAGCTGGCATTGCTGGTTTTTTTTTATACTCTTTTTGGTCCCAATTGACCTAATTTTAATGCAATTTAAGCTCTCGGAGCAACCTGAGCCGTCCCGTCTCAGCGGCCTTGACGCAAACGAATCCGAGAGCAAGGAAAATTGTACGCGTTTAATTACACGCTTACACGCAATTTCCTCAACGTCATCATCATCTTCATGTTCATAATCGTCGTCGTCATCGTCATCTTCTCTATTGCTGTGGAAGTTTACTTAATTGCCAACCGCAATGGCGAGACTGTTTGTCCCGCAATCGCTTTTGCTTCTGTTTGTTTGTTTATCTGAAGGCCCAACAAAATAACTAAATGTGCCTATTATATACATATATATTTATATATGTAAGTATGTATGTATATATATACATAACGTATTTCCCATCTGAATAAGTAGCGGTGCTCACCTGCCATTGATTTAGCCACAAATTCAAATTAATTATGTTTGCCTGTGGCAAATATGTAAATTACAAAGGCGCCACATTGCCACATGCAAACAGCACTCTAGATCGGATTACAAACTTAACACATATAAATGCATTTTGTATAGCGTGTAGTGGTTTTTAATTCTTGATGAACAGATATGCTAATTGGGGACAAATCATTTCTAAACTTAGGCACTTGTTAGACATGCAACAAACACAAGAAATGGTTCCCATTTCCCATTGCTGGCTGGCAGCATATTTACTGAGTGCTGAGTGATTCGTTTATAAGCCTGAAATGTGTATTATTAATCTTTAACGTTATATTTTTCATTTGGCACACAGATCATCATGTGCACTTTGATGCGACCACGTTGAAGACTGATGACTTTGGCTCGGATTCCTGTGTGACATATCAGCGATCGGGGGATACGATTGTCGTTAGCCTGGGCTTTCTGCAGATCAATCATCGCTATCTGATCGATCTGAATTTGCCGGCGTCACTGTTTGGCAACACCGGTGCGCCGGGCACCAAATTTGTGCCTGTGGTGAGCGCCACACCGAATCTGCATTGCAGCATCACGGAGTTCACCGGCACCAAGCACGACGAGCATGACTTCTTCGAAATGAAGATCGAGTTCTTTGCGTACAAGGAAAAGCTGCTCCGGGAGGAGCTGCACATCGTTAACTCTAACAATGCCAAGGAGGTACTCCAGCTGGTGATTGCGGCACGTGTCCTCGGCAAGGGCAAGGGTACGCCCATGTTGCGCACGGGCATCCACTGCATAGGCGTCGAATGGGATGACGATGAATCGGAGCAGTCCGATTTTGCTGGCTTCGATAAGCCCTAAGTCGCCTTAAATCCACCTGGAGGCTGGACCTAGTTTGGTTTCTTAGTTATGTGCAGTTAGTTGCATAGATTTTAAGTAAACATTATTCATAATCCGTAATGTTAATTTATAGCCATGTGTGTACTCGGATGTGTGTACGCATATAAGGCAGGCAAGTTATATGTAAATTATTGAGCATTAGAATTCCAATCCAATCCCCGCCATTCATTCGTGTACACCCCAAGAATATGTAAACGTAATTAATTCAATTATTTGTTTGTTAAGTTATATTTGCAATTTCAGTGTCAAATATTTTTGTACAAAATGTACAAAATAGAACATTTGTAATTTTAATACTTTACATTTTGTAACTATAATTAATCAATGCTTGTCAGAATGTCGGAATTAATCGGATATTGAAGAGCCTGGCGAGTTTTGCATATTGATTCAAGTTTGTTACTATTTTGACAGCATGTTTCATGCACTTCCCACTTGTCTTCTAATTCTATTTTAACATACGATGTACTTATAGATTTCTATAATAACTAATTTGGATGTTTTGCTCACCAATTGTTCACTTTTATGTCACAAATAATGTTATCCTTGTTATTCGAGCGTATTCAGATGAGAACAACAGACATCATTGACTAGAATTCTCCGCTGACTGCGTTCATTGTTTGTCAGTCTCTCCCTCTATTTTTTGCAATAATGCGGAACAACTTGAGCTTGTTACATATTGTAGATCCAGAGTACTTTGCATTTCTGTTAAGCAATAATGAGAAATTGTTATAAAATAATTATAAAGCACCACAAACTAAACTCATTCACACTCAAACACACACACACAAACACACTCTGACCAATTTGCAGGCCTTTTTATAAAGTTTAATATAGTGTTTAACTGTGTATAGAATTAATGCTCACATCAAATAATATGTAACCGTTATTTAAACAGTTTTTGTTTTTATCAATTTAAGGTGCTCTACTTTTATATATTGTAATTTACGCTAATTATGCAAATGTTTGTAGCTCGATTAGCGTAAAGAGTTTGACAAATTAATAACTATTTATGGGCATTTGTTTAACAAATTATGAAAAGCAATTTTAAATAATTATACAAAATGAACAGTTTATAAAATATATTGTATATTTAAAGACATATTATAAAAGAAAAAACTTCTAGCAAACAAACATTATCAAAACTAAATATATGTATATATATAAATATATATATATATGTATATTCAAGTAGGCGACAACTTTGACGCTGACTTATGAATAAACTTTCGTTAATAAATCCAAACAAAATCAAACTCTTATATATTGTATACACTCCAACACTTTCACAAACGATAAATACTAAAATGGAGTTTGCGAAGCGTAAAAATAATGCAAATTCAGCTTCGCGCGAGAAACGCTTTAAAATTGACAATGATGAGCAGAAGCAGGTGAATCTATGGGATCTGCCGATGGGACCACTGCAACTAATCATCTCCAAAGTGAGTCCCAGCAAACACACGCTGCTACGCGACGCATCTCCGGCACTAAGAGTGGCGCACTCCCAATACATGATGCACAAATACAAGATCTATACACAATTTCATATGCTCCAGCAGGCTGACAAGGATGATCATCCGCTGATGGTGCGCCATGTTTTGCAGGTGAGTCATGTCCAAGTCCATTAATAGAAACTAATTAAACTAATTTTTGTCTCGCAGGTGCTGGCCGAGGCAACGGAGTATTACATAAATGCTGGCTATGATCTGATCTTTGCAGGCTGTCTGCTGCGCTCCGACCACTTCGAGCAGCTGGAAATTGGTGGGCAGGCCATCGATGTGACACAGATGCATCAATTTCTACATGAGTTCTACACTCATGTGGAGGCGACACCAACGTGCTCACATCTCAAACAGCGCCGCTTGATCTACACCGTAACGCTGCTGAATATTTTGCGGGTGGGTAGTCATTGTTGCAATACTTTTATACCTGGCAGAGTAATCCTAATCTGTTGCCTTTTCCACAGCAATTTCAACGCTTTCAAATTGTCAGCTCCGTCACCCCGTTGCTCCACTGGCAGCTGCACATTGAGCTGTGTGGCATCTACTTTGGCATCAATCACGTAGCCAAACTGCACGCAAGCGAAAAGAATAAATTTATTGACTTTCTGGCCATCATGGCGGAACTGCTCGTTTTGGACATGGCCGACGAAACTGTGAAGTAACAAAAAAACCCAATTTCTTATAGTATTCTATTCAGATTCAATCGTATTGACTCAACTCCACAGCCGCTACACGGAGATCGGTCAGAGCATCTACATCTACGGCCGGAAGCAGCAACAGGCGTTGAATTCGCGCACACCTCGTATCAATTTGAAGTTGAGCATACTGGGGCCATCAGGCGTGCGAGGTCTGCTCGAGGATGTGATCAATGGAAAAGTGCCAGCAGCCTCGGATGTGATTTACCCATCCGTGGACGAAAGTGCGCTCAACATTCAATTGGAGGTGTGGACCACGAGTCGCAACGAAATTATTGGCAATAATTCCATGCAAATCTGCGTTGTCTCCTTGGCATAGTGCCATTTGTAAAATAAAGCACGATTTTTATGTAAACAATAACAAAATGAAAGCAGACACTTCAATTCACTTGTTGTTTTATAATTGCAGAAGTTGTTTGATATTATCGATATTTAAATTTACATTATTATCGATTTCCTCACGACAAGCTCGCCCGCATTAAGACCTAAAGCTTATCTTGGCATGTCCACTCTTCATTTTCTTTTTGAAAGAGAGAGAGAGAGAGAGGGACGCAAATGAATTATGGCAGGCCGAAATTTGATCAGTGTAACGCTGGCTGCTGAACAAGCATGTTGACATTTGAGAAGAACAAAGTACTGGTGATTGCGGTCAACGTGGTGGTGATCGGTTTTGTTATCCTCGTGATAATTCTAATGTTATAACCAGGGGTAAGCATAAAATAACAGCCTATAATTATGGAATTCAATTCGTATGCCTTATTGCCCTAATCATTGCAGAGAATGTTCGAGTCCAGTGAGCAAAAACATCAATTGCTTTTATGTATTTCATATATACAGTGTAAAACGATCTTTCACCTGTAACTGGACACTCACCGACATGTCATCGTCAACGAGTCGAAACAATAAAGTGATCAATTAAATTAACTTGAGTGTTTTATTTTTATTTTAAAATGTGAAGAAATTAATGCGAGCTACTTTGGAAGTTGCAGGTGTCTTAGCTATAATCTATAAAGATCTATATCTAGGATTGCACATCGATTACATCATTCCTTTGTTAATTGCTGACTGCGTTCTTTGTTCTTTGTCTTTTGGAAGTTGGAGGTGACTCAGCTATAATCTATAAAGATCTATATCTTTGATTGCACATCGATTATATCATTTTTTTTTACAATTGTGGGATGTGAAGCACGTCACAAATTCCGAGATATCAATCCCACGCGGCACCACATTTAGAGTAAACATAAAGACGAATGCAAACTGGGCATGGTGCAGTAAAAATTAGGTGACGAATTCTCTGGCTAAAATTAGACATGACAATAACTGTTTCATTACTCAACAATAACAGTTCATTACATTCAATACCGCAACACTTGTGTACCGATCGTTTGATTTTGTTTCTATCCAGCAAGTAGCACGTACGAATCTAGCATTTAGCTAAATACAACATTTGAAGACTGTATCGGTTATATATAAGTAAGTGCCAGCTTGACTTCTTATATGATATCTGAACTGTGAACGAAAATAGGTCTGCTGTCAGCCAAACCAGGAAATTCACATAGCCATCCAGCCCTCTTCAACCCTCTCCTTTATTGGCCATTACGATGTTGGCATTGGCATTGGCGTTGGCGTTATAAATGATAATTAAAATGCATCAATTTATTGAGAGCTGCTGCTCGACGGTCCGTGCAACAATGAGAGCAATAACAGCCATTTAATAAATATGTTCAATCAATGCGATCTGACATGCAACAACAACTACAACAACAACAGCAATAACATGGAAAACTTGGCGCGTTTAAAATATTTGCTTAATTAAAGCAATTATGGTTTCATATATCATGTCCGCTGTGTCCCATTCGTAATTACCTTTTGCCATAAAATAAACATTTATTTTAAAATGTTATTAAGCGACTATTACACACACATACACAAACAAACAAACGAACACACACACACACAAATACCGCAATTTACCAAATTTAAAGAGCATAATTTTTTGGGGTTGTGTTTTGCATGTTGATATTTGCATAGTATCAAACTGGATAAGTTCTGCAGCTGTACAAAAGGAGTGCCTCGAATGCTACAATATTTGCTCTATATATATACTACATAAGAAAAATAGAAATATGCACAGAGAATGACAGAAACGCAGAGAGAGAGAGAGAGAGAGAGGCAACAACAACGATTAGAAATGTGACAAGAGAATCCAACGCCAAAATGAATAATGTAAATACGCCAAGTGTACAAAGTTTTAATTGTTATCATGTTTTGTCTGAGCTCTATGCTACTGCATATCTGTTTGTGTCTGTGTATGTGTATATATATATGTGTGTGTGTGCGTGTGGGTGTGTGGGTGTGTGGCATGCACTTATAGCCAAGATGTATCCATTTACGCCTGGCTAAGTTTTACGTTGCGTATACGACACATTCCCCATTCGACTCGAAGCGTGTCTCTCTGACTGTTATGTGTGCTCGCCCGTGTGTGCATACAGTATGTGTGTGTGTGTGTGTGTGTGTATGTATGTGTGTACTGTATGCTTTTGTGTGGCATGACTATAGATTGGGTTCTGAGCAAAAGTTTTTCATTTTGCATATATGCCTTTAAGCTGCACTTTCGCTTCACTGCCGAATTTCAACTCTGATGAGCTACGCAATAAAACCTTGCCTTATATTAAATTAAAAGTTATATAGATATATATATCTCAGTCTCAATCTCAATCTCAATCTCAATACTTGCAAGAGATATTGTAGATTGTAATTATGACTATTCAAAACAATTAATCAACAATCAATACTCAAGTTTTCCGAATTTCAACCGCCTCAGGTGAATTTCATTAGTGCTTTTAAATAGCTACGAAATGTTGGCTCGAAACCAATTTGCACTTTAACTCCAAAAGAAAAGCTAGTTTGCTAAACAAACATATTTACAGAAATTTTGATTTATTTTTGACTGACTTTTGCACAGCTTTCAAGCATGCAAATCCCAAACATTTTATAGCTCACTGTATATATTTATTTGGCACAAGCTTTAAGTGATTTATGCTTGCCACAATTGCCTCTCAGCTCTTCGACCAAAAATGTACTCACAGACCACCGAAAAATACGAAAACACATACATATATATTGTTGGTGGGGAGGGTGGGTTGCTTTTTAGACATAAAGATAAGCCCAGACACACACACGCACACACACGCACACACGCAGACACATAGCATGGACAACACGCACTTGTTGGGATATGCATATTTATTTGGCAGGACTTTACTTATGCTACATTTTGTTGCACACAACTCAAGCAATTTTGTTTGCACAAAACTCAAATGCAGGCACTCGAGCCCGATTGTCCATTGGGTGTCCACTGGCCGGCCAGCTTTGTGGCACTTAGTTGCGTCCCGTTTTGCATACTCGTATGGATTTCTGAGCAAATTGTAGTCCAAGGATTGGGTTTTTAAGTCCTTACGCTTGCACAATGTGTATGCCCTTATTTGATTATTTGATAATAATTTCAGGGTTTTCTACCTCCATCTCACTTTCTGCCCCTCGCTCTCTCTCGCTCGCTCGCTCGCTCGCTGGCAAAAACAAACTAATTTTGGTTTGGGAGTTTTTGAACGAATCTCTTTTGTCTATATAAATAATGAAAATGTTGTAACAAGAGTGTGTTGCACGAACAACACTGCTCCTCGTTGTCTGTGTGTAACAGTATCAGGCATTTGTATCTGTAACTTCAAGATGTTTATGTAAATGACATTTGCTGCAATGATTACGCATGCAGGAGGCAGGCTGGCCAACATTCAAAGTCTTGGCCAGCATTCGATGGCATCGAGTGCAATATAAATATTTTACATAGATTTTACATAGCTGATTGAAGACGTGCGCATATGTTAAGCCCACAGCTACTGGCCACAAAATTATATATACCATCTAAAGCCATTGGCAAGCGTGGCACACCAAATCAATTCAAATCAAATCAATGCAAAAGTGTCGCTGCCCAGCTAAAATATATATATATATATATATATATATAAATATATGTATGCTAATGCTACCACCATTCTAGCTGTATTTGCATATGGGGCAGCATAAGCTTAATTGGCAGCTGTTGCAGCAGCAGCGTTTTAGCTGCCACAAAAACAAGCATAGCAATTAATAGCTAATTTAGAGCGTGCCTGTTAAAAATTAACCATTATTTATGATTATTTGTATGTGGCTTGCGGGTCTTTCATCTTTGTCTACCTGACAGCATTAACACCATGACCATACACACACAAACACACACACAACAAACACACACACACACACAACACCCGCACAAAACAAATGCAAAAAAATAAAAGCGCCGCCAGCAGCTTTTGGGGATGCAATTTTGTGGCGCTTAGCTGGGCGATAAAATAATCGTCGCTATTTGGTTTTTATGTTACAACCACACACACACACACACAAACACACACAGATACAAACACAGGTGATTTAAATGTTTGTTTGTTTTGATGTATTTACAGCTAGAGCTGAATAACTTCCTGGAACGAACAAGCTCATCTAAGCTCGGACTTAGTTCTTGGAAATATGGGGGAACACTAATTGTTTTATTTTTTATTTTTCCTTTTAATAATTTTAAACGTGAAAATATACTAGATGCTAGTATGGAACTTGTTTGCTTAAGAAATAAATACATTTTTATATACATATATTCTTTGGGTTTGTGTGTTCTAAGACTGTGTTCCAACTACACAAAAAGCTAATAACTTTTATAAATGAAGTAAATTAAATTAAATTAAGAGTTCAATAAGTTAAAACGAGTTCAGCAGGCAGAAAAACAAAGGTATTCGCTTAGACTAGCATTAAAGCTATCGCTCCAAGCGTGTCCATGTATGAGGAGCCTCATTTAGAAAATCGATACAGAAAAACAGTGCCAAAATACATATTGGTAAACCACCTTGGAACTAAGTTCAGTCGGTTGAACTGGAAAAGCAGCCCAGCAGCACTTCCGGAAGATGGCAACAGTCAAGGAGCAGGGGGCAGCAGCAAAAGTAGACCGCAGCAGAGGCTGCAGTTAAAGCTGAAGCTGAACCGGAGCGGCGTCATTTAGTCTGGGGTTAGATGCACGTACGTTTTACAGGTTCTTCATACGTTGTTGTTGCTATTATTTTTGTTTTTGTTTTAGTGTTGTTTTTTTTGTGTTCTCGCCCTTTTATTTTTATTCTTTGCAGCGCTAACATTCGCGCTGTTGCGGTTGCAGCACGTCCGTACGTGTTTATGGCGCGCATATCCGCAAATATGCAATCAGACTATAATCTACTTAATGTCTTTTTCCAGCAACCACAACAGCAATAACAACCACAACAACAGCAACCACAATGGCAGCAACAATCCAAAAGAGGCGCACAAAAACAGCAGCAAGAAATATGCGCATGGAAAATGAAGTAATGCATTCGGGCATTTTAGCTTTGCGCCTACGAGGCGTATGTGGAATGTGTGTGTATTTCTATTTGGCTGTGTGTATGTGTGTGTGTGTGCGTGTGTGTGTGAGTGTGTGTGAGTGACTTGAAACGACGCGGACATGCCACATTAACGGAAATTAGACGCTCATTTTGTGCGCACTTTTTGAAAAATGCGTGTTTTATATTTTGTGTTGCCTACTTTTTTGGGCAAAAAATCTTTGAACTTGTTCCTGGGCTTTTGGCTAATTTTAAAGCAAGACAAGCCAAGACTAAAGTGCTGCTGTCAGCAAAGCGTAACCCAAAAGTGGCATACAGATGCTGCAAAAATATTTTTGCCTGTGGCGAGAACATTAGATATTGTTTTTGAGCGGCAGACAGGCAGGATTTTTTGTTTTTATTTTGTTTTGTTTTTAGTGTTTTTTTTACCAGTTGTTTTTATGTTGTTCTATTCTTTTCTATTCTTGTCCTGTTCTGCTGTGTTATCCTGCTGCCTGAGAAAGACTCGCTGGCTTGTTATTGTTCCTGTTGTGCTGCTGCTGTTGCTGTTGCTGTTGCTGTTGCTTTGGCTGTTGGCTGTTGGCTGTCACAATGCGCCTCCAAGTCGAAGTGCGGCTTGCAACAAAAGGCGCCCGCACAAATAGAACAATTGAAACAATAAAACGGCTTTAAGCACAGAACTGCGCCGAGCACTATAAACGTTCCACTAGACATCTTGCACCAGGGGCAGGGAAGCGGGACGCGTGGTGGAGTTAGCTGGAGTGGTATGTGGCATACATACATAGATAAAAAGCAATTAGGAAGCAAGATAAAGGCATTTATATTTGTATTGGCGCGTTTCTGAAATGAAGTTAGAGTCGCAATTGTTATCCTTGCCGAAACTTTACTCATCGCCTATCAATTGTATATATATATATATATATATATATATGCATATATATACATATTTAAACGCCTCAAAATTATTTAGTGTACAAAATTAGAGTTGCATTTAATCCTTTTTGAAGTTTCTATTATATTTATGTGTGCGTTGAACAAAATCGGAATTGCAATCGTTATCGTTATCGGTGCGGTTATCGTTCGGCTTCAGTGTGCAGTGAATAGACTCTTAACGATTGCATCTGTGATATCGATGGGCAGCTTGAAGTAGCCATCGTGCCGCAGGGCACGCTCCTCATCCTCCGCCACCCCGTAGATGTCCTCGATGGGCTGCATAATCTCCGACTCGTTGGGCAATATCAGTTTGCGGGCATCCTTGCGAAAGACGGCCACCGCCTTCACCATACTATGATGGGCACGGGCAAAATGCTGGACACTGAGCGTCTTCCGCTTGGCAGCCAGCTTGCCCTGAATGCGATCCAGCCGTGCAACGAGCCGCAACAGAATGAATCTCGCATAACGATCCTTGATCTCGAGCAACGTCAGCTCCGAGTCGCGTGGACTCAAAGGACGCGCATAGGCGGCAATGATGAGACGGACAAAGATGATGTTAATCAGCAAAATGATCACCAGGACGGAGAACTGAAAGACGTCCAGGTCTGTGAAGGAGCAGCAGGAGGCAACGAGACGTTGCCAGGACATCAGATCGTAGCTGTGCACCTTCCACTCGTAGTGCAGATAAGCCGTAATCAAGGCCATCAGACAGCTGCACAGGGATATATAAGGATAATGGCGATAGAAAAACTCCTTGAGACATGCTTGCAGGCAGCGCAGCACATGCATATTGAGTTACTTTCTGGGTTTTTCTCTTTTCTTCCCGCACAATACCAATTTTTTTGTTTTGATTATTTTGTTTTTTCTGTTTGTTGCTTTTTTACAAATTTTAAACGAAACTTTGCCGAAATTGAGTTGTGTTGTGTGACATACTGAGTGAAGTTGTGTTCGGTTTGATTCGAATTGGCTTGGTTTGATTTGGTTTGGTTGGGTTTGAGTGACAGCTGGTATAAGAGCTCTACGAGTTCCACCCCTGTTTGGTCCGAGCATTTCCCCTGCAACGCTGTGGACGGCATTGCGGCTGCAAACGCAACATGCTTGTGTTGCGCAACACCCACAACAGCAACTGCAACCGCAACCGCAACCCCATCCGCAACAGCAGCATATCAAACCAAATGCTCGACGTCCTCTATTCCCCTTTCGAACTCGGCGCAACTTTCAACTTTCAAGTTGCAACTCGGCATTTCGGCAAACGCGACTACTTTTGCTACACGCGATTTGAGACGCTGATAAGGCCACTCAAAAAAAAAAAAAAAACAAAAAAAAAACGCTTGCCATTTTGTCTGTTTTATCTCTGCTGACTCCCTGTCATTATTGTCTGCTGTCTTTTTCTTTTTCTTCTGCTTTTTTTTTTTTTTTTATTTTTTGCCTGCGAAAACTGCATTTTGTAGAACGAGCGGAAATATTCAAAAATTTTTGTTGTTGCAGTTGGAGCTGGAGAGATGGAGTTGCAGAGAGGGAGAGGGACAGGGAGAGGGAGAGAGAGACACTGACAGCGACTGAGGAAAGCTAACTGGTCTGCGGCGCGCTAATAAAAACGTAAATTTTAATGGTTACGGAAGCCACTAAAAAACAGGCTCACCAAAAACGAACTTAAATTCGCAACGAACCAACGTCAAACCCCCAGCAACCCAGCGACCCAGCACCCAACCTCAACCTCAACCCCAACACGAACCACCCACAAGCGAACGCTTCGCTCTTCGGTCTTGGGCGATAACCAAGCAACGAACCACAACCGCACGCGGGTAACAAAGAGGAGTGCTGTGTAACTGTAACTACGCCAACGCTAACTTCGCAGTTGCCGTCGCCGTTGCCATTGCCGTTGCTGGTGGTACCTCTGTCGACGCAGTGGAGCGCCCATCCGTGCACGTCAAATGCAGACAACTTGAAAAATGTAGAGACAGCGCCGCAGTCGCCGACGCAGTTGAAACACGCCGAAAAAAATATGCAAAAGAAAAATAAAACAGACGCATTTGCGGACACAGACACAGACACAGTGCGGGGAGAGTCGCCAGCCAACGTTCAACGTTCAACGTTCGACATTTGATGTTATAGGTTTTGTTCGTTTTCTTTTTCTTTTTTTTTCGAGGGGGGGGGGGGGGGACTTCTTCTTCTGTTTGGCAGCGCATTGCACAATATTTTGCAGCTACGTTTGCTCCTTGCACTTTGCACAGTATCCCATTTTTTGATCATTGTACTATTTACACTTACTGGTTTTTTGTTGTTGTTTTGTTTTGGTTTGTTTGTGTGTTGTCCACTTGACAGCAAAGTAGCCTACAGCGTGTGACTTGGCTGACCTTTCTAGATACCCTGCATAACGTATCCCGTGGCCATGGAAAGGTCAAGTTGAAATAAATGTTTGTAGATAAAATGCGAAGAGCAGCACAATTTATTGATTGGAGTTAAATATTTAATTTCGATATAAATCGCCCCCAATAATAATTATTAGCCTAATTTTCACTACATTCAAATGTGATTAAAGGCTTTAAAGCATATCGCCATTGATTGATTTTTAGTTTGAAAAACTATTTATTTTGCATGCTGCAGCAGGACACAAAAAACAGTGCAAAATAATGCAAAATAATGCAAAATATTTGAAAATAATAATAAACGTGTTTCCAAATCGAATACACATTTCGTTTGATTATTTTGGCAATATTTTTGTTTATCTGCATTGATTTGTGCAATATTTTCCCCAATTTCTCTCCTGTTGTTGTTGTTGATGGTTTTCTTTTTTGGGTGCAGTCAGCAATATTTATATTTAATTAAAATGTACAAGCTATCTTTTGTCAGATGTCGATAGCTGTGATATATTTATATATATCTATATATATATATTTTTTTTTTTTCATGTAGCTTAATTTTAATTCGCTTAAAGCGTTATTTTCTTTGATAATTGTTATACAAATGTTGCATGGATTATCATTTAATGAACTTAATAAACCCTTTGTGTGTGTGTGTGTGTAAAACTGCTGTTGGTTATTTTGAGTTGATAAGTCACAATGTTGCAGGTTATGTGGCCTGAATGTAGTACGTGCCACGTAGGTATCTGGTAACTGGCAACGCGCTAACCCAATGGACAGCAATTTGTGCCGCTAAAGCGACCAATGTGGGCACAAAGAGCGGATACCCCAAAAGCGTGGCAAGTTAGTTGGAGCAGGGGGGCCGTGAGGGGCGTGTCTAGTTGTCTGCAGCTGTAATTAGGTTTGTACGCTGAACTCAAACAGAACTCAGCAAAGCGGCACAGCTACAACTATAGTTAGACCAAAGTGCAGGTCTCAGTGGCAGTGGTAGTGGCAGTGCCAGTGCCAGTGGCACTTGCAGCGTCAGCCCAAAAATGCATACTGCAAATAATTCAGAAATGCGTTGCTTTATTGGCCACTGTGTCTGTCTGCTTTCCGTTTTTCTGTTTTTAGCGTTTCGATCGCCTGTCGATGCGGAAATGTTTGTGTTGTTTACATCGCAGTGCATAAATTTGCAATTGCACGCACACGAATGCAGCGGCGCGTGTATTAGCCGGCCACGGATGGAACGAGATGGCGATGAAGGATGAAGGGGGGGTGAAGGTGGTGTGGCAGCATGCACAATATATTGACTCAATGGCCGGGCGCCTCAAATTAGTAGAGAGTTAGCCCGCATCGCTGAAAATCTGCATTGGACGGACAACAACAAATTTTGTAGCTAACAGCATTTTCAAGTTTTATCGCTGGTGTGTGTGTGTGTGTGTGTGTGTGTGTGTGTGTGTGTGTGTGTGTGTGTGTGTGTGTGTGTGTGTGTGTGTGTGTGTGTGTGTAAGGCAGCCATGGTGTCCTTGGCCCAGCCCAGAACCAGGACTATATGGGTCTGTCTGCGATGCACGCACTCGCCACCCCAACACTCTTTATACCCTGAAACCATTGGGGAAAATGGGGTATATTGGTCTGGGACAAATGAAGGATGCATCAACTATCCCATAATTTATATATATTCTTAAACAGTATCAACAGGCGAGTCGATATATATTCATTAATAGTTGTCTGGATGCACGAAAAACATTTCCGGTTTCGAAAGGAGTCTATTCTCTGTGAGAACAGGCAGATCTCAGAGTCTATAAGACTCAGGGACTCCAAATTTGGAGTATAAGTTCTCGTATAATCCACGCTGATGCAGTTTATTTCATTTTATCGATAACTATATCGGGTTTGCACATATCGATAACAACTCTTTTAAAGGCAGAGGCTTCTCATATAACTTGACCTATTATTGATTCACTGCCACTCATCAAGATCGGTTAAAAAGTAACCAAGTCCCTTTGGCGAGACAACTAGAATACAATTAACAACTGAGTTCAGTGTATAATTTAGTCGAGCTTAATGCAACTACAGCATTTTTACTTTTTTTTTGTATTTCTTTTATTAATATGCTCCATTCGAGCCGGCGTTGTCTATTCAGCTGGCTGCATACAAAATGCACATAAATTGTCATGTTGCTCCCACCAACAACAACAACAACAACAATAAGAAGAAGAAGAACAACAACAATAGCAACTGCAACTAGCTGCAGCTGCATGGCCATGTGGCCGTGGCATATTTGTATTGATTTTAGCGCCCCGCACTTTGCACTGAGCACTGAGCACTGGCAAATGGGTGACTGGAGTGCAGGGAGATTGCCGGGGAGGGGGGCGTGGCGCTGGCGCTGGCAGTTTGTTGTTATGTACTTTGGCTTTTCAATTTCGGTGCGCTGGAGACTCGTTTCGCATTGTATTATTTCATGTTGTTATTGTTGTTGTTATTTGCTGCTGTTGCACAATAAATTGAGCCGAAATTGCATCAGCGAAATTAACAGCTTCGCGTGCGTTAATAGACTTTGGCAGACAGTCGCAGCTGCAGTTAGGCTCCAACGAGGTCCTTGTTTGGCCAGGACACAGATATGGCCACTAAATGCATTTGGGATAGCGTCTAATCGCTGTGACATCATTTTGAAAACCATTCAGCACCAGAAGGAGTCCTAATTGAAATTCGTTTTTAAGCTGTGCATTATTTCTGCTATTTTGATATTTGCATAATTTTTAAGTCTTTCAGTAGTTTGAAGGGGCTTCTAATGGATGCATCATGTACCTTGACATATTATCGATTCAGGGCAACAAGTTGGTTAAGATTAGATTAAGAAATATCCAAGTTATGTGCAATTCTAAAAGTCTAAACTAGAATATAATTAACAATTGGGCTGTGTATATTTAAGTCGAACTTACGCAAATAAAGCATTTTTACTTTTAGTTTATCTTTTGTATTTTCTTTATTAATATGCTTTATCCGATCCAGCATTGTCTAAAATTAGTATATATTTTGCCGAGTTTTAGTAGCTATCTGAATCTCTCCAAGTTCAAAGTGAAATCTCTGTCAAATATTAAAATAGAGTTTATTATTAATTTCGTTGAATGCGTTGCCTTTTAATATTCTGTGCGATTTGTCAAATTGAAAAGGGGCTAGTTGAAAACTCGTCTTTCTTGTTGCCTCATTAGGCGACCTCAACTTGTTTTAGTCAATGTTCTCTTCCACTCTCTCTCACTCTCTTTCTTTCTCCTTCTTTCTGTGGCACATTTGCATGGGCAATTAGTTTGGGGACGGGGATGGGTGCCGGGTGCCGGGTGTCGGGTATTAAAATGACCAAGTTGAGCGTGCTGCAAAAGGAACTTGTAGCAATTTTAATGTTGCAACGCTGAAAGCGTTCTAACAATAAGCAAACCACTTACTTAGTCAGAGCCGTCTATCGCAAGCAGCAGCAGCAGCAGCAGTTGCAGGAGCAGTCGTAGGAAAGCTTTTGACTTTACAGGCACCACTTCAAATATGCAAAATTTTGTAATAATCTCGGAAATGGAAACCAGAGAAGAGTGGCGAGGAGCGGGAACAGGTTTGTTGGAGTGCACACGCAATCGGCAACGTGTCGCATTTGTAGTTAGACATAATTGTTAATTACCCGAAACCATTACCACATTAAAGGCCATAAAATGCAACACTAATTGCTTTATGCCAGGACAAGCAGCATGCCACCCAACATCCAACATCCAACACCCGCCCCGCCACCTTTACTCATTCAACGTTTTATATTTGATTATGCAGCCAATGCGGTCCTTGTGACTGTGTGTATATGTTTAATGCTCGCATGTAACGTAATATGCAGCAGGCAACAATATGTAGCTTCAGCTAGGTGCAGGTATGGTGGGAGGGGGGGGAGGACGAAGTGCGGACGGGATATTTAACATGATGCCATGCCAAGCTAACATTCCCATTCAGAGTCGAGCTGCAAGTGTGGCGTATGATTAATATTTCAAAATTACTCTGACATGCAAAGTGTCAACTCATTTTGAGCCATGCCCGCTGGCAGTTGGCACTTGGGCACTGACTGCCACGCCCACATACATACACACACACACTCACACAGATAGGCACTTGGCCGCCCTTTTTTGCGCATGCAACACAAAGCGCTGACAAAGAACTCAGTGTGCGATGAAAAATGGTCTAAACGTTTTGCAACAATTCGTTGGAGACAGCTACAATGAACTGGCGACATTGCCCCCATTTGCAGGTAGGCGTGAAAATCGTGTCTTAAGTGAAATATTTATTAGACAACGTTTCGAGTCACGCGGACGCGTCACGCGATTACCGCTAAATGAAATTAGCCCAAATAGAAGACGAGCGGCAGCAGCAGCAGCAATGCAATTTACGGAAAGGGGGGCGCTGAGGTAGGTGAGTGTGTGCAATTAAGCAATTAAATGTTTATTAACAAAGACATAAACGTTAAAAAAAGTAATTGTTGATACATTATTAGTCTGGCAATTGCAAGCACTGAAATGGGAGCAAATATTTGCCGTCTTTCCGAATTTAAATTTATTACGCCAATTGCTAGTGTGACCAGCTTGCATATCTTCAAGGAAATACCAAAAACTAGGACATACGAAAATAAATCGATGAACAGGACTTTTTATCGTTGACCAACACTGTTAGCCGTTATCATTCAGATTCAAATTCAAACAATCAACCAGCAGTTTAAAGCAACGGTTATCAAAATAACGGAGTTATCAAATATCTGCAATAAAAAATAAGCATTTGTATACCATGTGGTAATTAATCTTTTGAAACGCAACAATAAAATCGTTTTCATCGTTCCCAGCAGACCTGTGCGACTTCGAGAGAAAAATCAAGTCGTCCCCTTGTAGAACTGATTAAAGTGACAGTCGCGCAGCAATGTGTGTTTACAGAGATCATGTACAATTCCCAATGGACTACTTCCACAAACCGACAATCCGACTTATAAGGATTATGAATAATCCTTAACAAACAATACGCTGCAAGTGCATTTTAAACCACATTCAATGTAAATATGTATTTGTTGTTATGGTATATTTTAGTACAATCAATACATATATATATATATATATGTATGCAAGCGGTCTGCTTAAACATAACGCAGTTTAGTTTATATGTAGTTTAGTTTGCATATATGATATAAAGTTTTGTTTGCTTTGGTTTTTCCGAATGCATCCGTAGTTGAATAGAGTTGTTAGTGAGTAACTGCATAAATGTGTTGTGTTTTGTGTCGGTGTCTGTGTATTGCATGGAGAGCATGCCAAAGTTTACGTAGGATTTTAGCTAACTTAATTGCATAGAGTATTTAAGAGTTAAATTTGGTTTCATTTTAGGGTTTTTCAGTTTTCATTTGTAAATACATAATTTCAAATAGGTGTTTTTGGTGTGAAGATTTTAAAACTTAACGGTAGGCATAACACTTAACGATACAGAATAAAACAGAAGTCTCAATATAAATACAATTAATCGTTTTCGTTTAGGTAAATTGAGTGATTGTTTTTCATTAATTGGGCTTGGTTCAATCTATATATATATGCTTTATTTATTTAGTTTTTTTTTTGTTGTTTTCTCTTTTTGTTTTCTTTGCTTTGGGCAATGTAAGTTATGTATGTAAGTTATTATCTTCTATACGCACGATTTACACATTCAATTTGTAGTACATTTTATTTCACATATTGTATTTCCTCTAACAGCGCGATTATATTAAATACGTTGATGCCACGATGGGTTGAGTCAACGACGTGTTGGACAAATCTCAATGTAGCATGATTTTGCCGGGGATTTTCACCGTGGTTTCTTAAGGACATTGCCGATATCCTTAACAAAAATAAAGTATGCACTTGTATATAGATATATATTTATATGTATATGTATTCATGTATATATATATATATATATATTTATATATATAATATATTATTCATTATTTATGCTATCAAAATGCCAACACAATGCATCATCCTCTATCCAAAATTCTCATGCGAGCTACTTGTAAAAAATTATACAGTCCCCCAAATGGGGCGTTCGTTCCCCATACTACCCATACTACCCCTACTTCCCGTACTCCCTAAACTCCCCATTACTCTCATTCAAATTCCAATTTACATACAAAACGCGAACCATAGCATCCGGCTTAAAAATGTTGTTAGCCACGCGTGTTCGCTCAATAACCAATATTTGGTTTTGTTTCACTTTCTTTTTATAGTGTTCTCTCTTTTTTTTTATTATTATTTGTTGTTGCTCCTTTCTCTGTTTTACAAATTCATGCCTTGTGTTTGAGAGCTTTGTGCTGTGTTGCTTCTTGCTTGTTGGTTGTTGTTTTGTTGTTTTTTTTGTTTTGTTGTGCAATTTTTTCATTGTGCTGGGACATGAACAAGTTACATGTTCCTGCATTGAGCACAAACAGACCGAGCCTTTGTATTGTCACGCACAAAATCATGCACATTGAATTTTCCATCATCGCCATGGTCGTAGCCGCGACACTTCAACTGCCTGTGTGAAGAGAAAGAGAGAATTGAGTATTCATTTTAGCAAAACTATCAAAATTGATCATTGTTTGGGTTTAATTAAGTGTTAATCTGTCTTACGTTTCAAATTATAATACTAATACACTTTAAACTAAAATTCAAAGTAACTGCAAGATTCTTGCATATGAAATAAATGTCTTTTTAAAATTACCTGACCACAAAGCAACTCAAAAAATAACTCAAAGCTCAGGCATTAAAAGTGGCCACAAATGGAGTTTATTAGAAATCGTTGAATGCTTGTTAAAAGCAAAAGAAAAAATACTTGCGTACAACTCTTTCGAGTCGTTTCAGCTGACGAGTTGACAGTAAAAGTTGTCGTATTGCTCACCTGGCCACTGCTGTGAAGGCCAGCTCAACGTTGAGTCCTGTCTTGGCGGATGTCTCCATAAATGGCACATTGTGCTCACGTCCCAGACGTTCGCCATCCTCGCGCTTCACCTGTCGCTCACTGCTGCTGCAGTCGGCTTTGTTGCCTGTGTGCGAGATGGGAGCATAAGGAGAATAGTTCGTTTGGAAAAGCGGCAGAAGTTGCAAAGTTTTCACTTTTTAATCCAATTAACTGGCTAAGGCTAAATGGCGGACTGTTGCAGCTGAGCTGCCTAGAGCAGCCCTTTTGTAACCTGGGCAACTCACCAATTAAAACGATGACCACATCCTCCTGTGCATACTCGCGTATTTCACCCAACCAGGCTCGAATGTTATCGTAGGTGGTCTTATTGGTCACATCGTAGAGCAGCAGCAGCGCTTTAGCCGGACATGTGGGGAGAAAATTAAAGTTGGTTAAACACAGTCAAAGCCAAACACAAACTCAATAATCTGGCTTAAAAGCACCAGCAGCACTATCAGCACTCACCGTGGGCATCGCGATAATAGGCGTGTGTCACGCTCCTGAAACGCTCCTGTCCAGCCGTATCCCAGATTTGCAGTTTGACCCGCGTGCCATCAACAACGACTACTTTATTCTGCGCATACAAATGAAGGTGGTTGTTATGCAAAAGGAATTATGATTGCCATGAAAATGCAATTGTTATATAAAATTCAATCAATTAATAATCAACGAAATATGCATGCCAAACAGAACGTCAAATATAATACAGATACAGATACAGAGAGAAACAGAGAGAGAGAGAGAGAGAGAGAGAGAGAGAAAGTGAGAGGGGAACCCTAACTGCCAACGTGGCGTATGCTCAATCGAGCATATACACAAATCTGTGGGCACATTGCGTATACGCAGCAGAGGCTATGCAAACAAACATGCAGCAATAGAGCAAAAAGCAGACACATCAAATACTAAAAATGCGAGTAATACAATTACAGAATACATTGAACAATCTGAATGATTCAATGATTCAACTGAGGAACGCGAACCTGAGCTACTCAGACAGTCAGTCAATATAATAAATGTTTGGGGGGAAATTACGATAAATAACATCAAGCGTATGTTTGTGTGTAAGTCTGTGTGTGTGTCTGTGTGTGTGTGGCAACCATATTGGCCGCAGACATATAATAAGTAAACACGCATATCAGCAAAACGACCAGATTTCTAACCAAGTAAACAAAAAGTCAATGCACTGAATACAATTTACTTAGAAATTCATTTAGAGATACACAAAGTGGAATTGGTCTAGATAAATAATGTTAAGAGATATGTTCACCAAAAACAAAAAAACATAAAGAAACCATATTCAAGCATATTTGAGTCTATCAAGCATGTATTTATAAGTTGAATTCAACGTTTGATAAACTCCAAAATGTTTTGACTTTCATTTCAATCATGAGTATCAATTTGCATGTCAATTTAAAATTAAATTGTGTCCGCAAATACAATCATTCAACGGAAATCAATCAACGGATTTCAATTAAAGTTTTAGTGCAAAAATCCGTAAACGGAAACTGTTTGTTGATTGTTAAAAATTTGCGTTTCACTAGTTTTATACTGTTTGGTTTTTTTTATTAATTAACATCATCGTTTTGTTATTAGACTGATTTTTGTATATGCTATTTGCATTGATAAATACGCAGAAAATTGTGAGTATCAATTCATTTGTTCAGAATGTTTAACAGGAAACAAAATCATAGAAAGAAGACCTTGAGTTGAATATCATTTTCAAGGTTGTCAAGTTGGTAAGTAAAGAGAAACTAAAAACTAAACAGCAGGAGCTTAAAATCGAGCAAAGGACGCACGTGTCAATTTAACGAGCTCGCCAAGTGCTGTTGTTGAGCTCATGGCAAATTCTTGTAGTATTATTGCTGTTTAATAAATTTATGTGCCATGTGAGACGACGACAATTTTCACGGTAATAAAACGAACACAACTTGAAACGAAAACCCCACAATAATAAATATAATAAAAGCAACAACAGCAATTTAAATACGAGTAACAGTAAGTGTACAAGAATGACACACACACATACACTATATACACACACACACACACATACACACTCACATACAAAGAGGGAAAACCATCAACAAGTCCTTTTCAAGTTCATATGCTTTTTAATAAATAGCCCCTAAAGAAGTTTGCCGCAGAAGCGCTACCAACTCTGGGCCAAAAAGGTCTTCAGGGATTGGATGGGGTGGTCAGTGCCGCAGGAAGTGAGGGAAGTTGGCGTTGGGAGGGGTGTATGTATGTGTTTGCGTGTGTGTGTGTGTGTGCGGCCTGAACACGAGCTAAGCTGGCGGGAAAATATTTTACTAAAGCGAAGCGCCACAGCAGCTGGAAAACAAGAAAACCACAGAATAAACAGACAAAGAAACGTACACACAAACAAAAATACGTTCAGAGAGGCTATAACCGACTTTTAGATACCCTGCAGCGAGTTATACAACATATATACATATATTATTCAGAGCTTAAGCAGATAACTGATTTTATTTTTAGATTTGTAGGCTTATAATTAATGAAGAATTATAAAAGATCTAAACATTGATCACAGGGTATAACATAAAGCAAAAGTTGCTGCAGCATGGCAAAACTTAGAAGTAAGGACATAAAATGGAGTTCGATAAGCAGATACTACACACACGCACACACACACACACAAACACACACACACATAAATGATGCGAAAACTTGATGCGTAAGTAGGTGAAAATCTTATTCACAGCCTTGACAACTGTTGACAGCGAACAGACACTTGAGACAGGTAAACAGTTTACAGAGCGAGATACACAGAAAGTGAGAGAGAGGGAGAGGCAGAGAGAGGGAGAGAGAGAGAGGCAGAGAAAGCGAGAGAGAGAGAGAGAGAGAGTTACAGGCAGAGCGGGAGAGATACACACTTACAACAATTAGTTAATGTACAACAATAATATTAATAATAACAACAGCAAGAACAACACCAAGAGACACACACAGAGAGAGAGAGAGAGAGAGGGAAAGGGAAACAAGAGAAACAAGTCGCTTACCCTAAAATCAATGCCAACAGTGCTCAGAAAATAGCTGGGCACATAGCGACCATCGCGAAATCGTATCAAAAGCGATGTTTTGCCCACTCCCGAATCGCCCAGCATTATGACCTGGCCAACAACAAGCGACAGATGTAGATGTATATGTGTGTATGTGTGTGTGTGTGTGTGTGTGTGTGTGTGTGTATGTGTATGTGTTTTAATGAAGAGAATTATATTTAATATTATACATAAATAATTTATGTGTTGATGTAAAGTGTTTTTGTGCTGACGTGCGTAATAATTTATGCGAGCTCATAATGTGCTATATTGTAGTATATTATATGATATATACGATCCGACAATATAATAAATGCATAGCTTAACAGTGAGTCCAAAAAAAAAAACAAAATCAGACAAATTCCCTCAATTCTCCCATGCATAGCTGTTGTGGTTTTCTTTGATTTTTGCTGTTGTCTCTCGTTGGCAACTGGGCCAAATTAGATGTTAGCCAATTAAAACGGAAACGTTATATCAGACAACACATACATACACACACACAGCTAGCAGGAATATGAAGACTCTTTTTACAGTACAAGTCTGAAATGTGAGCACCTTTGTATGGTTCTCAGGTTTTGTGAGTTGGCAGACAGCATTTAGCAACATTTGATTACCAGCCTAATAAAACAAATAGCATTTGTAATTGTTAGCTAAATTATGTTTAAATGTTGCATTTGGCTGCTTTTTATGATGTGCTAATGTGCTGTTACCTATAAGATGTTATAAAAACATTGTATATTTGTTTATAAAATGTGCTTTTGATGTACTCATTTATTTGGCTTGTTTCGATATTGCTCTCGACAGTTTAATTTAAACGGAATATCACACAACACATTTGATAAGCCAAAATGAAAGAGACGTAAGGCTTTATATAACACATGCTGCAACATGTGAAACGACCTAACTTGCCTCGGGCATAAATCTGACATTCTCCAGTCATTCTCAAACATGGGTTAAGCCAGAATTCTGTTTCCTATTCAAATTGGATTCTACTACTTAATTAACAGCCTAACTTGGCTATTTAAATATGAGAGCACACACAAGCATACGCAAAGCTAATTGCGGACCTCTGCAAATATCACAACTAATTTGCGTATTTTACATTATAAAACACACTCAGAAAATCGCACTCAAAAATTTATAAATTTTCTAAATTTCAACAAATCAACGACAGAAATAGGAATATTTTCTTTGATTAAGAAACGGAGTCTTTTGAAAATATGCTTCCTCAATGGAGTATGGCCAATTTTTAACATTCAGGTCGACTTTTTTGCTGAGTGCAGCTGCTGAAACTTTACAATTTAACGGTATATATAAGCGTACATCATACGCAGTGTGTAACTTGCAGTAAATTCAAGGAAAGGTTTTTTTTACCACCCGAGATTTTTGTTTGCTTGGCAAGCGAATGTCAGACGACTGAAGAGTATTAAAAAAAGAAAAGAAAAATTAATTAAGTAAACAGCAGCTACTTTTATTTATTATTAATATTCATCATGCTGCTTAGTCTTGTCAGTCCAAGTTTAAATTGGCTTACTAAAATGCATATCAAAATTAAGTTTTTAGCTGACAGCACATTGCAATTGAATTACAATCCAGTAATGAAAATATTAATGCTATAAGTGTGCTAGTAGTTGTGCCTTGTTGTTATTATTCTCTCTTTTATTTTTATTGCTGAAATTTATTACTTTGTCTGCAGCTGTGCGGCAGGAATTCGCAGCTCAAGTGAATGGCGCTAATGAAAAGCATAAAGCACAAAACTGGGGCAACTGGGATAACCTCCTTTTGTTTTTGTGTCGTGTTGACTGGCAGGACTGGCAGGGAATGCTGAAGGACACGACAACAACTGAATAACTGCGCCATGTCGACAGCAAAATTAAAAATGTAGTAAGTGCTCCTGAGCCTTTGTTGTTATTTGTTATTTGTTTTTTTGATCAGTCCATTCGTTTGTTTAATTTCCTTTTGTCACTTTGCACTTTATTGAGTTTTATGAGTTTATTTTTGAGCTGCTTATGTAAATCACACTGTTAAACTCAACTCTCAGCTGGGAGTGCGAATAAAACGAGGCAGTGTCGTAAATCGACACAGTCTTCAAGATTCAGACTCACATTCAAATTAAGGGTGGCACACATAAAACGCATAATACATAAATCAATTTGTGGCTCAGGTTTGCACAAAGGAGTTTCTTATTTTCGGCATTTGCGACAGAGAGAGATTTCGCCGCTTATAAATGCTTAGATGATATATTGTGCGTCTTTTGTTGTCGCCCTTTTGACACTGCTTTTTAGTATGGCAAATTGAAAAGGATAATTGAGTGTAAGAAGTGTTTAGCCTGTTGTAAATTTCATTTTCGTTTGCCGAATTCAGGAATAGATAATTGAGTGTTTTTATGTTGTATTCAGTCACCTTGCCCATAATATCAAAATCCTCCTCCTCATCCTGTCCGGGAGTGGAGGAGATCATGCGTATCAAGGCGCGTCCGGCGTTCTTGCAAAGCGTGGCGCCAGCGCCATCGTTTCCAGGTCCAGCAGCAGCTTCCCCTCCAGCCCCTCCAACAACTTCAACTCCTGCTCCTCCTCCACCTCCTTCACCAACTCCACCCGTATCCAAGAGCGGTTGCTGCTCGGCAGCTGCTGTGAATCGCATGCTACTTAAAAAACGAGTGCTGAAACCGTTTCCAACCGACTGCTGCTGGTGCTGCTGTTGCTGCTGTGATTGCAGATGGGATTGCTGTTGTGCCAGCAATGATTGCTGCTGCTGTAGATGTTCGCGATAGAGATGCGATGGACTCATGTATTCCGGCAGCAATGGCTGCTGTGACAGCGACTGTTGTCGCTGATGCACAATAACGCTGGGTCGTCGCTTCGGATAGCCATCGTCGTCCGAATCATCCGAGGCAATGCCATTGATCTTGTCCAGCGTCTTGGGTGGCAACTGGCCGGGCGTTATGTGCTGCCAGGTGGGCTTCACCAGCGATTCGCGACGCGTCGGCGATGCGCTGCTCGCTGCCGTATTGATTAGCGATGGCTTCCTGGTTGCTCCAGTGCTGGGACTAGCAATGGAATCGCTGCGATAACGTGTCTGTTGACGTCGCATCTTTGGAAACCGTAAATTGTGAACTGTTTGGAACAGAGAAAAAGGCTGCTGTGCTGAGGTGTAAAATGTGAATTGGATTGATTCGCTGTGAAACACGTCAGCAAAACAAAAATCAATAAACTTACTAACAACATCATAATGATGCATATTGACAGGCTCACAGACTGACAGACTGACAGGCTGACAGGCCAGCAGCAATAAAACAACCCCAACAAAGAAAAAAACCTAACTCGATCTCAACTCAATCCCAAACTTCAACTTCAACTCGTAACTGGGTCGTTTCACATCTGTAAATCATAATCCAGGCCCAAAAGTTTGCCACGGCAAATGCGTAAAGCAAAAGCCAAAACTTTGGCCAAAAACTCATTAAAAACCATAAAAAAAATATGAACAAAACCATAACAACAAGCGAGCAAATAATAAATGGCTAAGTATACACGAAAAGAATATAGCTACTAAATATAGCAACATCAGAATATAGCTAAAAATTTAATTAGCTCGCCAGCTACAATTTTCTTTGGCCAGTTGGGAAACAAATTACAAATTCAAATGCTTGGAGCATTGGGCGGAGCTGAACAACTTTTAAAGAGCCGCAGGGTACACAACAAGGTGCACCCAGGTGCAAATTGAATGTAATTGCCTTGCCAACAACAGGGTCGATGGTAAAAACCAAAACTGAACCGCGCCAGGTATGCCGCCGGGGCCAGAAATGGCTGCCATTGTCGTTGACAACGCAAAACACAAACGAACACTCAAATCCGCCCACACACCCGCACACACACACACACGCACTCACTCACACATGGATACGAGTGGTGTGCAAACAGTAGCTGGATTATAGAAGGAGCGCTTCCGTGACCAAGTCGCTAAATCAACAGTTGGCAAGTAAACCGCAAAAGCCAACAAACAGCCGCTTCAAAGCAACATCGGGTTAATAATGAGGAATTGGAAAGGATTCAGCAGGAAGAGTAGCCATAGTCACCACGTGATTAACCTTTACGCATATTTTGCCAGCTGCCAACACTTTGGGAATTTAATAATACAACTTTCACAAATGCGTTGCATGCGTATTGGAATTTGCCCTTATTTCCTGCTTTCAGCATGTTCCACATTGCGTTCTCGAATGCAATTCGCCAAATCAAACTCACTTAACTCTTTTCTATATATAAATTAATGCATTTGATTGTCTCACTGAAGTAGCCTCAATCCTGTCTGACAGATAATAAATACAGATACGAAGTAAAAAAAAAGAACGAGAAAATGTAAAAGGATAATAAAAAATAAGCTTTTGAAAATCGGTTTGGCTTTGGTTAATTTATGCAAATTTTGAACAATTTTTGCATATTTTTATGGGGTTGAATTTTATAATTAGCCAACAATTATTCAGTAAAATGTACATTTTTATTTCGGTATTCAACTTGGCCTTTTTTTTGCGAAGAGAAACATTTGAAGTAGACACATCTCAATCATCCGTTGTCTTGACAACTTTGAATTGCCAAAAATTCAATAATGCTGACAAACAATCAAATATGCCCATTTTTGCCCAGCCAACTCTTTGAGACTTGTGTGGGCTTTTTGGAATTAACGAGTAAGAAATAAAAAAATTGCTTGGACAGGCGATTCACCTTTTTGTGGGTGCGCATTTCAATATCTTTAGCATAGCCATTAAAAACAGGATGGCAACAGGATGGCAGACAGTCGAAACTTTCCGTCTGTCTGGGTCTTGCCACAATGTCTGGGCAATTGTGATAAAGTCGAATCCAACTGCCCAACTGCTGGTCTTTAAAATGAGTTCAACGCCTGGTTGTTGCACGTGCACAGCCCCGATGAGACTTAAAGACCTGAAGCTCTCGTTTTGTGATTGGCCAAAGTGAGAGGGATGTGGGACTGAGGTATACAAGGACAATGCTATAGAATTTGTAAGCTGATACCACTTGAAGCCTGCACAGAGCAAAGGACACGTTATTTAAAACATAAAGTGTACATTACACAATTAGAATTTCGACTTTAGGTTGTCAGGCGTTTGTAGCATGTAGTCCCATATAATTTATATTTCCACGAAATGCGAATGCGATATGTAATCTAACGTAAGGTGAATCAAAAATTCAATATCAATTTAAAAATTGTCTTACATTCAACTTCCAACATTACTCGCATCCTTTTAAAAAGGGGCGACCTTTTCGACCGCCCAACCTTTTCGATGGTTTGGCCACCTTTTTCAGCTGTTCTCCATAAAATGAAATTTTATTTAATCAACTTTGCATTGACCTTCTATTTGGTGATAACAAAAGATTTTAATTGGATTGTCGCGAACTGCGAGTGAAGAGCTGCTCGGCTCAAGAACCCTGTTCATTTATGTTGATTGAAGATGTCTGCATTGGACAATTCTATGAATCAAACATGCGGCTGTCTTTAAAACATTGCTTTGCGTAATTACATCAATGTCAAATGGACCCCCTGATCACGGCCTGTTGAACACACATTCGAATTAAGCCTACATAGCTGGTTTAGATTCAGGTTGTAGCTGCCTTAAGGGACTACATCGACACTGTTCGACTCACATAGCTACTCACATACAGACACACACCCACACACACGCATATTCAATCATTCGCTCAATCACGCAGCTAAAATGATGGCTCAGGCAACGAAAGCAGCTAAAACACAATGGTCCCCCCTGATTGCATGGACAGCTTTAAGGAAGCGCTCAAATTTCCTTGCATGTGCGTGTGTGGGGCGGTTTGTGGGGGTGTATTTGGGGTGTGGAGGCGTTTCTGTGACTTAACAGGATATGGGCGAACCGATGATGGCCAAGCCAACGGCCATCAATGTGAATTTGATGTGTGCAGTGGCTGCTGTAAAACGTTTTGTATGGCATCATGTATTAAATGCCATTGGCAGGTCCTTGCTAGAGGATAGCGTGCGGATTAGTAATCGGCTTAAGTTGCATCGCTTGGAAACTTCCCACCGCAACCCTCACAACTATTACACAAAACAAAAAAAAAAAAACGAAAAATGCTTTTAATTAAAATAGCCTTGAACTTGAACAGGAACCGCTTAGAGTGTGCACAACAAGTGCAGTAGCCACACACCACACGCCACAGACTCCAAACTCCAACTTGACCTTCGGGCACTGAATGCACATCAACCGAGGCTGTTATGCGCAACCATATAATAAATACGCATTTGAGGAAGATAGATGCTTCAGAGCGAGAAACGGCAACGGGGTGGAGGCTGGCGATGTGCTTGGAGAAATCGTAAATGATTTCATGCTTATTGGACAATGCATGGGGCTAACATCCATTGTTAATCATGGCCAATATATAAACGCATATTAGTGAAGCACAACTACTTTGGTTGGGCATTTAAGGAATGATAAAGATGTGAATTATGGCTATGAATATTATTGTTATTTTAAGAATTTATCTCTGCAGGTTTTTGTTTTCCTACACAACAAATACTTAAAAAAGAGTTGAGCAAAAATGTAAAGCGCTTACAGGCTTAAAGCATTTATGTTTTAACTAATATACAAATATTTAATAAACTCATAATAATTGCAAATGTTCCAAGAATGCTAAATAACAAAAAGGTGAAGAGCAAATATCAAGTTCTAAGAAAAAATATGCATTTCAATTAAAATACAATTCGTAGAAATAAATTTAAGAACTCAAAGCTACACTTCTGCAAATCACTTCAATCATCTAACGAAATTAAATTTACAAATTAATTGATTTACGAGAATATTTAACAAGCAAAATCAATTGAGTATCAGTTTGTCTGCCTTCAATTATTTTTAAACGCGCAAAGAACCTGCTCAATTTAGCCAGACAGCAAAACCCATACACAGACACAAACACACACACACACGCACAGATATCGAACACACACACAAATCGCAGGTAAGCCACCAAAAATAGCTGGAAATAGTTGCAATTTGCGACTGGTGCGCTCAAAAGTATGCAATGAAAAACGCAGCGTTAAATGAGCTGCTTCCGATGGGGCTTATGTGCGCGCGTGTGTGTGTGTGTGTGCGTGAGTTAGTTAGAAAAGAATGCCACACAGCAAACAGTACAAAGAATTCGCCTTCACTTTTTACTTTTTTGGCGAACGAAAAATGTATTTAAAACTGTGCACACAGCCAGTAACTCGAATGGGGATGTTTTTGTGGTGAATTGCGCGCCCGTTTCCAATCGAAGCGCCAGGAGCAGCGCACAAAACTAAACTGAACACGCAGCGAGTGGCATTAGCAGCAGGAGCAGCAGCAGCAGCAGCAACAGCAGACACAGCAGACGCAGCATCGCAACGTAAGGTCCTTCAGCGTATGGACCGAGTCAAGTTCGTGGCGCTTCGGCATTTTGGCTTTGCCACAACACAGCAACCCTGGCCTACAAAAAGGCGACCAGCCAATGTCGGGCACGCGCCACGAGTGCGTCCCACAAGGGGCTCGTTAGAGTGTGAGCATGTGTATCTACTCGGAGTGTCGCACATCAATGTGGAGCTGGCAGCAAATATAACTGTTGCACTTGAACTTCATTGCCTTGACGGCCATCGTGGCTGCCTCCTGTCGTCGCTGCGAGTTGCGAGTTCTGAAAGTGAAAGCCGGCAACAGGTTGTGGCTGCGCCAGATTTTTGCAGATGGGTACATAAAATATGTTGCCTGCTTCGAGGCGCACGGATATTTGGCTCAAATTTAATTGCAATATTTCTTAATCGAAGGAATACATTTTAAATTCAAATAATATGTGAATCTTCTTTTATCATAATAATTTGGTATTGTTCATGATTAAAATATGGTTTAACTCAACTTATGATCAACTTTCAGCTATATAAAGTCAAGTCTCTCTGGTTCCATTCTTGCTTAAATAAATTACAATAATTCCCACTTTTTTTGATTATATTATTTTGATATTGTTCATTATAAAAAGCCAAATTCCGATAAACATTCAGCTACAGTCAAGTTTCACAGGTTTCACTCTTGCTTAAGGACAGATTATGTTGTTTTCTCTTTCATTTTTAAGTTAATTTAATTTTGCAATTTAACCATTTGTTGGAGCTATAGATTACGCTGACAATTGAAAAGTAGATCCATCATATCTCCATGGAATAATTAGCTTATCAATCATGGACTTTCGATATTTTTATTTTTTGGTCACCACTGATGCGAAATGTGTCATAAATATTATGAAATCTAACCGTGCACCACAAACTCACACACACACACACACACAAACACACACAGGCACCCACACACCAAAATATTTATTGGCGTGGGCACTCCATCTAACCGCCGTGCGTTTACGGGGTTTATTTTTATGACAACGGGGAAAAAAGGAAACAAAATCAATGCGAGTGCGCTGTGGAGATTTGTGTGCGATAAAAATAGACAGCATAAAGTAAGGCCAAATCGCGCCACCCAAAAACCACAATATGTTGCCAATGTGACAAAATTCCTGCGGCTGATGCTCACTTACAGTTACACCCACACACCCACACACACACACACACATACACAATCACACACATTTAGTGAGGTGCACAGATGTATGCAGAGCAAAGCTAGAGAAATGCGATTATAAATATTTATGTAGATTTATCTATGCATGTTGACGGTAAGTGAATTTTTTGAGTTTGTGGACATGCACAGGTGGGAAAGAGTGCAATGCAGAGTTGCCACACACACACACACACACACATACACACACTCTCTCTCTCTCTCTCGCTCTGTCTATCTTTTTTAATTTATCTGTACTTATTTTATTGACTTACCGTTAGTGCAATGCCAACGGTGGCCGAGAAGGAGCCCAAACGAAATTCGCCCGTATTGTATTTGACTAGAAATGAGGTTTTGCCTACACCTGAATCGCCCAGCAGGATCGTCTTGTGATTGATCGTATCATCGAAGGGCGGCACTTGAGCCGGTGCCTGTGCCTGATACATGTCAACCTCATCGTAGCGATACGATCGCCATCCATCGTCGTAATCCTGCTCCAGGGCATAGTCGGCATTGCCATAGGCATACAGTTGCAGGGCTTCGCGAGAGGGACGATAGCCCGGATATCCGGTGGCGGAGCGTTGGACGGGCGCCATAATCGCATCGTCATGATAGTGATGACTGCTCGTCAGACTCTGTTGGCTGCTGCTGGTGTTGTGATTGGGATTGGGATGGTGGTGATGATGGTGCTGATGTTGGTGTTGGCTTACGGGCGCCGCTGGTGGATTGTAGCAGCCGTCGCCGAAGGGACGACGACGCAGCTCCTCGATGCGGGCCTTTGTCGTTTCCGCATCCTCGAAAACGTCATCACTCATGCTACTCGCATCATCGTGAAGCGATGTTGTTGTTGTTGTTGTCGCCATGTTGTGGTGTGTGTCTTGGCTAGGCAAAAGCAGAGCAAAGCTGAGCTTTTTTCGATGCTGAGTCCTTGTATGGTGTGTGCTTTTAGGCGCTCGCAACGCGCTCTCTCTCTCACTGTCTCTCTGTTGTGCTTTTTCTTGCGCTCTCCTTATGACTTTGACATTTGGCGACGTTTGCTTATCCGGTTTATGGCACGTTTTCTGAATGAATTCTGATTTTGAGCCAATTTGCGGGGGGTTTGTGGTTTGCAGGCGCTTTGACAATGCTTATTCACATATATTTATATATATAAGTATATATGTAGTTGTATATGTATATGTAGTTGTATGTATGTTATGTATATTTGCTCTAAACTTAATAATTAAGCTGCTTAATATTGAATATTCCCTAAACGTATATTCGTTAGTTTCTTTTCAATTGAACTTTGATTTGGTTTTTCTTTTATTTTTGTTGCTTGGTGTTTTGTTTGAAGCCACTAAATAATTGTTATGTATAAATTGTAACTAACTAAACATATTGACTAGTTTCCGCTACGGGTTATGAGCTAATTGGTGCCGTTTCTTCACTATTTTAATAACAGTTATTATTGCTAAACTTAGTTTTTTTTTGGTGTTTGTTTTTTTGCTTGGTGTTTTGGTTAAAGCTTTTTGTTGAATTGGTTTAATTTGTTTTTTTTTTTTTTTTGTTGGTTTTTGTTAGTTATTTTGTCTCTCTCTCTCTCTTTCGATCGGCTTCGACGAAAATATTGCGTTTGATTCTTGGCGTTTTTTTTAAATATTATATTTTGGTGTTTGTTGTTGGTTTGTTTGTTTTTTTCATCACTATCACAGCATAAATAAATATATCGTCAATGGTTTTGGCGATGGCTTTGACGATGGCGTCGTCGCCTGCGCCGCACTAATTAGGCAGCGACGTTGAGCCAACGGCCAGAGTTCCACATCCACATCCACTTCGACTTCGACTTCCACATCCACATCCGATGCTGACGTCTTCATTTCCCTTTGTTATCTGTCAAACGAAATAACGGCAATAGCATCCAGCGCCCGGGCGCCGCAGCTAGTGCCATTCATCGACCCAATCTATGACGACAGAGCAGACAGCTATTGACAAGGGCAACAACAGCAACAACATCATTTTACTATGCCCTGTCGTAGCTCGACTTCCTTTTTGGGTCATTGTGTGTGTGCGTGAGGCGCGTATGTGTGCGTGTGTGTGTGTGAGTGAGTTGTGTAGTGCGGCCTCTTTTCACATATTTCCAATTTCCTAGCTATTTAAATTGCACGGTGTTTTTGCGTTTCAAACGGTATGCGTCGCTTTAGTTGGCTTTTGTAGCTGTCTGTTATCACATTGTTGTTAATTTCTTTGAATACGAATCATTTTGCACGCACGCACACACACACACATATAAAGACGATGCAGATTTGATTTATTTTGCTCGCACTTGAAACAGAGGCACCAAACTACGTTTCTGTGCAAATACCAGCATTTAACTGCAACGCTTTCCAACACTATTTTGCTGGATTTGTAACCAAACGCAGGATGGTCACACTTTACGCTCCACACACGATCCACAACTGTGGTGGTCAATCGATTACACCCACCTGAATTGAAGGGGGTTTTATGCGTATGCCAGTACGGTCACATTGTTTGCAGTCAGTGTAAATGTCAGTCGCAATTTGTTTTTAAACAGTTTGTGGTTTAAATTACTATTAATTGGGCAACTAAAACGCTAGGTGAAACGGCAAATCGAGTGCAGCTCAGTACAATTTCAACGCGCGGGGACCAGCAACAGCCTCAAAATTGGTAAAGTGGACGGCAACACGATGGGCAGCTCCGACGATCGCGTCTACGCTGCCGAAAAAATCATCCAGAAGCGCGTTAGAAAGGTAAATTCTAGAAAATAAACAACTGCAACAAACATTATGTGCAACTTGCATCGTGCAACAACGCATGCGAGATACAATTGCATGCGCTGCATACACAAATAATGCACAAGGTCACATGTCCTTCGGAATATCGAGCACAGAGCCTTGCTTCGTCGTCCATCTGCTGCTGGCAGCTGCGCCAGTTTCTCGTGCCTGCAACACCAGTAGCAGCAGCAGCAACCACCATTTGCGTTACGTGTGTGTGTGTGTGTTTGTGTGTGTTGTTTTTGTTTTTCTTACGTTCTCGGGCATCGATGAAAAATCAATTAGTTCGCCTTGCATCGTGTGTCTTTGGTACGCGCCAAATGTCCTTAAATAGCCGATCCGGCATCGAACATGTCAAAACATGCACGCATTTTATCTACAGTGGCCTTTCGTAAATTGGAAACCCAAACAAACAGAAATGAATCGAAGATAAATTGTTGCTGAAACCCTTTTAATACTAATCTATTGCCGTTATTAATCAGCTTTGAAATATTTCTGAACATCCGTTGAAATTTATCATAAATCATTAAATTTTTTAATATTATATTAAATATTATTTAAAATTTAATATATTAGAACAAAAATGAACTAAAATCTCAATAAACAATCCTTTGCAATTTATTTATCTAAATCATTAAAATTACAATATTTGCATTTTTAAAATATTTGAAAACGAATCGCAGAATAAACCAATAATAAGCATAAGACAAATCCTCTATAATAAAATCCTTAGAGAGCAATAACAAAATATATATATATCTATATATTGGCAGGGTGTTGTGGAGTACCGTGTCAAGTGGAAGGGCTGGAACCAACGCTACAACACCTGGGAGCCAGAGGTTAATATCCTGGATCGTCGTCTAATCGACATCTACGAGCAGAGCAACAAATCCTCCGGCACACCCTCCAAGCGGGCCGCTGCGCTCAAGAAGAAAGAAAAGGAACCGGATCCGGAGCCCGAATCCGAGGAGGATGAGTACACATTCACCGGCGATGATGTGCCCGATAACAATCAGCAGGCAAGTACATCGACTGCGGCCACAATTGGCGATGGTGGCGTTGACAAGAAGGACAAGGATAAGAAGCATCATCATCACCATCACCACCATCATCACCATCAGCAGCAGCAGCAGCACACCGCCAACAACAACAACAGCAACCAAAGTATCAAATCGGAACGGATTAGTAATCGTCGCTCCGAGTCGCCGCTGACCCATCACCATCATCATCACCAGGAGTTGAAGCGATTGCGCATGGATCGCAGCTCCTCATCGAACAGCAGCTCAACGCACAATGAGAATTCCTTCGTGCCGGAGGCGGACACCAATTCATCCAGCTCCGAGGATCAACCACTGATGGGCACAAAGCGCAAGGCGGAGGTGCTTAAGGAGTCGGGTAAAATTGGTGTCACCATTAAAACGTCACCGGATGGACCCACTACAACCAAGCCGCAGCAACCGATGCAGGAGCAGCAACCGAATGCCGCAGAATCGGCCACGCAGCCGCACAAGACAGAGTTGCAGAGCGCTGAGCCAGAGGCAGGCGAGGCAACAACATCGACACCCGTCTACGCCGACCACGAGGACGATGAGGATTCGTCTGCGGCGCCAGCTGCGACGGCGTCGGCGCCGGCGCCTCCCACAGAGAACAATAACATACCAAAATTGAGTGGCGCCTTGGCGTTGAGCCAAAAGCAACCGTTGACGCCGCTGTCGCCGCGTGCGTTGCCGCCACGCTTCTGGTTGCCGGCCAAGTGCAACATCTCGAATCGTGTGGTCATCACGGATGTCACCGTCAATCTGGAGACGGTCACCATTCGGGAGTGCAAAACGGAGCGTGGATTTTTTCGTGAACGCGACATGAAGGGCGACTCATCGCCGGTGGCTTAGCCCACGTTCATTGCTCCGAATCCAATTGTAAATAGTCTTCTAAACAAAAGAAGAAAATCCAATGCTAAATGTTGCAAAGCATTTCCCTTTAAGAAATAACTTATTTATTGTATTTATTGATAGCGTAGAAACTAGTTTTGTTGTCCTTATTACAATGTTTAAAATGAGAGTAGTGGCGGCAACAGCTGTTGGGCAGCATCAAAAGTTGACATCATCCATCTCATCCAACTTGATGAGCTTTTGTGCCTGCCCAACTGACGACTGTCGGCGCACATTACATACTAGTTGTATGTCGTGTAGTTTAGCAGAGTATATATGTATATATATATACACATATATATATATATAGCATATTAAACAGCATATATATATATATTTATTTAACATATATGTATGTATATTTTTCTATAACAACTTGAATCTGATAAACACCAACCAAAACACTCATTTACGCAACAAATGCATGCGAAACTGATGCAATTGCTAATACGCTTGATATACCCATTTACATTTACATTTACAATTACATTATACTAAAACCTAACACAAATATATATATATATATATATATATATATATATATATATATATATATATATTCGCTAAGAATGTTACAAATCAACAGCAACTTCAATTATTTCCCTCATTTTTGCATATTTTTTTAGGTTTTCTCATTGTACATGTTTTTATTTTGTGAGCCCAACATTGTAAAGATATATATTTTTTTAGCGTTGACTGAATTGAGGGAACTACATGCAAAAATCTTTGTTGAGGATAGTTATTAGCTAATTATAATCTTCCACATGTATAATTTCTGTTTTAACGTTTACTCATAAGTTTCATTGTCCAAAATGTGCAGTGCACAATCCAAGAACACCACAACTTTTAGCTGGTGTTTATAGATTTAGCACTCTTCCAGATGGTTTTGCAATTCCTTTTAAATTGTTCTGTACATTTTTTTTTAATATACACACATATTTTTAATAAACAACGCACAAAAAAGAAACTGCGAAAATCAATGAACATTGATTTCTTGGCTTAGTTTCGAAGCATATTCATTTTATGAGCGTGTGCGTAGTATTTATTGGCTAGTTTTAGTAGCGGCGATAATTCCATAAAAATAAAACAAAACAATGCAAAACAACAAAAACAAAAACAATTCTACTCCAAAACATTTTCAAGATTGTAATTTACTCTAACTTTAATGTTATTGCCAATATCCAATGGTAATTAAATTAATTAGAAACAATCATTTTGTGTTTTTATTTTCATAAATTTGATCATCCAATCAATCAAATTAAAATTCGCTGCCAATATCGATGCTAGTTTTATATATATTTAGCTATTTATTTAATCGGCTATATGGCCCCAGGGGAATGCTCACCTCATCGTACTGCAAGTGGGTGACAAAATTAAGGTGAAGATGAGGATTAAGATGAAGATAAGGATTAAGATGAAGGTGAATCCGGTCATTCTTACCTGTCTTGTTAGAGTCTCCAGCAGCTTGGAAGAGCATTGACCAGATGCCCAACGAGGACCTTGCTGTGAAAAATTGGCAAGTTGCTGCAGCAGCCGCCGACTTCCTAACCTATTCATTACAAGTGATAGAATTGAATTGCAAATATTTTTTATTGAATAGTTTAATGGGATCGACAAATTACTAAATTCACTTTGAAATGAGACAACTGATTACATGTCAGCCACTTGCCAGAAATTAAAAGGGGAAGTGCAAATATCCTAATCAACACAAATAAATGTAAATATCCGCATAACTTGTGCTTAATAATTGATAACAATAAGTTCGCAAAACGTTTCTCTTCACTAGTGCTGATTGCTATCGGTGCTTAAAAAAAACATTCGATACTTTTCAAATAAAATCGGTTTCAGTGCTGAAAAAGCTCTTTATAAGCCCGCTTTTTTTTAATAACTGTAATTTGTTAAATTTAAAGAGCAAGCAAACTAGTTTTTATTGATAGCCCGCCAAGATTACGTACTGGTTCCTTTTGTCCATCCCTGGCACTCACTGCTTAGAACTTTAAACAGCTGTTTGGAATATTTATTGAAACGTAACTAAAAATTGTGCAAAGTACACTTTGCATATGTATGATTTCAGTGCACATTTAATGGAAGTGTAAGTGATATGCAAGTGGATATAAGCTAGTTGGATACACCTGTTGACATTGCACCTTTGACCTGTTTTTTTGTTTCGGCTAGTACGGATTTAATATGGCATGTATAACTCAATTTCAGGCTTTGCTCTTTTTGTTGTTTACATCCGCCTGGTCGCTCTACGTTAAAATAATAATAATAATAAAATTCGTTTGCTAATCTCTGAGCACATTGATAACGCTGATAAGAATTTGTCTGCGCCCGTGTTTAAAATGGGCTAAACTTTGGATTTCAGTTACATTTGTTCTTGGGCATACTTTCAGTGAGGAACATGAATCATTTCGAGCGTACGGACAATTCTAGTGCCAGCAGTGGCAACAGCACCAACGATGGCAATGCGGATTTGAATGTGAACCAACGTTATCGCCATGCTGGCGACCTGACTGGCGAAGCGCCAACGAGATCGGTAAGTGTGCACTTTGATCTTTGGACACTGCTTACAGCGTACAGCGCACAGCTGCTAAAAATGTTGTTTATTTAATTTGCTTACAGTTCTCGGAAATCACGATTAAGGTACCCTGGGGCCACATAGCCGGTAAATGGTATGGTCCACAAAATGTGCAGCCAATATTGGGATTGCATGGCTGGCAAGATAATGCGGGCACATACGATTTGTTGGTGCCACTGCTATCACCGGATGTTGCCTTCCTTTCGGTTGATTTGCCCGGTCATGGACTGTCTTCCCGTTTGCCGGATGGTTGCTATTATAATTCAGTGGATAATCTGTATGTGATAAGGCTTATCATGAAGCAGTATAAATGGGCAAAGGTGTCTCTCGTCGGTCATTCGATGTCTTCGATAATTTGTTTTGTGTTTGCCGCTGTCTTTCCCGATAAGGTTGACATGATCATTGGCATTGATGCGTTGAAACCACATCAGCGCCCATATCCATCGGTCATCCGCACCATGGAGACGCGATTGGATGAGTTTCTGCGCGAGGACGAACGCAATCGTAGCAAAAACGAACCGCCCAGCTACACATACGATGAGCTGATCGAGCGCGTCTATCTGGGCACCTTCCACTCGGTGAACAAGGAGCACTGCAAGCATATGCTTGCTCGCAACATTCAAAAGTCGGACAAGTATCCGAATAAATACTTCTTCTGTCGCGATCGCCGATTGAAGTTTTACAACTATGCGATTGGGTCGCAAGAGCTGTGTGTAGAAATGGCCAAGCGCATAACGTGTCCCTATCTGTTCATCAAGGGCTTGCAGTCGTCCTATTTCGAGGACAAGAAATACTACGATGAGGTTCTGGAGGTGCTAAATAAGAAACCGAATTTCGAGTATCAAGAGACTAATGGAACGCATCATCTGCACATGAATAATCCGGAGACCATAATTGGTCCAATCAACAACTTTATACAACGGTTTGGGCCAGCTGCCGCTGCTGCGGCGCGTAAGAAGGCCAAGGAAGCTGCTGAGAGCAAGCTTTAGAGGGCTTAGTCCAATCACAACAATATCTATCAACGAGAAACATTCAGTATAAGCCTGGGTTAAATGGGACCAATTTATTGTTACATAAACGATTCTGCGTGTTCATGTCACATCTCTTATTTTAATATACCTAATTGTTGAACGTATTGTTAATGTCTGGCACAGCTTCTGTTATAAATACACCACTGTACATATACACATACAAATATATATATATATAAACATATATATATATATACCTACGACAAAAGGTTTTTCGATTCATTGCTTGGGTGTTTTGAAGGATAACGTGGAACTGGTTATGTTAACCCTTTAAGGTCACATTTCCAGTCAATCGTGTTGCAGTTGCAGTGTCTGAGAATTTAGTGTTAATGTCCGGTTTTTTATTTAATCTAAAATTGGCATTTTTGCAGGGTTTTCATTTCATCCACATATGTCCAAGAGGAGAACATGTATTTGCTTTCAAATTTATTGAGAAAAATATGATATAATTAAATTAATACAGTATTTTATCATAACCTGTTCTCAAATATATAATTTTTGGAATTTCGTACCTCCGTTTTTGGAGTCCTTGATGACATATTAAAATCTTGATGGGTTAATTAAGCATATGGGTATTACGTGCATGCTGCTGGACGCTTATGAAGTGCCGGCAGTTGACCTACATTTTGGCCAGTAGAATCCGCTGGCGCAGCGAAAGTGTTATTAAGCCAATAAAACCCGTTTGCTCCCCGGCAGCGCCAGTACCCTGCATATTACAACACACTTTAGACTCTTTCTTGGTATTTGTTGTTGCGATCTGGTTTTAACATTTTGGCGGTCAGCTGTCTGATTTACATTAAAATGACAAATTAAGTATGTATGTACATAAATGAAGCAACAACAAGAAGAGGAGCGCACAAAAAAAGGTGCGAAGTCTGCGAGTTGATGGCCCTGCAGCTTCCACATATGTCTGCATAAATTTCCGGACGATGTTTCTTTAAATATATAAATACGCACGCGATTTACCTGCATATATATTTATATTTTATACTTTTCACCTCGACCAATATGGTTAATTCCTGTGACCGTTCAATATGGCAATGACTGCTTTGCAATTTGATAAATGAGCTCGGCTTAAGCGTGGCTCATAAGGTATTGAGTATTTTACGATCAGCAATGATATTAAATTAATGAGCAGGTAGACAGTTTAACACTGCTGCACGCTCACCGATTCATAGTTACGGAAAGCACAAAAGGTCATCACTTTTTTATATAAACATACTAATGTACAAATTAGCATGACGAAAGATATCCAAAAATGAAATTGTTTTGTTTTGGTTTCTTCACTTGATTTTGAATATCAAGCTCAATTTTTGATTTAATGCACACTACTCTTTTATGAATAATTAAAAATGATTCGGATGATTAACTCTAGATCTGTTGTGGATGTTCTGCATTATATTGCAAAGACCTCAGAATGGCATCTGGAATTGGGGGTGGTACGGGCAGATGACTGCCCACTGGATGGTATCCATTCTCATCAGCGGTGTATTGCAAACTGATTTGTTCACCTTCGGGGGACACCCAGGCGACAGTACCAGAGACACCATTAGGATTACCAGCCTCCTGGGCTTGGATGCCATTGCTGGTCTCAAAGGAATATTGATAGTTGCCGTCCGCATCGGCTGGGTCATTTTTTTCGCTAACAATTTGTGCATTCTTGTCGATGTTGTCCGCCTGGACGCAGGCCAGCAGAACGGCGAAGAGGCAAAGTGTCTGCAAGGTCAAATTATTTAGTTAGTTTCTTATATCCTTTATCCGTATATCCTTTTTGGCGTTGCGGCATCCATGAAATTAATTTGGAATTTGTACGCTCTACTCACAAGCTTGAACATCTTGCTTCGGTTGTTGTCTAATTCACACTGATGGTCGTCTTTGAGTGCCAAACGCTTTTTATACAAATCGTAGAGCAACCTGAACTTAATTAGTATATATATATATGTATTTGTATAATTTGTAGGCGCAGCCACCAAATCTGCTGATGCTGCTGCTGTTTCTAATCCGTTGGAGCTGCGTCAACGACGCGTTATACTAAATATCACTGAGCTTAAGATATGTGTGTGCATAAAAAATAAAAACGAGAATAAAATTCAGGGCAATAAAAAAAATCACAGATTTGTATATAATTATATGCATGTTTCGTAAAACATCTCATGAAAAGCGTTAAAAGTCTAAACTCATTCAAAGTGGTTTCAATTGGTTGATGGATCCACTTCTACGGCTAATCGCATCCATCGTAAGCAGCACCATCACCTCGCTCTTAGCTTAATAGTTTTGGTCGTCATTTTTTGTTTGTTTGTTTGTTTGTTTTTTAACGATAATGACGCATGTGACATTAGCCTCTGCCGAGAGGTTGCGCAACATTTACGATGCACCTACACTGATTGGTTATATTAGCTTAAAAAGCAAAAGGCGAACTAAATCTAATTTATCAGCACTTTCAATTTCGATCTTGTTGGCCATTCAACATTTTGGGCAAACCAGTTTAATTATTTAATTATGCTGAGAAGAATTCTTCATCCAAATACGAGCAAGTTCACATTTGCATACAAATTTGTTGCGCAACAATAAATTAGTGGAACGTTGAGGCGCAGGGAATCTACTATTTATTATCTCCAATGTGAGGCTCGCACTTTACAGATAGCTAATAAAATGCCTATTTATTGTCGCTGAATCCATTAGAGTCGACTCCCCGCAGCACGTGCACAAGCAAAAGACTTAGAGCACAAACTTGCTCAACTGGCTTGCGGCTAATTAGCATTTTTAAAGTGCCAAAAAAATGTTTGTGATTTTTTTTATTTTTTGATATGTATTTAGATTAAAGATAATTCACTCTCCCTTTTTTTTTTAAGTGAATCTCGGGGAATGATTTTTTGCTCGATGTGAAAAAAATATAGATCATACAAAATATTCATAAAATGATTTATATAATGTGGTACCCATTTCCTGCTTGGCTAATAAACAAGAATTATTAATTATATAGGATTTGTAATATCACGTTTTTATGCGAACTCCTAAACTCTTTTTGAATGCCGCCCCATCAAAATGTTAAAATTCAGGTTTAGTTTTAACTGAATACGCATTCACCTAACTGGCGAGCAAAGTTCTTGCCAATTAAAAAGAAACTGATTTTTTTTTGTCGTTTTGCTAGAATTCAATTAATTTAAGTTTCAAACGAATGTTTATTAACTGCTGAACTGATATTTCTTCAGTCTAATGTGCCACAACAATGCCAATTATTATTATTTTTTTTTTTTTGCTTATCAATATATTATTGTTATTAATAATGTGGGACACAGCGAGCAAGTTTGATCCATTGTGCCCATCTTGGGGCAAATGTTCATCTATAATTTATTAATATATATTAACAAACTTGTTGCTTATGTTTGTTGCTCCCTCAAAGAGGGAAGACCCGTTTTCAATGATTTAAATTTTTTTCATTTTGTTAACATAGATACATACATATTTAAACAGTTTGTTTACTATGTTAACTAGCACAAATTTAATTAAGCTATCAAAGTTAGGAGCTCTGTTCATTAAAAGCTCTTAAGAAGTTCCTCATTATATTTATAAATGTTTTCATGGCATAATTTAATGTAATAAAGATGTTATATATAATAGAAATTAATTATAGTTTAGGTTATAAATTTCGGTAATAGCTCGCCCTTGTGTATCTATATTATTATCACTATTAGCAAATTGTTTCCTCAGAGCTAAAATATTAACACTCGCAAACATGTTTTGTCAGCACGAGCATATTGCATTATTAACTAAATTAATAAACAGACAGGCAGTTTTACATTGCTTCAAGCTCAGCAACACATAAGGAAAGTGTTCATGGCCTTGTACACTTTTTTATATACATATTTAGCACTTTTAGCATTGCCAAAAAAAAAAAATTAAATTGATATGTTTTCATTTTCATTGACCAAAATTTCAAGCTCCAAGATACCCTGAGCCCAATTGTTAAATATATTATTCCATTTATATTGCTATATTTCATTGAAAAAGGTTTGCACACGCAAATGTAAGTCGGTGTGGAAGTACGTCCATTATTGTGTCCGGTACTAAATTGTTAGTTACAGATACTAAAGACTAAAAAAAAACAATTCAGCGCATGTTTTTATTCACAAGCCCGAACTGAAATCACTATTTATATATACATGCTTCAGAGATTATGCTATGTCTTTCTCATACAATAAAGTATTTATGATAGTATTGAGATAAAAATGAAAATACGTTTTTGAGGATATCTCTTAATCGACCTTGATGATATTTACAGACTGACAGGCGGACATGGCTATATTGACTCAACTAGTGATGCTGACCAGGAATTTGTATTAATAAACTCTCCAAGTGTGTTTAAAAAAGATTACCCAAGTGAACCAAAAGTAAATGATATTTTGAGAAGTGTTGCAAATGAATTACCCTTACAAAATATAGGCCTAAGTAATTTTAGTTAAATACGCTTGAAATCCAAGCAATTAACTGATCAATGACCCAATTTAGATCTTCCGTCTTCTCAGAAGTGACTCAAATTTTGCTATCGAACTTGAATCCAATTTACAATGCATCATTATGATCTTCAATATTGGTAGTCTTGTGCCCCCAGCTGGAGGCTGCGCGTCCAAATGTTTTTATGCCGACCTTGCGCATCCAAAACATTTCAACAACTTTTCAAGATAGACAATTCGCGCCTGCTACCAAGCACGGGCACGCGCACCTGCCAAACTCCAACTTCAACTATAAATCGAATTCCAAATAACGACGACAGTCAAAAGAGCGCAATGAAAGTCTGGTAATTTTTGTGTTTCTGGTTTTCAAACTGTCTGTCGGTTAGTGTGTCTGTCTGTGAGTGTGAACCACAGAAAGAAATACAAATAATTTAGGGTTTAGTTTAAAATTAAAGAGGTGCATGAGGCAAACGCGCCAAACTGACACCAAATTAAAGCATGGAAATAAATTGATGGCAAATGACTCATGCATTTTAAGGCACTCGATTTTCGATTATTGTTAACCGCATTGTTGTTGTTAATGTTTCGATTATGATAATACGATTTTTGGCAATTATTGTTGCCGCTCTTCGCCCAGTTCCAAGTAGTTGCCAATTGCGATTGCGGCGATGCCATAAAATGCCATTGAAACCCGTTTTGCTACAGATCCATATCCATATAAAAGCCACAACATTGTCGACCAGAGCAATCAGTTGCAGTTGAAGCATCTTCCTTGTCACAAGTCACAAGCCAACATGTTCAAATATGTAAGCTGGAATTTAAAGAGTTATTTTTTTAATTTAGTTCCCATCGGTTAACGCAACAACTTTATTGTAGATGATCTGCCTCGCCCTCATTGGTTGCGCATGCGCCGACAACATCAACAAGGACGCACAGATTCGCAGCTTCCAAAATGATGCATCCGATGCGGAGGGTAATTATCAGTTTGCCTACGATACCAGCAATGGCATTCAAGTGCAGGAGGCGGGAAATACTGCGGGTGTTAGCGGTGCCTACTCCTATGTCTCTCCCGAAGGCGAAAAGATCTCGCTGACCTACACAGCTGATGAGGAGGGCTATCATCCCATTGGTGACCATCTGCCCACACCTCCACCGGTTCCGGCCTATGTGCTCCGCGCCCTTGAATACATTCGCACACATCCGCCAGCGCAACAGGACGATCAATAAGCTGACATTGAGAACCAACCAAGCAACCAGTCCCAGTCCATCACCAACATTCACCAATACCACCATCGAATCACTCGAAACTGTGGCCAGTCATTGTTATATAGAGACATATTCACATTCGCATTCGCATGTTATATAATTAGTTGTAGTTATCATTAATAAAGCTCGTTCAACTAAAGATATTTGCCAATTGAAAATGATCTAAATGATGGACTAATAATGTGCTAATAATGATATTACCCATTATAATATTAAGCAACACAGTGTATTAGGAATTCCAATTTTTATATACACTGCTTTAACTTAATAATGTGCGAAAGAATTCCAAATTTTATACACACGAGCAGTTTGTACAACAATCATTTGATTGACAAATTACTGAAAAAAAAACAACAATAACAAAGTGTTTTAAGGTTACACATTAAATGAACTGGGTAATGATTGCAATGATTGACCCATTGACTGACAGCTGCTGCAAAAGTCGAGCGGCATTAAGCGGGCCTGCAATTGTGCGCGTTTTAAACAGCTCGCAAGTCGCGTCGTTGCATTGTGGGCGTGCGACTTTTTTGTACAAACATTGTTCTTTGTTGTAGTCTGATTGGGTGTTGTTTTGCTACTTTTTTTTACTCACTGACCATTATGGTCAGCTGTCAGATGTATCTCTCTCTAGACTATTTATATAAAGTTTAAGCTTTCTTGGGATAAATAACGAGATACATTTATGTATTGCTGTGTAGGTTTATGTGCGGCTCTAGTGTTCCAGAGTGACAGGTTTGTATTATTGTTGTTGTTGCTGTTGCTGTTGTTTATTGGTTTATTTACAATTAAACTTTACCTTAGTTGGCATTTGCGGAAATTGCTCAAGGGCGTTCTAGATACAATGTATATAGATATAAATACAAAAAGACACGTTTGTCTGGGGCAGCAGCTACCCGATTCTCGCTTAGGTCAATTTATGTTGACATTTTTAAGGCATCTGCTTTGGCTCTCACGCGACGACTTAGAATTTATTCATTGTTTGGATGTTGTATGGACTTCCGGTGGAGAATCGGCTTAAAGAATCGCCTAAAGAATTATCTTTTTGAGTTACCCATAAGGTTAAGGTAATACTCATACTCAGAGGTTTAGCAAATATGTAAGACAAAGCACATAAAACACTTGAATTGTTTTCGATTTTAATAAATTAAACTTTTATTTTATTTAACTAAAAAGTGGTTTTGGTTAATTACAAAAAAAGTCCAATAAGATTTTGTGTTTTTTTCTCTCTATGCAATTAAGCGCTTCTGAAAATGTATCTTAAATTAATTAAATGAATTTGTAAACAAATTTCGCTTCAAGTGCCATTTTCGGATGCTTTGCGCAAGGCAGTGCCGCCAACAGAAAACAACGGTAAATAAAAACATACAACACACAAAACGACTGCTCGACAATGGTGTGTGCGTGTGTGTGTCTCTGTGTGTGTGTGTGTGTTACTGGTGTGTTAGTATCTGTATGTGTTAGTTCTTAATGCTCAGGTACGAGGGTCCCACTTGACGGACGTAGACGCTGCGCTCATTACTCAGATACGGCGGACAGCGTACGGTGAGAATGCCATCGGAGGAGAGCTCGGAACGCACATCATTGGGATAGTAACCACGTGGAAGGACAAATCGTTTGACAATGTGACGACCCACAAAACTGTCGCCATCGCGGCGCTTCTCGTGTTTTGCCTCGACGATAACGGTGTCGCCGGTTGTCTTCACGGTAATCTCATAGGGTTTGAACTGATGCACATCCACATTGGCCTCGAAACCATCCTTGCCAACGATAACGCGACTCAGATCGGGTGCAGATCCGACGCGTGACAATCGCTTCCAGTAGGGTACATCCCAATCTGCGGCCAAATCCCAATCGCGCCACAAGCGACGACGATAATCCCATAAATCCCAATCCGTATTGTTGGTCGTTGCTGGTACAAGAGCCATCTCAAGTTTATCTGTGTGTGTGTGAATCTTTTCTTTTTTTGGTGGTGGTTTACTTTTTTGCAGGACGCAGCAACGCGTGGCGAAATTTCACGGCTCTATTGAAAAACTTTTTCCGTTTAATGTTACGATTCGCCGCGTTTTCTGTACGTCCGCACGCGATTTTTGCGCTGAGCAAATTAAACTCGGCACTGGCACAACTGCCACCTTATATAGAGGCACTGCGCCACTACGGATCGCGCTTCCAGTGGGCTAAGCCAGTAGCAATGACAACTGTGACGTAGCCGAGCTCAGCTCAACTCAACTCAAATCAACTCAGCTCAGCTCCAGCTAACCAGCAGCGGGCGATATGTGTTTTGAACTGCTGTTTATCTTGAGAATACAGTCGCTGCCTGTTTTTATCTCGATCTTGATGAGGCTGGTGGGCTGCTCAGCTGTGGGCTGTTGTCAAGCTCACTTCGCATTTCCTTGGGGGGTTGCAACCAACTGACCTAAGCAAAAAACTTCCGCCAGAACAAATTGATAGTATTGCATATAACTCTCTCTCACATCTTGACCCAATCAGCTGTGACAGAAATCTTTGCAGCAAATTCTTCACTCAAATCTTCAAGAAACCAAAACTTATTCTCCCATAACATCACAAGTGCCCAAAACAAGCGATTTAACTCAAAGTTCGCTCACTTTTTGTTTCAACATATACGATTTAATTACGCAGTATTTCCGCTGTTATATATACCATAGATATTCATATATATATATATACATATGTGAATAGGCTAAGCTAAATTAAAAAATTTCTTTGGCGGAAATCCGAAAACAAACATTTGAAAACGTCGCATAATTCTTTTCACTTTTTGACCAAATACGGCATTGACTTTTTGTGCGGATTTTCATTTTCAATTAGTAAGCTACAGATACAGATACAACGAAACAGATACAGAAGCAAATACAAATACACAGATACAGTATCTGCAGCATGTTCAGCGCTTGGATTAAAACATAGATACAACAAAAGGCAATTTGTAAAGCCGACGCTGTCTGCTAAACGGCTTTTCGACTATTGCCATCGATTTGCACCAAAGATTAGCGACAACAACAACAGCAACAGCAACAACAACAACGAAATCAACAACAAGCAACATCGACATCATCGGGAACATAACATTTATGGGCCTGACCTGACCTGAACCCCACCCCGTCACACCATGGAGAGATAAATGGTGACAAATGGTGTGGGGTCGGATTTCTGTGTGTGTGACCCAACCCGTTTATAATTGTGTTCGATGTTCTTCTTGTTCTTGTTGTACTATTTGCGATAGATTTTGCCAGAGCTTGATAGTAATTATAATGACAACGGCGACAATTTACATGCCATGCCCTCCAATAAAGTGTTTATATAGTACAAACGTATTTATCATGTCTGTTAGAGAAAAGAATTTGGTGTATTATATATATTATGAGTTCAATGAGTTTGCAGCTTAGTCAGCAAATGACAGCGCCGAACAAATCTATAGATGCACTTGCCAATTAAGTTGAACTATGTGTAAATGTCAATAGCAATTGCTTTAATTGAAAAATTATAGACAAATTAAAAGTAATTTGTAATTATAATTTCTTGATAAATTATCTCATATATATTTCAGATACTTTATGTTCCTTGCTCTGATTAGTTTATCAAAGAAATCAAGAAGTTGGCTTACATAATAATTGATGAAATAAATATGATAAAGAGTAAGTATTTATGCACGCATTCGTTTTTCTGATACCTTACCCATGTAGCGCAGTGTAACCGTGAAATGCGCGCTGAAATTCTCGTTTGGAAATCAATGAAGTGCCGCTGCCGCAGCAACTGCCACAACAACAACAGCAACAACACAAACTAGTGACAATAATGCATTGTAATTATAGCTAAACAATTTTATAAAGAAAAAACAACTATTGTATGTAATCGACTAATTTGTTTGATTTTATGGCAAAATCAAATCAAATGCGAAGCAAGCGATCCCAACGATCAATACCCAAAGGGTGTGGGTCGCATTCATTCACTTTCTTTGGCAGCTGCTTACACAAGACCTTGTAGTATTTACATATATTTCATGTGCTTTCTATAATGCTGATGCGATGCGATCTTGATTTGCATTGCATTGCAGTGCCACCCCCACATACATATGCTATATGGCTAGTTTTAGGCACGCGCTGCAGTTTGAAAATAGCTATTGGGTGTGGGTTATATGCGATTATTTAGCATCTAAATACAGTCAACTAGCAGCTAGCTTATGGGCTCAAATTTTAGCTAGTTTGCCATCCAACGGGCAAACTGCCAGTGACAGCAACTCACCTCAGCAGCAGCAACTGGCGGCAACATCTGCAATATTCTCAGTCATTAGTTTGATTGCCCCTCGATATGGTCAACACCTTCAAAAAACTACGTAGTGAGACATGTGCTAAAATATAAACGTAATTTTATTGTTTTTAAAATATTAATTGCGTATTAAACACAACTAAGTGTGGGCGCTAAGTGTGCCCCCAGTTGCCCCATATATATATGTATATATATATATATATATATATATATATGTATATATAGCAAATAATTTAAAGTAACTGCATAGCATCAGGCAGCAAAATGTATTCAACTTATTAATATTATGCAGCCGCCTGAAAGTAGGCTACACAAATCTGACGGAATTCGTAATTTACGTGTACACAATTACGTGCTCGTTATACTTAATGAAATTGCTTGAATAAATTGTGTCAAACTAATTAAAACAATTCAATAAACTACACAATAATTTAAACATGACAACAGAAAACAGAAATTGTACACGACTGCTGAATTCCCTGAATTGCTAAATGAATATATATATATATTAATATATGGTATATTATTTTAGTATGTATTAAATTTGAAATTGTGTAGGTGTTCTGAATTGAGAATGTGTGGCAAATAAATCTAATAAGTTATATTGACTATAATTATAATTTATGTATTTTTTCAATAGTTGAGTAACAGAGTATACACAAATGGTAGTCAACTGACGTTTATTGCGCTAGGGCCAAATGAAGTCGCTGGCAGTGCTAGGCGAACGAATAAATTGCGGCCAAGTAGTCGCCAAGGTAGTCCACAGAAACCACATAAAAGGCCAACTGATTTGTGGTGCAGGCGAACTCAAGAGAAAGAAGCGCGTCACAGGCTGCCACAGCCTGCCACTGCAATGCGGTGCGGTGCCATTTGGCCAAGTCGCAGACGGGCTGCCATAGCGCCGCAACTTAAACGGTAATTGGCCGTGCGAGTGAGCACCATCATTCCAACGAACCCTCCCCACCCACCCATCCTTCTTGCCAGTGTTGAAAATAGTGCAGTACAGGCCGCAAGTAACCAGCCACAAAAAGAAGAAGCCAGCACGTAAAAAGTTTCAGTTCTGTTTTGGGATGACAAACGAAATGAAAACCGCTCTGAATAAATAGAGTTGGTCGTGTTCGACCAGCACTTACCCTGCAGCCAGATCTAAATTTGAGGTAACTTCAGAAATATATATGTATATTATAAAACTAAATTTACATTTGCAGAAAATGTAGTCAAAATATATAAAACTTTTAACAATTGATACGTACTGCTTGAAAATATATAATAGAACTGGAGATGTATAGCTCTAATAGTTACACACATTTCCACAAGCTTATCAACCCCTAAGCACATTTTTATAGGGTGTAACAAGAGAACTACATTTCCTTTTGTCCATTCCGGCGCCGTCGCCACGCCCACAATGTGCTTGCACTTGTTTGCATACGAAAGCAAGAAACGTTTTATTTATAGGTGCAGCCAGTTGGTGGGGACCTGCAACATTTTGACGCTCCATTAGTCTATTTTTGTGTTGTGCTATTGAACCCGATAGTGAAGAGCGAGCGGCTGAAATGGAAAGCGAATCCGAGGTGCAGGTGGCACAAATACGGTGTGTGATTTGTCTTTGATGCGCATTAGGAGCAGGGTATAGCTACGGGGGTTTGGGTTGAGGCGGGTTGATAGGGTGGGGTTATGTCGCAGCGCCAGTGTCACTGCAGCTCATTTGAAATTCCAAATAAAAGGTGACGTCGTATCCTTGGCATGTCCAGGGCCAGGATAGCCGCAGCCAGCGGCAGACAGCAGCCAAAGCTTGGCTCATATGCATGCGAAAGGAGGCGAAAGGACATGCCATTTGGCTGTCGTCCCTTTTAGCCAAAGGTCACAATTTTCCAATTTTGTCTTCCGTTACATTTGCACTTGAAATTTTTGAGTTGACGTCGGAAATTTCTTTGCACTGTCCGCGTGGAAAATTAATGCAAGTGTCAAGTTTTCGCTTATGCCATCAAGGACATCGCACATGTCCTTGCCAGCACTCAAGGTGAAATCTGTAAACTTTCAAAGATTCATTACAAATATAGGAAATAACAAATTCTATTTTTGTTACACATTCATTTATTGAATTCCAAGTTAAATATGTATGTATACGATTTAGTTGAAGTTGGCTTTATGATATGCTTTGCGTTTCTAAAGTATGTAGTTACCAATTTGTAGAGTGCTTAGTAGTACATGATATTCAAAATAATGCTAATCGATGCAATAATAATGCAGCTTGCAAAGTTCTAGAATTACTTATGATCGAGTTATGTGATTTTTAGAGTTCAAAATTGTGTATTGTCTCTACTTTGTCATGTTTTTGGGAGAAAGAGAGAGCTCTTAAGTTAACTATATATCGATTATGATTGACGCCAAGTAACATTTAACAGTCAATGTATGAATTCAGAAGAGAAATTATACAAAAAAAATTCGGACACAATCGGAAATCGTTCTTCAAAATCCTCCTCTGAATGCGACTAATATATAGATATGCAGTAATAATAATCCTGTTGTTGCTAAAGCTATGTGTTTTTTCCCCAAATATATAGTGTTCATTCGCGTACTAAAAGATCGATCCAGCAAATGTAATTACAACTACATATATTGTTCGAATATGATATATCATGTTTGTATTTCTAGTTCAAGTGCAAACGGCTACTTTTATGTAATTTCTCTTTGTGTTCACATAAAATTCTCTTCTTTTTTTTTTGGGTATCGTGTGTATGTTTTTCCATTTTTTTCAACATTTAGAATACATGTAGAACACGGAAATATTTTATTGGGCTTTTTTGTATCGAACCTATCAATTTACTAGATTTTTGCAAATTTAAGTTAGTTATATTTAGACTAGATCGCAACAAATTTCACTTTCCATTAGCATCTGAATGTGGCACAAGGTCTTGAAATGTCCTTAGCTCTTTTGATTTTGTTGTTGTTGTTGTTCTCCTTCTTCTTGCTGCTGTTGCAACATGTTTCACTTTTCATAGCCACCGAAACTGTAGTTTGAACCCACTCCAACACTTTCTGACATTGTCGGAAGTTTCTGCGATTTTTGTTAGTTTTTCGTTTTCACTGCTACAAAAACTTTTCTATTTGTTGTTTTTTTTTTTACCAAAAATATAAAAGAGAAACTTTTCATTTATATGTTTGTAGTTGTGTGTGTGTGTGTGTGAGCAGTTTAAGCTGTGTTTTTTGATTTTGGTTATTGTTGTTTAGGTTGTGCCTTAAATTTTGCCCGTTATTCAAGTATATTATGTAAAATATAGTCTATATAATCTATATAAGTATATAAATAGTATTCTGTTTTGTTCATATTTAGGTATCAAAAAATTTGTATAAAAAACGTTTGCTTAACAAATTCTCATTATATTTGACTGTAAAAATCTCCTGGGTTTCAAAATTGTGTGTTTGTCGATTATTAAGAATTTGTTCAAAAAATCAATTTCGGTGTGTTTGTTTTCAAATTCCTAATCGAATTCAAGCTGCTGCTGCTTCTTTGGCCATTTTGTTGTAGCTGCAAATGAAGGAAGAAAAAACTGCGCAGCACGAATCCTTATGCAAATACCTGTGATGTGACCAATTTGAATGCGAATTATTTGTGTGTGTGAGTGTGTGTTTGTGTGTGAGTCGCGTGTGCCACGCCCCTAACGCCTAATACGTAATGCGTCCCAGGCGCGTTGCGGGCAACGTTGTTGGCTCAGAGTTGGGCAACTCGCCGCAACGCTGCAGCCAGCTCCATGCCTCGCCGCAGAGCACACCGACTCTGGCCAACATTCAGAAACAGTTGCTGCGACGCTTTGATGCCGATGCCGATGATATCGATACGGATGCCGTAGTTGTTGTTGTTGTTGTTACAGTTGTTGCTGTCCTTGCTGGCAGCAACGCGGCCGCGTTCTATGTCCTCTTCAGTTGCTCGGCAATTGGCGCACGGCTGGAGGATTTGGGTGCACGGGTCTTCTTCACCAGGAAACAGGTGAGAAACTCGATGGGCGATGGCACCTTCTGGAGGCTCTCCTCGCTGGAACTGGTGCCCGACTGATGACTCTCGACACGCACATTGCTGCACTTGCTGCGACCGGTGCTGGCACCGGGTCCGTCCATTTCGAGGGCATGTCGATAGTAGTTCTTGCAGCATTTCTTGGACAGATTATACATGCGCACGGTACGATCAATATTCTCATCATCCTCCTCCTCGCTGGATTTCAAATTCAAACCCATGCCACCCACGCCTACATCATGCGAATTGGATTTGACCATAGCCATGTTAGCAGTGTGTGCTTTCTGTTGTGTGTTCTTTTTCAATTGCTTCTGCTGCTTCTGTTGATCCTTGTTGTGCTGCTGCAGACTGCACGGCTCATGCTCCTGTCCCGGCTCCCTCTGCTGCTCCGTCTCCTCCGGCTCCTGTGACTCCTCCTCCAGATTGTTTTGGGTATCATCGTAGAACTTATAGCTACGATAGCGTGCATGTCTTCCCTGCCAATCAGTGCGCCCTGTCCAATCTGCGCGCCCAGTCCAATCGGTGCTCGCTGGGAGCGACAGTTGTATGGTTGGCGTGCGATAATATTGCCGATGCGGATGAAAACCAAGTCCAAAATCATCCATATACGACTGAGTATGGATATTGTCCAGCTCGTCGGCAACACTCAGCAGAAATGGCAGAGTCGACATGGTCTCCTTGTAGATTGTGCGTCGTATTTTGAAGCGAGAAATTAATTTGTAAGACGCGAACTTTTCAAATGAAAATTCGAGAAATTTTTCCAAATTGTCAATATAATTTAATTTAATTTAATTTGTACTTGTCTATTTTGAATATTTTTCTTGCAATTTCCAGTTTACAATTGGCGTTTCGCACTGGCCTGGTTTGTTTTCACTTTTCAGACTGACTGGTTCTGGCTGATGGTTGAAAATGTGTAGGTATCTCAATTTCTATGCTACGGCGGGGGCATACATAAACACAAATACACCGACACAAATACACATACACAGTCGCAGACACACACACACACACATGCACACAAACAGTAGTAACACAGTAAAAGTGCACTTGTTTGCTTTTACTTTGGCTCTGCTTTTGCTTTGCGCTGCTGCACTCGGCGCACTGAGGCACTGGCTCTGGCTCCCTGGCTCACTGGCAGACTAGCTGGCTGGCTGGCTTGCTTGCTGGCTCCGCTCGGAGGCAACTGCACGGACTCGAAACTCAAACAGAACTGAACTGAGCTAAATAGAAACACAGAATATCCACGAGCAACGAGGAATGCAATGCATTTAACTGGCGCTGCACGAAGTGCGATTATGTTTGGTTTATCATCATCATCATGTGGGGAAACTCCTTCGGCTCTCTCTCTCTCACTCTCTCGTACTCGTTCTCTCTCTCGCACTCGGCTGTTGGTCACGCGCTCACGACACAGCAAAAATGCTGCCACGAAGTGCAGCACAAAAACACAAAAAAACCCAAATAAAAACAACCCCAAACCCAAAAACCCCACACACATCTATTTGAATATATATATATATACACCCGCGCGCATACGCACACACACACACACACACATACAAGCCAGTGCAGCTGCTGGATTTAAGGCTACGCTTGGTTTTATGTTTTGATTTTGCACATACTACGCGGCGTATGCGTGTTATTATGGCGTGCAATTTGTAGAAGGGGTTTGTTTTTGGATTGCCTTGAATACGCTGCTGGAAATTTCCTACCGCATTTTTCGCGCTTTATTGTCATTAGTTTCAGTTTAGCTCGGTTCTTTTTTCTTCTTTTTTTTTTGGCCTCCAGCATTGCAGGCTGCTGCGCTGGTGTCCCTGGACTAGCTGCGCTGAAGGACAACGACGACTGCGATTGTGTGTTGCATGTGTGTGCGGCATCTGTGTGTGTTTGTGTATGCGTTTAAAATCTTAATGCGCAATAATTCATTTTATGGAATTACTGTGCAGGTGGTTGGCGCTGACGTTAAGTGGTTTTTGCTTGGTAAATTCAATTAGAAGCCGACAATTTATGCCATCCACTGATAAGTCATACTTCATGGCATTTCTGGCAAGCACTTCGCCTCTTAAATGTAGTATATAAAACTTAAATTGACTTGAAAAGGAAACCAAAGGTTTCTGGCAGTGGACAGAGAGGGAGAGAGAGAGAGAGAGAGAGAGAGAGAGAGAGAGAGAGAGAGAGAGAGAGAAGTTTCTAGAACTATATTTGGGGTAAACATAAGCAAAATATTTATGGGTACCACAATTTAAGCTGGTGAACTGTAAAATGGTTAGCCGGCTTATAGAAGGTGGTCTCTAAAATAACATTTGAAATCCCTTAACGTCTTTAAAATATTCTAGTTGTTGCCCAAAGTCAAAGTTACATAACTAAAAATAACTATTTTAAGTCAACTTTGAGGGTGTCCCACTCTATTTTTCTGTCACTCCCTATTCCTCTTTCTCACTATACTATATTAAAAATCCATTACTACAATTGACTATAAATATAAATCAGTTACTTCATTCGACACACCCCCAAAATTGTTTTTTGTTCGAGCCCAAAGTTCATTTGGGGAAATGCACTCGGGCAGATAAACTGCAATCCAGTTTTAGTCCACAATGTGTTTACATTATTCAGGGCCAAACAATAAGCACTGTACAAATCCGCAATTGGTTCAGTTCAGGAGCACTGAGTGCTCTGTGCGAGAGCAGGTCGTTTGGGGTCAAAAACTGCAAACAGTCAACGAAACAGGCCTGGGCAATTAGGCAGAACTGCTTTGCCGCAGGGCACACATCAGCCACAATAGAAGAAAATGTGAAATGAAAAACACTCACATGTATTTGTCCTCGTGTTTGCGTGTGTGCTGTCTGGCAGTTGGAGACACTTAAGCCTGCGGTGAGCGACAGTCGTTTGTGCCACTTATTGAGAGCAAATGGACAGCAGGAGAGGACAGACAAACAGGACATGACACGAGAGGAGGAAAGAGGAGAGGAAAGGCAGGAATGGAACACAGCACAGCACAGCTCAGCTCAGCCCATAAATCCCTTAGCACTCTATATGACACAGTTTCATCGAGCAGGCCAGGAGGCCAGGAGCTGCTCATCAATCGGTCGACTCGACTGATGTCCATGCACTTTGGAGTGCCTCCCCCCAGACGATGATAGGCAGACGATAAGCGGACGAGTTATGGTGGGGTGTAGTGCGGGGAGGGGCATCACTTGAGTCCGTGTACAAACATGTTGTGACTGACACAGGCTGCTGCTATTGTTCTATGAAGTGGCAGGCACACCCTGCAGCGCACACACACACACACGCAGACACATACACACTCACACAGAGTGAGACCCCACATCAAATATTGTTCATTCGCCGCGTTGGCCTCATTTACTTGCTCGCTGCCTTTGGCTGTCGTTTAATCCATTTAATTGCATTTAAAGCTTTATTTGCGTTTGTTGTTCTCCTCTTTATTGTGCATTCTATTTGGGGGCACGCATATTTCAGACATGCCCACTCGCCGCCAACCGCCCACCTGAGCTCATGCCTTGAAATATTTATGGGAATTGGCAGCAATTTGCCGTTGCAAGCATAATAAAAATTAGAAATGCATTCCGAATCGCGCATAGGCAAACTTATGCCTCGCATGTCCTTGTGCCACTTGGCAGCCGAATGACTGACTGTCTAACTGGCAGACTGATGAATTGTCTGACTGGCATTTCGTATCAAATTATCTATAAATTGGAATTGGCCGTCGCATGCTATCGATGAGGATTGGTGTGGCGTGCCGCCGAGCTGCATTTGATTGTTTTTTTATTATGCATGCCTTACCGATGGTCGTCAGACGTTGCTGGCGTGTGAAATTTCATACATCATTTTATCAAATGCCAGAGATATGCACTCTATTTTATGTGTATATTCTCACAGGACATACATGCAATCAATTTGTTGAACACAAACTGTGCCTTTGCCTTCGGTATTTACTCGAGATTTGAATTTAATTTTCAGGTCACACAAAAGGGGGACACAAGGTTCATATATGTATGTGTGTGGATGTGTGTGTAGCGAGGATGTACTGCTTTCTTTTGCTTGGTAGTCAAGTGGCAAGCCAGACATAAAAAATGCAATAAATATTTAAATTACGATATCAGCGAGCTGCACGCAAATAAGAAACTGGGTTCAGGGCCCTTCAAAACTAGGCTAAATGTGGATAAAGCTAGAAAATAATTAACACAGCCAAATTGCAAGTCTGCCAACTGGGTTGAAAGTGGGTGGCAACATGGTGCAATATAATGAGAAACAGCACCTGAAAGTGACAAAATTAATTACTTTTTAATTGACTATGTATATCCATATATATTTTTTGTATATGTAAAATAGATCTTATATTTAAAATAATTAATATTCTTGGCCCTTAACGTTTTCAAATATTTTTTGTGCTAAACTTTAGATTATATTACGGTATGAGCTTAATAATTTTGATATTTATTCATTTTACTCAGCGTTTATTAATTAAATGTTACAAGCTGTGAAATGAAACATATTTACTATCAACATTTATGATATACAAATTAATTACAATTGTAATTTATGCATAAATAACATTTGTGGACAAGGGTAAATTTGTTGTTAAACTTGTTCGCTTATCTCTCTGTAAAATGTTTACTCTCGGAAAGTGTGAGATAAGTAATGTGTGGCATTTGTGTGATTTATTGTGACAGTATTATTATACAACATACGAGTGAAAATCGTGTTCTAACTTTAAATGTAGATGTCAAACCAAACCTGGTTTTTGAAAATCGTATCGCTTTTTATAAATTAATGTCATTGGAAAGTGTTGACCTATCCCTACAGGCACTCCTTGGGGGTACACAACGGCGTTGTTTGTATAAACATTTCAGTTTTGACAAGTTAAAGCAAAGGTAATTTACAACTTATTCATTTGTCATTCATTTCATTCATGCCACGCAGATGAAACATTCGTTTCACATTTTCTGCTTGTATCTCCCGTTGGCTTATCTTTGATTCACTCTTCAGTTTGGCATTAATTTAATATTCAAAAGCTTTGTATTTTTGCACAACAACTAAGGCAACAAACAACAATATCAACAACAACAACAAGAAGCCGAATGGAGGCAAGCGAAAAGCAATTTATGGGAACAACAACAACTGTAAATTAATAACAAAATAACAGCAACAACGACAATCGTGTCAAGTTCAACAAAAGCTTCACCCGCAGCTCTTTGTGGTTGTTGTTTTTTATTTTATATTTTATATACATCTAAAATTCGTGGCACGCACAATACCAAAAAAAAAAAATGTAAAACCAGTTAATGCGTCTGCTTTTGTTTTTGTTGTTGTTCGTGCACCCACGCGGCGCTTGAAGAGAGCGGCTTTAAGAGTGCGGCAAGAGCGAGCTTTAAAAAGTGAGTTGGCAGCACCTTAAATGGAGTTGCTCTTCTGGTGGTCATTTTGGTCAATGAGGGAAAGAGTGAGTGTCAAAGAGTTGGCCTTCAAAGCCAGGTTGACAAAATTGCATTTATTTACGATAAATATGTAAACAAAAAATCACTTTAATGAAGTTTAAGCATACTTTTTTTTTGTAATAAGCTGCTAAATCTCAAGCATTACTCAACCAAAATCTTAGCAAATTAACACAATTTTTGGATAAACTTAAATAGTTAAATATGCATAAAAAAACATACAAAAAATAGTTGCACTAATTTGCTAATGGGGCACCCATATATTTTTTTATAACCAAATTACACAAAAACATCTTGCTCATCAGCAACACCAACAACAACAAAAACAACAGCAAATCGACAAGTCAACAACTCAGCAGCTTGCAGCATCATTAAAGACTCGGGACTCGGGTCAGCTCTACAAGCTGTCAATTGTGACGCTCGCTTTGCGCTCTCTCTCTCTCTCTCTCTCTCTCTCTGTCTCTCGATCTGTCTTTCTCTCTTTCTCTCTTAGTTTAGGGCGGCAGCCTATGCAGACTGATCGCCAGCGGAGACAGTCGAGGAGGAGGGGAAGTTGGTTTTAAACTACTCACAAGCTCACAAGTCGCGACGGAAGCCGCTTTGCTCTGAGCTTGTCTTGAACTTTGGCAGTCGTTTACGGTTGTTCCATGCGGCGCGTTGGCAACGCGCTAAGTACGATATACGGGTACTGAAGTTTCCGAAACTTGTCAAAATTCCCGGTAATTAAGCCAAAACAATTCAATTACAAAGTGTACAATTGTATTTGCGCCCCAGTCTTCACAGTCCACACTCCACATTCGACCCTTTTCCGGCTCTCTTCCACTTGGCTTTTTTTTCCATTCGCGTGCATCCGTTAAATGAATGTGCGGCTGATCTAATCGCTGCCTTTGGCACGACAAAGTGCTCCAACCGCAACCAAACCGAATAGCTATCCTGCCACCAGATAAAATCTAAGCTTCGTTACACTTTGTGTTTCGCGGCTGTGTGAAACAAATAAAAATGTGCCGCTCTTATCCTGGGCTCTCAGTTTGTGGATGAGCTTCAGTGCGTCAAAGTGTTGACCCAATTAAATAATTCACACAAATTAATAAAAATTTACTTCAACAACCACAACAACAAATTCAAAGTAAAAAAAGCTTTCACCTAACAAGCGACGAGTCGCAAAAAACTAGTTTTCTGACGCTTTTACTAAGACAAAAAAAAAAACAAAAAGAGGCAAAAAATAAAAGACATTATAAATTACAATATTTCTTATATGTATTTTAGCCACATACATATAGCATACACATAGAGGAAAAGCAAAGCAAAACACATACAAAACTAAACCAAACCGAACATAGCCCAAAAACTAACCCAAACGAACGCATCGCAGCACATTCAACAACTTGTTTATTTCAAAATATAAGTGTATATATAACAAAAAGGCAAAAAAAAACCTGAAGCGCGTATATATCTTATAAATAGTACGCTTTGTTTCGGCACCCAACGCTAGCGACCATCAACAACAACCACAAACTACACTACAACAACCACAAAAACTAGTGGCAGCAGCTGCTGTTTGTCTTGGCGTAGGTCAGGCAACTCCGCGAGCCCACTGAAAACCCAATAAATAAATCACAAACTATGCACTGATTGAGCTGCCGGCAAACAGTCGCAACAAACAGCTGAGCCCCCGTCAACTAACTACTACTACTAATACTAACTGCTCATAAATTGGCACAGGTTGCCGGCTGCTCTTTAGTAACTGGGCTAAAATATTTTCAAGCGCAAAATGCTACACTGGTCACTGATTGTCAGCGCCCTGGGCGTAATTGTTGGCATCCTTGGCGCCTACTGCGGCTGGTCCCTGTTCCCCAACATGATACACAAAAAGGTCGAACAGGTGAGTTGCAAAAAAAAAACATATTTAAGATACTTTAACGTTTTGCCAAAAGTTCTGCGTATCTTTAATATAGAATAACTATTGAATATTCTACTTAGCGTAGTGTTATTTTCGAACAGTGGGCTAGACTGATAGGAATTTCTTATATATCTGCGATAGTCATATATCTGCTAATTACACACAAAATATTTGAGTCATGTCTGGCGAACCGCACTTTTCCCTCGTCAGCAAACAAAAAACAAACAGTGCTCTTTATAAATCGCCTGTGGATCATAATATTGGGTAATTGTAGTTTGCAGATCATTGTGCAACGGATTGTAATATATATGTAATGTATTCTTTGTATTGAAGAGCAATAGAATACCGCATAATTGTGATTAATGGGAGAGTTTCTTGGAAATAGCCTAAAGAACATACTCACATTTGATTCATTTGGCACCGTAGCACATTTCTTGATGTTTGCATATTCTGATAAGTAAGTCAACGAACTAGCAGGCATAGGCGTGACTTTGAGAACAGTCATAGTATTGTTTAATCAGAACAAAGTTATTTTTATATTATATTTGCGATACATACAGAAGACGGGGTTAGTCATCTGTGTACAGATTATATAAAGAATGTTAAGTTATCACAATAAACTTATAGAACCCGTTACGAATGAAACATAATTAAAATATAATTAATTCAGCATACACAATTTTCAAGAAAGAACATCAATCAAAAGAATAGAGAATCTATTAATATCTTAACTCAAATAATACTTCGTTTGGCTTATTCAAAAACCAACTATAACTTAGCTAGTTGATTTAGTATAGTTAAAGCTGCAGCACTTAATGCACTTAAAACATGCCGGTTGTCAGTGTCAAAGCTGACCTTCAAAAGAACATGAATCCATTAGATTACCAGGCCAGCCATTACTCATTACTTTAACCCCAGTGGATTGCGAAACATCGCGTCGATCTGCATACTTAGTTGAAACAGTATTTCATTATCGCTATAAATGACACTGCAGAACATGACATAACAAATAAAAAAAGCCGTTAAAATTGCTACCCAAAACGAGACAGATAGCATTTACATATATATACATATTTATATTTATAGATATATTTGACAGATACACTCACGCTATGCACAAATTAATTTAATGCGCAGTTATTAAAATGTCAATAAACATTTCAAATGCAATGCGGCGCCTGCAATAATAATCAATTTCAGACAAATGCATTGTAATTTAGGCAAATAGTTAAATGCACTAATTTCAGGTTAAAAAGATTGACTATAATAAAGACGAAATGTGTTTCAATATCAATTCTATGTCAAAGCAGTCGTCTATTTTACATTTAACAAATGCTTGCAGAAGGTTTTTAAGTGTGTCTAAAATGTATATCTATGGGTTCTCAAGGCGCTGATTCATTGCCAGAGCTAAGGCTATCGGTCGGCTTGGAGGCGCATGATTCAGTTGTTGTTTACTGCAATTAGAATGTGGCACAGCGCTTTTTAATTGCCCTACCCTGGCCCTGCCCATGATGGCAAGTCGCAAGACGCATTAAGAGCCGCTTTTAGGGTTGTCATGCATTGGGCTTTACATGCGTATACTTAATGCGAACCTTGTCCGCTGGCGCCCATGGGTGAGGTCAACACATGTTTCGCTTTTATGAGCCATTGTGCTCGGTTCCGTATATGCGGCATATCTTTCAGCTGCAATCTAGAATGGTTTAAAATCAAGTTAATGTGTTTGGTCAGCTGGGTTGGCTTAAGGTTGATGCTATCAAAATGTGTCGCCTTCAAGTTGAAGGCAGCCGTATAAAAACCATTTCTATTTGTAATTCCAAATGCAAATAAAAGCCAATTGAAATTCAAAGCAATTGATGGTCAAATTGTTGTTGTCCATTATTGGGCAATTGGGCCAACAAGCAATGCCAACCAATTAACACTCGTTTTCGAGCGAAATTTATTTGCGGCTCACTTAGAAAGTAGCTGCTATTAAATATTACGTATAAGCCACGTTGGCCCATTGACTTGTCACATTCTGAGCCACTAAATCCGCTGAACCCTCTGACCCCCTGAGATGCTCTAAAGTATCTGCATTTACATATGAAAAAGCTGTTTTTTTCTTTTCAAATTTCAGTCACGTTTTGGCGCTTGCTTTGACTTTGATTTGTTGTGGTTGTTGTTGTGGTCGTTTTTGCGTTGAACAAATTGTTAAAATTGGTCAATTTCGCAATAATTATTTTATTTTTTATTATTATTTCGTTTGGCTGCTGAATGAATTTTGGGCCAGTGTCAATGCGTTTATGCCTATTATTGTTGTTGCTGTTGTTGCTGCTGCTGCTGCTGTTGTTGTTGTTGTTATTGTTGCTGTCTTGTCTTCGCCTCTCTTAGTTTGGGAGCTCTTAAGGTTAATCAAACATTTTGTATGCTCTTTTCATAGGCTGACTGCGCGGTCGACGCGACGCCGGCTTCGTGTGCATTGACCTTGATATTGTTTGTGGTTATTTTTATGCTTTTCGAAGATTTTTTTGACAATTCCTCAATTGTACCTAGCTCATACATACATAGTTAGTTACATATATATGTATATCGTGTATGTGGCATGGTCTTAGCCTCACCATAATATTATATTGCTGGTCATGTTTCATGGTAGGTTTTACTTTGCCAATTTTTATTATTTTTTAGTTTACGGGGGAATTGTAAATATTTGTGGAGACTTCTAGTCAAGGCGCCAGTGTTTAGTGCTCAGCCATTTAAGTGTTAATTATTTTACAGGGTCAGCAATTCGACATAGAAATTTGTATTTGAAATTATTGCCAATTTTTAGCTGTACGAGAATTGGATAAGTGACTTGATTGAAAAAGGGGGGTTAAAACGGGTTTGATATGTTCCGAATACTGTGTACTAAGTTGTTTATAAGTTAGATGTTTTGGTCATTGCACTTTGCAAAAAATCAAATGTAAATGCGTCTCTGAAAAATATTTATTAAAATATTCAAAGGAATTGAATAATTAACCGAATGAACTGCAACTGTGTTGTTGAAATATTATCGCTGTCGACTTAAGTAAAAAAAAAGAAAGAAAGAAAAACTGGTTCATAGTCGTCAATCTGGCTACGTGTTGATGACGCTGATGTGATTTTTATGGTCACTAATTCATCATTTCGCTCATAATTTAGCCGGTAAGACGACAAGCCGTACATAATACGCAAATGCTTGTTTCCGAAATGTAAACTGAGAAATGAGCTTTATGAACTGTCGACAACTCGTTGAAATATTATTAATGTTATAATTATATCTTATGTATCTTAATTGCTTATTCTCTTCGTTAGAGCGTTGTTATACAAGATGGTTCTGAGCAATACAAACGTTTTGTGAAACTGCCCCAACCGCTGAGCTTCAAGGTATATATATTCAATGTGACGAATCCCGAAATGATACAACATGGTGCCATACCCATTGTCGAGGAAATTGGACCATATGTTTATAAGTAAGTTAAATACACCCCTCTTGCAACAGTAGCTTAACTATAAAATCCGTTAACTTTCCCCAGACAATATCGCCAGAAGAAGGTTAAGCATTTCTCGCGAGATGGTTCCAAGATCTCCTATGTGCAGAATGTGCATTTTGATTTTGATGAGGATGCCTCAGCACCCTATACACAAAACGATCGCATTGTAGCACTCAACATGCACATGAATGTGAGTATATAGAGAGTTAGATATATATATATATATATATAATATCTGAACTATATAAATGTTAATTGAGTTTGTGATTGATAATCTTCTGACGCATCTTACAGGCCTTTTTGCAAGTATTCGAAAGAGAAATCACTGATATCTTACAGGGTTTTGCAAATAGATTGAACTCGCGATTGAATCGCACGCCTGGTGTACGAGTTTTAAAGCGTCTGATGGAGCGCATACGAGGGAAACGTAAAGTAATTTTATTTACTACTAATTCTATTGAGCAAAAAAAACATATATATGTATTACGTTAGTAATGGAATGGAATATGCAATATATCTAACTGACCATATCGACATAACCGCCCAAGCATGCTACTATTTGTGGGCATAGGTCAATGTTATTCTAATTTTTCGATTTTTGGTATCGGTTGGGGTTTTCAGGTTGTTTGGCTCAACTAATTAAACATTGACACAGATTGTTTGTAGCCCTACAAAAGGTTAATGGACGTATACTTCTATATAAGAATGTGTTAGTTAATGGCAACGGATAACAGATACAATGTAAACATTTTTTTATTTAACTATTGTATTGGGCATTACTTTGTTCTTTTACTTGATGAGCAGATGAGGGCAAACTGATATGGCTGTATCGATTTCATTGATCTTAGTTGGCTATTAATTATGATAACACCCCAGACATGCGTAAAGTAATTAAGCTCTTAATATGATTAATATGTTTACTTAGCCTGTATTCACTTAAAACGGTCAGAAATACAATAGTTGTTGATAAGTTTGAGGTTTACTTTAGTATTAAGCTGACAGGTTTAAGGTCAATGTTGGGTATTTATTTATTGAGAAAATACTAAACAACTTAGGCTCGTTAAGAATTACAAATGCAAAAAAGAAACAAATCGAGCAGAACTATGGTTTTAACAGATAATAGTATTAGTTTAAGGATTTATTCAGAAAACAATGTAAAAGCTTGGTTTCGGTCTTGACTTGCTCTATAAGTAGTCTAAAAATACTAACTAACCTTGACTTTGAAGCCAGAACTGTTGGCTTAAAGGTCATTATGTGCTTGCGATATCTAATCTGAAAACAATAATAATTATAGCACCCTTTAGTTGGGTATATGGCATCGCAGTCAACCTTCTTGAAGGTGTCAAAGTAAGTGAAACCATCTTGCTAGCTGTGTGTATCTATCTATTTATAATGCTTGTCTAATATTTAAAATTTTGATCATTAAACTCAAGTACACAAATAAACATAACACAAATCATACTGATTGGCATGAACCTTGGTCAAAGGAATTCACAATTGTAAATATATTTTGATAAATTGAGATTGATATTGAAAAGCTGTCAGTCAGCAACATTTAACTATAAGCAATTAATTGTATAGTATTATTAAACAAACATAACTCAACTGGCTACTAATTTTTGGTCAACGCTTCGCTTAACACAAATTCTAAGGCTAATTACCACGCCCCGCTATGCGCCGTTGCCTTCTCCTACGCCTCCGCCTCCCCACTAATGCTTGCCGCCTTTGCCTGTACCTGGTTTCTGATCCCCATTAAATCCCAATTCAAAACTTACCCATTTAACATTTTAACTGGACCGTCGACTCTTTTCAGTCCGTGCTGCAGATTGGCGAGAATGATCCGGGTCTGGCTCTACTACTGGTGCATCTCAATGCCAATCTCAAGGCAGTATTCAATGACCCACGCTCCATGTTTGTGCATACCTCAGTGCGGGAGTATCTGTTCGATGGAGTGCGCTTCTGCATCAATCCCCAGGGCATTGCCAAGGCCATTTGCAATCAGATCAAGGAGAGTGGCTCTAAGACCATTCGAGAGCAGAGCGATGGCAGCTTAGCCTTCTCCTTCTTTGGACACGTAAGTAGAGTACAAAATTAAACAGAATACTCCGACTCACATGTAACTCCATCACATGCTTCCAAATATAGAAAAACGGCTCTGGTCATGATGTTTACGAGGTGCACACGGGCAAGGGTGATCCCATGAAGGTGCTGGAGATTCAAAAACTCGATGATTCACATAATCTGCATGTGTGGCTCAATGGCAGCAACGAGGGTGAGGCTTCCGTTTGTAACCAGATCAATGGCACCGATGCCTCCTCCTATCCACCGTTTCGGCAACGCGGCGATTCCATGTACATCTTCAGTGCAGACATTTGTCGCTCCGTGGAGCTGTTCTATCAGTCGGACATACAGTACCAGGGCATACCCGGTTTCCGGTACTCTATTGGGGAGAACTTTATCAACGACATTGGACCCGAGCACGACAACGAATGCTTCTGTGTCGACAAACTGGCGAATGTGATCAAACGCAAAAATGGTTGCCTCTATGCGGGTGCCCTCGATCTGACCACCTGCCTGGGTGAGTTATATATTCGTTTTTTATTACCAATAATCGCCTACCTCTATGCGCAAAGAGGTATTTCAACTTTACCTTAACAACTATTAACAAGATTTTAACGCATTAATTTAAATAATTAATTCATGCTCAGTAAATCGATCTAATGCGTGGACATCTGTGTCGATTTTGCTATTAGTATTTTTTTTTTATTATTTGAATCTGATTTAATTACCAATTTATTTATGTGTTTAAAATGAGAATTTGACAGTTTTTTGGTAGTTTTATCTGTAAAGCTAACAAGTTTCATTAACGGGCCCATTAATATGAACATTAATTAGACTCCCCCAACCAGTTAACAGAAAAACAATCTGTTCAATTGGCTATCGCATTATCTACTCGCATTAGTCACATCTAAAATTATACGCCAGATATAAAATTTCAATTTAGCAGATATTGGTCATAAAATATATGGAACGTTCGATATTTGAATGGATAATGATATGTAAAAATAATTCCAGAAAATCAGGAAATACTTGGCATGCTTGTTTTACTCCCCATCTACGAATTGACGTGTTTGTTTAGCTTTTAATATTAAACATATTATGTTTCATATGCAAATTCACAAGTGTGAAGTTCGGCTGCAGAAATGTTAAGTATTTATTGAATAAGAGTCTTAGCAAAAAAAATAAAATGCCATTGCTATAACAAATGCAAATCTGAACAAGCTCAAGTCTCCATTTAATGCCAATACAAATGTGACGTATGCTTTTCGGAACTACAAAGACGAGATATCTAAACGCAAAAAATTATGATTATTCGCTCGACAATAGCAATTAAATTAATAAAAAATTGTCTTCAAGTGTCTTAAATGCCAATATATTTCAAGTTTTGAAATGAACGCACTTAGACCTAGAACAAATTGCAATATCAATTCAAATAGCTGTGTGGGTCGCATAATCATTTGATCTTTAATTAGATACGTTTGCTCTGTGGCGTTTCAGCTTTATCAGAATGTGTGTTATAAACAAATCAATTTGAATGCAACACATTTATATTTTTTATATACCAAAGAAAACTCCCAAAACAAAAAACCGGTCTATGAAGTCTTTAGCAATTTTGACATTTTTTAATCCAAAATAGAGCATTATTTGTTTTAGCAGTCATTTAAATAATCTGTCGAAAATGAATGGTAATCGAAAAATTATACTAAAGATTTGTCTAATAGTTTATAGTCTAATAGTTTAGTGTCATATTAATCAGAGTCTTTTGATATTATCTGAATACCTGCCACCATTCTTAAAGTATAAAGTTAATAACACAGATTGACTTATTTGTTGTGTATTATTTTACTATACACTATTTGGCAGCTAGAGTATTAAATCTTCAGTGATTGTTTGAGTTTGTCTTGATTTCATGGCTGGAATTCAACAGTTCTGCGTCGTTTATTGACCCATTCCTATTTATTGCTTTTTTTTAATGTTAATTTCTTAATTAACACTTCAGAACCAGCAATTGCAAGATGATTGACGAGAAGAAGCAGCATCAATTTGTATTGCGCATTTGAAAATAAAAGTGTTGATGACTAGTTTGATGGCTTCTGAAGAGATCATCGACTCATTATGATCTTCTCAAGTGCCGCTCTACAAATTGAAGCATCAAATTCCATATTTTTTTTCCTCCCCTTCGTATTAATGTTTTTATTATTTATTCGATTCGTTGGGCACGTTTCTGACTTGAGATTCTTGCTTCTTTTTTAATTGGCAAAACGTGAGTTAACAGTTTCAATAATGAGCAGCATTTGGAAATATTTGTCTACTGTATAAGTTGTGCCTCCAAATGAGGAAACTCTCACACAAATTGGTTCAATGCTAATACTAGATAAATAAATATCAAATAAATAAACGCAGACATTACTTCCGTACACAAGAATTTCAATGGGCTCAAGAGTTATTAACAGACAAAATCGTTGTCAAGTCTTTTGACTGTGGCAGTTGGCCTACACATCCATTGAACTTTACTTTGTTAAAGTAATACTAAAAAGACAAATATATTTTTATGTGAACGAGTTGAAAATCCTGTTTTTGTATTTTGTAAACAAGTGCTACAGTGGAATTTTAATTATAATATCATGCTAATCTTAAAATCTATAATACTTAAAAATCAATTATTTATTTTACAGATGCGCCAGTTATTTTGACGTTGCCTCACATGCTGGGTGCCTCAAATGAGTATAGGAAAATGATACGAGGCCTCAAGCCAGATGCCAAAAAACATCAGACTTTTGTCGATGTGCAATCGGTAAGCCTTGAACCTTAAACAATTTTACAATCTATAATATATATTGTAAATATTATGGCATAGCTGACGGGTACTCCGCTGCGGGGTGGCAAGAGAGTTCAGTTCAACATGTTTCTGAAGAGCATAAATCGCATTGTGATTACAGAGAATCTGACAACGGTGTTAATGCCTGCCCTTTGGGTGGAGGAGGTTAGTAAAATACTATAGTATCGTGTACATCCTACAGCTGTATTCTTGCAGGGTATACAACTCAATGGTGAAATGGTGAAATTCTTCAAACAGAGGCTCATCAATAAGCTCAAAACGCTGCACATTGTACACTGGGCGGGTCTTTGTGGTGGCATGGGCGTGGCAGTTCTCGGTCTCATCTATTACGTATTCCAGCGGGGAAGGCCCGAGAAAGTGTTTGTGAAGTGAGATTGGAGAATGGAGGCTTATTGAAATGTTATCAAATGTTGTAAATTTAAATGTATGTTATTGTCATTATAATTATAATCTGGATGTTACAACTTGGCTCGCATTGTCCACGAATTTTTATATATAATTTATTGTTTAAATGTGATTTTATTATATTGTGATTTAGCCTGTACTAAAAACTATGATTAAACTAACAAAAATGTTGAATAAAATGTAAATGAAACGAGATCAATTTGTTTTCCTAATTTATTTTTAAGATATTTCTTAGAATTGTTAATTTCTTAACCACAACAGCTGCCAAGCTGTTAACTTCAATTCACACAGTTGAAATTCATTAACTATGCCTTGATCCCAAGCAAAGCGCCAAGTTCAAGATCCATCACAATGGTCAGTGTTGCTATGAAATGCATAAATTATTCAATTAATCAATGGCAGTAAAAATTATATGAAACGAACAAAAAATACAAAAAAAAAAAACAAAGTTCATTAAAACTTATCTGTAAAAGTGCAAATTAAAATAGAGTTGCTTTAAATAGAGTTGCTAAAAAACCTGTAGATGAAAATATCTACAAAATTGTCGCTTAGGCAATGCTTGAATGCTGTGCGAGCGAGATGGCTGCATTTGACCAAGTCCAATATGCAAACATAAAATAAACAAAAGATCGACAAGGTGTTTGATTTTAATGCTATTGACACACACACACACACACCAATTGCTGAGGATTGGGAGGGGTTACTGCGATTGCGACTACGAGTTTGCCAGCTACTGACTGCTGGGACTGTCATTTTGAGTGACAGCCGCATCAACAGCAACAACAACTGTCAACTGGGCGTGTGTGCGTTTAAAAACGCGTCAAATAAAAAAGTAGAAATAGAAATAAATACAAATAGCGTATCGATCAAACTCGACCGTTCTGGAACCCGTTTTATAATAAAAAACTAAATATTTAAATGTGACTTTTGCTAGTAAATATTGTAAATTAATTTCATTAGCAAATTTGCAGCTAATGGCCACAAAAAAAAAAAAAAAAAAAAACTTTCACATCGTAAACGATTCACTTAGTGTCTCTCTGGCTTGCCTTTGTCTGTGGCAGCTTAAGCACGTGTCTGGAAAGAACCTTTCCAATTTGGCCCGTTCTTGTATAGGTGTGTGGTCAATAATTATGCAATACACACAATGATGTACCACAACCAGTTTGCCATCGCTGTCGTCATATATACATATGTACGTATATTCAAATCACTTTGGTTTGGGGCTCAAGATGAGACCCGTTGCCAACTTGCCCGATCAGTCGGCAACGAAACGCGCTAAAGCACGCAGCCCCCTATTTAAAGAAATAAACGAAGGCGAAGAAGACGCATTGTCGAGTGTGAAATACAATTTAAAATTTAAACTCGTTTCGATTCGGTTTTTTTTTAGTGCTCGGCCTAAGGACTGTCACATCACATCGCTCCCTCTCTCCTCTCTTTCTCTCTCTCTCCCCCCTCTCTCCACTCTCTTTCTTCTGTCTGCCTACATATTTTTACAACAGTATATATAGGCCTGGCGACGAGTTATACTCCGTCAAAGCATCAAAAGATGTCGTCAGTGTTGTTGCTCCCGTTGCTGCTGCTGCTGCTGCTACTGCTTCAGCTCTGCTCAGCTCGAATCTTTGAGCGCTGTGAGCTGGCTGCACTGCTGCAGCATCAGCATGGATTACCCCCTGCTCAGGTGGCCAATTTGGTGTGCATTGCACAGCATGCGAGTAGTCTGAATACGGCTACCTTTGGCGGCGGCACTGGACCAGGTGGCGGCTCCCATGGCATTTTCCAGATCAGCGATGTCTACTGGTGTTCGCCGCCTGGTCAGGGTGCCGGTTGTGGGTTGAGTTGTTCGCGTCTTCGGGATGATGATATTGCGGATGATGTTTTGTGTGTGCGGAAGATCTATGCGGAGCATCAGCGCATCTCGGGTGATGGATTCACGGCCTGGCAGGCATACGATGCGTATTGTCGCCGCGATGCGGCCTCCTATGTCGCTGGCTGTGGACTGGGCGGCAACAAGAACAATGCGCAGCACGTAGCTGCCTCCTATCAGGTGAAGCATCCACAACCACAGTTGAGCTATTATCATCAGCCACAGCAACAGCAGCAGATCCAAGTGGGCTATCATCAGCCACAACATCAACAGGTGCAGGGCAAAATCTACAGTCGCTGTGAGCTTGCCCAGGAGTTGTTCTACAAACACAAGCTGCCCATGCAACAGATACCCACCTGGGTTTGCATTGCCCAGCATGAATCCTCCTTCAACACGGCAGCAGTGGGTCGCCTCAATACGGATGGCAGTGCGGATCACGGCCTGTTCCAGATCAGTGATCTCTACTGGTGCACTCATGATCAGCGTGGCGGTAAGGGCTGTCGTGCGGTCTGCAATCAATTCCTCGACGCCAGCATTTCGGATGATGTGCAGTGCATCAGACGCATCCATCAGGAGCATACACAGATATCGGGCGACGGCTTCAATGCGTGGACAGTCTATAATCGGGATTGTCGCAATCAGCGCTATGAGCAGGTGGCCGCTTGCTTTGCCAAACCACCATCAACATCATTGCATCCCAATGCAATTGGTGGTACTGTGCACAAAATCAGCTATGCTTATTCATACGCACCAAAGCCACAGCAACCAACGACACCCAATCCCTACTACAGGGCACCTGTCAGTAAGCCAAGCCAAAACTATCAATTGGTTAGTAATCAGCGTAATCCTTTTCTGCATCCGGGAACTCAGCCGCATCCCAATGTTATTGGTGCGCCCATAAAAACACATTATGCTAGCAGCTCATACGCAAATCCATTGCTCAGCTACAAACCACACACAACACCTAAACAACAACACCTGCAACACAATTACTACCGACAACCACAAGCACAACAACACCAACAACAAAACCAACACTATTACACAACACATCAACGAGCTGGTAAAGTTTATAAACGCTGCGAATTGGCGCAAGAGTTGTATTTCTCACATAAGTTTCCCATTCAGGATATAGCCACTTGGGTGTGCATCGCGGAGCATGAGTCGCGTCTGGATACGGCGGCAGTGGGGCGCCTCAATGCGGACGGCAGTGCGGATCACGGACTCTTCCAGATCAGTGATCTCTACTGGTGCACGCAGGATGGCAGCGGGGGCAAGGGCTGTCACATCAACTGTGATCGTTTGCTGGACTCGGACATCTCAGATGATGTCCAGTGCATCCGGACTATACATGAGGAACATACGCGCATCTCTGGCGATGGGTTCACTGCGTGGACAGTGTACAACGGACATTGCAGGGATCGGAAGCGCACCGAAATTGACAGCTGCTTTGAGGAGAGTGAGCTCCAGAAGGAGCCAGTAAGCCCAGTCAGGCCAGCAACTAATGAGCTTGTCAACAAACCCAAGCCCAAAGGCAAGATTTACAGTCGATGTGAGCTGGCTCAGGAGCTCTACCGTAAACACAAGATGCCAATGAGTGAGATAGCCACCTGGGTGTGCATTGCACAACATGAATCCTCCTACAACACTGCTGCAGTGGGTCGCCTCAATACGGATCGCAGCGAAGATCACGGGCTCTTCCAGATCAGTGATCTCTACTGGTGCACCCACGATGGCAGCGCAGGCAAGGCCTGTCATATTGAATGCGATCGTCTGCTTGACTCCGATATTTCGGATGATATTGAGTGTATCAGGACTATTCATGAGGAGCACACACGAATATCAGGCGACGGCTTCACTGCATGGACAGTGTACAATGGTCATTGCAGGGATCGGAAACGCGCCGAGATTGCCAGCTGCTTTGAGGAGAGTGAGCTCCAGAAGGAGCCAGGAAAGCCAGTCAAACCAGTCAAGCCTGCAGCGAATGGACTTGTTAAGAAACCCAAGCCCAAAGGCAAGACTTACAGTCGCTGTGAGCTGGCCCAGGAGCTCTACCACAAACACAAGCTGCCCATGCAAGAGATACCCACCTGGGTGTGCATTGCCCAACATGAATCCTCCTACAGCACTGCTGCAGTGGGTCGCCTCAACACGGATAGCAGTGAAGATCATGGTTTATTTCAGATCAGTGATCTCTACTGGTGCACCCACGATGGGAGCAGTGGGAAGGCCTGTCATATTGAATGCGATCGTCTGCTTGACTCAGATATCTCAGATGATATTGAATGCATCAAGACTATTTACAAGGAGCACACGCGCATCTCTGGTGATGGCTTCACTGCGTGGACAGTGTATAATGGTCATTGTAGACACCAGAGTCTGGCACAATTAAGTGATTGCTTTGCAGGCAATGAGATTATCGAGGCGGAGGAGCACTCCCAACATCAACAATTGTCAAGCCACAAACAGCCGCCGATTGTAAAAGTCGTAGCTAATCATCCCTTCGGGGCCAATCCGTTCCTTCAACATTTGAGTGCACCACAGAAGACTCAAGTGGCAGTCCAAGCTATTAGGACTACAGCCAGGCCTTCGATTAAAGTGACTCCAGTTCCAGTGACTCCTAATCATTCTTATACATCAAATCCTTTCTTGCAGCAACTGAAGCCACAGCAACAACCCGTACTTGCCGCATCTGTGGTTCGCCCTATAAATTTGGTTGATAAAGCGTCTGTTTCAAAGCCCAACTATAACCAAAATCCATTCCTAAAGCCATACAAAAACAGTTTGAGAATGGTATTCAAACGAATGCGCCATTGAAACCCAAGCATACTGTTAATCCCTTCCAAATTCGTGCTAGTAAGCCAGACACCAAAACAAGTACGACTTAAAGGCCCACAGTGCCTGCTAAAGTCACAAGGCATCCATATGTTAGTAGCGATATCTTTCGTCAGGAGATTATCAAATTTACGGCAACAACTTCAGCAACAACATCAACAGCTTTTAGTCATCTTCAGCAAACTTCGCCAAGCACAACGCCAGCACCGAAATCCACTCAAATTATTGCTAGACCTTCTACAACACACAAAACAACAACTCGTTCAACTACAACAACTCCTCCGTTTACAACAGCTCGTCCGTTTACAACAGCTCGGCCATTTACCACAAATCGCCCATACACTCCTGCAAAAATAACATCTAGATCGACTACGGCCAGGGTGTCAGCCACAACACCACGTTCGATATCAACAACTCGGCGTACAACGACAACAACTCAGCAAGCTACAAAAACGCAAAGTACACCATTTATCAGACAAACAACAAAATCCACTACTCGCCAAACAACTATAAAACCATCGGCTCGTCCTACAACAACGAGAGTAACATCAAGAGCAACAACGAGGTCCACAACAACAAGACCTATAGTACGCCAAACAACAACGCAAAACTCAACACGTCTTTCAACAATTCGCCCAACAACTAGCCCAACTGTTCGCCCAACAGCTCGCCCAACAACTCGCCCAACAGCTCGCCCAACAGTACGCCCAACAACTCGCCCAACAGCACGCCCAACAACTCGCCCAACAACCCGCCCAACAGCTCACCCAACATCTTCGTCAATAACTCGCCCCACAACACTCCTAACAGTGCGACCCACAACTCGCACTACAAGTCGCCAAACAGCTCGCTCTACAGCATACAACACAACTCGCCCTACAAGTCGCCCAACAACCCGCCCAATAGCTCGCTCACCAAGTAGCCCAACAATTCGTCCAACTGTTCGCCCAACAACTCGCCCAACAACTCGCCTCACAACACGCCTAACAGTGCGACCCACAAGTCGCCCCCCAACTCGCTCTACAACACACAACACAACTCGCTCTACAAGTCGCCAAGCAACTCGCTCTACAACACACAACACAACTCGCCCCACAAATCGCCCAACAACCAGCTTATCAGCCCGCACAACGACTCGTTCCACAACAACCTGGCAACGACCATTGACATCAGCGCGGCCATCAACAACACGTTACCCCATAACAACGAGAACAACAAGAACGACAACACCTCAACACAACTTTAAAACACCGACAACGAACTATAAAACAACAACTCGCTCGCCAACAACAACTTTAAATCGCCACACTGCCATTAAAAGTACTTCCACAACTCCAAGGCCATATCTGTTTACCTCGACAAGATCCACAGCAACAACAGCGATAACAACAACAACGAGAACAGCAACTCGTCCGCCAGATCCATTTGACCATCCATTCTTTGCGAAATACAAAGCCTTGTTTGATATACAAAAGACGCCGCCGCCAACAGTCAGCAAACCGACCACATCAAAGTCCACTTTGTCCGACCAATTGCGATTCACTGCCAGCCCGTATTATGCCAGGTTTCAGGAAAACAGTGCCAAGGTCGCGGCAAAAACTCTTTTTGCCTACGATTTTGGTCAGAATAGAACAACAACAACTGCTGTTCGATCCCAGACCACAGCGAAGACATCAACCAAAACATAAGTCCAACATTCCAGGTGGAAAAAGTAGGTTTTTATAAGGGTACGGAGGGTGCGGGGGAAACTTGTAAATATGTGTTTAATAGGGCTAGTTATGTTTTTTTTATAATGACAGAATACTCATAAATTATTAATGTTAAGATACATAATTATTATTTAGATAATAAAACAAAAATAAACCACATGCAAATTCGTAAAACTAATTCAATGCTTAGAGCGGAAAACGACAAGCGGAGTGCCAACAAGTCTGAGGAACTGGCGACATGTTGAATGCTGCCAACTGCGCTCGCGACACTAAGTGGATGTGTTTTTGATTAATTTCATTAACTTGTTTTTGGCCGAGTGTTAGCCTTGTTAACATCAACAGCAGCAACAACAACAACGTCAACATTCATAAACGGCAACACGGCGAATAGCGTGAAATAACAAGTTATTAAAATGTTTGTGCATTTCAATGTTAATTAATTATTCCTCTAAATCAGCAAGTCATTTCTACATTTGAAATTTATATTAAAATTGACGTAATTAAGACGTCATGCGGACGTTTTAAAATCAAATTGTGCCGCTCATTGCTGTTCATATTTTGCAGCACTTTTATTACATTTGTGGAGATGGTCGATTACCGATAATTTCAATGAATCGATATTAAAAGTATTTTTGTGGTATTTTGACCTTAATTGGTTTCAGCGCATTTTGAGCACTGACCAAGCTGGTCACACTGGGGAAAAAACTAATCAGCTTTCGGTGGACGGTTCGTAAACATTCAATTGTTGATTTTCGGCAATAAAAGCGTAACAATAAACGTTAAAAATGCGATCAAGTGCACCGAGTTCAAATGCAAAATGAATTGAAGTGAGTGCCTTTGTCAAATAAGCCACAAATTTCGAAAAACTACTGCAGCCTGTACCCAGAACCAGCGCCAGCCGACAGTCAGCAAGCGCCCTACTTGCTTGCCAACCTCTGTTTGTTGCATTACATTTATAAAATCATATACTACCCGCATATATTGCTTTTGTTAATGACAAACGAATTTTAGGTCAAATCTTGATACACGAAAATGCGTCGGCAGAAGAACGTGAGAGAATCCCAGTACAGAGAATGACAAATCTTTCACTTGCGTGAAGTTGGCCGCGCGCAAATTTTGAACTCGCGTCAAGTTGGCTGCGCGCAACAATCCACTCCCGTCAAGTTGGCTGCGCGCAACAAACTACTCTTGTGAAGTTGGCTGAACGAAGTTTTCTTACCTGGCATGAGAGAGCTGTGTTTTGGGCTGGCAATGCCTGCGTTGTTAGCGACATCTAGCGGAATAAGCAAAAAATGTCCAGCGTTGTCTTTTGTCTCGCACTTTTATCGACGTCTATGTCCCCTTGTGCGTTTACTGTCGTTTTGCACGCGCATTCGTGAAAATGGCGGCGTTGTCGCTCGCTCGCTGCCAAATTTTTTGTACATCCAAAATAATCAAAATAAAGCGACAATAAATACAGTGCTAAACAAACAGTGAATGCCAGAGAAGCGCGCGCGCTCGCTCGTGTGTGTGTGAAGAAAAATACAATAATAATTCCAAAACCTGGCTATAAACCCAAAGCAAAAACCTATAACAATATACAGCTAGCTAGGAGTCAGTCATCGTCGTCGTCGCCAGCGCAGCAGCAGCAGCCGCGTGAATAAGCTAAGCGATTGCTGCAAAGTGCTGCGAGCGGTTTGCTGCTCAGCGGAGCACCCTAAAGGCTCTTTCGCCAAGGTGATTACAAATATAATTATGCTAAATTAGTGGCATCGCATCGCATTGCATTGCATCGCATCGTTGTCGTCGTTTATCGTTTGTCGCTTGTCGGCTTTCACCTCCGCCCCTCCACCCCCGCAGCCGCCTCCGTGTCTCGTAAACATCTGCGCCAGTTGCAAAAAAAAAAACGAAAGCGAGAAAAAAACTATAAACCAAAAATAATGCAACGCATTCGCGTTTTATGACCCACAGGTACCCACCCATCACTGGTAGCACCACAATCAGTGTACACACAACAACAGCAATTATTATGCGTTTATAAAAACTAAAGTGACGAAATGAAAAACTTTATTTTACAGGCAAGCAGCCACGCAGCATGCGACAAATAAACAAGAGCAGCACCGATAACAGCAACAGCAATAACAACAACAACATGCCACAGATGCACAGTTGATCAGGAAAAAGAGGCGGCTAAAGAACGTCACAAGCAGAAGACAAACTGAACCGACGGGGTGTCCACATCCAGTTCGTTTTGGCTCTTCAAAATCTTCACGAAACAGCCACCGCCACCGTCACTGTCATCACGCAATGAATAGCAGCCAAACGGCGCCAACGGCCACATCGGCCACCAGTAATCGTATCACGTTCACCACCCAACCACTGCCCAATGGCACCATCAATATTGGTGGCCCTGGGGGCGGTGGTGTCGGTGGGCCGACGATCATTTCGACGGCGCAACTGCCAAATACGACGACGATCAAAACAATCACGGCGGGCATGGGTGGACATGGCGTGCCGGGTCTGTCGCAGGTCCATCATCAGGTGCAGCATCAGCAGCAGCAACAGTCACATCCACAGCAGCATCAGCAGCATCAACATCAGCATCAAACGCAATCAGTAGGTGCCACCCAAACACAAACCTTAGTTATTAAATCCAATCACCATGCTGTCACCCTGCCGGCGGGTCTAGTATCAAGTGCACCAGCAGGAATCGTAACAATGACCAAGACCATCAATCAGGTATCCACCATCAAGCTAAACTCCAACGTACCACATTACTTACTATTCGTATTCGAGGCGGAGATTAGCGCCAAATTCTGGCGACATTCAGTTCGCATCTCTCTCTTTCTATCTGCCTGCCTGCGTCCACTGGTTACTCCTGTTCTCCTCCTCCACACCTTACCACCCCAGCCACTCATCTGTTTCCACTTTGCTTCCATTCTGATTTTCCCCATTTGGTTACGATTAGCGTGGCCAAAACCCAAGCCAAGTAGTAGCTGTAAAAGTGAACTCTCGATATAGTGAACCCTAAATATTCTGTTATCTATCAAGTGATCAATATGATAATCACCCTTTCTGGTCATACATTTAATTTCAGTTCACTACATAGAACGTTCACTGTTTATTTATAAGTAATTAGCTAATGAATTTCCGTTGCAAGTTGAGCGACGTTTATATTATACAATTTATTTGATTTATTACAAACTTTTAATACTCTTTCTTTATGTACAATATACAAATATTCCAAATCTCCCACCATCCCACCAAAGAATCCTTATCCTCCTGCTATTCACTTTGTGCTTTATTTAAAAACATCAATTTATTGTAGACTTACTTTTTTATTCAAATGCTTTTAAACGGTCGCTTTTTTGTAGAACAACTCGTAGACGACCATCAAGTTGGTCAGCACACAAATTAAAGGCTATCTTCATCTATTCAAACCATTTATTATTTTTTGTTTTTGTGAGTCTTTTGAAATGTTCTCACATTTTGCGTGCACATTTTGTTTGACTGTGATCTGTGAACGAATCAACTGTGACTCACGATTTGACGTTACGCGACGCAACTCTCCTGTTCTGCTGCATGTTGTAGTGAAAAAAAAAGAAATTATAAAACCAATATCTGACTACTATAAAAGCTTTCTGTTTGCCGCCCATAGAAGTAGAGTACTGAATGAAAATAAGATTTGACTAATCCATTGCTTGCACTCTTCACAGTCGGGGCAGCCGCTGCTTAACTCCATGCTGCCAGCCGGCGTTGTGGTCGGCATGCGTCCACAGGCGCCGACGCAGCAGCAGCCAAAGAATATGCCCGCCAATCCGCTAAGTCGCGTCGTCATCAGCAATTCCCATATGGCTGGCGTTAGGCCACAGAGTCCATCGGTAAGTGTGGCAAAAAAAAAAAAAAAACAAATCCAAACAATAACAAAAGAAACTACTAACAAGCAAGTGCGTGATCTTGAGTTATGTTGTTGTGGTGGGCTCTTCTTTACTAATCCACAAGGATTCCCTATAAAATAAAAAACAGCACACACACACACACTCATGCACCTAAACCACACACACAATCAGACACACACACACACACATTTGTATATAGATTCATTTATCAGCGAGTACGCCTTGTACTATGTACTATTTCTCTGTCTATTCTCTCTTTCTTTATTTTAGATAAATTTAGGCACACTTCATACAGGACAAACGCCTGCACTGTTAGTGAAAACGGATAATGGATTTCAGTTGTTGCGCGTGGGCACGGCGACAACGTCTGGCCCGCCAACGATGACACAGACCATATCTAACACCAGCAACAACAACAACAACAATACCAACAACAACAACACCACAACAACAACCACAAATCATCCCATTACTACACAGATACGTCTGCAAACTGTGCCGGCTGCAGCTGTAAGTAGATATCATGGCCAATCGTCATCCCAACAACTACAACAACAACAGCAGCAGCAGCAATCGCAGCAGCTGCAGCAGCAACAAAAACAGCAACAACAACAGCATCAAACAACAACACAAGCATCCTCACAAGCTACAACTGCCAGCACTAGTATTGCACTGCGCAAAACGATTGTCCGTACATCATCCACAATCCTCCCATCCAGCAATAATAATAATAATAACAATAATAATATTAACAATACCACCACCACCACCAACAACAACACAACCACCATTACCAACAACAACAACAATAAACCCGCTACTAACCTGCAGCATCAGCAGCAGCAACAGCAGAAGCTACAGCTACAACTGAAGCAGCAGCAACAGGCACAGCAGCAACATAAGCAACAGCAGCAGCAACAGGCCTCAGTCAGCGCCAGCAGCGCAGCCGCCGCGGCCGCCGCAGCTGCTGCGGCAAATGTCGCGGCCACAATTAAGATCAAGCAAAACGTAAAAATCAAAGCTTAACTTTAAAGTTTAGAAATGGGGAAATTCGCATAATTTCTTCCAATACTTTCAATTTGCTTATATACATAAATATATTCTCTAAATCGCCTCTCTCTTTGTCTGTTTATGCATTTGATCTGTTTTTTAAAAGCTACGCTTCAGTTTCGATTTTGTTTAGACTTTCGGCCGGACGAGGCGAGCAATCGCTGCCAGTCCGTCCAAGACTTTTTCAATTTTCATTTCCACATATGTGTGTATGTATGTATAAATATATATTTGTACTTTTGCTCAGTTTTGCATGCTGCGTTGTAACTGTCTGTGTATATTGACTTGACGTATTCTTTTCATTTAGTTTTTCGCTGCAAAAAATCGCGTTGCTGTTCGTAATAAAAAAAAAATTTTTAAAACCATCATGAAAATCTCATCAAACTCTCTTTTATCATTTAGCTCTTAAGAAGCATCCTTACCAGCAAGGCTCCACAGGCTACTCGGGCTCCCAAAAGGCGTGTGTGTTAGAAACAAAATCACAAATTTTTCCACCCACATAATTGCATTTATTTTTTAACTAACTAATTTCATTCACTTTTAATTATATATTGTACTATTAACCAATTGCGCCCATTCATCCATACACACACACACAAACACCTACTAATGGGAGCCCGTTGTTGCCTGTGTGGGCCTTCCTCAGAATCATTCATTTCATTCTTGTTTAAACTTATCGCTTATCGCTCTTAATTTGCAATGACTGCACACACACAGTTATTGATTGCACGCCTGATTGCTAATCTATATTGTTTGTTTTGATCACAGTCGATGACCAACACCACCGCCTCCAGCAACATAATTGTCAACTCGGTGGCCAGCACCAATGCGCATAGTTATAGCACCGCCACACAACCGCCGCATTTGGCCCAGCTGCAGCACCAACAGCAGGCGCCGCATTTGCCACAAGTGACGCAAATCCAAACGATACCAGCACAAGGACAAGGACAGCATCAGCAACAGCAGCAGCACTCGCAGGCTAATCATGTGCAGGTGGCAACGGCAGCGGCAAGTGTGACGGCGGCGGCGAATGCGAACGCAACAACAACGACGACGGCTGCGCAGGGCAATACCAAAGAAAAGTGTCGCAAGTTTTTAGCCAATTTAATTGAATTGTCGACACGCGAACCGAAGCAGGTGGAGAAAAATGTGCGTACCCTCATCCAGGAGCTGGTCAATGCGACTGTGGAGCCCGAGGAGTTTTGTGATCGCCTGGAGCGTTTGCTCAACGCTAGTCCGCAGCCGTGCCTCATTGGGTTTCTCAAGGTATGCCATTTAATCATGATAATTCACTTTGTTTTCATTACTAACTACTGTACCTCCTCCAACCTCACAGAAAAGTCTGCCACTGCTGCGCCAAGCGCTATACACCAAGGAGCTGATAATTGAGGGCATAAAACCACCACCGCAGCATGTGTTGGGATTGGCTGGCCTGCCGCCGCAGCTGCCGGTAAGTAACAACTAAATAAATCCAAACTCTTATAAAAATTCGAATACAATTTGTGTAGAAAATTCAAGCGCAAATCCGTCCGATTGGTCTCACCCAGACGACGACCATTGGACAGACACAGGTGCGCATGATAACACCAAATGCAATTGGTACGCCGAGGCCGACAATTGGCCATACGACGATATCGAAGCAGCCGCCAAACATTCGATTGCCCACTGCGCCGCGATTGGCGATACGCGGCCAAATGCCCTCCCTGCCAATGCCTGCGCAGGCGGTAAGTGGAACCAACTTTCTTGATCTATTTGAGTTGATTTGTTTTATGTATCCCATAGAACATTGTGCAAATCCGCGGTCCGACTAACGCACAGCTGCAGCGAACGGGTGCGGTTCAGATACGTGCCACGCCCCGTCCGCCAAATAGTACGCCCACGAACAAAGTCACTGCCGTGAAGGTTGGCCAGACACAGATCAAGGCCATAACACCCAGTTTGCACCCGCCATCGCTGGCGGCCATATCATCAAATAGCGGACCACCGCCGACGCCAACGCTATCGGTGCTATCGACGATAAATTCGGCATCGACAACATCGCTGCCGGTGCCGTCGTTGCCCACAGTTCATCTGCCGCCGGAGGCGTTGCGAGCACGGGAACAGATGCAGAATTCGCTGCACCACAACAATAACAACCATTTCGAGCCCAAGCTGGTTGAGATTAAGGCACCGCAGATGCAGCACATTGAACGCATCAATGCCTCGCTGACGCCCATTTCGGCAAAGACGATGCCGCGCGGTGCGTTTCCCATGCCCAACAAGTCGGTGACTAAGAAGAAGCGGGACGCACTCGATCGGGATGGCAAGGATGAGAAGGTGAACAGTGGCAGTGGAACAGCAGGTTCGACGGCGGCGGCGGCAGCCGCTGCCAATTCATTTTTCCAGCAGAGCTCCATGTCATCGTCGATATATGGCGATGATGATATCAACGATGTCGCCGCCATGGGCGGTGTTAATCTCGCCGAGGAATCGCAACGCATTCTCGGCTGTACCGAGAACATTGGCACCCAGATACGCTCCTGCAAGGACGAGGTGTTTCTCAACATGCCAGCGCTGCTGGCGCGATTACGTACGATAAGCGCGGAACGTGGTCTCGAGGAACCGTCACAGGATGTGGCCGTACTCATATCGCACGCGTGCCAGGAGCGGCTCAAGAACGTTGTGGAGAAATTGGCTGTGATAGCGGAGCACCGCATTGATGTCATCAAGGTGCGTTCGGGCTAACAATCATTATTTATATAGATTTTAAATTTCAACTATATTCGACAGTTGGATCCCCGTTATGAGCCGGCGAAGGATGTGCGCGGTCAGATCAAGTTTCTGGAGGAGTTGGACAAGGCTGAGCAGAAGCGACACGAGGAACTGGAACGCGAGATGCTGCTGCGAGCGGCCAAATCTCGGACGCGAGTCGAAGATCCTGAACAGGCAAAAATGAAAGCGAGGGTAAGTAATGACACAACTTCTACATTATTTCCAATGTGGGTTTCCTAATATGTAAACATGTTACATTTTCCATAGGCAAAGGAAATGCAGCGAGCGGAAATGGAGGAGTTGCGTCAGCGGGACGCAAATTTAACGGCACTGCAAGCAATTGGACCGCGGAAAAAACTCAAACTGGACAGCGATACGGCCAGTGCGGGTGTGGTGAGTAACAACAACTTACTAGCGACCATTATTCGATCGCATACTCAACACAACACTCTTGGGCATCTGCCCTACTCCACACACAGGGTTCGAGTGGCGGTGGTCTGCTGAGCAACACTGGCACAACAACGACAACGTTACGGCCGCGCATCAAGCGTGTCAATCTGCGTGACATGCTCTTCTTCATGGAGCAGGAGCGCGAGTTTTGCCGCAGCACGCTGCTGTTAAAGACTTACCTCAAGTGATCGCTGCTGGCGCCGCCGTTGTTCACATACACCTACGCACCTATATGGCTTCCGGCCCTATTCCTGCTCCTGCTCCTGCTCCTGCACTTACTCCAGCTGTCCTTGTTCTATCAGCGCCTAACAGCGCCTGCGTTCATCAATTTGCAATATTATTTAGCTGTCACATTAAACTGCGTCGTCCCTTTGTTGTTTTAGTTAGGCGCCCTATTTAAATAACGTATGCGTAGGAATAACAACTAAAGTGTAATTAAATGTTTTTTAAATCCAATTTACAAATCGTTTTCCAACTTAATAGCCAGCAACACAACGAACCAAACCAATCCAATCCAAAAAAGAAAAAATAAAAACAAAAAAATGAACATCAACAACAATCAACAAAACACACAACACAACACACAGTAGCAAAAGCAAACTCAACGTGCAGTCAGCCAGCGTTTGATTTTGTAATTTTTAACATAATGAATTGCATTAATTGCATTGACGGCCTTATCTAAACGATATAAATATATAAATATTATGATTAAATTGTGTAGCTTAGTTTGTTAAACGAAATCGCGAGTAAATTCTAGACTTAAGTTAGCGTGCGGCATTCATTATAGAGGAGATCATAACGTGGTTTTTAAAACCATCATGGCAAGCAAACAGTAACAGAAAGAATATAAGTATAACAAACAAAAATAACAAAAACAAAGGAAGAAATTATCCACATTATGCATACATTGAACTAGTTGTAGTTGTTTAAAGAAATTGATGTAATTTTAATTAGCTTATGTAAAAAAAAAAACAAAAAAAAACAATTAACAGAAACAAACCACAAACAAAAGATAACAATACAAAAAAAAATAAAAAATACACATGTATAAAGTTTAGACTAAGGTTTTTCTATAGTTTAACTAGGTAAACGCAACGTAATTAACCAATTTACGGCAAAGAACTAAAACCCGAGCGTAGTTTTAGATACTAAATGTATGATTTTTTTAGTGACGCGTTCGTTCAACAAGACGGTTTATCCAATCGACGGATTTTGTGCATATTCGAATGTTCCATCAATTCTTTATTTGAACATTTGCACCGGCAACAAAATAGTCAAATTTTATACAAAAACAAAGAAGTAATATAAAACACAAACTTGTAAAATATATTTAAATAAATTTGACTACGTACACATTTAAAATATAATTTAAATTCCGTATGTGTGCTAATAAAAATTTACAATATGATCACGAGCAAAAAAGCAACAACCGTAAACAGCGCATAGTTTAGTAGACATGTAACTGAATATATTATATACATCTATAAATATATACATACATATTATGTTTTACAATTAATAAATAAAAACAAAACAAAACAGAAGCAAAACAAAACCTTATGTATGTACAACTTAAGTTTAAAATGAGAAAAAGCAAAAAACAAAACACAAAAAAAAAACAGAAATAAAAATAAAACAAACTTCAAAAAACTAAAAATTTCCCGAAAATGCATGATTTTTGATGTTGAGAATGTGTAACGGTATCTCAGTTAATTAGCTAGTTAATTCATTAATATGTATGTAGTTGAATTTAACCATTTTTATTGCTAATTTTTATAATCATTTTATAATTATAATTATTATTATTATTATTTTTAACACATAAATAAAACCAAATGGACATTTGGACCCAAATTATCTGCCAAGTGTTAGTTGCAAATGTCGTTTAGATTTTGATTTCATTTTCAGTACATTATGATAATTTTGCCCTCAATGAAGTTCTTATGATTTTTAAATATACTAAAAGTGTTCCATTCTATCAATCTATAGTTTTTGCAATTAACTTTATTATTGTTTCATTCATTATTATCAACATTGCAATTACGTACTGTGACGGCTAATTAGTTCATATGTGTCTAGGTGTTTTGTTTGTATTTTACTAAATTCTATGAATTTTAAGTTTAGTTAACTACGCCCCCGATGCGGCGGCGCCTTCTAATTCATCTGCTCGAGCATATTGCAAATATTCCTTTATATCATAGCCAAATAGATCAAAGTCAAATCTGCAGCGAGACGAAAGATGTCAATTAAATGTGCAATGTAGATAGTATTTCCGATTTACTCACTTGTAGTACTCGTATAGCTCCAACATCTCCTGCCTGGTGAGCTGGGAATAGAACTGCTGTTGCAGCTCCTCTGTCTTTCTACCTCCTTTGCCCATGTTGCGCCACACGGGCGCTATGACACGCTGGAGGCCAGTCTTTTCAATTAGATATAGTTGATCCTCGGCCAGCGATTCGAACTTCAATATCATATCGAATCGGATCAGGCACGGGGTGCAAAACGATGTCGCCGATACAAAATGCATGTCGATATAATTGCCTCGCTTCACCTGATCCAGCAGCCAGTGCACAAACTCCGGAAACGAAGGATACTTCGTGTTGCCAGCACGGGCAATCAGCTGGGGCTGCAATCGATGGAATAGGTTAGCAAATCTTTGGTCCACAACTGGCACTCCTTATCATTATATATCACCTTCTTGCGATAGCCTCGCACAATGCTGCGACCAAGCTTGTCGTGAAATGAATACGGCAATGCAAACACGATCTTATCTCTATATGCACTCAGCAGTCTCTCAAAAGGATTTCTAGCTATGATAAACGTAATTGAATCATTTTGTGCCTCGCGTAGCTGTAAAAAATTCGTGGTAAGTAATATTATTGTATTTATTTGAATACTCATGGTACTCATGTCTAACTCACCTCTTGTAGCGTTACCCGTGGATAGCGGTCTCTGGCCAGATTGAGCAGAATCTTTTTGGTCTTAAGCAAATAGTCCGGCGAGTAGCCGGCCAGAACATTAAAATTGAACATCCAGGAGGAGGAGGCCGCCTTAAAGACATTGCACCTGCAACGGAAGTAGCACCCAGTGTAAAACATAACTTCCTTTGCCATGCCACAGTTAGCTTACCATATAATATGATATTTTTTATTAACCAAGAACTCCCAAGTGTTGGGCGTATGCCAAGAATCCTGACCTGTAATTATGTTAAAAGCTTTATATAATTCAAAAGAAGGCTTTTAGCTTTATAACCCAATTGTTACCCAAAACATCTAGTCCGTACTCCGAGCACTTGTCCCTCAGTCTATTGAGTCGCGCCTCCATGCGCTGTGCCCATGCAAAGATAAAAGATAAAACATATGTTTGTATTTACTATACATGTATGTAATGTATATGGCCCTAATGGCATGCCAAAGCCACCTACCACGGACATTTCCTGCATTTCCTCCGCTGAAAGCGTTTGCACCGCATAGTCGGGTATGAGGGAGAGTCCTGTTTCATTGCTGATCTGTTTGGGATATAGTTGGAAAAATGTTGATAAATGAACCATTAACGGGCAAAGAACGGAGGAATGATAAACATCACTTAATGACTATTTAAGGAAATTTTTATGGTTGTTGTTGTCGAGAAGCCCAAGCCCAAAACAACTGCCAATCATTCATTCGCGGCATGACGAGAAGAGATGTGGCTAAGGAATTTCAATTTTTGCACGCTTTTATAATGCACCCATAAATTTGACGGTTGATTGTGTTTCTGTTGTGTTTACATTGTCTGCTCGTTAATAATGTATATGTTTGTGTCTGTTTGTGTGTGTATTACATATTTACTTTATCAACATAGCGCCACTTATTTTTAGTCTTGCCCGTTGCGACCACAGTTAGCTCCTTGTTTTTGTTTTTGTTCAACAGCAGCACAGGATAACGAAAGTTTTGACCTGCTGGTTGTAGTTTATGTTGCTGCCCTTTTTGTTGTTGTTGTTGTTGTTCTTGAGCCTGTTGTTGTTGTTGTTGCTGCTGTTGTTGTTGCAGATGCTGCTGCTGTAGCTGTTGCGAATTAAAGGCCTAAAAGAGCATTTGCATTTATACATTTACTATTTAGACAGAAGCAGACAAAACATTTGGTTTGGTTAAATGCAAACATGACGTGGCGTATGCGTAATATACAAGCGTTTCATTTATGATTTATTCAGCAAAGCGTGTCTTATGTAAAGCACGGGCAATTGCACTGCCACTGGCACCACTGGGAGCACCACTGACTCATATCGCTGGCATGCCACTGTCAAGGTAGCCCCAACGTAACCTATTAAAATCTCTCAGCGACAGCTCCACTGTCCACTGGTATCATTATAAATCTAGATGATTGTTTGGCGGATAGACAAATGTTCAGCGGTCATCGCTGCTCGTGTCTCTATATACCCCACAGCTACAACAAGTGTTGGGGTATATACCTCAGTCATATCTAATTAATTTACACTACAAATATAGCAAAGTTCTTAACTGCAACCTAAATTATGTTAAATAACATGATAATACAATTGTAAATTAAATACACTGAACAGCGCAGATTCAGTTGCAAAATATTATATTATTATAGTTAAAGCTAGCATTATAAGCTACGTTGATAATTTAAAATAATCCATAATAATATTAAGCTTAAGGTTCACATGCAAATCTACAATTTTCAATATAGTACAACATTATTAAAAATAATTTAACTACTGTATTATTAGCATATTGGTTGATATATTTGTATAACTTGATATGGCCTACTTTTAAGCGCAACTAACTTAAGCACAAGCTGCATACTTTGGTACAAGAGGTATCTGCTAGTCCATCAGAACAGATTATTGCATTTAATTTCGAATTCATTTTTTTCGCAACGCAAGTGGCGCTATGTGCATGACGTGAACTGTGGCTGCTTAATAATACGTGTATGTGGGAGATGATAGATGTGGGCGTGATGTGGGCGGCGTGTCACTTAAACAGCACTTGGTGCCTGCCTGCTTGCGTGTGTGATTATGTGTGTGCGTGTGTATGTGTGTGTTTGTACGTTTTTGAGTAGGTGTCTTACGTGTTAGACGCTGTGCTTAATTATGCTGATGTGGAGCACAACACGGCGTATGCGTGTTTTATTTGTCTTTTTTTTTGGCATTTGGTTAGCTGCCTAAGCATTGAGTCATATAAATAATGTAACACACAAATTGGAGGCTAACTTTTCATTGATTGCGTTTTCGTTTTTGCGCTTTTGCCATTGTTCTCAACCATCGATTTTCCTGGGCCTCTGACGCATCCTGGCTAAATGCTAGTTACTCTACGCCAAGGCAATTAAATTTAGCCTAAGCATTGCAGAATGACCTCAAGGCCACATTGCAACATTAGTGTGGGGCAGGGCAGGGCCGGGTGGGGGTTGGGGAGAGGGGGGCGCGCCTTTGTGTCTGGCACAGTAACCAGCAAAAAAGCAAGTGACTTTGGTCGGCATTCAATAGTAGGCGTGTCTATTCCACATTCAGGTGTCAATTGTATATTAGCAAATGGCAAAATGCACACACAAAAAAATCTGACCGCAGCTCTGAGATAATTTCGCATTAATTTGCACTCTTAAGTGTGCTATTGCAAGTTTCGAATTTTTTGTGGTTCGCATTGCTAAAGGTGCAACAAGGTGTTAACAACTTTGATAAACAAACACAAATGAGAACGCAATGAAATTTCAATATCAAACAATTGGGAATTATTGCTCATACGTAGCGAAATCAGGCCAGTATATAAGTGTATCTGTATCTGTATCTAGAACACAGCACATGTGGCTAAACTACACGGCGATAGAAGCCAAACATATGCTCACCACATGCCCGCCATAATCGAGTTATTAGAAATTTCATCAAATCATGAAATTACAAATAGCAAGAGAGTTGAGTTGAGTTGAGAAAGTGCAATTAGTGCCAAAACAAAATGTATACAAAATATTTTGTGTGGGTATACTAATTATGATTAAGCGAAGTACTGCCAGCTTTATCATAAGTTTATTATTACGCTGTAGCACTTTGTGTATAGGTATACACATATCAAAATAATTGAGTCATTTTATGAATTTATTGTATATAGGGGTATACAAAGGCCTGCATAATGCGTTGAGCAACACACACAATCGATAGTTCGGCGGCAATTTGCTTGTTGTTAGGGGGCAAACCCTAAAAACAAAAATGCCATGAAGTACAATCTATACTAACTATAGTGCAGGGCACTTAGAAGTCAGCTACCAGCTACCAGCTACCAACAACTAGCAACAACTGCAAAGCTACTTACGTCCTTGGCCAAAACTCACACACTCACACACATACCGAAGAATGTATGCGTTATGATTCTGTGTGCATATTACTATCCTTATATGTATGTATATACATATATGTAGGTATATGTGTAGTTATGTATGCATGTATATGTAGACTCACCTCGTATCCCTTAATCTTTTGCAGCTGCTCATTCCATACCAGATATATGAGTGAAAGGGGCAGCAGTAGCAGCGATAGGACCATAAAAATGAGCAAATATCGCCGAACGCGACAATTTGCGTAGCTCTTGTTAAATTTCATTTAAACACAAGGCCAAATGCATAGGAACTACGTTTGTTTAGTTTAGTTTGTCATTCGGTCCACATTCATTTCAGTATTCATATTATAATTATTATTTGCCGTATTCTTATTACTTATTTTGATCAATTTTCCATTGCTATTGATGTTCATGTAGTACAACATTTTTCTGTTTTGCTTAGATGTTTTGTATTATTTAATTTCTTGGCTTTTATTTATTTATTCTGTTTTCGTTGTTATTTTGGGTGTCGCTGCTACGCGGCAAATTTCGCGTGCAGTTGGCGACAGTTTTTGTACTATTTGCTCATAGCCTCTTTATGCCTGCTGCCCCGTTGTTGTTGTAGTTGTAGTTGTTTTAGCTAAATTTAGTTGTTGTGCTATGTATGTTGAAAGTACAAAAATACATTAGTATGCGTATGTAATATCCCTCAGCATAATGGATGACAAATATCTTAATGAGTTGTGCAAAAGCTTGGCCAGTTCGCTTTTGGGTTGTATTTATAGCTGCGCTAACTGTACAAATTGTGTCTCTGCAACAGCAGCAGGAGCAGTGCCTGCAAACTCAATAATTGCATTTTCAGTGGGGTTTTTCAGTTTATTTTGATTATTCATTTTTTTTTAGGGGGTTGCTCTACAGCTACTGCTGCTGCATGGAGTCAAGATGTCAATTATTGATTTTTACGACTTTGTTTAAGTGCAGGAGGGGGTGAGTTTTGCTTGTTGGTTGTAGTGGCAGGTGCACAAAGCCATTGCCTGACTTTCGATTGTGTTTGCCTCTTTCAGCAGCCAGTTAAATTTAATTTGTTTATAAAGCCGTATGAAGAGCAAATACAAATATCAAATATAATTTAATTGGCGCGTTGCTTTGCAATTTTAGGCAATGCTCCAAGCTTAGTGCGGTATTTATATAAAATTCAAATTGGCACACGACACAAACACACACACACACAAACACACACTCACACGAACACATATACTCTGCACAGATAGAGGCAACCACAGGCACGCAAACAAAACAAATGGAGGCACACGCGGCGTATACATAATGTCATCAATTGCTGCCGCGGCAGTCTACACTATTTTGTTGTCAGTTTTGTTGTTGTTGTAGTTTGCCATTCGATTGTTTGCCAATTGAAAGACGCTCAATCAATATCAATTGCGGCATCAACTGTGATTTTGTATTCGCAAGGCAAAGCGGCAACAAAAAAAATACACAAACGTATATTTAACTAAACACTGCAGAGCACTCGCAATTTGTGGGTGTGCGAAAGTTTAGCACGCAATCAGGGAGGCGGTTGCGGACGGCAGTCAGCAAACATAACACACAACACACACAGCAATCAGCAAAGAGCATATAGCAAAAGACAAACCGTTCCGAGCGACGCACATTTCACGAATGAATTCAAATGCGAAATGAGCACAGGCTGGCCACTGAATTGGCCTCTCTTTCACCCTCCCCTCACCCAACCAGACCCCGGCCGTATGCCTCGTCTCTCGATGCTCTCCCGACTATCCGGACGATTCGACTGTCAGTTTCAGTTTGAAATGTTTGTTATTTTTGCGCCGGCGTCGCAATATAAAAGAAAGCTCTTGTTGCTGCTGTTCCTTTATGTGTTGGCCTGGGGGCAGCAGAGGGTTGGGCGTGGGGTGAGCTGAGTCTGTACTTTTGATTTGTTTATCGGCGAGCGAAGAGCTCAGCTCATTTTTTTATGGTTCCATAGGGCAAATATTTTTGTTTATAGCTGAGCAAGAGGCAAGGCCGACAAGAGAATAACAAATATTTCAATGCGCAGAGAGAAAAAGAGACAAAGAGAAGTGCATCACAAAAATGAGGGTGGCTTTGAAACGCAGTGGGTCACTTATAAAGTAAAGAGTTGACAAGCCAACTAATGCTTATAATTTATTATAAACAGTAAAACTAACAAGTAAAAATGTTGTTGTCCACAGTTCGCACTTAGTCTCCATGCGGAACACGATTCGAATCTTTGTTATCTCTCAAGATTAAGCCAGATTTGTTTTAGAATTAGAAAAACCTAGAGTATGTTTATATAAAAATATTAAGTAATATATTTGCACTATATTTGTTTGTTCCGACAACCTTTAAGATTATTAGAAATATGCCCACAGCAAATTCCATCAAATATTACAAAATTCACTTGATGATATCCTGAGGTAAGAATATCGTTGCTAAATGCATTTGGGGAATGCATCGTTGTGGCTTGTTCAGTATTTTATAAGCGCATGTACATTGCAGTCTAGCTTCTTACGACCTTCCAGTCCCAGCAGCTCCATGACAACCAAACATTCCAGCACTACACCACCCACTTTGCGAACCAGCGCTGTGGCAGCTAGCAGAGAACCGCCTGTGGCCAAAAGGTCATCCACAATGACAACCCTTTGGCCCGGCTTAATGGCCGAGCGCTGTAATTCAAATGTGTCCTAAAAGAGATGACTGATATAGTAGATATTATATAGATTAGAAGTTAGCACGCTACTCACTGAACCGTATTCCAGTTGATATTCAACGGCAACCACCTCGCCCGCCAATTTGCCCTTCTTGCGAATGGCGGCACAGCCTGTGCCCAGCTCGGTGGCCAACAGAAGGTTAAAGAGGAAACCACGTGAATCCAAACCAACTATCAGCTCCACATCTGGACATGTGATGCGTATGTGATGTGCCAGCAAGTCACGCAGATAAACACATGCTTTGCCATCGGTTAACGCACCAAATATATCACTGACAATCAATTAGAGATAAGAGAAAAAACCCAATGTTAAATATCAATTTATGATTTATGTTATAAAATATAAACATGTCGTTGTAGTTGATTAGCACTTTGGAGCAGTGATAAGGCTAACGGACCCACCGGAAAACAATGCCTTTTTTGGGAAAGTCCACATATTCTCCAATCTTTGACTTGACGTAGTCTAGTTTATCTGCGCCACTCAGTTCACCCATGTTTCTATCTCAGGTCTTTTGGTTAATCTTAATAAATACGCGAAACTTACGAAATGAAAGCTATTAATTTGAGATTTAATAGCCGCTACGTGAGCTATGCGTGTTTTTTTGAATGACCTTTTTGGGTCGCTTTTTAATAGCTGATAAAACAGCTGTACGGCTATCAGCTGTGCAAGGTGGCTGTTAGTGGTGGGCTAACGCAGAGTTGCTTCGGCGATAAATTTTACGCAGTGTGGCGGAAAATTTGAACTTTCATATGCCATGAGCTGGGTTATGAGTAATTATAAATGAACTTAGGAATCAAGTTTACTGTTCATACAAAACAGTTAAGTACTGAATGAGTGGTATTATTTGAACTGCAACTTATCTATCAACATTTTCTTTATAACAAGCACATATTCCCCAAAGAAATCGTCGCAAAATTCTTCAATTTTTCCCATGCTTTTGTTTATCTAGGTATTTCCTAAACAAACAAAGGAAATAAAAGAGATGTGCAGGCATTTGCAAACATCCTGCAGGTAGTCAAACCGTTCCAATCGCAGGTCTTTCCTTATGGGCGTACAATCGCAGTGAAGTGATAAATGGAGAGATTTAAACAATGCTGTCAAGAAACGCATTCAAGCACATTCAGTACTTTTCTAGCTGGCATTTATCAGAAGCAGAAACAAAAATAATTGAAAAGAAATTCAAACAATTTACATTCCACTTATCTGAGGCGCGCCAACTGTCACGATTGCGTACTCTCTCTCTCTCTCTCTCTCTCACAACAATCTCTCCCTCTCTCACACAACTCTCTCTCTCTCTCTTTCTTTCGAGCTGAGAGCGTGGCTTAAGAGGTGATTGTCTCCCAATGCCAAGCGGATCTTAAGACTTGCAGCTCAGTTCGTTTTTCAGCGCCAAACGTGACGGTTGAGTACGGTGTTTTCTTGTGCTCGTTCGAACCTTTCACAAGTCTTGATTTTTGTGCATGGTATTCGCGATTTGTTAAAATTTATGCACAAAGCACGCTTAACAATAGCAACAATATAAGTTTTAGATTCGTTAAACAAAACAAGAAATATTCAACCGGTTCTACAGGCTGATACGATTATTTCAAAACAGAATTGTAAGCCACCCAAAAAGTTGCTCGGCAAATGTCAATTGTATGAAGGCGACTGCCTTGTTTTTTGTTGCACTTTTGACATTAAAATAAACCGCATGAGGCCAGCAACAACATAGTTCATGCAACATTAAAATGTGAAAACCTACAACAAAAATATTGCAAGCAAAATTCGCATTCACACACAAAAACACACTTACAAAGAATACCTTTTAGTGACCATGTTGCTCCGAAGACGTGCGTTTCAAAAACTGCAACAACAACAACAACAACAAGAACAGCTGCAACAACTGCAGCCAGAACAACAACAAAAGGCACAGCAAAAACCGCGCTAGCAACGTGAAAAACCAGAAAAGAGGCACAATTTTTTCTTGTTTTTTTTTTGTTTTCGTTCAAAATGAGCCTCTACGACTGCGCCGTGGCTGCTCTTAAAATAGGCGCCCTAAATGCGCCCAAACAGGGGCGATTAATTAAGGCTTAAGTACTTTTATGTAGCTATCGTCAGAGAGTTGATTTTGTCTGTCTATAGTTCTCTGACTTTTGGACCATAAATCATTCACATATATGAATTGGTAAAATATGATCAAAAGCGTAGATATGTGTACCAATTTGTAGAATTTATTTCAAGAATTTGCTTAAGACTTGTTTAACAGAGCCCTCTCACAATGCATATATATAAATATTTAAAAATGCACCTAAAGCACAAGGCCCGTTTAGTCTGCGATCCGCACCTGTTAAAGGTACAAAAAAAGCAGAAAAAATAGAATTGCTGAAGAATCTCTGTGTGAGTTACTATTATGTATATAGACATATGTATATATATAGATATATATATATATATGTTTGTATGTTTGTCTGGGGCCCACATAGTTGTAGCTGCTGTTGTTGTCTGCGTTGTTTTTGTTATTCTCGTTATTTGCCAGCTCGCTGGGCTGTTGGAATGCGCGAATGTTTGCGAACATTAAAATCGTGATCTAATAAAAACAAGCAGCGACATAGTCGCCACAGAGATGGAGAGAATCTACAGCAGTTTAAGCAAAGACTTCCCACATTTTCTGACCATAGAGAAGCTGTTGACTTGGCTTGATTGGAACCTAAATGCTGTCCACACACTCGAAACAACAGCAATATACTTACATATAAGTTGGATAACTGACCGCGATATTTGTGCACGGTTGCGGGTTCCGTTGCGAAAAAGAAATCGTCTTCCATAAAACCATAAAATATGCAGAATAAAAATAAATACAAAAAAAAAACCGATCGCACGGGGAGAAATGAAGGAGAAAAAAAGGCGAACGAAACAAATAAGCGAGAAGTAAAAAGCATTCTACAACTTTTTATGTGCCCTGGCGAAAAAAGCAGCTTATTGAAGCCATTTCCGCATAATTCTGAAATGTTTTTGTTGGTGTTGCTGTTTTTGTTGTTGGTAGCTGTTGCTGTTGTAATTCAGTCTTTTGGAACAAGTTTGGCAGTTCCAGTCAACGGCAACAGCAACAACAACAACAACCAACTTGTGTAGTAACTATGGATGTGTTAATCAAGCCCCTTTACAAGCGTCGCAACTTGTTTAAGGTTCCGCTTTGCTGCTCAGTCCGAAAAGAAATTAACCAGAAAATAAAAAGAAAAAAAAACTGTAACAAGCTACGAGATTTAATATCAAAACAAGCAAACAAACAAACACAGCTCGCAATGCGGAACAACTCTCATAAGTGGCTCTAAAGAGCCAACTTTTCTTCGCTTAAAACATATTAGCCGAGAAAAGCTGTGAAAAGCTGTGGAGAGCTGAAAGCCTACCGAGCTAAAGAGCTGAATGTGAATGTGAAAATGAATTAGAAGCGGGTGCCATCAAAGTCAACAGCTTGTCAGGCCGCCTCCCCCTCGCCGACGCCTCCCGCTTCGCCGCCCATTTTCCAGTTAGTTATGCCTAATGTGAAATTTATGTTTATGTTGAGGCTCTTACAAAGTAGAAAGTCCATTTGGGCTCACTGGCCACTGACCAAAGACGATGCCAAAAAGAAAGCCGCAAAGGCAAAGCTCAAGTCAAAGTTGCAGTTGCATTTTACAGTTCTGGCCAAGTCTGTCAAATGTTGCAACACATTTTGTGCCACGTTTAAGTTCAACCAAATGCGACTTAGTCATTACTCAACTGACCTTATTTTATGGCATGTGCAACTCTCAGCACACACACACACACACACACACACACACACTCGCATGCATTTACTTAGCTTCTTCTCGATTTGGCATTTCGAGCTGTCGCGCGATTTACGCGCGTCTTTTGTCGCGACAGCATGTTAAACGAAAAACGCTTCGAGTGCAGTTTGGCGAACAGCATTGAATTCGTCTGTCTGGTAGCTGTTTGTTATTGATGTTGAAAAACCAATGCTGATTTGTGTACGTACATACATTTCTCCGGGTGAAACTTTTTGTATTTCAATAAGCTGGCCGCCGGCCGGCAGCAGCGAACACATCAACACATCAGCAACATCAACAATCTCGAAAACAACTCCAGCAGCTCCATTGGGCGAACGGATGTAGATACCACATCTCAGTATCTCCATCTTAGCAATGGCCTTTAATGCTGCGTCATACCAAAACGACTGCCAGTACCAGCACCAATACCAATACCAATACCAATTCCAGTTGGAGTACTAACAGTCTCACAGTCTCACAGCCTCGCCTGTTGTGGTCACTTTCTTTTCTTTCTTTCTTTCTTTCTTTCGCTCATGATCGATGAGAGTGCGCGAAGAATGCAATGAAGTCCAATAAATAAAACATACACTGAGCGATCATATTTGCAATTTCAAAAATCTACCAGACAAAAAAGCTCGTCTTGAAATAAAATGAAATCGAAATTAACGCAACCCAATCTTTATTGATTTTGAGTTAAGTCCACACTATTAATTATGCTACTCTCTATACTAGCTAAATTTGCGCCACTTTTTCGCTCAGTGTGAGCTTGATTGGGTAGCTAGCCTAGTCGAGACAACAACCAGTTGATTGCCAATTGCAATTTGCAATTACAGCACCAGAACGTGGTACTGGCGCTCACACACATTCCTATGTACAAGTAACTCTGCATGTTCACGTTCAGTTTTCATTTAAATTATACGCCGATCGGTGTTAGGAAATTATGATTTGTCTGCTGTTTGTCTCGCCGTGGCCCACTCCGAAAGCAATTGGCGAATCCGTAGATAGACTGGGTGCAGACTCGTTTGCCCAGCCTGTTCGCAGGCGCTACGTGAGTCAGAGTCTGTCTTCAGCAAGACACAGAAATGCAGACAGCGAATTGCACTTAAGTTTTCCCATTGTTAAATGGTTTGTGTTGGCCAATCGCCTGCTTTTGACGAAACCAGCCTTTTGTTAACTCACGTGCCTTAAATTTCAATGGGTTGGCTTAGCTTTGACCATATAATAAAGACTTCTTATGTTAATAGGTTTGCTTGGCTTGTTCTTGAAACTGGCTCCCCTTGACTCTGTTTATTTCCCTCTTCTACTTATTAGCACTATTATGGTAATTGATTTTGTTGCTCGGACTTTCAAGACAAAATGCTGAGGCGCGTTTTCATTTTGGTTTAATTGAGTGTCATTTACTTTTTCTCTTCTATTGTTTGCTTTTATTTAGTTGAATCAACGAAATTTCAGGTCGCAGTCGCTTGGGTCGTTTTGAGTCTTACGTTTCCCTAAATCCAGCCAGTTACACTTTTTCTTTTGTGCTGCTTCCGCCAAAGAATAAAAATCAAAAGATAAAGACGAAAAAATAAAATTAAAACTAAATTACGCATACGCAGTGTTGTCGGTGGGATCTTCAGATAGTGAGAAGACAATGCATTGAAAATTCACTTGCGTTTTTTATATCTTTGCGTTTTTTCAGGCTTTTGTATATTTTGGAATTTTTGTAGTGGCTTCAAGATGAATTGAGCATAAATTTACCACACTTTCAAAATGAAAAACATGTTTATTGATAGGCAGCTTCAAGCCAGTTGCTCAGTTTGGCATTTTGGCCGTTTGCAACTTTATGCCATGAATCACAGCTAAAATTAGACAAGATTAAGATTTATGAAGTCTCTCTCTCACTCTCCCTCTCTCTCTGCCTCTCTGTCTCTCTCTCTCTTGGGAAGTCTCGTCTGTTATTATTTTGTCGAAATTTTGCATAACACCTTTTGATCTTTCTTTTGACATATGATTTTTCTTCAGCAATTTGAGTAGCTTATCATTAACTTCATAAACTTGTCTATTGGTGAAAATTAAGCAATACCCTCGAAGAGGTGGCAAGCAATTATCTTTCGTATTTACATAAGCCCAAACGATTTGTGAGCTGTTAGCCAAAATGTAGCTTATGGCTTTCAAATTGGCGAATTATTTCGTTTGATTGAAGTGAAGGGGAAAACGATATTAAACTGCTAATGATATAAAAAATAACTATGCCTTCTCTGAGAGAAGGGAATGAAATGTTAATTTCAAATTACTTCTGGCAATACTAAATGATATTTTCAGAGTTATGTATCTAGTTTCTAGTGAGGTGATTTTGCAATTTTCTCTGACAGTTTGTTTGAGTCTACAAATTGATATTTAGTACGATTTCTGCAAACGGAATTCGTTGACATTATTTTTATTTGTGGAGCTTCAAATTTCAAGCTCCAATTTGATTTCTTTAAGCCATGACTGAAATCTTCCAATAACAAACGAGGTCAGCAAACTAAAATCTGGCCAAATTAATAAGCTTACAACCTAAACGCAAACACACAAAAGCAAATACATGACTGACAAAAAAAGACTCTGCCATTGTTGATAGTTGCTGTGGTTGTTGTGTTTTTTTTTTTTTTGTGCTACTGCGTTCATTTATTAACTTTTTACTTATTTATTATTTAAGCGTGCTCAACGCTTTAGCAGCAAGCAATAAACAAACACAAACCAAGAGCTGCTGCCAACTCAAACACTCGCAATGGGCACCAAAATCGAATACGTCGATACGACGCATCTATACGCTTCCAAATACATACGCAACTCGAAGGCAATCGGCGTACTCTGGGCCATATTCACAATTTGCTATGCAATCATTGGCATTGTGGCATTTGTAACACCAGGTGAGCTTGAGGAACAAAAACTTGTTATACTTATACTACTTATACTTATATAATATGTGCTCGTTAAAAAAGATCACAACAAGAAACCGTTTTGTGGAATATTTCCAGATGTTTGTTACTAGTTTCGGTTAAGCTTAACCGATTTCCAACATAAATATCTTTTTAGTTATAGTTTGGCATCAAAATTGAAATTGTAATTTAAATTTTCGGTCGTAATTCACCTAAAAATTCTCTCTCCACAAAATCCACTGCATATCCAATCCAAATTTTCCACTGTTATTGTACCTTTTGAGTGACCGACCACTGTACACAGTGGACATTTACATATCGTCACATAACTGTCTATTAATCTTTGCAGAATGGATTGGCGATCCGGATAGCGATAGTGCTGGTCGCCTGGGTCTCTGGCAGCAATGTCAGCGCGATGAGATCTTTGACAATTGCCGACGTCGCTGGGAGAATATCTTTGCAGTGCCCACGTTTTCATTTCAGGTGCGTTTTAAACTTGGAAAGTAGAGTTCTGTGTAAAACCTTTAAGTCAATTTTTGTTGCTTGCAGCTAGCCACATTCTTCATGATCGCTGCCGTTGGCTTGGCCTTGCTGACCATATTCTTTTTGGTCTGTTTGCTGTTCATGAAGTCGACGCGAGTTTTCCACATTTGCGGCTGGATGCAAATTATATCAGGTGTGTAAAATGAGAGCGAGAGTGAGAGAGAGAGAGCTCAGTTAATATTTGCCAGTCTCCAGTTACAATTGCAAAACATCGACGGAAGTCGTCAGTTTGTGATATATGATATGCAAATACTGGTTTCTATTTTGAGCACGTTCTGAAGTGTGTCTGCAATCTTATTGCAAAATTATCGGCCATTGAATTCTTGTGCTTCGATCAGCATTTGTCACGTACTTCAAATCTATTATTTATCACTCTTTTAGCACTGTGCATGATTGTGGCCTGTGCTGCCTTTCCCTTTGGCTGGAATTCAGATGATTTTCGGAAGATTTGTGGCCCCGAGGCGAATCGATTTGAGTTGGGTCTCTGCAGCATTCGTTGGGCTTATCCATTGGCCATTATTGGCTGCGTTGATGGCGTCGTTTTAGCCACGTTAGCCTTCATTCTCGCCACGCGACATGTGCGCCTGCAGCCGGATCCAATTTATCAGAATTCGCTCTACAAAGGTGAGTCTAATTGGCATTTACATGCATACCTTTCTTAAATATTATTTTAATTTATTGTAGGTGAAATTAATAATGCGTATCTGACGGATGCCATTAGTTTGGCAGGCTCACGCAAATCGAATCCACACATAACGGGCCTGAATTTACAACCCATATTGCTGGTGGCGCCACCCAATGAGGACAGCATTTCGCAGTTTTCACGCTATCACTGAGGAATTTGCCGTTTTCCTGCCGCGGATGCATTTCAAATATTTAACGGATACAAAAACAGTCAGGCACTTGGGTCGTTGTACCTGCTAAGCGGAGCTGAACGAAACATTAACCGATTCGCAACACAAACCACACTGTTGTGAAAAGCTGAAGTGTACGTTATGCCAACCGTTCCAGCTGGAGTGTGGGTTATGCTTAGCTAGTACGCAAACCTATCGGCTGGAACTACGCTAAGTGCTCGTGAAAGTTTCGTTAAGATTTGAATTTGCTTTTTGGCTGTTAGAAATTGAAACGTTTGTCTTGAATCTGTGTGTGAGTGCTGGTGTGCGTGTGTGTATGTGTGTGTGTGATTGCTCGATGACTGAATGCTAATACTAAACATAAGTTTTAACTAATTTAAATATATATATATAAATATTTATATATATATTTGTGTATAGCTTGTGCCTAAATTCATACGTTTAGTGTATAGGAAAATAACGCTGCCTGTAAATTATATGCCCGTAAATATAAACAATAATGTACAGAGAAATATTGAACATAAAATGAATGTATTTTGGCCTATTTGAATTCAACCGCAATCGGCAAACAACGCCCCAATTATGCCATCATCATCAAGCTATAAACTTCAATAGGGTCAGCAACTTTTTGCGCACTTGGACAAACAAAAATCAAATTATGCTCCACATAGCCACCATTCCCCATCTATTCACCATCAGCACCACCACCAACGCCGCACCATCAAACAGACGGCGCACATAAAAACCAATAACGGCCAACTTAGCGCCCAATTTGTTTGTATGCCCCGCCCCTCCCCCCTTCCTCTACACCTCAATAACAATTTGGCACATACTTTTCCAATAAAGTATTTACAGCAAACTTTTTGCCTGCCTGGGCAATTGAAATATTCCGCGCAAAGATGAAATCAAATACGACCAAAAAGAATTCAAATAAAGAGAGACAGAAAGTGAGACAGAGAGGGAGAGAGAGAGAGCGTTCTATGTGGAGCCTGATGTTGCAAGTTGTAGGCTGCCAGGCTGGGCACATTTTAATATTCTTGTATAATTCATAAGCAATTCCATCAACGCTTACAAAATGCGGCCTAAGTGGCCAAACAGCTGACGCCAAAACGCGATGGGCCAAATGCTCAAGCCAACCGCCCCTCTTTCGCCCTCCCCCCTTGCAACATTTTATTTACTTCAGCCATTTCTTTTCTACTAACAACACAACCCCCCCTTGCTGTTGCAACATATGGCTGAACGTTGTTGGCCCATTTCGACACGCATTTTGGGCTACGTGGGCCAACCCTCAAATAAAGATCTCTCCTCTCTCTCTAAGCCGGGTTTAGACTCAGTGATTTTTTTGATGTGCCAATTGTTTTTATTCGATTTGATGGCGAGCTATAAATGAATTTTTAACTTTTGTTGTCCTTGAGGTTGTTGTTCCCGTTGTTGTTTTTGTTGTCGTTGTTGTGGGGGTGTGGCAGCTACATTGGCTAATCGGCGGGGGGATGAGGTAACATATTTGCAGGCAAGCTGACGTCGCTTATTAGTTTAGCACTTGACCAATTTGATGTGTTTCCAAGTGCTCGTGAAAATGTAACAGAAAAACACGCACAGCAAATGAAGAAAATACACAGAAAAACACATACAACTTTTTCATAGCTCATGTGTGTGTGTGTGTGTGGGGGTGGGTGGATGGTCGGTTGTGGGTGTAATTACAAAACTGGACATTAGTTGATCTTTGTGTATTGCTGTAAATTGCCAGCACAGCCCACTTGCCAGATGCCACGCCCATTTACCACCTCGCTCGCCGCATATAAAAATCTTTATTTTTTTTTACAGCAACAAAGTCAAAGGGTAGTTGGAGGATGAAGAGGATGGCGAAAGGGGCAGGGGGAATGAATTGCGCCTTTAAGGTTTTCGTTTAAGTGAAATGTCAGTTGCAGAAATTGAATCGAAAATTGTAAAATTGGTTTTGTATAAACATTTTTGCCAAATGAAATGAAATGAAAATGCTTTTGTTACAGCTACCAAAAGCCTGTATTCCACATTGCCCACACCCCATTTCCCCCTCTTCTCCTGCACCTATATGTTGCTGCTGCTGTTGCTCCTACTGTTGCCTGCCTTTTCTTATATTTTCCTGTATTTTTTTTTGTTTGTTTTCTTTCCTTGACTTTTGAGCACTGAAAACGTCATATTTCTTGTGCCTGTTTTTTATTTCTTGTGCAAAACAAAAGCTTTGCAGCGATTGCCTCCAGCCACGACCCGTCCCCCTTCCCTATCCCTCTCCTCTGTACTGCCCACCAGTCACTTGTACACATATAATTTATGGCTCTTGCGATTGGTGTGTTTGTTGTGCGTGTATGTTATTGTTGTTGTTGTTCGTGCAAAAGTACAAACGGCGTCAATCAAAAGTTTCAGAAAAATAAGCAAAAGGTTTTCAGAGCAGGATTATGCGACTAGCAGATGCCATGTTATGAAGTCTTATTTGAAAGAAAGCTATTGTTCGATAAGCACAACTAATCCAATAAATTAATAATTATTAATTTAATTTAATAAGAAAACATTTTAATAGAAAAATTAATGTATTTCAGTGGCTTTCTTATTGGTTTAAATGGGTTTGTTAAGGTCAATAATCAAGTGCATACTTTTAGGATGCAATAAGTTTTCCGTATGCTCCAAAATAAAAGCATGCTTTTACTGCAATCACAAGTTAATCCCTTTAATAACATCAAATATATGAAGCATATTTTTAGGCAGCGACAAATTTGATTGATTCAAATTCAAAAATTGCAGCATTCTTTTGTGGTTAAAAGATCTGTAACTAGGCCAAATTCTTATAGCTATGATTTTGATATTTGGTAGCCCTGGTCAAAGCAAAATATTATACGCAGGACTTGTTTTCGATAACTGAGAGAGTTTGAATGTCAATCCTTCAAAATATAAGCGAACTTGGACCTAAAAGAGCATTCAGTGAATGCTTAGCTTAGCTTAACTTAACTTGATTTCCTTTTAAATTTCGAATAAACCTGCCCCACCTAACTGTCCAAATCCCGTATACTCTACAATAAGCACTTACATAGAGTATACCTAACGAATTGCCATTATTTTCTTGCTTGGACCTTATATGACGTCTGGCATTTTGTGGTTTATGTAGTCGGTTGCCGGCAATTTGAGTGCTGCCTTTGATTTATCCGCCTGTAAAATGGTAGAAAGTTTTCAAGAAAGCACATTTTTAATGCCAAAAGAAATGTACATTTATTTCATATGCATGTACAAAAAAGATGGTATAAACTTCTGTAACATCCGCTGCCTAAATGATTTGAATTAATGTTAATTAAAACTACAAAATTAAATTAGCAGACTTAACTAACTAAAACAAACAAACTAACTAAATATAACTAGAAACGAGCTCGCAATTTTCACATTGTAAAAATGACTAGTGAATTATTTTGTAGCTTTTTACAAATTACAAATTACAATTATATACAAGTTACAACTATAGATAAAGTTATGTATATATATATATATATTTATGTACTATATAACTAGTAAACCCGATTTGGCTTTTAGTTGCAAGAAAATGAATTTATGTAATTTGTGCTGCAGTTGTGAAAATGAAATGAATAAAATATTAAAACCCTGTAACAACGAAAACTTTTTGTTTTGGCAACAGCATATGCCACGATTTTGGCCAGAATGTGACTAAGCCTAAACAACAATCATACACACACTCTCGCACACTCGCACACACACACTCGCACACACACTCGCCCGTACACTTATTACTATGCTTCCTGGTTGATTAGAGTATAATCTATTATCGGCTGGACATCATCTCTGTCCCGCTCCGGATCCAGGCAGGCAGTCATGGCATGCGGCATCGTGCGGAGCAGCACATAGCTGTCCCGATGATGGAGCAGCAGCTTGTGCTGCTGATGGGCAATGAAGCTGCTGCCGCGCCGCAACGAACGTCTGCCCATCTCGAGTATCTCCAGCGAGGGATCGCGTGCGAACACAAAGTTGCGATAGGCACGCACAAAGCTGAATATAACAGCCGATGCTCCGCCCACGATCATCAGATAGGAGCCAATTGGCACCGCATGTGGCGCTATAACCGTTGCCAGATAGAGCCAGCCCTTTATTGCGGGCGTCAGCTCCGTAATGCCCTATGAAATGAGTGCACAGTAAGTACGATGCTCCAATCTAGATTTTGTTATTAGTTGTGAACCCACCTCCTCGAGCCACATGACCGGAAATACAAAGTCACGAAAATCACGCACCGGATGAACGTCCTTGGCTTGCGTCACCTTCAGATTAAGCTGTATGCGCACCTTGCCCTCCAGAGGCACTCCAAGTTTCTAAAAAAAAACGAAAAGTAGGCATTAGAATTGAGAATATTTGAACAATTTCAAGAAGCTAGAGACTCCATTTAAGATTTATTAAATTGAAATTGAAATTCAGGAAATAACTTACTGGTTGAATTTTGAAGTAGGTTTCATGTTTCTCTTGCTGTGGATGCAAACCTTCGACGGCATCAAGGAGCTCGGGATCCGCCTCATAGAAATGTGGATTAGATATGTAAACGGGTGCGCCATACTGACATGGACTGATATTCTGCAGACCCCTCACAGCATCATAGTCGTTGGCATCGTAGCATTTATTCTCCGGATTGTGGGCCGAATCGCCGTAGGAATTGTTGGGCAATCGGTATAGATCCGCTGCGAGGCCATCTTTCTCCACACGCTCCACATACTTGAGTGGTATAATGCGGCACAGATCCTTGTCATAGATGTGCACCAAATCCGACTTGGTAATGTCTCGAGGCGGAAAGAAGGAACCCTCGGAGCCGGCTATGCTCGTGCAGGGCTCCTCATTCCAGTGCGGCAAACGATCCATGCCATTCAGTGAATCAATGTAGCCAAACTGCTCCATGCCCTCGTAGCCGGTTTTAATGCTCGACACCTCTGTGAGTGTTCCGTTGCGTCCGAGAAGTAAGCCCATTCTCTCCATGGGCCTCATATGCTTTGGATAGAATCTGTGCGCCAGACTAACCAGCGCATCATCATACCCAAAGACCAGCTGATCCGCAGTCACATTGATAAACGGCTTCAGCTGGGCGGCAGTTAGCACTATGGATATTGTTTTAGACAGCAGATAGCCCAGCTTGGGACTCAGACTAGTGAGGGTCTAAGAGGGAGAGCATGGAAAACAGTTTAATTAGAGAGGTGTGTGTTTAATGTTACACTTTCTTACAACTGTAGTACTCACCAGCAATGGTATATTGGGCGTAACTATGGGCGTATTCTTATCAATACTCAGTTCAGGAACAAATTGTAATATTTTCTTATGCTGATATGACACCGTGTAATTGTTCTCATGGAATTTCACATTCACCTTCTCCATGTCTTCTCTGCAATGACATAAAACAAAAACAATATAAAAAACGGTTACACATTTATGCATTGTGTTATATATTTTGTAAGCTGTTGTGTTAACGGTCGTAATTAAGTTTCATCGGCACGTGCATCGCTTGGTGTCGACTTCGATGTTGATGTCGGTGTCAAAGTCAGTTGACAATCGGCCCCAAAGTCAGGGACGGTAATCAAAAACGAAAAAACTATTTAAAAAAAAAAAGCGGCAAACAGCCCAACCCAACTGAATGTCAAGTTCATTTGTCGCACTCAGAGAAATGTGGACAGCAACAGCAAATTAAGATGACAAACGCTTTGGCGTTTTTGTGGCGTTTTACCAGCGTTTTTCATTTTTTTCACTTTTTTTTTTTCAGCTGCTACTGTTTGACGCTTGTCATTCGTTGTCAGCAAAAAATTGTTGTATGTTTATGTTGTTTGTGCTGCTGCCTTCAACGTATTCATCAATTCATCTTACAAATGTGTTCATAGCTTGATTGCATATTAATTTAAACAGTGCATAGTTAATTGCTATATTAATTTCATATTTCTTTGCTTTTGTTTATCGATCAGTTTTTCTATTACAATCTTTATATGAATCTGATTGTATTATAATAAGTCTATATACACTTATATATAGCTGTTGCTCTAGTTGCTTCTGCTACTGCAGCTTGGCAGCTGTAGCTGTAAGATTAATCACTGGACGCCTGCTCCTGCCAGGTTATCCTTCAATTAAACTGGTTTAATCGCTGGGCGGTCCGGCAGCTTGTCAAACATTTTCACTGATACACACATACACATACATAAGTATTGTTCATTCACGCTCTCGTTTTTGTCTTACGATTTGATGGCTCAATTAATTGAAATGGCAGCTGTGGTTCAGTGGCTCAGTGGTTTCAGCGTTTTGTCAGCTATTTGTTGGCAAATATTTTTGCAACTGTAGTTGCTGCAAGTTTTGTTGCTTAGTTTATTAAGTGTTATGATTGAAGTTGATCAAATTGTTCCAATTTATTTAGCATTGTAGTGAGTGCTAGTCAAATCTAATGTGAATGTGATTGAGATGAGCAATCATAATTATAGGTAAATACCCCTAGCAATTAAACTTCATCTTATAGATCTATATTGTAAATAATATATGGCGTTTATTTTAAGCTCAATTTTAAGAACAAAATGTTAAGCACATATAATAAGTTTGTAGACTTGCCGTTACAAAAATTAAAATATAATGATCTTAATTGCGTATCGTTTATCTTACTAAACAAGTTAAGTTGCTGGTTCAAGGAGTATCTATTAAAAGAACACAATAAGTTATTTTTATTATTTTTGATATGATTTTCTTAAACGCTTTCTATATAAACTACAATTGAGTGCTTTGTGCTCGAGCCTTAAGAAACCCATAATTATGGTAATTACACTCATTAAACTCGATTTGAAACACATATTTCCCAACGAACCATGACCAAAGAGTATTTTGCTTAAACTGCCTTAAAAATACTCGTATTACATTGTATTCAAAAAGTTTCTAAAGAATCGAAAGGCGTAACCACTTTTCGCCTTAAATAATAATTATTCTCATTTGACTTGCTTACCTGTAGACAAATGGACCCACCTCCTGCAGCTTGGGCTTCTCGCCACTGAGGAAGCCATCCGGATTGGATACATTGTAGATATAGACCTTGGTTAGGCGTATAACGCCGGGCCTTTGCCAATAATGATAGCTTAATGTGTCATTCCACAGCCTTAAATTCTGTATTTGGAGTAGCATTTTTGCAATTAGAAGTGTTATATTATTGTGTTATATTAGAAGTGTTATACATACCTTTAGTATAAAATAATCCAGCCATGGTATGGATGATAAAACTATACCTAAGATTAATGTTACTATACCGATAATTATCACAGCTAGTCTATCTGAAAGTAAATGTAAATCCAATTAATTTTATTAGTTATAATGTACACTAAAATCTATTGATTTTTACACGTCGTATATCGAATAAATATTTAGCTAGCAACTTTGTAGAGCGTATGAATTGGTATGTTAAATATTGAGAGACAAACGTCAATCTATTATATACTTAGTCATGTTTCTGTGACAGTCATTTTTATGACTTATCAAATATTGAAATAAGCGAATTTATGCTTAACAAGCACATCATATGTAATCAATCATGCGCAATGTAAACGCGACATTTACCGAACTGCAAGTTCCAACCCAGTTTCCTGGGAGCACTTCACATCTCTCTTTTGGTTAACGAATGCAATTCGCGTTAAGCAGGAACATAAAATTGTGGTCGAACTTAATTCAGTTTCGTGGTATTTCACGGTTGTCAGTCGCGCTCTGAGATCTTTGCTCTTGGCCGACTTATCACAAGTTGAACGTTTTTGTGACATGCGGCACAAATTTTGATGATGATATTTAGCTTATCAGTTAATTGAAATGCGCTTTTGATTGCAAGCGATCTTATGTCTTATAGAGTTTTGCACTCAGGGCACTCGCTTAACCCATCTGCCCATTACCTTGTTGGCATTTTGCTGTACGATGGGGCGTGGTGGGCGCACAACGATTGTATGTGTGTGCTTTATGTACAATGCCAACGAGTTTTCGATCAGCGTCCGTGCCCCCCTAAAACAGTCAACGAACTGATTGCACTTTGAGTATAACACGCGCTTCACTGGCTACCCCAAAAAGTGCAAGGCAAAGCACTTAAGCATGCATTATTAATTAATACATATATATATATATTTATATATATGTATGAATTTTTCGGGTCAGTCGCATCAGCATTTCGATAACGTGCACGAAATATTTCCACTTGGCGTGGAACATAAATCTAGACAGAGATGAGCTATGGGCGCAATCATTTCGTTATTTTTTTTTTCTGGCAAGAAAGCGGCAAGGTTCAAGCGTCTCATTGAACGTGAATAACTCTGTATGCCCCCGCTGCCCTGCACCCCCTACTCTTATCTGAAAATCAACAATGAATTGACACAGGGAAAGTTGCGTAAAATGCCATAAAATCAAGCACAAATTGTTGACATTTTGGCAACGTTGTTACTGCTGACCTATATACGCATGTATATATATATATATATGTACATTTTTTGGGGCAGCTGTCAAACTCAAGGTCAAGGGAGTATAGACGTCTCGTCAGCTGGACAATCTGATCAAAAAAACCCGCGCCATTTATTGCTGGTTTACATTTATCGGCTTTTTGGTTTTTTTTTTGTTTTTCGGCTCTTGGCTTCATCTGGTTGCGTTGCGTTATTAGTTGATATCGATAATTATATATCTATACATACTATAGTTGTTGCTTATTTTGTTTGCTGTTGTTGTTTTTGTTGTTGTTGCTGTAACTGACAATGCTTGCATGGGGCTTTAAGCTGGTCGACATGGTCAATAAACATTTGGCACACAATTGATACGTCAGCGCTTGCTGTAGTTGACAATAATGCTGAATTCTCTGTTGTTGTAGTTGTTGTATTGGTGTTGCATGTAAGAAGCTGTTATTGCTTCAAGTTTTTGTAATATACCCTATCAGAGAGTCTATTAACTTGCAGAGTCGAAATCAATCAGAATATATAATTTTCAACGAAAACATACATAAAACCGACGAAACTTTATCCGACTTCTGTTTTCGAGTTTTACATTTCCTTTCATTATGGAAGTCCTTCAAGTTAAGTCAAGATTGTTGCAAATCATTGCCGAACTTACTTATTTAATCAGTGTTTTTTCACGGCTTTCACTCACAACTTTTAGACCTTGATCTTGGCCAACATGTAATGTGAATATTTTGGAAACATTTTGTTTGCTATGCTATTAAATATGATCATAATATCTACGAAAAGGTGACATCATAAACTTATTCAGATATTTATGAATGTTATGTTCAGCTAATTTAGATAATTGCCAATTTAATTATTACTGTAATATATCTATCTATCTACATAATTTGATTATTTAACAATAATTATATAATGTTAATATCATATACCAACATAAGCATATTTATTATTCGCAATGTATATTTTAGTTCTTCTGTATTGTAAACTCAGATGCATGGGCGTAGCTGGGAGGGGAAAACTGCCTTAAACCTTTGTACATATATTTCACCCCCAACGCCCCCATTGCCCCTGAAGCCCCTGTGATAGACACTTAATGCTGGTGTCATATATTCCTTTTGTGGAAAATTACAGCTTATCATGCAATATTCTCATCGTTTAGTTTCTGGTTTCTGTTTTCCATCCGCTGCTGAACTGTCGCAATTATGTTTGAACTTTGCAGCCACTTAGGAGTAGCAATATTTTAAACCCGATTTTAAGTAAGCTTGGCCCTAATGACAATAAAAAAAATATTCTCCGATACTATATTTGCAAGTTGGGAATTTTTTTTTTTGTCCATTTTGCGTTAACTCCATTTCACAAGTGGCTGTTAAAATAAGCACTTGCAATTACAGGCTGTAATTTGCAGCTGGCCAGCGCAGTACAATTTCAATAGAGTTGGAATGGTTACCTTCAACAATGCAGCAACAATAACAATACTAACTAAACATTTTTAACGCCTGCAGCAAGACAATTGAGCTCAGATTTCATATAAGAACGTGCCCCAACAGCAACAACAAGCAGAACAACAATGGGATGCCGCATGAGGCATGATCTGACTGTCAAGTGTTGTTCCATTGTTGATTTATTGCATTGTTTAACAGTAGTTTTTGAACAAATAATTGCAATTCTTGTAGGAAATGGCTTGAAATTAATGGAATTGCAGCGGGAGCATTTCCTTGTGCCGCATGCGCCTTATAATTTGCATCCAATTGCTGCCGATACTCAGATTCGAATCGATAACAATTAGTCTCGGCTACACATGTCCAAAACCGGTTAGCGGATCTTCCTTTTTTTGGGCTGGACGTGCCCTCTTCGCAATTTTGCTTTTAAGTTATCGCATATCGGCCCCAAATTGACGCACTTACATCTGATCTCAATGGTGGATAATAAAACGACTGCGGTCCCTGGAATGTTTGTTTTTTGAGGAGTACCATTTAAAAGAAACATGCAAACGAAATTGAATAGCTGTAAAATGACGAGGGCATGCTGTGGAAAGTGAAAGGACGCTTCTTGTGGTGGGGAGAAACCCATAAAAGTTGCAATTAAAACAAGCAATATTATTACAAGAACATTCAAATTTGACATTGACTGTGGCTTAACTTCAGATTTCAGGAGCAATAATATGAAAAATTAATTGTAAGGAGTTCAGTAAAGGCACTTAAAATTAAATTATCTTGTAACCAATTAATATTAATACTATATTGAATATTGTAATTAACTAAAGAAAAGTTATTAAGCTAAGTGATGTGCATTTCAGGGAAGCAATTTGTAAAGACTTTTAGTGATATAATATAAGTGGAATTGTTGATGAAGTTATTATGGAAAAAAGTATTTAATATAGTAGAAGCAGCTTTGTTTTTTTTTTTTAATGTTTACGACGTTTTGAGATCAAAGCTCATAGTATACATACATATATCTCTCTGAGCACATTTTGAAATCTACTTGTCAAAATAACACTCTTGGAATGTGCATATCAAATACTCTGCAACATTTGTCAATGATCAAAATGAGAGAATGATTGTGGCCTAAATCAACTGAATCAACTGCACATTTGATTATATAATCTTAAGACAGAAATTCACGCACACTGGCAAACAAATACTGCTCAGTGCTCACTGCACAGTGCTCAGTGCTCACTGCACAGTGCTCAGTGCTCAGTCCGACTTGTTATTGCTAAAGTCTTCAAGTGAGCATTGGCCAGTGCAGTTAACCAGCTGAGACTTCTTCTTGGCAACTGCAGCAGCGGCAGCAGCTAGCAGCAGTAGTGGCAGCAGCGGTAGCAGCACCAGCAGCGACAACCGCGCCTATTTCTGTTTGTGCAGCGCACACAAAACTCTATGGCAAATATTGTGGGGGTCTCCCCCCCTCCCTTGACGTTCACCTCACACACTATCGTCGTAGGCCAACGGACGCCACTTTAAGTCTGACTTAGAATTGGCAAAAAAAAAAAACCCGAGGCAGCAGCAGCGGCAGCTATGATTTTCGACTTGGCTGCTTAATTGTGTTAATTTGTGTTCACTCTCGTCGAGCGCTCGTTTAGTTCATAGTACCCCGTGTCCAATGCTTGAGTATCCATGTCCATGCTACCCTCGACTCTCCTCTCCTCTCCTCTCCACGCCATCTTAATTTTGTGCTCACTCGCAGCTTCAGATTTTGGTATTTCACTCCTCTCTGGCTCTGACTCTGACTATGGCTTTGGCTCGGGCTGTGGCTCTGGCTCTGTCTCTATCGTTTCGGCCACTTGATGTCTTGTGGTATATTGATTTGGCAACATTTTTATATTTGCTTTGTATGTACGAGACTCGAGTGTGTACTTGTATTTGTTAGTTGTAGTATTTGGCAGTTAATAGTTGTTGGTTGTTGCTGTTGCTGTTTCTGTTGCTGCAGTAGACAACATTGTACTGGCCAGTTAAGTACCCGCTTGGACTTTTCAATTGCGAATTTTTATTTTGCCTTTGCTTCACTTCTGTTTTTCTTTTCTGTGTTTCTTTATGGATTTTCTGTTTACTTGTCAGGTTGTTTAACATGATATTAGAATTACCTAAGCACAGTGGTGCAAAACCAAATTTAATAAAGAGTTTCACATATTGATCACAGTTATTTTTCAAATAACCTTCATAAGATTAAACTAGATTCTGATCAGTCAAGCGAAAAAAGCTTGATTTGCATGGAAATCGGAAACTCCTAGCTATAAATGCACTCTTATGATTTCCTATAGAAAACAACTTCAGGTTCTACTCAGTCCATTATATTTGCTTTGTTCCGCGTTGCTTGAGACTTGACAACAACAACATCAATATTAAATGAAACCTTCGAATGATTATGAAGAATAAAACTCATATCAAATGCGTAATAATCAGTTAAACAGCTTACTCAGCAATCATCATCCACAGCATCATAATGCGTTTGTGACAATAAACAATAATGTAATATAAATTCTATTCGCATATATCATAAAGTATATATCATATATCATGAGTGAAACTTGGGGAAACCTTTATCAGATCGCACGTATGCGACAAGTCTTTAAAATGTCAAGCCCAATAATAATTGGTCACATCTGGAAGCAACAAATTGTCAAAGCCAATAACAAGACACTGCCACTTGTCGCATTGTAAATGTGGCTATAAAAACACTGAACAGCGCTGTCAAGTGCAAAGCGCTTAAAACCTTATTCTAGTCAAACATCAAATGGCAACGAGAATTTGTCCAAAATGAAGGCAATCAAAAACGAAAACGAAACCGAAACCAAAAACCGAAAGCGAAACCAATTGAAACCGAAAGCAATACGGGTCTTGGGCGATATGGCTAAGCCAAGTTCAGAGAGTAAACAAACTTATATGGAGAGAGAGAGAGAGTGTGTATGTACAATATATATATATATATAGAGAGAGAGAGGAAGATTGTGAATGCGGTTGCGAGAGGCAGTCAACGTTCTTGGCCATGGTTGTTGTTTGCACACTTGGTTGCTTCGACTCGACAAATACGAGTGTAAGATCGGATCGCTTGGCGTATACGCAATGTCACCTATTGCACAGAACCCGGCTAAGTGGGCACGTCTCGTGTCTGTATCTATGTGTCCGTTTCCTTGATTTCAATCTTACTGCTTAGTTGGTTAGTTAGTCGCAGTTGGAGTTGTTTTTGTTGCTGTTCATTTTTTTCTTCAAGTCTGCATCAGTTGATTGCCTTGTTGTTGTTGTCGTTTTTTTCGGTATTTTGTTTTTTGGCCAAAGACTTGTTTTGCATTGCAGTTGCAGTTCTTGGATGACCAGTTTTGTAAAAAATAAGTAAGAAACAAAAATGTTCAGCAATTTGTTGTTGTTGTTTTCGTGATTTTATCTAGATGCAATATTTGTTGTGCCTTTTAGTTCCAACTCGCAACTTGTTTGGCTTTACTTTTGAATTTTTGGTCAAGTAAATAGCTAAAAGGCAAAAACATGCAAGCAATCTGGTAGTTGATATTGACTTTAGGTTGGCTAATTGAGCATTTAATGGTTAATTTAATAAGTATTTTAAATTGAGTGTGAAAATTTAATTGAAAGCAGTTTTAAAAAAATTGAATTAAAAATATTCATTTATTTACATAATAGCCGAGTACCATGTTTAGGGAGTTGTTTTTCTCGAGTTTGATACTTACTATTGCTAATCTTAACGCCATGCGATATTAGCATGGACAGCGGCGTTCCTCTGTGTGTTACATGTGGGCGTGAACGCCGCCTCGTGTCAGTTGACCCTTGTAGCTGATTTTGTTGTTGCTGTTGTTGTTGTTGTTGCAGTTGTTGCTGCTGCTGTTGCTGCCGCTGTTGTCGACCACGCCCACAGCTGGCCCAGTCGAGTAGATGATCTCGAGCCGTGCGTCCATATCTCAAATAATGTTTTTCTAAGCCCATAATTCAAATCTGTCAAATGAGATATATAAAAACTGCGTTAGAGTCAAGTAGCTAAGCTTTGTTGGTGTTTTAATTTTAAAGTCAACAACATATTTATCGTTAGCAATTAAAATTTAATTTGTCTAATCTGTGTTTTATGGGGTCAGTGTCTAATGCTGTGTACTAGACACAAAACACAAAATGTTTAATTACAGCACGAGGAACTTTTTAGGACCAGGGTTAATAAATATGGTTAATGCCAGAGAGAGCCTTAATTGAATTAATATATTCGCTGAACGCAGAACCAACACAGAATTCTTAGTAATTTGACGGTATCAAAGAACCCGCAATAATTCGTGCCATAAATTAAACGAAACAACAATAAATGCTTGTACTCAACGGTTTTACAAGTTGATCAATGCACATCGTTAATTTACATAATTGCAGAGATAATAAAATGCATAAAAAAAGCAGTCGACTGAGAGATACCATATATTCTATATAATGCTGTGTGTATCTTGCTTATAGCTTTTAAGTCAGACAACTGCATGAGCAAACAGATAGTTGTCTCAATAATAGCCACTTGGTTTATTGTCTTTGCAGTGCAGGGTATAACAAATTATATTCAAATATCACACCGCTACTTGCTTGCAATATAATTAAATTATTTGCTTTTACATGGGCGACAATAGGCAATATTTCTACGAATATAGGCGGGGCCCACTGCTCACACCTGACTGAGTATTTGTCTGCCGGGTAGATACATTTATTATTGGCTCGTTTAAGGTCTGGAAAATTATTAATTGAAATCCGTTTGGCCGCACGAATTTTCACACGTTTCAATGGGATGTCATGACAAGCATTTTGCAGCAGCCGCAAGAAACAAAAGACTCAGGCAACGAACTTGTCCGCAAGCCCAGCAGCAAAAAACCAAAACTTGCATAATTTATTTGCCATGTCACATATGCAGTAGCTACTAATGTCAGCTTCAGCGATCTTCAGCTCATCTCAAAGTATGCGAAGTGAATCATGTGGCGCTTTATGTCTGACATAACAGCCCATAACTAAATGAATAGTTCACTTTTTTTTCAACTTTTTTGTTACAATTGAGCGATTTTTAAGTTATGAGCAAAATGTTGTGCAAAACTCCACGAAAACAGAAAATTATTTAAACACAATTAATGACATTTAGTTTTTGTTTTTTTTTGCGTACGGTTTTAATTGCCAGCAGACGAGCATTGTCAACTGCTTTGGGCCAAGTTCAAAAGCACTGTCTCTGCCCCGGCGTCTGACTTAATTTGTGGCAAGCTGAAACTGAAGAAACCCACAAAAAATACAGAGCACTGCTGACTGCGCTTAATGAGCATAAAATAATTAAGGCCAGTTTTAATTTGACAACATTTGCGCAATAAGGAAACATGCGAGACGCATATGCCCACAGCCAAGGATGTGCCAGGCATAAGGAATGGAGCAGGAAGCGATGTGGGATCAATCAAATATGGCAACATATATCCCTAGATTTTATTTTTTATATTATGATTTATGTTAAACAAGAATTAATTTATGGCCAAGAATGTATTTCTTATTAATTTTAAGCCAAAGCAATTTAAACGAGGACTTTAAAATTGTTAATATGAGCCCATCAAATCTATATATTCTTGACCCACAATAATGGTCGAGTGGTTGTCTGTATAAGCGTGGGAATCTATAACCGTCAAAAACAAACAAATTTCATGTGTAGATACTTATATGCAATAGGCTGTTCTAGTCAACCAAAAAATCAACAAAATCCAATGACTAACAATATTTAAAAGTCAACTGCAAAGTCATAAAAGCAACTTTGTTTTCAGCAGCTGTCTATTATATTAATGATTAATTTATTGAGTACTAACCACAAATAAAGATAGACTGTAAGACACATTTATAGGGTTCATAAGCGAAACCTTCAAATTTAGGCTATCAATTTAAATTGAAGTATACTTTAAACTGTCTCTCTTAGGTGCATTTAATGTCAACAGCTTCACATCTTTCGCACCCCAATTAAGTGAACATAAAATAACTGAAACGCTTTTCCACAATTTACGGCTCATAAGCCCCGCTAAGCAAATCCATTAAGAAGTCTCCACGACATTATCAGCGACTGCCACGCCCCTAAAAGTGTAACTGAAACACGTTTTAGCAATTTTCTGCTTATTTTCGCACATCGACTCCGGCATTTTGGCCGGCTATGACTTGGTCACCTGGTCGTCTTGGCCGACTCAACTTCTTTTTTCGTTTAGTGGCCCCGGCTCGTGTACACTTTTGTTCGCTTTGCTTCTTTGGCATATTATGTAATAAAATGCAAGCAATTTTTTCTTATTTTTATTTCTGAGGAGACACGCCAAGAGATAAATAAAACAAGTGAAAAAATAGTTGCGCTGACTAACTGTCTAGAAATCATTAAAAAATAGCTCAAACGTTTGCGTAAATAAAGAAATTACAACAACAAAAGCGACAACAACATTAGTAGAAATATTGCAAAATTGCATAAATACAAAATCTATTGACCTAAATACTGTTTTATAACCAGTCGGGCACATATGGCAACCAGCGGTTCATGTTGCAATTGCCACAGTTCCAGCCACAACTCCCAGCTCCAGTCGAAGCTTTCTAACATTGCCAACAGCTGATGACGATATTGAGTCTCGCTTTTGGTCAGCTCATTGGTAACAGTAACACTTTCAATTGCACCAGCCGCTGCACCGACAACAACAAACAGCAAACCAGACAAACCAAACGGGCCATTCCAGCCAGAAATAAGTAGGTTGCTTGGCCAACAGGCAACTTACAGGCACTAAACCACCGAGGCGCTCAGCCGTCTTAGCCACTGTGGCTGCTTGGCATTTCCCAAAAAAAATCTTCTTGCCTGCTTGCACCTGTTTTCTTTTGTTGTTGTTGCTAATGCAATCGCTTCGTGTGCATTTCAAAGCATGACTCAAAAGCTGTGCCTGATTTTGGCCATCAGCTGAGTATATGAGACATAGCCAAGCAAGTTGGTTATAGCAAAGGACTTGCAATTATGTAAAAAAAAGAAGAAATATATACTTGTTTATTCATTTTAATCTTATTGCGTGAATGTGGCAGGGAAATATGCATTGTAATTATAAATATGAGAATTATTATTATAAAGAGAAATAATAAAATCCAATGACTTTTGCTTTTGGCAAAACTAATCACACTAAAACTGACTGAAACAAAAGAAAAACCATTTAACATATTTTCAAGTCATAATTTGTTCAGCGTATGACAAATTCGTTGATTTTATAGCTTATTTGTTGTGTTTGTTGCGGTTGCCACTTGGTTTACAGTAGCTGCTCATTCGAGTCCCATTGTTGATGTTGTGGTTGTTGTGTCGGTAGCTTTAGACTTGTGCACATGTTTATTTTGGGCTGTTTGCATTATTGTTGTTGTTGTTGTTGTTGTCGCTTTTTACTCGTTTTGATCAATTTCACACAGCATCCAACGGAGACTGCAGCAGTGCGAAGGTCGCGCGCCATTTATCTTTCTCTTGTGACAGCTGTTCCACATCCAGTTTTGCAGCGGTTTATACTTATTTTTGTTTTTTGATTTTTTATTTATTTATTTTTTTTTTTTACGCACGTCGCCTTCTTTTTATGCATTTTTAATAAATTTTTGCTTAATGTTTTGTTGCCAACTCATTATTTTATGCAGTATATAAAATTTCAATTTTTTTTTCAACTGCGCTTTCAGCTGATTATAGAGAGGAGCGACTGTTGTGGCACTTGAATGGCTTCATAAGCCAATGCCAAGGCATCGCCCACAAAAGGGCCTGCAAGGAAGCAGGGGGTATAGTATTTCATAATTGGCATCGTTGGTACGCGTTGATTGGCAAATTGTATGCAATTATTGAAACGCACTGCCCGCAAATCGAGCACAGGAAAAGTTCCCGAAATATGCGTAATAACTGAAAAGTTCGTTCATCTCTTGGTCTGTTGACATTGAGACAACCGAATTTTGCGGAAGTGACCGCTAGACAGGCAGACAGGTAGCAATCATAAGTATTTAACAATAATTGTAGCTTACACATAGCATTGGGTATTCAGTAGAGGCACGAACCCAAGAGCCCAGGCGTATGCTAGCAATTTCTTTGCCTCTGCCAAAAAAAATGCAGTGCGCAAGCCCTTCATTTGCTTGGTTAGCTTCCCCTCCTCCTACACCAGTCAGCCATGTAAATCGCTTCGCTGTGCTCAATTAACTTAAATTGGCAACACTTCGAGCGCATCAAATCATTCTTTAAATAATGTTCAACATTAATTCAATTGTATTAAGCAATTTAACATTCAACTTCCAAGTGTGGTTTACGCAATTCGCAGAAAGTGCAAAAAAAATGTAACAAAAGACTGAGGCAACGAACTTGACATCCAGCTGAGGTGAAAGGTTTCGATATGTGAAAGGTTGTGTGAAGTGAAGTGAAGAAGCTGCCGGCAGATGTAATATATAATAGGCATGAGATCATACGTAATTCAGTTCGAGATCAGTTTGAACTATAGAAATCAACGCTCACTAATCAAATATTACAAAATAATAATACGTTTAGAAATCGCAAAAAGTGATCAGCGAGCAAGTTGGGACGGCTGAAAAACACAGCCTATCACAGAAATAAAATTGAAACGCATTACTTGAACTTTTCACAAATGTATTTACAAACAGTCCAGCGTAAACTAAAATCTGCATCATCATTTTGTGTAAAATGTTAATTTATGTAAATACTCAAATTGAACTTCATGCAACGAACTACTTAAACTATTCTCGAACTTATTGGCAAAACGATTTAATCTAAACTAAGCAAACTACACTCTTAAGCTATTTCTACATAAATACTCAAACTGAACTTCATTCACATTTAAGCAGCTAGCAAATACATAAATTATTCACAAATAGGTTTCAACGTTTTTTTCAATTTTGTTTTGTGTGCATAATTTTTTAGTAATTTATATGTAAATTAATATAAACACGCATACTGAACTTCTTCGACATTTAACCATGTACACTTAACGCCTTTTTGTTAATTCTTTTCGCTTCTTTAGTTGTTAATTTGACACATCTTTGTATTGCCTACAGCTCCCACGTCTCATTCATTATGATTATGGCCAAATGGATTTTAACCCTATGCCACTATATTGTTTTTGGTTCTTCTCTCGCTCTTCTCTCTCGCTGATTTTAGTTGCCGAGTCGAATCGTTGATGCGTGGCCGCTTCGTCAGATTATTGGCAAACATATTTTTTTTTATTTTTATTTTATTTTTTTTTGATTAGCCAGCAACAGCAGCAGCAGTAGCAAAAAAAGAAAACAACAAAAACAACAACTCTGCTGCTGATTTTTGCGTTTTGCTGCCTGTGCGTCTAGTTGCTTGTGTGTTGTAATTTATACGTTTATTCGCCATCTCTTTATATATATACATATATATATATATCTTTCACTCTTTATCTCTATTTATGTTTTAGCCATGCGGTTTAGCTTACGAACCATTTTTAGCTTGGGCGCTTGTAACACATTTTACTAAATGCTCTAATTACGTTGCAGAATTTGTATTTTTCATGTTTAAACTTGGTGCACAGTTTGGCCTACACATTTACGGCATTTGCCAATAACAAATCCTTTATGTTTGTTAGGCCTTTGGGGTTTTTCGGTTGGCTTTTATAAGTAGTTCGCCTGCCGCTCAAGAGTCTGACAGACGCCATGAAGGCCGCCAACGATGCGTGTCCATAACAACATTAGAAACAATAGCAACAGCTAAAGCCAATCCTAAATCAATCCTGACCTAAGTCACAGCGTTTTTGATTGCCGTTGTTTAGCTGTCTCGCTGCGTGGCTGCCTGGCTGTGTGTGCGTGTGTGTGTGTCTCGCCCGCTCTGTCGGTCTGGCGATTGATGGGTTTCTAGCCCCAAATTGTGCGCTTATCAATAGGCAAATCAATTTGCTATTCAAAAGCGTGCCGCATATTATATAAACGTTTCTCTAAGCATGTTGTATATTCAAGATATTAGTAAATGTGCCGCAGGCAACAACAGCAACATGTGGCAACATTGGCAAAAAAACAAAACAAAAAAGGCAAAAAGAAACATCGCAGTGAATCACATGCTTATGTCAATATTTCAATTTAACGGCTAAGAAAACACAAAATAAGAAAAAACAAAATACCCAACAACAACAAGCGAACACTTTGCTATTGTTTCTCTTCGGTTTTTTTGGTTTTGGTTTTGGTGACGTCTATTGCACTTAACTGTTTTGCAGTTTGTGGTTAGTTAAGATGACTTCTGTGCCCAGGTATGGCCAATTGGTGTATTGGTGGGCGTTTGGCTGGCCAACGAATAGATAGATGGGTTGATGTGCTGTTAGCCAGTGGTTGGTAGTTGGCCTATAGCTGTAAAGTTAAGTGGTCAAAAGTGAGCTGACCAAAAGGGAAATAGCTGTTTGCGGTGCTTTGAAAGTGAAACTGATTGTTGGCATTTTTGTTTTTATTGGGTAAAACGTTTTAAGAGTTGAGATTGATGAGCCAAGTTAAGCGATAATGTGAGTTAATTGTCGATACTTCAACAGAAAATGTATAAGGAAGCAACTTATCAAAATATATTTAAATTAAGCTAAGCTTGCGTTATTTTGTGATAAGAAATGTGATGTAAACATGTATGAAATACATTCATATTATATTTAATTTAATTCAATTCGAATTCTTATCATATACGTGTGCGTGTAAGATTCTTTCAAAATCTGACCATATATATGTATATATATATAAACATATCAGTTAAATCTGTGCTACGCCATCCAATGTCATTGTCACCTCGTGCATTGAACTACAAACGAGAAGCATAAACAGCTCTGGAGTGTTTGGGCCCAACCTTGAAATGATTTTGGAACTTTCGACACACCCCAACTGGAAATAGCATTTCTTTGCGTTTGCTTACCAACAATTTTTCACACTTTTTTTTTTTTTGGTTTACTTTGTTTAGTTTTTAGTTTTATTTCATTTGCTGAACGCCAACACAGAAAAGTATTATTTTATGCCTGGCTTGACATTGACTTACATATTTCCAGTAATTTCTTGGCGAGGTTCGAGTGAAATTTTTCGTAACTGGCAAGCAATAAAAGAATAGCATATTTTATGATTACAAAGTTCACTTTTGTGGGGCTCTAAGTGAGGTCGAAAGTTAGCCAGTATCCCAATGAGAGCATTTAAATTAATAGAGCAAACTATGTGGAGAGCAAGCTCCATTAAATTTAGACACCCATCACATGTTTCACTTGATCATTTCACCTTAACACTGACCCGACCTTTGCGAAAATGTAGGTCACGCGAGGGAAAAATAACATTGTCATCAACATCAACAACATCATGATGATGATCGTGATCCAAAGATACGTGTTTGCGGTTGCATATTTGCACAAAAACCCAGCGACAGATTTTAAACAAAAAATATGCATATGAGTAAAACTTCATCCGCAAGAAATAACCACAAATAACAGCCACTCACAATAGTGGTAAAAACATAACAAAACATAACAAAACAAATTTGCATAGCATTTGGAGGAATTCGCCAAAAATTGGTTTACATTTAAGAAAGCTGAATAACTATTTATACAATATAGTTTATATAAATACAACAAAATCAGGAAAATCTTTGTAAACAGCATTGCAATTACACATGACGCCTCAATCAAGCAATGACAGGTGTAGATCATTTAAGGGTTTCGTTTTATTCTCGATCTCAGCAATAAGTTTTATATTATATGAGTTAGTATTATAATTTTATAGCTTATTCAATGATGCACTTGATCTTTAGTCTTCAGTCGCTTGAAGGGATGAGCTAACAAAAAGGGCAAAAATAGATTTTTTATTGATCTCTGGCAATTTATTTGCTTTTATGAAGTCTGATGAAATGCACTTAAAGAGTTCGATTGCTAATAATCTAGAGATAGGCACCTATAATCAATAATCTTAACAACGCATGAAATGACTCCATATGAATAGGAATTTAACTATTTTATATTAGATTTAATTTAACTATTTGTTTATTCTTAATATCAAACAGAAATAGTTATATTAATTTGGCATACACTTCACAACAACACAATTAATTGCAATAGCACACAAACATTGCTCATACGCTCCGTTTAGCACAATTTTTTTTCAGCAATTTCAACTTACTTTTCGATTAAAATTCCTTTTGCACTGCTGCTAATCCAAAAAAAAATTTAGAGGATTTTTCTCCAATTAGTTTGGGAGCTAAATTTACTTTATTTTTTTCTTTCGCTTTCGTTTTCGTTTTCTGCTAACAAATCAGCCGCATTTTCGAGTAATTAAAATTGGGTTTTTGTTTGCTGGCAATGTTTGGAGAATTCGCATATCCTTAATATCTTTGGGCACACAATGCACAATGAGCCATTTTCGAGTGTATTCGTTATGCGTTTGCTATGGCTTGCAATTATTTAAATTGAAAACACCACACAACAAAACTGAAATCGAAACCGAAACCAAAATCGAGAAGCACAAGACGCGATCGCGCACTACTCCCGAGCATGTGTCGTGTGTCGTTTTAAAGTTGAAGTTGACGCGTCGAAATGAAAAGCTCGCATGAATGGACGAACAGCGTCGCAAGACGTTTTTGTTCAAAACGCAAGACTTAAGTCGCAGTCGTAGCTCAGCGGCGGCAGCAGCAGCAGCAGCGACGCCGACTAAGTATCGTTACAACTGAGCCGAGTCAAACTGCAAAAACGCCTCGGCTGCTGAGCTGCTGCTCTGTGTGTGTGTGTGTGTGTGTATGTGTGCAAATCTCTGCTTGTGTCGGCAAAGGTGCGCTGGTAGCTTTATGTGTGTGTTTGTGTGAGTCTATCACTTGGCGCAATCCTCGCTGCGACGCGTAGTGCGCTGCATTTGTTGATATTAAAAAATTTGGCAATTTGCTCAGTCGCTGCGCTGCTCAACGTTCTCAGTTATGCATGCATGCGTGTACGTGTGTGTGTGAGTTTAACTTGGCGCAATCCTCGCTGCTACTAGCTGCGCCGCGTCGCTGCACTTTTTATACCAAAATAATTTAGCAACTTTTGGCAGGCGTCGCTGCGCACTTTACTCAGCGCCTGCGCAACGTTGGCGTTGACGGCGCTGCGCTACGTTCTCAGCGCCTGCGCTGTGGTGAATTTCTGTTAATCACGCTGTGTTGAGTTTTCCTTTTGTTGATTTGTACTCGTTTTTGGCATATCTCCATGGGAATTTTTTGTAATTATTGTTTTTTTTTTAAACGCTGAATCACTTTTGCACTCATCGCTTTGCGTTGGTTCTAGTTTAAGTGGCTTCAAGCAGATCTTAAGTTAAAAGCCATGCATTGAGTACCCAAATTGCTTCCTACATTATTTACTTTAAGCCATAATCGTTAAGGGTTTTTTTCTGAAGGATATGGAAAGTGACAGTGGACGATTACGCATTGATGTACAATTTTCACATTTACTTTTAATCACTTGTAAAGTTTACACCAAGGTTCAGATGAGTCCATAAAGCGGGAGTTTTGATCACATAAACATGAGCATTTTAGAGATCATATTGTAACAGAAGGGGCAAATATTGCGAAAATTCTTAACAAGCTTAAGTGGAAAATTTATCAAGTTGAGATTGGCGCAATTGTTATGTCTAGTTATTTACTCGACTACATTTCATACTAGCTATCAAGCAATCGGTCGCGCTCAGTTAGCCACACTCGAGCCCATAGTATTTAGTATTGTACTAACTGCTTGTACGGGGATCAGTAAGCAGTATCACGCACTTTGGTCTATAATTAACAGGTTTCATTTGTTTTTCAACAAGAATCGCAAAAACAACGCAACGTGAGACGTCTATAAAGATCTGGCTCATAAAATATTAACATATTTCAAATGTTTATGACACTTAAAGTAGTAGAATTGATTGATACACCAGGTTTTTAATACGAATCCGTGTAGCATTCTTAAGAAGTTCTTACTTGATAATTATATAGTAGTTACTGTTCATTGATTAATTAATATATTATTACTTGCATTTGTTGGAGATCAATTAAAATGCAGATCTTTACGATCTGTAGGCTAATTTGCGTATTACTGCCGTTAAGGGGAACAACCGAGCCCGACTTTATTCTACGCAAATCTATACGGTTCTATTACAACGCTTCGAAGTTCAAGATCTGCTTGTCTAAACTCTCAACAGCTTAAGTAGCATGAATAAAAAAGCGGAAGCACGCTTTTGGCCACTTGCCGACAACTAAACAATAAAATTCTGAAAAAAAAACAATTCACTTGAAGAAGTTAAACAACAAACTCTTAACTAAGTTTTATAAACAATTAAATGCCAGATCAAGCGTTAAGAAATATTCGTAAACAAGACAAATGCGAGTTCATGAAAACCCATTCAATCTGAACTCGGAACTCAGATCCGTTACAGCAACAGATTGCACAAGTATGAGTCCGCATATATATGTGTATATGCGGCACAAGGATATTGTTGCACTTAGGCAAAGACCTTAAACTAATAAGCCAACGAAGGTTGAATTTTTTTTTTTTTTTTGGGCTTCAACGCTTTGACAAGAATGACTTAATTGCAGTCGTGAAACGAATTTACATATTTGAACTTGTTGTGCACAGCCGCGCGCATTTAAATTAAATGTATTTCGTTTATAATTATAATTAGCAGTGTCTTCTTCTTTTTTTTTTGCTTTAGCAGAAAAGGTCACAATGCACATCAAAACCAAATGTTGTTATGGACAACAAAAGTTAAATATAGTCTAAATAAAACAACAAGGCAGAGAGTCGGACTTTAATGACTCAACTATTGCAGATGTCACAGCCCAAAAACTAACAAACAATGAAGAAGAAGAAATTAGCCTAAATGGGTGATTAGTTAACGGCGTATTTAAAATAAATGCCACTTTTTAAAGCTATGCCTAAGTACATAATTCTTAAAATTTAGTTTTGAACTAAGCAAGCACAACTTGCCTATTATGAAACACAAGACAAGAATATTTTGACGTATTTACATTTATATACATATATATAGGGTTTTAGTTTAAAAGATGAATTGAGTTCTTGAGCTTTGGTGAATTAATATAAAAAGTCTGCTGGTAATTATTTCCATATCAACGCCTTTATTAAACGCCAACGCTAACGACGAAAACTTTTCAAATATTTTGCATATCATACGCAGACAATATGCAGGGGCTTCAACCTTCCTACCACTCCTTCCCCCTCCCGCAAGCATCAAGAAAATAAAACAAAAGCGATATTAAAATGTTGTCCTTCGTGCAGTAATTGAAAACAGTAATAACAAAAAAAAACCCCCCAAAAAAAAAGTTAAGAAATCGACGTAAATGCTGAGCAAACTCCTCGACTTGGGGATTGCTTCTAAGCCAGCCGTCTGTGAATTATAGCCTCATAAGACCAGGTCGACAACAACAATCTCAACGTTAACTGCTGTTGTCGATTTTGTTGTTGTTGTCGTAGTTGTTGTTGCTGCGGTTAGCTGTTAGCTTTTGTAAACCCGTTTACGTTTGAGTAATTGAAATACATGTAAAAATTATTGCACTTCATGCCACATTTTGGCAATATTTTTATACAATATTAAATATACATATATCATATTTAGCTAGGTCATTTCTCATGTGTCGCTCGCCTGATTTCCGATTCGCTTGGCAATGAAATGCCATTTGATCTTACGATCTTTACTGGGCCATATACCCAAACATATTTGCTCAGGTGATTCAACTCTTAATGTGAAGGATGGCTTCAGTTTCTTTTGTAGTTTTTAGCTGTTTGTGCCTGACATTCTGGGCACACCTTTTTGCCGCTAGGTTCCACTATTTGCCGCATCTGATTGTACATTAAAAATTGACAATAACAACTAACTGACTATTTACTGAAATTTATTTAGTACATTTCTTATCGCTGTCGGAGATTAGATGATATTAAAGATGTAAAATTAAATTTAGAAAAATGCCTTTTGCATTTTTGTTTTAAATTTAAAGCAATTTTAATTCAAATTTGGATGCAATGACGAGCATAATTATAATATTTTTAACGAACATTTAACAGGATTAGTAACACATATTGGTTTTTATGCTAATTTAACAGTATTGTTACATTGTAGCATTATGTTGGTTAATATGTCATGAGCATCTGTAATAAAGTATTGCATACCTTTGGGCTGACACTTAAAACTACTTCATTCATTCGTGTTTCATTTGCCCGCTGGTTATATAAAAATTATAGTTTTACATTTCTATAGACTGAACCCATTAAAAATGTTTAAAAGGGGTTTAATGATTTTGTGCAAACTTATGTAAATGGCACGAATCTCAGAGGCTATAAGAGCTGGAGACATATGATTGATCAACTAAAATGTATTCAACAACTGAGTTCAGTGTATTTCGTAGCCGATCTCAGTGCACAACAGCATTCCTACTTGTTTGTTTCAATATACACTTTGATCCTGTGGATCACTCTAATGCTGCTCTAAACGGCATGTCCAGAGGTTGGAATCCCATCTAGAGGCAAAGTTCATGTTGTCCAACAAGCGAGTTAAATTTATTGACACACAAATTACAATAAATTACGTAGCAATTAAAATGAATTTAGAAAATTATTCGCCTTCATTATCATATTTCCATTGATTGATAATAACAACTTAATCATGAAAAACCAGTTGCTCTATATTACGGGCAGATGTTATTGATCGGCCTGCCAACCTACAGAATGAATTCCATTTATAATTGTATTGAAAAATTTCCCCTAAGCTTTGTTTGCCTTTTTAGAACAGAAACTTTCCGCAATTTATTTAATTAAATAAGTAATTAGCATAATAACCTGGTCATAATGGATCCATTTAAAAAGGGAACTACGTAGACTGCACTACTGTTTTCGCATCTATAACTACCTTACTAAAAATAAGGTTTTGCATTGCAAAACATAGATTGGCGCCTTTCTTATGGGTACAATTTTAAATTATAGCATATATTTTGCATATCGTTTAATTTATGACAGGCGTATCGCAGTGAAAAGCTGATAATCATGTTTCCAAATCTTAAATACAATATCATTTTACAGATCAAACCTTAACTGAAAAGATATTGTTTTAGAAAATCGGTACAGTTCTGAAAAAGTTGTGGAGGGGGAAAATATTTGTTTTTGCTGTGAGTTTCAAGCTCAGTAAACCCCTTTCTTAAAGGACAAAAGTGCTGTGTGAAGGCTGAAAATAGATTTTCCGTTGCGTTACTCATTTCATGACAAAATTATAATACACTCGGTAAAGCTATACAAAATGATTAGAGATACTGCTAAACAGGTTTTCACTACACATTTATGGCTAACTGCATAAGATTATGCACACGTTGAAGGCATAAAACTATGGACAACCTTCTGCCCTTTAAGGTTAAGCATGGGTTGACCTAGGCAAAGTCAATGTGGCTCATAAAAGAGCACAGAGTTTGCACTAACAAACTCGTTTTGTTTATTGCGCTTTATGCACTTCTGTTGCCACTCAATCATGCATTCAATTGCAACACTCACACACACACACAC